CAGTCAGGCTTCAGAAAGCAACATAGCACCATCACTGCCACAATGAAAGTGGTGAATGACATTACGAGTATTTTAGATAATAAGCAGAGTTGTGCAGCTCTATTTATTGTGTGTGTGTGTGTGTGTGGTGTTGTGTGTGTGTGTGGTGTGTGTGTGTTGTGTTGTGTGTGTGGGTGTGTGTGTGTGTGATGTGTGTGTGTGTGTGTGTGTGTGTGGTGTGTGTGTGTGTGTGGTGTGTGTGTTGTGTGTGTGTGTTGTTGTGGGGTGTGTGTGTGTGGTGTGTATGTGTGTGTGTGTGTGTGTGGCAAACTTACCGCTCGTGTTCTTGTCCTCTGATGAACCTCTCCTCTCTCTCTGTGTTTCCTTTCCTCAAACGCACCACAGACTTTATTTAATTGCCTATATTTATTCGTATGAAGCTGAAAGGTGATTTCCTGGCAGCTTTCGTTCAGCTTTTCTCACGAACAGAGAGCGTGTTGCCGGGCAGATTCTGGGCTCTGTGGTTTCCTGTCTCAGGTTTATATTGAGCTCTGAGTTTCTACAGAAGCCTCTTTTTGATTTAGTACAAGTCGCTGCACGTAGAGGACAGGTATCATAGCTGGCTCTTATTCACCTGATTAATGATTATTAAAAAAGTCTGAGATATATTGATAAATGTGCGTCCCAGTGACCGAGGTGATGTGTGTGTGAATGTCCAAAGATATTCAGTTTAATATAAGATCAGAAAAATAGAAAAGAAAAAAAATCAAAATTCGGAAATGAGTGAAATTTCTGAGGAAAAAGTCAAAACTCTGAAAAAATTGTCAACATTTTGTGAAGAAAAGTAAAAAACTCTGAAAAATAAACAATTCAGATTTTTTTTTAAATGGAAATATTCTGTAAAACCCTCAAAATTCAGAAAATATTGAGAAAAAAGTCAAAATTCGGAAAGAAATGAAAACAAATTGTAAAAAAACCCAAAATGTTGAAAAATGTAAAAATTCTGAAAACAGTCAAAATTCTGAGAAAACTCAAAGTCAGAAAATATTGATATATGTGCACTCCCAGTGTCCCAGGTGAAAAAGAGACTAATTATATTTAGCTCGACTGTTTAAGGTGAAAAACATCGTGTAGAGAGGGTCAGGATGAAGTCCCGATTCAACATCACATGACTTTGTTGAGTTGAGTAATAACAATATGAAGCTCTTCCTTCTCCTCAGCCCGGTGATCTGTCCGAAGCTGATCCTGAAGAACTCTCTGAGCTTCAAGTAGGCTCCAGAAACTGGTGACGTCCTCCAGGAGGAAGAGAATGATCCGGAGCGACGAAAACACCAAGAGAGAAGGTGAGATATAGAGTTAATATAGATAACACTATATATACTGTAGAGTTAATATAAATAACACTATATATACTGTAGAGTTAATATGATAACACTATATTACTGTAGAGTTAATATAGATAACACTATATATACTGTAGAGTTAATATAGATAACACTATATATACTGTAGAGTTAATATAGATAACACTATATATACTGTAGAGTTAATATAAATAACACTATATATACTGTAGAGTTAATATAAATAACACTATATATACTGTAGAGTTAATATAAATACACTATATATCAGGAGAGAGGACTAGAGGAGAGAAGGTGATATACTCTACATGATACACATTACAATTAAAATGAAATAAAAGTGCAAACTATTTAAATTAAATAAATAAAAATGATAATAAATAAATAAGTAAAAATGTAAATAATTAAATAAATAGAAACACAAATGTAAATAACAAAAAAATAAATGAAAAAATGTGAATAAGTAAAATACATAAAAACCCAATTGTAAATAATTAAATAAATAATAAAATAAAAATGTAATAACTTGAACCCCTCTTTACCGTACACATCATAATTGGATTTATATATAGTTTCATGTGAAGCTAATTAAAGCTAATTTTTGACACCAACCCTTCATCCTGTTTCTCCTCTTCCTCAAGAGATCTCCTGATGATGGAGGGTCCCCCCCCCTGCAGGAGGCTCCTCCCCCGTGTAGAGGCCCCTCCCCCGTGTAGGAGACTCCTCCCCCCCACGGGAGGCTCCTCCCCCCTGGATTCGCTGTGTTCGACCCTGCAGGATCAGCTGCTGCATCATGAGGAAGGAAACACCATGCATCAGGAGGGGGGAAACCCCGTGCATCAGGAGGGGGGAAACCCCGTGCATCAGGAGGGGGGAAACCCTGTGCATCAAGAGGGGGGGAAACCCCATGCATCAGGAGGAGAACAAACTCAAAATTCTGAATAAGGTAAACATTCTGAAAAGTCAAAATTGTGAGAAAAAAGTCAAAAAACTTGAAAAAAAACGTCAAAACTGAATTCCAAAATTCGGAGTAAGGTTAACATTCTGAAAATAGTCAAAATTCTGAGAAAGAACTCAAAATTCTTAGAACAAACTGAAAAATGTGCGTCCCAGTGTCCCCGGCAGAGGTCGCGTTAACACGGCGCTAACCGTCATGAGCGAGCGTCACCCCCCGTTGACAAGTTCACGAGCGTGCTCCCCCCCCCCCCCCCCGGCACAGTTGTGTACAGGCCGACGGGTAATAATGGATTTTGACGGAAATGTTGCGATCCTGACGGGATCGACGGGCAGCGAAAAAGTCTAGCGCAACCTCTGGTCCCCGGTGATGTGTTTGAATGTCCACAGATATTCACTTCAATATAAGACATAGCAGATCTCGAGGAAAAGAGACATTTTTGCAGGAAATTATATTTAGCTCGAATGTAAGGTGCGAAACATCGTGCAACGTCACTAGAGACTAGAGAGGGTCAGAAAAATACAAAAAAGCAAGATGAAGTCACAATAAACTCTACATGACTTTGTTGAGTTGAGTAATAACTGTATATATTGAGCTCTGTTAGTGAAACTCTTCCTGTGTCCTCAGGAGGCGGAAGAGCAAAGGATCGCTCGCTCTGTGACGGAGGGGGAGATCAGACAGAGGGTCCTCAGCCTCACAGGGGTGAGTTATCATCGTCACAGAAATCATCACGCGTGTGTGTGTGTGTGTGTGTGTGTGTGTGTGTGGTGTGTGTGTGTGTGTGTGTGTGTGTGTGTGTGTGTGTGTGTGTGTGTGTGTGTGTGTGGTGTGTGTGTGTGTGTGTGTGTGTGTGTGTGTGTGTGTTGTGTTGTGTGTGTGTGTGTGTGTGTGTGTGTGTGTGTGTGTGTGTGTTCCCTTCTCAATGAAAAAAAATGAAGACCATAAGAATAAATACATTAAAATAAAATATTAAATAATGATTAAAAGACCAATTAAAGTGGAGAAGTTGTCACAAAAAAAAAGTATGCTGGTCGGCTCTGTTGTGATTGGTCGACCGCTTAGAGATGTCCCGCCCCCTAACCCCTTATCACGTACAATGTGCGGAAGAGCCAGCCAATAGGAGCGTGCATGTTCCATGGTGAATGTCACTATGTTCCTGCTGATGGTTCTCTGTTTCTTGTGTCTCCACAGAGAGCTTGTAGTTTCGGAGGTTTTGATCTGAGCAGCCGCTCCCTGCAGGGGGTCGTCTCTGAAAACACCGTAAGCTCCTCCCACTTTCTTCATTCAGTTTCATCCACTGAATCTCCATGAACAGTGTATTTATTTCTGCTTCCCTTCGTGTGTCTGTGAACCAGAACAAAGACGGAGATGGAGTCCGAGGTCTCGTGAAGTCTCCCCCCACGTCTCGTATTTCTCTGGGTAAAAAGGTGAAGTCAGTGAGAGAAACGATGAGGAAACACATCTCCAAGAGATACCACGGCTCTCTGTCTGAACAGGTGAGGGGAGAGGGGGACTACTTTGTGGTGATGAGGATGAATTATGAGCAGAGAGGGCAGAAGTACACACGTCCTTTACTCAAGTAGAAGTACACACATCCTTTACTCAAGTAGAAGTACACACGTCCTTTACTCAAGTAGAAGTACACACGTCCTTTACTCAAGTAGAAGTACAGACACTGGTGTTTAAAATACTCTGGTAAAAGTAGAAGTACTGACTAAACTTCTTAACTCAAGTCAAAGTAAAGAGGGCTTTGAATGTACTTCAGTAAAAAGTACCCATAACTAGCAGCTGTTTTAAAGAGTACCTGAGCTCCCTTTATATTAATAGAACAATAATGTCATTGTTAGCTATGAATGTTTCCATGCTGAACAACGGCAACATGACAACGTTTTCATTGGGTCCCTCTGAAAAATGTACTGAAGTACAGTAACAAAGTATTTGTACTCCACTACTTCCCACCTCTGATTATGGTAATAATGTGTTTCCTCTCCTGTGTTGAAGTCGAGCCCGGAGAGGCTGAGCCCCCCCGACACCTCCTCTCTGCAGACGGACTCTCTGGAGAAAGCGTCTCTGAAGCCGGGGGGGGTCTGTGGAGAGTCTGAGGAGCTCTCTGAGCGGACAGAGCTCCATCAGTACGTTGTTTATCCTCTCTGTGTTTATTATAAACTGACCTCAGAGCAGCAGGGAGGGGAACATTCTGAAAAGTCAAAGAGAGAAAAGAACAATGCTGGTGTTTGTGTATTGTTGTGTTTAATAAGTGTCCCTGTTCTGTGGTCAGGCCGGGCAGACGGTGGGCACCAAGGGTGTCGTCGAGCACCACAAATAAGTAAAAATTCGGAGAAAAAAAAGTCAAGTCTTAAATAGTAAAAATCCCGAGAGAAAAGTAAAAATTCTGAAGAAAGTAAAAAACTCTTGAAAGTCAAATTCTTAAATGTCAACATTTGGAAAAATTCTGAGAAAAAAAGTCAAACATTCTGAAATATTGACAGATTTCTGAAAAAATCTGGTGTTTTTGTATTGTTGTGTTTAATGAGTGTCCATCTTTCTGTGGTCAGGCGGGCAGACGGTGGGCACCACGGACTCATCAGGCACCACGGACTCATCAGGCACCACGGACTCATCAGGCACCACGTCGTCGGGCAGCTCCGGAGAGAGAGTGAGCTCCGGAGAGAGAGTGAGCTCCGGAGAGAGAGTGAGCTCCAGAGAGAGAGTGAGCTCCGGAGAGAGAGTGAGCTCCAGAGAGAGAGTGAGCTCCAGAGAGAGAGTGAGGTCTGAGGAGGAGGAGCTGCCCTACAGAGGACCTTTCTGTTGGGAGAGCAGTCGTTCACAACCGACTCACACCCAGTCCATACGACTCTGACTCCCTCAAACTCAAGGTACAACACCACGAAACAGGGAAAATACAAAATTAAAAAGTTATTTAATCAAAAAAGTATTAATTTCTCTACTTTAAAGAGTCCTCTCCTGCTGATGTTCAGGTGTAATATCAGTATGTAGTTGTCTCTACTTTAAAGAGTCCTCTCCTGCTGATGTTCAGGGTGTATATCAGTATGTAGTGTCTCTACTTTAAAGAGTCCTCTCCTTGCTGATGTTCAGGTTATATCAGTATGTAGTGTCTCTACTTTAAAAGAGTCCTCTCCTGCTGATGTTCAGGTGTATATCAGTATGTAGTGTCTCTACTTTAAGAGTCCTCTCCTGCTGATGTTCAGGTGTATATCAGTATGTAGTGTCTCTACTTTAAAGAGTCCTCTCCTGCTGATGTTCAGGTGTATATCAGTATGTAGTGTATCTACTTTAAAGAGTCCTCTCCTGCTGATGTTCAGGTGTATATCAGTATGTAGTGTCTCTACTTTAAAGAGTCCTCTCCTGCTGATGTTCAGGTGTATATCAGTATGTAGTGTCTCTACTTTAAAGAGTCCTCTCCTGCTGATGTTCAGGTGTATATTTTTTAACATCTTTTTTCTTGGCTGTTTATTGATTAACCTCCGTCTCTCTTCCTCAGAGTGGGGATGTGATCGAGGTGATCAATAAGCCTCCGATGGGAACATGGATGGGAATGCTGAACGGGAAGGTCGGCACCTTTAAGTTTATCTACGTAGACGTTCTGAACGAGGAGGTGAAGCCGAAGAAAACCCGACGGAGGAGGAGGCCTCGGCAGCCGAAACCCACGTCTGTGGAGGAGCTGCTGCAGCGCATCAACCTCACAGTAAGAACTTAAATATTAAAGACTCCTTATGAACACAAAGTAAAGAGCTTACTTAATATAAAAAAACGTTATCAACCTCACAGTAAACACATTATTATGAATACATAAAGTCATTATCAACCTCAAGATAAAGAGCTAATTAAAATATCGAAGAATCCTTATGAAGGTTAATAAAAGTAAATAACTTTATCTGAAGGTTTTATTTACGTCAGTCTTTATTTTGATCAGTTTTGAAGTAGTGTCTGTATAAAGTTTTGAAGTAGTGCCCGTATAAAGTGTTGAAGTAGTGCCCGTATAAAGTGTTGAAGTAGTGCCTGTATAAAGTTTTGAAGTAGTGTGTATAAAGTGTTGAAGTAGTGTCTGTATAAAGTTTTGAAGTAGTGTGTATAAAGTGTTGAAGGAGTGCCTGTATAAAGTGTTGAAGTAGTGTCTGTATAAAGTGTTGAAGTAGTGCCCGTATAAAGTGTTGAAGTAGTGTCCGTATAAAGTGTTGAAGTAGTGTCCGTATAAAGTGTTGAAGTAGTGTCTGTATAAAGTGTTGAAGTAGTGTCCGTATAAAGTGTTGAAGTAGTGCCTGTATAAAGTGTTGAAGTAGTGTCTGTATAAAGTGTTGAAGTAGTGCCCGTATAAAGTGTTGAAGTAGTGTCTGTATAAAGTGTTGAAGTAGTGCCCGTATAAAGTGTTGAAGTAGTGCCTGTATAAAGTGTTGAAGTAGTGCCCGTATAAAGTGTTGAAGTAGTGCCCGTATAAAGTGTTGAAGTAGTGCCCGTATAAAGTGTTGAAGTAGTGTCCGTATAAAGTGCCCTCCTCTCTCCAGGAGCACCTCCCCACCTTCCTGTTTAACGGATACGAGGACCTGGACACCTTCCAGCTGCTGGAGGAGGAAGACCTGGACGAGCTGAACATCAGAGACGCTCAGCATCGAGCTGTCCTGCTGACCGCCGTGGAGCTGCTGCAGGAGGACGAGGGTAACACATCCAAAACACAGAAAACACATGTTCTTTACCTCCTTGTGGTCCTTGAATTGAGAAGAGCTGTCAGCTACAAATCAAATATCGTTATTATATTTATTTATGTATTCTGTCCGCAGACCTAGTTAACACAACAGAGCCGGCCCGCTTTATCCGACTCTCTTTAAATCAACATATGTGATGTTTCCTCAATGTGACGCTCTCCCCCTGGTGGTTGTGTTTTGTATTACAGGAAGCAGCGATCCAGAGCGTCAGGTCGTTCAGGAGAAACTGATTCAGCGTCGAGGAATAACTGGAGATTCTCCTCGAGACTCAGGATGCTACGAGAGCAACGAGAACCTGGAGAACGTTATCGAGAACCTGGAGAATGTGAAGGAGATTCTGGAGAACGGTAACGAGATCTCGAGCCCCCCCTGATCTTCCTCTTCTTCCTCTTCATCGATGGTCACCAGCTCTTCTTCTTCACGCTCCAATATTTCAGTTTCTGCTCCTCTGGAAACTCTGCTGTCGTCACATTATCTGCTGGTGCTTCTTCTTCTTCTTCAAGTTCCTCCATCTTTGAATCTGTTCTTGTCTCTAAAAGGGCTCTGAGAGAGGACTCTTTAAAGTAGAGACACTACATACTGATATACACCTGAACATCAGCAGGAGAGGACTCTTTAAAGTAGAGACACTACATACTGATATACACCTGAACATCAGCATGAGAGGACTCTTAAAGAAAGAGACACTAACATACTGAATATACACCTGAACATCAGCAGGAGAGGACTCTTTAAAGTAGAGACACTACCTACTGATATACACCTGACATCAGCAGGAGAGGACTCTGTTAAAGTAGAGGACACTACATACTGATATACACCTGAACATCAGCAGGAGAGGACTCTTTAAAGTAGAGACACTACATACTGATATACACCTGAAACATCAATAGGAGAGGACTCTTTAAAGTAGAGACACTACATACTGATATACACCTGAACATCAGCAGGAGAGGACTCATTTAAAAGTAGAGACACTACATACTGATATACACCTGAACATCAGCAGGAGAGGACTCTTTAAAGTAGAGACACTGCATACTGATATACACCTGAACACAGTGGCGAGCCGTGAGCTTTATACCTAGGGCCTCTGACCCCCCACCCTTCCCTCGAAAAAAGAAAAAAAAATAGTTATTAGTCACAGCGTATACTTCAGCGGAATATCAAAACAACGGCCCAGGGTGGCAAAAACGCATCAATGACAGCGACCCTCTACCACACAAAACAACACCTGTGAACCCAAGTTGTGTTCTTTGACATTGAAAATGATATTGCATTGTGTTTCTTACTTTCGTTGCCGTTGTATGTCTTAAGTGTAATTTGGCATGCTTTTATTTTGAAGGCGAGTTCATGCTGTTGACAGGAAGTTGTTGTTGCTATGGAAACAAGAAAAGTTTCACAGCGGGCGGAACTTGTCATCTAGTCCGCGATAATAAAACCCACCCATTTAGAGTGAAGATATGATTGGTCAATTGTACTGTCATTTGACATTACTCTCTCGTTCAGTTGCTATAGCGGGCCCTCTGTGAATCGTAGAGAGGGCCAGACCTTCTTTCATGTAACCCTTCACATTCAAACAGAGACCGAACAGGCAGATTCAAAGGATTTATTTCTTTGGAAATGTTATTTTATTAAATCAAGTTTTTTTTCGGTAAAACTAATGAAAAATATAACAAAAATAATATTAAAAAAATATATATTTAAAAAAAATATTATTTTTTTTAATGTTTTTAAATATTATTTTTGGAATATCTTAGGCCCTCACAGAGGGCCTAGAGGGCCCTGACGGCTCGCCACTGCCTGAACATCAGCAGGAGAGGACTCTTTAAAGTAGAGACACTACATACTGATATACACCTGAACATCAGCAGGAGAGGACTCTTTAAAGTAGAGACACTACATACTGATATACACCTGAACATCAGCAGGAGAGGACTCTTTAAAGTAGAGACACTACATACTGATATACACCTGAACATCATCAGGAGAGGACTCTTTAAAGTAGAGACACTACATAGAAATTAATTAAATGCAACCAAATCAAAACACTATTTTCCTGTTTTACACCCATTATGGGAACCACTGGATGAATTGCTTAATTGATAGTGAGTTGTTTCTTCAAGAGTCCTGCAGAAGCTCCACTTCACATCATGTGCTTCCAGAGACTTTCAGATGAAAAAATAACTTTACAAGAGAGTCAGCTCTAATAGCGTCTCTGGGGTTATGGAGAGACGTTTCTCTGCAGTGATGTGTGCGGTGTTTCTCTCGAATGAAGAGATTAGATTTTAAATAGTGATCAAACCTTCTGGGTTTCCCGCTGTGTTTGAGTTGGATGAGTTCTATTCAAAGAGTCTCCTGTACCTCTCTGTATATTTTATTTAGTCCAGTGAAATGAAAACAATATTTTATCATGTGCCTGAAAGCTGCAGATTTTAAAATATTTACTGAATTTAAAAATAGTGATTATACTTGTTTAAAATGCGGCATTTTGTATATTTGTGAATGCACTTAAAATGCAGACTTAGGATCAGTTTGACAGAGGAATAAAGACTCCATGTTCACCTGACGCTGCTTCCTGCTTCTCTCTGTTTCTTTTATTCCTTTATTCTGCTTTCTTTTGCAACACTGAGCTCTGCGGCTGCTCTCTTTAGAGGAGGGGGGTCATCTCAATGTCATCGTGGGAAGCATAAGCATTAAGGTTGCACTCAAAGGGCCGGTTGTAACTTTAAGACTATATAAAAATTATACATATATAATATATACAAAATAATGTATTATATTACATGATTGCCTCTTCATTGGATTATTATTGAATAGGGTCATAACTTCATAATTAACTACGTCTCAAAGCAGAAGTCCAGGGCAAATAATTGCAAGTCTCTTCAGTGTCCCACAATGAGATGCATTGTGGGACATGTAGTTTATGGACAACGTGCTTCTGTTAAACGGCATGTTACCGTATAATAAACCTAAAACAAGCCTCTGTATTTCAGTAACACAGGACGTCTTCATTTATATTCAACGTCACTTTCATTGAACAGATTACAAGTATTAAGACAAAGAAATGCAGTTAACCAGAAGTGTAAAAAAGGGGTCGGGTAGATTTAGGGTCTCCACAGGGTGTTTGGAGTATTTCAAAGTTACATTATTACATTTACAAAAGAAGTGCTTTGTGTGTGAGAAAATGTTATAAGAGTACAAAGAGCTGTTGGGGAATTAATGTGATTCAGAGATTATTATAAAATCATTTATATTCTAGGGTCTAAAATCCTGCTTCGTTTATCCTTTTGCTCGTAAACAACAAATGTTTCCACGTTGTTAGAAGGTTTGTTTGTTTGTTTGTTTGTTTCCATTCCCTACATTCTTACTGTAAATAATAACCTGCTTTATATCGTGTCTGAAAACCTTCAATCGTGTTTTATTCTCAGAGTGTATGGAACTTTTATCTTCACGGTCTACTGTATATTTTATACTTTTTAAAGCTGTTTTAATTCTATTTGAAGATGTTTCAATTCTAGGATTGTTTATTTCTACTTAGGTGTAGTAGGAGCCATGAAGCGTGTGTAGTAATGCGTTCTGTTTTAATATAAGATATTTGTTTGATCACTATTGATTAGCTGGCTTGGGTCACATGGATACGGCAGGCTGTGTGTGTGTGTGTGTGTGTGTGTGTGTGTGTGTGTGTGTGTGTGTGTGTGTGTGTGTGTTGTGTGTGTGTGTGTGTGTGTGTGTGTGTGTGTGTGTGTGTGTGTGTGTGTGTGTGTGTGTGTGTGTGTGTGTGTGTGTGTGTGTGTGTGTGTGTGTGTAGTGTGTGTGGTGTGGTGGTGTGTGTGTGTGTGTGTGTGTGTGTGTGTGTGTGTGTGTGTGTGTGTGTGTGTGTGTGTGTGTGTGTGTGTGAGGCTATCATCCAAGCCTTCATGCCATCCAAATGTAACCTTCGCAAGTTTACTGATTGCTTTGATTATGATAACAATGTCGATGACCAAAGAAAATAAGTTGATCATCCCAGTTTTCATTAAACTACGTTATTTTTCAACAGAGTTTTTTATCTCAGAAAGTACTCTTTGGTAGCGTGTCACACAATAGCAAACAGGCCCGGCCTCAGCCTCTCTCACGTTGTTTGTTTCCTGCTGATATAGGTGCAATGCCTTGTTTATTTGTTTGGTTTTTTATGCTGCTGCAACGCAAACATTTCCTAATTTAGGATCAATAAAGTACCTCTTATCTTATCTTATCTTGTTCATCGTGGAGGCATGAGAGATAAATAAACACGAGAGGTATCTGATATACAGAGGAGCTTTACTCAGGTATTGCACTTCCACCACACACTGAACAAATGCTGCTCCAAAATCAAGTTAAACAATAATGAAAACCAGCTGTTTCCACTTGAAATGAGTCCAAAGATCTGCCAATAGAACAAGAGAACATCAGCTTGGTGAGATGTCTAGAACTAAGAAGGGATATTTAGATAAATCACATCTTGATATCAGCAGGAGAACTCATTTTGAACTATATTTCACCAGAATCAGGAAATGTTGTGTTACAGAATAATCCTCAAAGGTTTCTGTGTTCTGATGTTAGTTGGTGACTTTCTAATAAATACGTAAAAGAATATGTTTCATCTGAGATACAACTCAAAGTGAGATGTTTTGACTCAACAAGATGAAGCATTGTCTAAAAACCAGAGCCTGTGTCTCACTGCAGTGTTACTTCTGAAGTTATCATGTCTCATATCAGGAGGAGAGACATGTTTTGACCAGATATCAGACACAGATACTGGGCAAGATCTAGAGTTTTTCTAGTGTAGTATTTCTACTTGTACTTCTGTGGAGGATCTGAGTACTTTCCCAACTCTAGTGTCTAGTTTCCTGATCTGCAAACACTTGTTTATTTCAGGACGAGACAAACAGACTTTCTCCTCCGTCACTGAGAGCCTCCTGCAGCCGGAGGAACAGGAAGTGGATCCTCACAGGTCGGCAGCCACTTCCTGTCGTGCAGACACCGTGTTTCCTCCAGAAATATCGGAGGGTTTACCTCCCCTCTCCTCACACACCACACTCCCAGTTTCTGCTAACTCTGAAGCCCGGCGGCTGAAACTGAAGAGGAATAAAAGAGAGCGTCAGGACGTCTGAGTCGCTGCAGGTTGAAGATCCAGGGATTTATCATAAGAACTAATAAGAATAAAGATCTCACATCAGAGACACTTTCTGACACTGTACTGCGTCTTAAAACATGTTTCATATCCAAAAAGTATGAGAATGTTCTGGATAATGTCAGGAAAATATGTCAAAAATATCAAAATGTTTTTTTTAAATGTTGGGAAAATAAATGAAAATTATTTGTGGAGAAAAACATGAAAAACAAAAATATTAGGTTATAATGTGTGAAAAAAACAAATTCACTTTAGTGTATAAAACAGAGAAAAGCAACAAATCTCCAGATTGTTATTAATTGTATTATATTATTGTATTTCTTTTTATTAAGCTTGAACTGTCCCTTTAACGGCTGCTGATGGGTGCGTCTTAAAACATGTTTAAAGGTCCCATGTCATGGCCATTTCTACTGATCATAATCCCATAGTTGAGGTCTACTAGAATGGATTGACATTGTTCAATGTTCCAAACTCACATTGGTTTCTCATACAGCATCTCTGTATAGTATGTGTATTCACTCTCTGTCCTAAACGGCTTATTGGAGCTCCTGCCCCCCCCCCCCCTCCCTGTGAGCCAACTGTGCTCTGATTGGTCAGCTCGCCCACTCTGTTCTGATGAGTCCACCACCGTTACAGCGGAACATCAGTGATTATGTGTTACAATGGCATTTGTTAGCAACCAGGAAATGACACCAGTAATGACAAACAGATGAGAATGCTGCGTGGGGTCTGGGTGCCGTGTTGGGGGGACGTTGCGGGGCTCGGTGCTCCGCCCTTTGAGACCCGAGGAGCGGACAGTGTGAGCTGGGTTACTGGTGTGGTTTCCTGGTTGCTGTGAGGGGTCTGCGAGACAGCGAGACACCGCGGAGCTCAGCCTGAGCACACACGTGAGTTTGTGGCGAACTGTGAGTGGAGATCCACGGAGCCGAGGCTGAGAAAAGATAAGGCTGAGTGAGTGAGTGCGTGTGTGTGAGGAGCTCCACGGATTGGACGAATCCGAAGAAAAAAATGGAAAAAGAGAAATGTCCAACGAGGCGTTCTGGGGCAGCATAGACAGGTCTTCTCTGTGTTAGAGTTTTACTCCCTACAGGGTGTACTTTGAGGGTTTGTGACTCTGCAGACCGTTTACATGCAGAAAAAACCTTCATAACACAAGGGGACGGGTAATAACCGGAAAAGCATGACATGGGACCTTTAAGGTCCAAAACTCGGGAGAATTTTCTGGAAAATAGAATTCTGAAGAAACATGAAAAGGTTTTTTAAAAGTATTGGGAAAATAAATGAAAAATATTCATATATGAGTCAAAAAATATAATTAACTGTAATATGAAACAAGGAAAAGGAAACTTTTAAAACATTTAAAAAAAACACAAGTGCTTTTATGATTATTCTATTTTAAATTGTTCTCTCGAGCTACTTTTGATTATCGTGCTTTTACAAATAAATGGTGAATAATTTGTGTAGAAAAACATGAAAAAAATAAATATGATTATTTATAATGTGTGAAAAAATCGAATGTCGCTAACTGTCCTTTTAAAGTGTCTAACTGTCCCTTTAAAATGTTGTTAACTGTCCCTTTAAAGTGTCGCTAACTGTCCCTTTAAAGTGTCTAACTGTCCCTTTAAAGTGTCTAACTGTCCCTTTAAAGTGTCTAACTGTCCCTTTAAAGTGTCTAACTGTCCCTTTAAAGTGTTGTTAACTGTCCCTTTAAAGTGTCGCTGACTGTCCCTTTAAAGTGTTGTTAACTGTCCCTTTAAAGTGTCTAACTGTCCCTTTAAAGTGTCTAACTGTCCCTTTAAAATGTTGTTAACTGTCCCTTTAAAGTGTCTAACTGTCCCTTTAAAGTGTTGTTAACTGTCCCTTTAAAGTGTCGCTGACTGTCCCTTTAAAGGCGTCTTAAAACATGTTTAATATCCAAATAACAAAGGCCTAAAAACGTTTCTTTAAAAAAAAAGCCTATTATTAAACTTGTGTTTTTTAAAGTAAATTACGCCCCTTGTAGCACTTTGAGATTACTTTTAGCAATGAAAGGTGCTTTACAAATAAAATGTATTATTATTATTAAAAACTGATGAGAATCTTCTGGATAATGTCAGGAAAATACGTCAAAAAATTCCTAAATATCGGTGAGTAATTTGGGTAAAAAACGTTATTGTTTTCAAAAATGTTGGGAAATGGAAAATATTCATAAATGTGTGAAAAAATCGAATTAACTTTGATGTAAACAGAGAAAAGGAAACAGACTTTAAAGACCTTTCTGCAGTAGTGCTTTTATGATTATTCTATTTTAAATTGTTCCCTCGAGCTACTTTTCATTATCGTGCTTGGAGAGAAATTGGTGAATAATTTGGGGAGAAAAAGATGAAAAAAAATACATATTATTTATTATTATTATTATTATTATTATTATTAATGTGTGATTAAACTAAATTCTCTTTAGTTTATAAAACAGAGAAAAGCAGCAAATCTCCAGATTATTCTTTATTTTATTATTATATTTCTCTCTTTCTTTCTTTTTTCTTAAAACATGTTTAAATGTCCAAAAGAATTATGAGAATGTTCTGGATAATGTCAGGAAAATCCATCAAAAAACTATTGGTGAGTAATTTGGGTAAAAAACAAGTGTTTTCAAAAATGTTGGGAAATGAACAATATTCATAAATGTGTGAAAAAAATTGAATTAACTTTGATGTAAAAGAGAGAAAAGGAAACAGACTTTAAAGATTATTGGGTAGCACTTTACAATAAGACTACCCTTATAAAGGATTCATAAAGGGTTTATAATTAGGTTGTAAACACTTTATTAATCATTAAGAACCATTTATAAACCAGTTCTAACTAACTATTCTAACTATTTGGCAAGATGACTAAGCCTTATATTGGCTACTTAGCGAGAATCAACTCAGTGAACAACAGATACCAAGGATGCTGGCTGATGAAGAAGATGAAGTAAGCTCAGTAGCCAATATACAGATAAATGTGGGCTCACTATTTGGCAAGCAACCGGTCACAGTCGCCCTGTTTATCTCATGTCTTATAAAAGCTTATTAATGATTTATAAAGTGTTCACAACCTAATTCATAAATGAATTACCAACTATTCATAAACCCGTTATAAGGATAGTCTTATTGTAAAGTGGTACCCTTTATTCTATGTAAATTATTTGCAAAATGTCCAAAGATTATAAGAATTTTTTGGGATCATTTTCAGAAAAATATGTAAAAAATGTAAAAAGAAATTCCCCAAAATTGGTGAATAATTTGCAGGAAGAAACATGAAATGTTAATTCCAGACTTCATGAATATAAGCTTTTTATTTCTCGTATGTAAATCATGTACAGAGTCTTCCTTTTTATTCATTTGATTAATAAATGTTTATTTTTGTACACATTGTAAAAATACAGTGTCTCCTTTCACATCATAAATGTAGATTAATGCTCCAAACAGAAGACATTTTATTTAAAAACAGCCGTAATCATTATTAATCTCACAAGAATAATATTAACACACATTTCATTTGTACACAACGCTTTCGGAGTGTGAGGCGGAGTGAAAAATATGACTTTAGTTGTTAAAAAAAGATCATAAAAGCTTAAATATGTGTGTAATTTGATCAAAGATGTACAGGACTTTTGGGGAAACTAAGAACGGCTTAAACGCGGATATTTGTTTTCATGTTTACAGGAAGTCAGTGATGTTACACTGCAGTATTGATGTTGTGTTTCTGCTTAGAATGACAGTAATGATACTACAGTTCAACCAGGATCTGTGCAAAGTTAGCAAGTGAGCTAAGGGTCGGCCAAACTTAAAGGGCAGGTTTAGCAAGTTTAAACTAAGAGGCATTTTAAATGTCGGTCCTTTTGTTCAAAGCTTAAGTTAAGGGTTGTTTTTACCCATGCTTTAACTAAGGGCCGGCTCTTTCCAACATTTAGTAAAAGGCAGTTTTTTAAACTTTAACTAACGGACATATTTTTTAAGTTTAAACTAAGAGAAATATTTCCCATGCTTTAAAGGAAGGAACGTTTCTTCAAAGCTTTAATGACTGTCGTCTTTTTAAAGCTTTAACCACGGGAAGGGTTTTTTCCAAACATGATCTAATGCTGTTTCTTTCCGGCTCAGAGTCTTAGATTTAAACCTCCTGTAAAAACTTAAGGCACATTTGAAAGATTTCAGTTTTGATTCGTTGTCTATCAGTCATTTAAATCCAACAGTTTAAGGGCTAGTGTTACTCAGATTTAGTTTCACACTAAAATCATTTAAAGTCCTTGCAGACTAAGTTTATTTTAGAGCGAGAGTTACTGGCTGTAGAAGCAGGATTTAGTGATCAGCTGATTTAGTTGCCCTCTAATTATATTTGAAGGGCGTTACTGGCAGTGAGTTAGCCCCTCTTCACAGCTTAGCTTTATCTCTCTTCGTCTCCTGGAGGCTCTTCTTCACGAGCCCCAGCGCCTCCATCGCTGTCCCCCAGGCGAGGGTGACCCCGACCCCCCCGTGCCCGTAATTATGCACCACAGTAACACTCCTTCCCCCCTTCTTCACCTCCACCTCTCTCTCCACCTCCACGCGGGGGGTCTTCCTGTCGGGACGCAGCCCCACCCAGGAGCTCAGTATTCGGGCTCGTTTCAGCGAGGGCTCCAGGGAGCTGCAGCGCTTCAAAATGCCCCGAGTGTCATTTTCATCGACCTGCAGGTTCCAGTCTCCCCCCTGCCGAGTTCCTCCGATAGTGACCCCCTGGATCCCTGGGAAGATGTACGTGAGGCCGTCCCCGTCGCGGATGAAGTGCTGCAGCCAGGGAGCCTCCATCTTCAGGACCTGGCCTCGAACCGGCTGCACGGAGACGTCTCCGGCCAGCGAGCGCGATCCCAGGCCCGAGCAGTTTACGATGACGTCAAAACTACCGCTGAGATCCTGGAGGTTATCAACCCGGCGCTGCTCCACCTGCCCCCCCGCACGCCTGAACCTGGAGAGAGGAAGACGGGTAGAAAGAGCGGGGGGTAAACATTTAAAGGTCCCCTATCATACTGTTTCTCATCAATATATCACAGCTCTCAGATATATATAGAGCCTGTCTCTGATTGGCTGAAACACCAAACAGATCATTGCTGCATTACCCATAATCCCCTCTGTTTCAGCCCTGTTTCCAAAGTGCTGATTCTCTGTCTGTTACTTTAGATGAAAATAAGGAGCCCCTCCCCACGCCCCTCTGAGAGAGATTTGGTTATATAAATGGATCAGGACAAAAAGAGAGAGAATCTTTGTTCCTGAAACTTTCAGAGTCTCTTTCCACAGAGGGGACACATGTTGATGAAGAAGAGGGGACACATGTTGATGTAGAAGAGGGGACACATGTTGATGAAGAAGAGGGGACACATGTTGATGTAGAAGAGACATGAAGAAGAGGGGACACATGTTGATGTAGAAGAGACATGAAGAAGAGGGGACACATGTTGATGTAGAAGAGACATGAAGAAGAGGGGACACATGTTGATGTAGAAGAGACATGAAGAAGAGGGGGACACATGTTGATGAAGAAGAGACATGAAGAAGAGGGGACACATGTTGATGTAGAAGAGACATGAAGAAGAGGGGACACATGTTGATGAAGAAGAGACATGAAGAAGAGGGGACACATGTTGATGAAGAAGAGACATGAAGAAGAGGGGGACACATGTTTGATGTAGAAGAGAGATGAAGAAGAGGGGACACATGTTGATGTAGAAGAGACATGAAGAAGAGGGGACACATGTTGATGAAGAAGAGACATGAAGAAGAGGGGACACATGTTGATCATGAAGAAGAGGGGACACATGTTGATGAAGAAGAGACATGAAGAAGAGGGGACACATGTTGATGTAGAAGAGACATGAAGAAGAGGGGACACATGTTGATGTAGGAGAGACATGAAGAAGAGGGGACACATGTTGATGTAGAAGAGACATGAAGAAGAGGGGACACATGTTGATGTAGAAGAGACATGAAGAAGAGGGGACACATGTTGATGTAGAAGAGACATGAAGAAGAGGGGACACATGTTGATGTAGAAGAGACATGAAGAAGAGGGGACACATGTTGATGAAGAAGAGACATGAAGAAGAGGGGACACATGTTGATGAAGAAGAGACATGAAGAAGAGGGGACACATGTTGATGAAGAAGAGACATGAAGAAGAGGGGACACATGTTGATGTAGAAGAGACATGAAGAAGAGGGGACACATGTTGATGTAGAAGAGACATGAAGAAGAGGGGACACATGTTGATGTAGAAGAGACATGAAGAAGAGGGGACACATGTTGATGAAGAAGAGACATGAAGAAGAGGGGACACATGTTGATGTAGAAGAGACATGAAGAAGAGGGGACACATGTTGATGAAGAAGAGACATGAAGAAGAGGGGACACATGTTGATGAAGAAGAGACATGAAGAAGAGGGGACACATGTTGATGTAGAAGAGACATGAAGAAGAGGGGACACATGTTGATGTAGAAGAGACATGAAGAAGAGGGGACACATGTTGATGAAGAAGAGACATGAAGAAGAGGGGACACATGTTGATCATGAAGAAGAGGGGACACATGTTGATGAAGAAGAGACATGAAGAAGAGGGGACACATGTTGATGTAGAAGAGACATGAAGAAGAGGGGACACATGTTGATGAAGAAGAGACATGAAGAAGAGGGGACACATGTTGATGAAGAAGAGACATGAAGAAGAGGGGACACATGTTGATGTAGAAGAGACATGAAGAAGAGGGGACACATGTTGATGTAGAAGAGACATGAAGAAGAGGGGACACATGTTGATGAAGAAGAGACATGAAGAAGAGGGGACACATGTTGATCATGAAGAAGAGGGGACACATGTTGATGAAGAAGAGACATGAAGAAGAGGGGACACATGTTGATGTAGAAGAGACATGAAGAAGAGGGGACACATGTTGATGTAGGAGAGACATGAAGAAGAGGGGACACATGTTGATGTAGAAGAGACATGAAGAAGAGGGGACACATGTTGATGTAGAAGAGACATGAAGAAGAGGGGACACATGTTGATGTAGAAGAGACATGAAGAAGAGGGGACACATGTTGATGTAGAAGAGACATGAAGAAGAGGGGACACATGTTGATGAAGAAGAGACATGAAGAAGAGGGGACACATGTTGATGAAGAAGAGACATGAAGAAGAGGGGACACATGTTGATGAAGAAGAGACATGAAGAAGAGGGGACACATGTTGATGTAGAAGAGACATGAAGAAGAGGGGACACATGTTGATGTAGAAGAGACATGAAGAAGAGGGGACACATGTTGATGTAGAAGAGACATGAAGAAGAGGGGACACATGTTGATGAAGAAGAGACATGAAGAAGAGGGGACACATGTTGATGTAGAAGAGACATGAAGAAGAGGGGACACATGTTGATGAAGAAGAGACATGAAGAAGAGGGGACACATGTTGATGAAGAAGAGACATGAAGAAGAGGGGACACATGTTGATGTAGAAGAGACATGAAGAAGAGGGGACACATGTTGATGTAGAAGAGACATGAAGAAGAGGGGACACATGTTGATGAAGAAGAGACATGAAGAAGAGGGGACACATGTTGATGTAGAAGAGACATGAAGAAGAGGGGACACATGTTGATGTAGGAGAGACATGAAGAAGAGGGGACACATGTTGATGTAGAAGAGACATGAAGAAGAGGGGACACATGTTGATGTAGAAGAGACATGTTGATGTAGAAGAGACATGAAGAAGAGGGGACACATGTTGATGAAGAAGAGACATGAAGAAGAGGGGACACATGTTGATGTAGAAGAGACATGAAGAAGAGGGGACACATGTTGATGTAGAAGAGACATGAAGAAGAGGGGACACATGATGATGTAGAAGAGACATGAAGAAGAGGGGACACATGTTGATGTAGAAGAGACATGAAGAAGAGGGGACACATGTTGATGTAGAAGAGACATGAAGAAGAGGGGACACATGTTGATGTAGAAGAGACATGAAGAAGAGGGGACACATGTTGATGTAGAAGAGACATGGAGAAGAGGGGACACATGTTGATGAAGAAGAGACATGAAGAAGAGGGGACACATGTTGATGTAGAAGAGACATGAAGTAGAGGGGACACATGTTGATGAAGAAGAGACATGAAGAAGAGGGGACACATGTTGATGCAGAAGAGACATGAAGAAGAGGGGACACATGTTGATGTAGAAGAGACATGAAGAAGAGGGGACACATGTTGATGTAGAAGAGACATGAAGAAGAGGGGACACATGTTGATGAAGAAGAGACATGAAGAAGAGGGGACACATGTTGATGAAGAAGAGACATGAAGAAGAGGGGACACATGTTGATGAAGAAGAGACATGAAGAAGAGGGGACACATGTTGATGTAGAAGAGACATGAAGAAGAGGGGACACATGTTGATGGAGAAGAGACATGAAGAAGAGGGGACACATGTTGATGTAGAAGAGACATGAAGAAGAGGGGACACATGTTGATGTAGAAGAGACATGAAGAAGAGGGGACACATGTTGATGTAGAAGAGACATGAAGAAGAGGGGACACATGTTGATGTAGAAGAGACATGAAGAAGAGGATTAGGCATAATAGGTGACCTTTAAATAAACTGTGTTTTTTATTTACCCAAAGCTCCAAAGAAAACATCCTAAACCAATAATCTCTAAACAGGTGAACAGAAAATACCTCCATCAACTTAACAGCTGTTCCCTCAACAAACTGACCTGCTAATGACAAACCAAGGGACCTCTAAAGTGGCTGGGCCAAACCAAGTTGAAACCAAGGGATAATGAATATGAACAGAATACACAAAGAACACTGACAAAACCCAAATCCCCCCTTTGACATGGAAGCAGGTGGTTTGTCCCAATCTGTCCCAATTGGCTCCTTGTGGGGGCAAAACATGTAACTGCACTTACCTGTATTTATATTTAATATGTATTATTAACGACTGAGAGTTGATCGAGCATGTCTTACCTCCTCTCCACTCCACATGAAGCCCCTTGAGCTCTGTCTCTTGTGTGAATACTGTTCTATGAATAAGCTTTCTTTCATTATAATCAGTTTTAATGCGTGGTTACCTCTTCTCCAGCCAGGGCAGGTAGCGGCTGCACTCACACTTGATGGTGGTGAACGCCTGTCCGAACCGATGCTCCGGGAATCGAACCAGCTCTCGCTCCGTCATGATCCTGAACCCGAGCACCAGGTCGGACCAGTACGGAGTTTTATCTTCAGGAACGTCCCGGAAGATCTGCCAGCTGCAGGAGGAGCAGGAGGAAGTTATGAAACGGAGTATTTAACGTGTTAATAAGACTTTGTGTTTGACTGACCCGGAGCTGAGCATGACGCCGGCCTCCGGAGCGTCTTCAGACTGAGCGATGAGCCGCAGGTGGTCGAAGCTGGACTTGAACCAGCGCCTCTGCTGCTCCACTGGGACATCTGAGGGGGGAATATCATTTATTATTACATGGCTTCGTTGAATACTCAATTCTGATTGGTCAATTCAGAACACGTGACAGGTTGTTAGTCCAGTAGAACAGACTAGTGATGGCAAAATGAAGCTTTGAATGAAGCATCGAACCACTTGGACAATTGTGTCGGAAATAGGTTCATTTCTCGAAGCTTCAGTTACAGCGACCTCTCCTGGCGAAGTGCAAGGCTGCAGTGGGTTTAACGTATCTTTGCCTTGAAAAATATTCGATGCACACACACACTAAGACTGAATATCATGTTCTATTTGCAATTAAAGATTGATAATTGTGTGTATTGGGTTATTGAGAAGAGACTAGAGAGTGCTGGAATTTTTTTGGGCGGAGAGGGCCTTTTATCAGTTAATAAAGTATTAAAGTTGAAAAGGAATGATTAAACGTTCATCTGTTCCGGGCTTCGAACCAGCTGCGCGGAGGACATCGCCGCATTCGGGCTGGCGGCTCTATCCACTGGGCTATCTATTACTTATGCTATTCAACTGTTTTTATATTAATGATAATTATCTTTTTGTTCACAACTTCTCCACATTTCGAAGTGTTTCCCGAGCCAGAACGACCTATCTTTCTTCCTGGCTTGCCCAATTGACCCAATTAAAATGCAATACCAACAACAACTCAACAGCAACAACGTAAACTACGACAACAACCCACACATTGCGCATTGTTTAGAGCGGTTATAAAGTGTTGAAGAGCTCAAATTCGAAACTGTTTCCTCCTGTCACCTGTCAGAATCGAGACGAGGCAGTGCATTGAATCATCTGATTGGACGGCGAACCAGTGAGTTGATTCATTCAGGAAATGAAGCAGTTGCTGCTTCTGACGTCACATGTCACGTGATTTGAAGCAAGCTTCGAATCACTGCTTCTATGGAATAGGAAGTCCAGTGTGTGTGTGTGTGTGTGTGTGTGTGTGTGTGTGTGTGTGTGTGTGTGTATATAGCCCTTGTCTCCCTTTGTCTTGTTCCAGTTCGTCTTGTCTCCACGTCGAGTCCATGTCTGTAATCATAGTGAGTCTTTTGAGCTACCTAGTAGAACCTAGTGATCTTTTGTTTGTTATCGGAGTTTTCCTATTAAGTGATTTTGTTTGTAGCTTTAGTCTTTTATAAATAAAATATATCTTTGAGTTCAAACTGAATCGTGCATCTGAGTTCCTGTGAGCCCATCGTGTCAGAAATAAGAAATGAATCCTCACCTGGGTTGTGGTTGGCGAACAGGATGCCGGCGGCTCCATCGCTCGTGGTCTCGGGGCTGAACTTCTCCCCGAGCAGGGTGACGGAGACGTGGGGAAGATTCTCCGCGATGCACACGGCCGTGGAGAAGCCCACCACCCCCGCACCCACCACCACCACCCGAACACCATCCATCATCCTGCAAAGAGAGAGGGAACAACAGCATCATCTGGGACCCAAAGCATGCTCTGACAGAGAATATGAACTGCTACCATCTAATGGAGATCACTAAAGTCAGCCTGAAGCATCCTCTGTGCTCCAGTCAGCCTGAAGCATCCTCTGTGCTCCAGTCTGTCATCTCAGTAAATAGAGCTGAATCCAGATCAGATCACGCTGAAGGCTCTTTGAGCAGCTCTCACTGATCCTGCTGGGATGTTACATGTTGTTGTTTGTTTCTCATGTGTGTTGATGTTTGTCTGTTGATGTTACACATGGAGCTGCTGGGATGTTACACATGGAGCTGCTGGGATGTTACACATGGAGCTGCTGGGATGTTACACATGGAGCTGCTGGGATGTTACACATGGAGCTGCTGGGATGTTACACATGGAGCTGCTGGGATGTTACACACGGAGCTGCTGGGATGTTACACACGGAGCTGCTGGGATGTTACACACGGAACTGCTGGGATGTTACACACGGAGCTGCTGGGATGTTACACATGGAGCTGCTGGGATGTTACACACGGAGCTGCTGGGATGTTACACACGGAGCTGCTGGGATGTTACACACGGAACTGCTGGGATGTTACACACGGAGCTGCTGGGATGTTACACACGGAGCTGCTGGGATGTTACACACGGAGCTGCTGGGATGCAAGGAGCATCTCAGACTTCATCTGACCATTAAAGTATTATCCTATCGTAAATACCAACTATGTGCAATATGTGCAATATATATATATGCCGTTAATAACTGTGCAATATATACCTGGCTGCTAAATCCTCAGAACTGTTACAGGATGTGTATTTTGTAAATTGTGTAATTTTATATATATTTTTGTATCTTTAATACTTTTGTATGCATGCTTCTTAGGTAACATTAAGGTGTCTGTGGCTCTTTTCTGCTGTAACGATGTACATTTCCCCTCTGTGGGACGAATAAAGAGATTCTGATTATGATTATGATCAACGCTCAACTTCCCCTGACCTCAGCGCACTGTTCAAAGATCACTCACAGAGATGTAATAATTACGATGCGTTAGATAACACGCAGTAAACCAGAGAGAGGCAGCAGGACACACTCCACATGTATTCCAGGTAACATGTTGTTAGTGTGTGGTGATAACCTCCAGTTACTGCAGGTAACATGTTGTTAGTGTGTGGTAATAGTAAGTTAAAACAAAACCTGATATGTTAGAAAATCATATATGCCATAAAAAGTTACAAATAAGTAAAAAAATATAGTGGTATTTCATAGAAACTTTTTAAAATGTGATAAATATTAAAAAATATATAATAACATTAACATTTAAAACATAAAGTACAGTGTATAATTAAAACTTAAATATTGAAAAGTAAAATAAGTGTTTATATGATGCCATACAAGTTGAATAAAACGCGGTATAAAGTCATAAACAAGTTTAATATTACAAAATATCAAAAGTATAACATGCCGTAAAAAGTTAATAATTAAAATAAAAAAGGCACAGCATAGTTTCTCATTACACAAAAAGATCTATCAAAGTTCAAAGTATAAGATGCCATAACAAGTTAAATATTAGTATAGTTTGTCACTGTTCATTATATGTTGTATAATTGTAATATCGATCAACACGAGGAGAACAAATATATAAACCTGCATAATTACTACAACTATAATATGCACAGTCTATCTGAAGTAGAGTTTTTAACAACTGTAGAAGTATGTTGCATGGAGCCAGCTGTGCAGGTGATATTCTGCAGCCTGTTTACCTGCAGCAGGTCGTTTGTAAGTTTGTAACTCCATATGTTTACCTTTAAAGAGCAGACAGCTGTGAGTTTAACTGAAGCTGATTTTGCTTAATGTTATTGTAATCAAACACGATGTTTTAAACGTCTCACAAAGTGTCTTATAGTGAATAAAACGCAGTTTATTGTGCATTCCTTCACTTAGCCTACCTGTAGTTATAATAAGATCAACCTGCTCTCTGCAGACTGGTAGTGTTTCTCTTCGGTCTGTAAAGGAGGAGCACGTCCTGGAGAGAATCCTCACATAACCAGGAACATGTAGAAAGCTCAATGTGAGAAACACTTTGCCCCTCTCTCAGTTACTGCTCTCTAACTAGCTGCTGACCTTTTTAACCGTTACGTTATAAACACATAAAGCGCACTTCATGTCGGAACAGCTGATCTATAAACCACGCGTCATCCCGCACACAATCAGCTGTGTCCATCCACAGAGTTTGTAGATCAGCTGTGCGCTAATCTGGTCAGAATCACAACTCTCGCGATAGTTCCCTCGCATTCCCTCCCTCCGTCCACAGCTGTAGTAGAAGGTAAGGTCCTTAAAGATCACTATTTCTGAATGACACCGCTTTGAAGCAGATATAAGTAGAAACATGAATTAAATAGAGTTTATTTAACGCGTCATTACAGCAGCACACTTAGCTTCTTCTGCTAGCGTTGGAGTGTGTGAAAGCTAGCGCGGAATGCATTGTTTGTTAGCATGATGCTAACTAATGCTGTGTGCTTTCTGAGGTAACACATCAGCAGGTCAACTTTTATTATCACTCAGGTGGGGAATAAATAGTTGTTATGGATGCAAACTCAAGATGAGACACTAAAGATGAATGGGGAACTATTAAATGTATGTGTGCTAATGAGGACAGATTTCCAGAACAGAAATGAGAGACTGAATCAAATCAGAATCAGGTTTATTACCAGGTAGGTTTACACTAGAGGAGTTTGCCTTGATGTGCATGGTGCATAACATAAACACAGATAAAGGAGAGGACAGGTAAGAAAAAGGACCAAACTGTTGGTTAAAAAACGGTTATAACACTAGAAGTATAGAGAGATATTTACATGAAATATATATGCAGTATAGAATGACTAAATACTCGTAGTAATAAAATAAAGTATGTGCATTATTGGTGGAAAGCTGTTGCTTCATATAATCATATTGAAGCGCTTTGAGCACCAGAAAAAGCGCTATATAAATAACATGTATTATTATTACACGAGAATTGTTTATTTCTACTCTTTAATTTCTACTTATGTGCAATGCCTTGTTTTTCATGCTGCTGCAACGCAACAAAAATCCCAATAAAATACATCTCATCTTAAAATAGTTACAAAAAAGTAATGACAAAAGTATTAAAAGTGTTTTTTTTTAAGTCTTAGTCTTTAAGTTATAGTCTAGTATAAATGTGTTTATATATTTAAGTCACATTATGCTGTAACTAAAATCCCCTGTTTAATAGAGTTCTTTTTATCCCCTGCAGGACCTGAAGATGTCTCCGGCATCGAACCGGTCCTCCATCAGGTCCCTGCACTCCCACTCGCACCAGCAAAGCATTCTGGGTAAACTGAACACCTTGAGGCAGCAGGACCTCCTGTGTGACGTCACTCTGCAGGTTCAGAACAATGCGTTCAGGGCCCACAAAGCTCTGTTAGCCGCGAGCAGCGACCACTTCCTGTTCCTGTTCACCTCGAAGCCTCAGAGCGTCTACCGGCTGCAGGACGTTTCTGCTGAGACGCTCAGCAACGTGCTCCAATTCATCTACAGCGCTCAGGTGTGTGTGGACAAGGACAACAAGGTGTGTGTGGAGGAGGACAACAAGGTGTGTGTGGAGGAGGACAACAAGGTGTGTGTGGAGGACGACATCACGCAGCAGCTTCTCGCCGCCGCTAAACTCCTGCAGGTCAGTGAACTCATCACGGCGCTTTCTGAACGCTCTGCAGACGAGGAGAAGGACGACCAATCAGAGCTGCAGGAGGTAAAGATGACCTCACATCAAACTGTAAATAAATATTCCTGCATAAGAAAAGGTTCTACGTTTAAAAGGATTACATATTATTACATGAATGTCCCTGAGTCAGCATCAGGACTAAAACCACCAGACTCAGAGACAGTTCCCTCCCTCAGGACATCAGACTGTTAAGCACCTGAACTCTGTGAAGAACATCCAGAACATTCATCTGTCTGCATCTAGCTAATTACTTATCTATATATCATATTTACTTATATATAGGCTCTTCTTGCACTATTTCAATTTTATTTGTACATCTCAAAACATTCTCTTGAGATGTGCAAGTAAATACAAATAAAATAGAAACAGTGCAAGAATAGTCTATACTACAAGTAAATGGATGGTTGAATTTGAAGCTCAAATACATGAAATATCGTTTAAAATGCAATTAATTTGTTCCATTATTTTCCCTTTTTCATACGTCGGATTGTTGATTGAAACTTTTTTCTCAGAATGTTCTCCTTTTTCTCAGAAATCTGACTTTTTTTCTTAGAATGTTTAACTTCAAAACTCCTACTTTTTTTATCAGGATTCTCACTTTTTTCTCATCATTAAAAAAAAGATACAGTATATATATATTTGTTGGTTGTTTGATTGCAGGTGGGCGTTCCCAAAGTGCAGGAAGTGTCCAAACGAAAGAGAGGACGACCGAGTAAGACAGATCAGCAGAAAGAAGACCCAGAAACAGCAGAAGTTCTCCATGAGGATGAAGTTACAGATGTTCTCCATGAGGATGAAGTTACAGATGTCCTCCATGAATCAGAGTCTAAAGACGATGCAGATTTCAACCCGGTGTCGAGGCAGAGCAAACGTAAGATCCGTCCTCCGGTGAAGTACAAAAGCTACGGAGTGAGCGGAGAGGAAACAGGAAGTAGAGAGCCGGGGAAGAGAGGCAGGAAGAGGAAGTATCCCGACACAGAGGCTCGATGTGAGGTCTGTGGGAAGGTGTTCAAAAACCATCTGTTCCTCAAAATCCACCAGAGGACGCACACAGGTGAGGCGAACAATGCTCTGATGTTAGATAGAAGAGCCATACTAAAGTCACGTAAGAGAAAGTTACACATGAACAAATATGACATATTACTGTATGCATAAACAAGTCATGAAAGCTTTTTAGAAAAACAAAATAAAATAATAATAATAATAATATTTAGGTGTCCTTGGGTGCTTTGGAAGGCGCCTCTAAATAGAATGAATTATTATTATTATTATTATTTCTGATGCGTAATGCTTTATCTCCCTGATGTCCCCAGGAGAGAAGCCCTTCCCCTGTCTGGTCTGTGGGAAGGCGTTCACTCAGAAGCACACGCTGCTGGTTCACCAGCGCAGTCACAGTGGAGAGAAACCCTTCATCTGCAACGTCTGCAGCAAGTCTCTGAGCACCAAGCACGCCCTGCAGGAGCACATGCACCTGCACCAAGGTGAGGTGTATATCCACCTACATGCATCAATATATATATATATACACATCTAGCTCTGGGGGTCTCTGCATCCACATCATGTGCTTTCATTATTTTCTCATGATTAGCTTAATGTGTAATTTAGTAAAAGATATTCAATCATCTTCTTAGAAAACTACGGAAAGGGATTAGGGCCACGTGTGCATTTTGTTTTCAGATCCAACCCAAAGTAATTTTTTATTTGATCTTAGAATTCTGACTTTTTCTAAGAATTCCCACTTTCAGAATTCCTTCTTTTTTTCTCTGAGATATTTCACTTTTTTCTCAGTAACTCATTTTTATAATACTTTTGGTCAGATATCGTCATTTTTCAAACATGTGGCCCGAAAACAGAATATCTTCCGTAGTAAACGGCATTTTCTTAAAGTGTAATTATAATTTTTAAACTCGTCATAGTTTTACTGCCATAAAGATGTCATCTTGAGTTTGTGGTACGTCTCTGTGCTTTCCTCTTCTCACTGAATGCTGTCTGTTCCTCAGGAGAGAAGCCGTTCGGATGTGATAAATGTGGGAAGACTTTCACTCAGAAGCGTCAGCTGAAGAGTCACGACAGAGTTCACACAGGTGAGCACCATCAGCACATCATTATACTGCAGAAGCTCATTCATCTAAAACATTCTTTATTTAATTAAAGGCAAGTCTCTACCAGAGTGCGCTCAGTGCCATCACAAGTTCATGGACACGGCTCAGCTGAAGAAGCACCTGAGAACTCACACAGGTACATCAGATATATGAATATCATTTCTCTGTGCAGGTGAGATCTGTGATGTTTGTTCAGGTGAGATCTGTGATGTTTGTTCAGGTGAGATCTGTGATGTTTGTTCAGGTGAGATCTGTGATGTTTGTTCAGGTGAGATCTGTGATGTTTGTTCAGGTGAGATCTGTGATGTTTGTTCAGGTGAGATCTGTGATGTTTGTTCAGGTGAGATCTGTGATGTTTGTTCAGGTGAGATCTGTGATGTTTGTTCAGGTGAGATCTGTGATGTTTGTTCAGGTGAGATCTGTGATGTTTGTTCAGGTGAGATCTGTGATGTTTGTTCAGGTGAGATCTGTGATGATATTGATGATGTTTTTCAGGTGAGAAGCCGTTCACCTGTGAGATATGTGGGAAGTGTTTCACAGTGAAGAGCACGCTGCAGACTCACATCAGGATCCACAGGTGAGACGGACATTTCTCTACAGATACTAAACTAATGTGAGATATAACGAGGTCTACTTCATTCATAGCGTGACGTATCATCTTTAATCATTCAATAAACATGAAGTATTTTGGTCTTTTATTTAGGAGAATAGCAATACAAAAATACATTAAAATTCTTACGTAAGAAAAAGTGACACATATAACAATATACATTTTTTTGCATAAATATGTCATGAAAGTTTTTTAGAAAAACAAAATAAAATAATAATGCATTTTATTTATAAAGGCGCGTTTCAAGGCTCAAGGTCGCCGTACAAGGTACACTGAAACAAAACATAAGAGCAAAAAAGTCAATGTATAAAATAAATGTAAATGTCCTACAATCATAAAATTCAATTAATCATTTGTCACAAATATGAAAAAGGTCATAGTATAGTATAGTATGTGCAATATGTCTTTCCCACCATCACCACAGTGACCCATTATTAAAAACATGAATTCAGATATTAAGATTGATTCTGTTAAATGCTATAACTCTTTATTAAATAACACAACTTTGGTTTAAACTTATTTTCTTACCAGAAGGTGATTAAGTGTGGAATTTCCACCACACCAATGACCCTTTATTAAAAACGTATATCCATGAGCCAACATGTTTCCTCAGAGGGGAGAAGCCGTTCTCCTGCTCGCTCTGCAGCCGCTCCTTCTCAGACTCCAGCGCTAAACGCAGACACGAAGCCTCTCATTCAGGCAGGAAACCCTTCAGCTGCTCCTCCTGCAGCCTCTCCTTCACCCGCCTGGACAACCTGAAGACTCACAGCAGGGGGCACAGCAAGGAGCGCGCTGAGCCCCCCACTGAGGACCCCCCCGAGGACCCCCAGCTGCATGAGGAGGTGCGTCACATTTCAAACTTTATCTCGGTCTTACATTCGGGTTAATACGGTGCTATGACTTTTAAATGTCCCCTAGCATGCAAAAGTTACTTTGTGATGTCTTCTCTACGTCAGCATGTGTCCCTGGTGTGTCCCCGGTGTGTCCCCGGTGTGTCCCCGGTGTGTCCCCGGTGTGTCCCCGGTGTGTCCCCGGTGTGTCCCCCGTGTGTCCCCGGTGTGTCCCCGGTGTTTCAGGAGACTCACAAAGTGTCAGGAAATAAACCCCTCTCTCTTTTCCTTCATACCCACATCTCTAAAAACGGGGGAACAACGGAGCTGATCCAGATTTGCTGCGTCATGACGACATTACTAAAATGTGGGCGGGCTTTACACCCACGGGCCAATCAGAAACGTTGCATTTAGAACAGATAAAAAATGTGCGATTAACTATGGACATCATGCGATTAATCGTGATTAAATATTAGAATCGACTGACAGCCCTATTATTTGTACATGTTCATGTAACCCTGACTTCTCGACCCCCCTCTCAGCAGCGAGGCGCCCTGCAGCAGATCCAGCTGGTGGTGACGGACGACCTGAGCTTCGTTTCGGGTCAGAGCCAGGAGATCAGCATCATCACCACGGAGGAGGCGGAGCAAGGGGGCGGGGCCCCAGACTCCGCCCCCAGACTCACCCTCCTCACCCAGGGGGGCGGGGCCTCAGCAGACTCCGCCCCCTCCAGACTTGAGGGAGTTCACGTCATCACACTGAGTAAAGAGGCCCTGGATCAGCTGTCATCATGTCACCATGGACCCCCCCTCCATCATGGACCCCCCCTCCATCATGGACCCCCCCTACAACATGGACCCCCCCTCCACCATGGACCCCCCCTCCTCTCACAGCCTATCAGTGAACAGATCCCCCCCCAAAACATCCAGGGACAGACGTTTCAGATCCAGGCCGGGACTCTTTCCTATCTTTACACCACTGGAAACAGCTGAGACCCTCTGATAAAGGGAGGGGTCCCACTGAATTTGGTGTGTATTCACAACACACTGTATGTTCTCCATCTGTTTTGATTGCCTTCTTCTCCCACATTTTACGTCTCAGAATCTCCGTTGGAACATCAAAACGTGCCGCTCAATAAGGACATGCTCGCTGTTCCTCAGGACATTCATAACTGTCATAATCCTATAAATATTAAGCATCATTTGACTATTACACGTCAGCTTTTCCGCATTCACACCGCAATTTCCACAGTAGTTCCATTCTCTAGTTATTACATGACATGACTAACTGTTCCTGAAGAAAACTGTATTTTTCGGAGAAGGTAAATCCGAGAAATGTCTTGATGAATTGAAGTTTTCACAAAAGTAAACCTTTATAAAAACCTCTGTTTACTTTCTTTCACACAAACTGTCTTCGAAAAGTTATTTTATCATTTGTAGAGCGTTGGTGTTGGGATAAGGGGGTCACAGGTCACAGGTTCAAACCCCACTGCAGTCAGCATGTCGTTGTGTCCCTGAGACACTTCACCCCAAAGTGCTCCTGTGGGGATTGTCCACAGTATTGAGTATGGAAGTCTCTGGATAAAAGTGTCTAACATGTAACATGTGATGTACTATAATGTGTACAGTACTGCACATAAAATATCATTAAGTGCATTAAGTAATCTAAAGACCTGTAATAATCTTTATGAAAGGTTAGCAGACATAAAGGCAGATTGAAATGTTTGTGTGTTACCTAAAGTCAACACATTTTACTTTAGCTCCACAACACAAGGGAATAACACAGTAAATGTTCTTCTTCTGTCCTCAGTGACTGCCTGTGACCTGTAGGGGGCGCTAACGCTGCACTCTATGATAGTATCTATAAAAAGGGATGTGTTTAAAGACAGCTGTTAAACCTTTTTTTAAATGGATGCCCTGTACACATACGATATGTCATCTTCACACTGTATTCTCTTTTTTGGTACAGATTTTATTCTTTGAAATGTTATTATATTGAAATGTTTTCTTTATTTGCTGTTATTTTTTTTACCATTTAAATGTCTCTCACTGTGCTGAGTGCCGGCAAAAGCATGCATGGACATTCACTTGATATGAGACACACCTTTGGAAGTGCTTCATGTCTCATTTTATTATCTTTAAATACATTTTTAAAACGCAGGGGAAAGAAGAAATGCGTTGTTGACTTGGTGGTGAAATGTTCCTTTAATGACGCACGCTATTGAAACATGACATGCTCCTCCCGGATACAGCGTGTGATTGGCTGTCAGCAGGAGGTGATTAGCCAATAGCAGAGCTCCCCCTGCAGCCTGCATTATTATCTTCTGCAGAAAGAAAAATAAAACACACTCACACACACACACGTTCTTTAAAGTGTATTTATTTATTTACATGCACCAGATCTGATACAGAGGGACAGGTAACAGAATGTATTTGAAGAAAAGTCATGACTTCCTTTCTCTCTCTGTGAGAATGTGTCCACAGACTACACCTCGTGAAAACCATCCCTAGAGTTCATTCTTTTTACACAAATACATAGAGACTGTACAAAGCGATCCCTGAAACAATCCATTCAGTATGTTATGCATTTATTATAATAGCTTTGTGTAAAATATATACAATTAATATCATTTCTGCACATTAGGGCTGATCACAAGTTGCATTTCAATGAAGAACAAGTTACAGCAGACAGATGGTCCGTTTGTTTAGATCTGGGGACAAAGAGGACCCTTTTATGCATCGATTGATTGGAGGAGTTGCAGAGATTATTGCTACGTTAGTTTACAGCAGATCTGCATGATACTGAATGCATTACGTATTTAAATAGTACGTATGTAAATGAGACTTTATTCAATTAGAAATTATTCTGAAGTCATGAACACTGTTCTTCGTCTTCTGATGCTCCGTTCACTGAGGACGAGAGAACGTGTTCTGCAAGGAAACACCCGAGAGTTCATTCATCAGGATTTAACACCTTCGTTTCCATGGAGACCAGATTGAGGCGATGGAAATGTGGGAATACGATCATGTGGTAAAGTAAACAAACAAAACTCGGTGAGGATGGACAGTAACAGCTGATTGATGTAAACACAAAGAGCTCGTCCCACAGAATCCCTTTCAATCTATTCTTTGTAAATCTTCCTAAACGCAGACATATTTTGGCGATATTTAAAATACGGTGGGTGTTTCCTTTATTTCTCTAACGGCAAACGTGACCTCCTCACCCAGCACCTGTTGGAGGACTGAAAGCTACATTACATCACATGACATTACATCACATCACATGACACTTGTAAGACGCTTTTATCCAGTACTGAGGACAATCCCCACAGGAGCACTTTGGGGTGAAGTGTCTCAGGGACACAACGACATGCTGACTGCAGTGGGGCTCGAACTTGCTATCCTCTGATTCGAAGATCAGCTCACTAACTAGCACACTAACCCACTGAGCCACAGCCTCCCTATATCTATTGTCTGTTAAAGCACCGAGGAAAGACTGCAGGAGGAAATATAAAGAGATTATATTCATGTCTTCTTTCAGAGTAGTGGGAATAACTCACATCCAGGAGTTTATGTCACTATCTGTGTCCGTCTGTGTCTGCAGATTTCTCCTAAACTCACCAAAAGTTAGCATGACATAACGCCTCATTAGCATATGTAAACATCATCTGTCAGACATCTTGTAATGTAAAAGATCATTGTGTTAATGTCAGTAATGAAGAGGGGAAGTTTCAAGTTGCTGAAGATGTGTTTTGATCTGTTTTTATATCTGCACTGGAACAAATGCTGCTCCAAAAACAAGTTAAACTATAATGAAAACCAGCTGTTTCCACTTGAAATGAGTCCAAAGATCTGCCAATAGAACAAGAGAACATCAGCTTGGTGAGATTTCTAAAACTAAGAAGGGATATTTAGATAAATCACATCTTGTTATTAGCAGGAGAACTCATTTTGAACTATATTTCACCAGAATCAGGAAATGCTGTGTTACAGAATAATCCTCAAAGGTTTCTGTGTTCTGATGTTAGTTGGTGACTTTCTAATAAATATGTAGAAAAAGATGTGTTTCATCTGAGATACAACTCAAAGTGAGATGTTTTGACTCAACAAGATGAAGCATTGTCTAAAAACCAGAGCCTATGTCTCACTGCAGTGATACTCCTGAAGTTATCATGTCTCATATCAGGAGGAGAGACATGTTCTGACCAGATATCAGACACAGATACTGGGCGAGATCTAGAGTTTTCTAGAGTGCATGGTTCCCAAAGAGTTTGTAGAGCGATTGCACCTGTAATATATTCACCTGTAGTTTCTCCTCTTAACACAAATCTAACTTTTAAAGTAACAGCTAAATCCTGTTTCTATATATCCTTATTTTGGTGATGAAATATTGCAGAAAGTGGAAGAAGGGGACGATGGTGAAGAGGGTCTGCAGCAGAAACACCATCATCATCATCATCATCCCATCAGTGACGCTCCTCAAACCTCAGGGAAAGAGAAACATGCAGAGAAACCACACACATGTTGTTTTAAACACGTTAACTCTGCACACTGATATTTGGTGCCTCGCTGCATCAATGGGGGAAAAGAACAAGCTTACAATGAACACTTTCAGTCCGTTAATTGAATAAAAAAAGCTCGTCAAGTATCGTCCACGTTAATGAAGTTCTCTGTAAACCGATGGCTGCTTTGGCTAAATGTTTTTTTCAGGAATAAAAGAGTGTTTTCCCTGAGACTAACACGAGTTGATGCTTTGAACAAAAAGTCTGTTTCTGAAGCGTCCTTAAAAACAGAACAAACTGAAGCGTCACATCGAGAATAACAGAAGTAATACTACGTGAATACACTGTTCCTCCCTCAGGAGAGATGTCGTTCTTCCGTGTTGGACCCTGAAGGCAGCATCTAGCTAACCAATCAGCTGTGGGTCCGTTAGAGATAAGATTTACTTTATTTACTTCACTAGAGAACTTTTATACCTCTCTATTATTTGACTGAATCCACAGAACTGTACATCTGTAGGGTTAGGGTGTCAATCCTCTTCCTCATGTCTCTTCTTTATCAACATGTGTCCCCTCTTCTTCATGTCTCTTCTACATCAACATGTGTCCCCTCTTCTTCATGTCTCTTCTACATCAACATGTGTCCCCTCTTCTTCATGTCTCTTCTACATCAACATGTGTCCCCTCTTCTTCATGTCTCTTCTTCATCAACATGTGTCCCCTCTTCTTCATGTCTCTTCTACATCAGCATGTGTCCCCTCTTCTTCATGTCTCTTCTACATCAACATGTGTCCCCTCTTCTTCATGTCTCTTCTTCATCAACATGTGTCCCCTCTTCTTCATGTCTCTTCTACATCAACATGTGTCCCCTCTTCTTCATGTCTCTTCTACATCAGCATGTGTCCCCTCTTCTTCATGTCTCTTCTACATCAACATGTGTCCCCTCTTCTTCATGTCTCTTCTTCATCAACATGTGTCCCCTCTTCTTCATGTCTCTTCTACATCAACATGTGTCCCCCTCTTCTTCATGTCTCTTCTTCATCAACATGTGTCCCCTCTTCTTCATGTCTCTTCTACATCAACATGTGTCCCTCTTCTTCATGTCTCTTCTTCATCAACATGTGTCCCCTCTTCTTCATGTCTCTTCTACATCAACATGTGTCCCCTCTTCTTCATGTCTCTTCTACATCAACATGTGTCCCCTCTTCTTCATGTCTCTTCTACATCAACATGTGTCCCCTCTTCTTCATGTCTCTTCTTCATCAACATGTGTCCCCCTCTTCTTCATGTCTCTTCTTCATCAACATGTGTCCCCTCTTCTTCATGTCTCTTCTTCATCAACATGTGTCCCCTCTTCTTCATGTCTCTTCTACATCAACATGTGTCCCCTCTTCTTCATGTCTCTTCTTCATCAACATGTGTCCCCTCTTCTTCATGTCTCTTCTACATCAACATGTGTCCCCTCTGCTTCATGTCTCTTCTACATTCTTCTTCACATCAACATGTGTCCCCTCTTCTTCATGTCTCTTCTTCATCAACATGTGTCCCCTCTTCTTCATGTCTCTTCTACATCAACATGTGTCCCCTCTTCTTCATGTCTCTTCTTCATCAACATGTGTCCCCTCTGTGGAAAGAGACTCTGAAAGTTTCAGGAACAAAGATTCTCTCTCTTTTTGATCCATTTCTATAAAAACCTGTCTGAAAATGAGCTGATCAGATTTTGGCCACTTTATGATGTCATAACGATGTTTTGTCTTGTGTAACCATTAGCCAATCAGCAACCAAGGTAACCCCCCCCCCTCCCCCCCACCTTATCACCTGAATCTCCTCCTAGAGCACCATTGTGTTCTTTGTAACCAAATCTCTCTCAGAGGGGCGTGGGGAGGGGCTCCTTATTTTCATCTGAAGTAACAGACAGAGAATCAGCACTTTGGAAACAGGGCTGAAACAGAGGGGATTATGGGTAATGCTGCAATGATCTGTTTGGTGTTTCAGCCAATCAGAGACAGGCTCTGTATATATCTGAGACCTGTGATATACTGATGAAGAAGAGGATGATAGGGGACCTTTAAATCTTGTGTTTATCAGAGGTTTTTTGGGAAGTTTTATGGAGAGTTTCTTCGTCCCTCAGAACACTAACTAACGGCGGCGAGGCGCGAGTCGAAGCTGAGGTCCAGACAGTCGGCGTCCATCAGCTCGTTGCGGATAATAGCGTCCAAATCGCACTCCAACCCTCCGTTAAACACGTCCAGGTCCAGGTCGGAGGTCAGCTTAACGGGAGACTTCGGGACCGGTTTGGCGTCGTTTTCCTCGGGGTCTTTTTTGTGCAGAATCGTGGCGTTTCGGCGTGAATTCTGCAGCGCGATGGCAGCGGCTCCGACCTGAGACATCAGAGGGTCGGACTGAGTCAGGAGGTCGTGGCTCTGAAGGTCCTGAAACAACAACAAGAAAGTGTCAATAAATCACTCTATTTTCCACATTCACAATATATCTTATGAAAAGGCATTATCTTATCTTATCTTATCTTAACTTATCTTAACTTATCTTATCTCATAAGTCTTTCCTACCAGAGTATAAAGAGTCTGAGCGTTGCAGACCGAAGAGAACCAGGTCTGTTTGTTCTCCTGGATCGTCTGCATGGGCGCCGTCCTCAGGGCGATGCACGGAGGCGTGAAGAGGCCGAGGGCGGAGGGACTACTTTCTGCGCCGCTGAAGCTGAAAACTGAGCACGAATCACCCTCTTCTTCCTCGTTTGGCTGCCGCGCCGCCACGTTGTCCAGCAGGTTTTCTGACACCATGTCGTTCAGGTTAAGTTCTGAGAGGGTGGAGGGAGAGACGCTGCTGGAGGAGGAGGAGAACAACATGGGGGACAGAGGAGAGTTCGTACCCTCCTCCAAACCCTCGTCTAGCTCCACGTTGGCGAGAATTGGCGACAAACGTCCGCTGAGCGTTGAGGCGTTTGAGTTTGTTCGAGAGCGGAAATCGGTCCAAGCGTCGAGTTCTTCGCTGCTTCGGGAGGCGGGACTTCCTGTCCACTTCGAGAGGAAGTTACTCTCTGATCCAACTTCCTGTAGAGACACCTGAAGGCACGCAATGTGCACAAGATCTGTCAAAGTCCATTCACTTTATTGCCAATCTTACAGTTTGTGTGTATTTTTTTACTTAACTTAACTTTTTAATGCTATTTTAGAAATATTTTGAATTATTTATTTCTATGCTGCAACGCAAACATGTCCCAAATTGGGATCAATAAAGTACTGATATACCTGATATAAGACATGATAACTTCAGGAGTATCACTGCAGTGAGATACAGGCTCTTGTTTTTAGACAATGCATCATCTTGTTAAGTCAAAACATCTCACTTTGAGTTGTATCTCAGATGAAACACGTCTTTTTCTACATATTTATTAGAAAATCACCAACTAACATCAGAACACAGAAAACCTTTGAGCATTTGCGGCACACACATTTCCTGATTCTGGTGAAATATAGCTCAAAATGAGTTCTCCTGCTGATATCAAGATGTGATTTATCTAAATATCCCTTCTTAGTTCTAGACATCTCACCAAGCTGATGTTCTCTTGTTCTATTGGCAGATCTTTGGACTCATTTCAAGTGGAAACACCTTGTTTTCATTATAGTTTAACTTGTTTTTGGAGCAGCATTTGTTCCAGTGTACAACGACCTCCGCAAAGTTAGTTTGGAAACAAAGGCCACGTCCACACGGAGACGAAACGGGTCGTATCCGCTACAGTTCTCTATCGTATAGACGGTTCGGCCACACGAGGCCGTAACGGAAACGCGGATAACGATAACGGGTCCCAAGGTGGGTAGATCTGCGGACGAAACGCTCTGGGGGGCCAAACGGCTCTGTGTGTACGTCCTATACGATAATTTCCTGATAACGATGACGCCATAGCCCCGCCTCTCCCCACCTCTGCTGCTCACCCCCGCATCACCCGCGTCATTGCTGATGTGTTTCGCCAACAACAACAACAACAATGGCGGATCACAGGGTTGCGTTCGTGCTCCAGGCGCTACTGACCATGCTACAGATGTTAGTGCAACATCTACAGCTCCTCTACCACAACCATCAGCAACAAGTGGACCTGGAGAACTACATGAACTACATGTTGCTGAATCCACCGCGGAGAATAACCAGAAGGGCAACCAGGCAACCATGGCAACCATGCTCGGGAGGTCTTATTCGCTGCTTTTGGTGTATTTTGTGGCGGGAGTACAGCGCCACTTAGAGGCCCGGCATATGTACTACAGTGTCTCCAGCGGGTCGAGGGGTCTCGTGTGGACGGACACGTTTCTTGAGCCGATACCGTGTGGACGGAAGACTTTTTTGATATTAACTAAGGTTCGTTTTCGTCTCCGTTTCGTCTCTGTGTAAACGTGGCCAAAGAGAGGTGCGTCATAACCTACAACCCCGATAGAGGAAAGTGGAGATTAAAGGTATGGTATTAAAACGCCACGACATACCTGGTAATAAACCTGGTTCGGATGGTTCTGGTTCTGAAGCGACGCCTTCTTCTTCTTCGCGGCTCGTCCTCTCGCTCCTCTGATGTTCTTGCTGTTGTCCATGGATACGGCTCGTCGTCGAGGAGCTTTCCCTTTGCCCTCCTCGGGGTTCAGGATCCACCACGAACTCTTCCCCGTTCCCTCGTTCTGAAGCTTCAGGAAGCGGCTGTGCAGAGACAGGTTGTGCCGGATCGAGTTCTGCAACAACAACAACAACAACAACAACAACAACAAAGGACAGCCGTTAAATTAGGGATAAGATAAGATACTAAGGAACTTTCTATACTTCTCTATTAAGGGATCATTTGATTGAATCCACAGACCTCTAAATCAGAGATCCTCCTCAAAGGATCATGCTAAATCTCAGAACACGAACTAACTAATTAACTAACTATGTTTACATTTGACTACTGGCTGCTTATTCGTTTTGCACTAATACAACTCTGCAAGATATACTTTATACTAGGAAATATATTATTTACTACCGTCATTCTGCAGCTACTTCAATACGTTCTACTTGTTTTACTTTATAATATTATATAATTATTGTATTTAAATGCTGAATATGTGTGCTCATACTTAACTAAAGGTCACCTATCATGCTATCTTTAGGCAATAACATAGGTCTCAGATATATAGAATTATATAAAAAACATGTCTATGAAGTGTTTTGCTCCAAATACCAAACAGATCACCCATTCTAGCCATGCCTCATATCCCTCTATTTCACTTCCTGTTTCTAAAGTGCTGATTTGGGGTATAAAGCTTTAAGGGGGGGGGGGTCTGAGCTCATGCAGGACCCGGCAGCTACTGTCTAAACTAAATGCTGCCGTGATGAAACGCCATATCATGGATTATCAAGGATTCTCTCTGAAACAGTATGGAGCTCAAAGGCTTTCTCTCTTGCCGGTTATACCACAAGGTGAGTTCCTTTTTATTTCCTGCTTCTTCACACACATGCTCTCCAGTACAGGTTAGCTCTGAGTGTTAGCGATGCTAATGTAAACACCGACCATATTACGTCCAAAACAGTCGGGCATTGTTTCTGATAGCAACGTTTCTGATAGGGCCGTGGGTCCACATTTCAGATATTACGTCATATCGGACGCAAATCTGGATCAGCTCCGTTGTTCCCCCGTTTTTAGAGATTTGGGTACGGAGGAAAAGAGAGAGGGTTTTATTTTCTGACGCTGCGTGAGTTCCCCGACACACCGGGGACACATGGTGATGAAGAGAAGACATCAAAAAGTGACTTTTGCATGATAGGAGACCTTTAACTAAATACTGTTTTTATTCTGTCTCCATCAGTAGTGTCTCTTTGCTGTAAATATGTTAATGTCCGTTCAGTGGGACTAACAGAGGAAGTCTGATTCTGATCCGACTACAAAAAAAGTCTTATTTAACAAAAACAAAAAGCACCAACGAGTCGACTAACAGAATAAGAAGGGCGGACATTATTAACAGAGTTGTATTCCTTGCAATAAAGCTGATGATTATATATAATTATACATCAATACATAAACAAACAAGGGCAGTGACTGATAAGACATTTTTTAAATAAAAAACGACTGAGGATGAATCAAAATGATGTTTTCCTCCAAAAACAATGACGGTTTTCCAATCGTCCAAACGCCAAACGCCTTTTGTTTGGCCACATGTTCCCAGATATCAACGAGTAACTTGGGGAGTAAGACAACCCTATAGATTAGATACAATAAACTACAAGAATGAGACGTAAAAGGTGCATTAAACCTGAACAAAGCAGCTGTCTGTGGGTCTGTGATCAGAAACGCTATGTAATATGTGGGCGTCTCAAGAAATAGAATGATAGGGTTGCCAGATACTTTTGAGACACAAAATCAAGTATATGGATACTTTCTCGCCTCCTCAGGCGCTTTAGAATCCTTCAAATGGTTCAAAGGGTTCAAAGGGTCAGATAAAGGAAATCTCTCCTGCTGATAACCTCAGAAAACAGTGACCCTTGACCTTTGTCCACATAATCTATATCAGTGCAACCTTCAGTCCTTTCTGACAGGGTTGCAATATATTTTGTCGTTGTTTTTTAGCTGTTAAGGTTATTTGTATAGTTACATTTTAATTTGGTGTAAATACTGTATTATCCTTATATATTTATTTTGTTACCTACTTTGCAACTTGTTTTTTTAGATTGTGTATGTCCTCACCACCAGATAGCAAAGCAGATTCCTTGTATGTGTGAACGAACCTGGCGATAATCCTGATTCTGATTCAACAAACTGAGAATTTTAGGGTTTTTAAAACCATTGCAATCGAAGAAATGTAGACCATAATGCATCAGATAGATAGATAGAATGGGAGGGATGCAGCCCTCTTTACACTGTGCTCTTAAGCCCCAAGGAACACATGCTGAAAACCCACCCCAGCAGGGGGTCTTGGGGGATTCTCCCCCAGGAGATTTGTATACATACTAACATATAAACTACGCATTCTGGTAACCTCTGAAGAAAATAAATAAATCTATTACTACCCGACATATTAATAATATGTTATGCCATTGTTTGTTTTTCACTTAGTTCTGACAGCTTGCTGCTCCTCACAGAGAGAAGAGCAAAGAGGAGAGAGTCTGTGTGCATTGTGGGTAGGGGTAGATAGCCCCCATTGCTCTGTGACCTGTCAATCATCAAACCGGGGGTCATATTTCATCATGTGTTCATTTTTATCTGAAGTTGTACCCATGGATGTATAAAAAATAGTTCTACCGCAAAGTTATTCTCCGTGGGGACTTCCGGCAACCATCTTGATTCTGATTGGCCAGAAGACTCGAAAAAACATCAGCAAAGATGTTTTATTGAGAAGATGATCGCTACGTGACAGAAGTTTTATAAACCGTTTATGGTCTCCGGTACTTCCAGCCCAACGCCCACTGCATGCACAGCGTTAGAAAAAAAATAATGACATTTTTTTTTCTTCACCCACACGTCTGCGACCCACTCAAAACGGGTCCGCGACCCACCAGTTGAGAACCACTGCTGTAGACCATAATGCATCGTGCACTGTAGACCATAATGCATCGTGAACTGTAGACCATAATGCATTGTGCTCTTCTTGTAACAACTTTCTGTATCTTCTGCAGGATTCCCCTCAACATGTCCATTATTATCCTAATCTCATGATGCATGTGGTCAGAGTCTTGCAGAAACACATCTGAGGAAAAAGACACTCCCAACAAACAGAGAATTAGAGGGTTTTTAAAAACTGTAGACCATTGCGCTCTCTTCTTGGTCCATGCACTTTTCTAAACATCTGCAGCTTCAGAAGAAGACGGGTCCATCTTAATGCTCTTAAAGTTGAATTAAGTTGAGTTAAATCCAGCTGTCAGAGATTAAACTAATCAAACTGTAGAAGGACCACAGATATGAATGAGTGTTCTATAGTCATGATATTAATAATACATTGGATTTTTATAGCGCTTTTCCTAATGCTCCAAGACGCTTTACATAAAATCAGAACAGAAGAAAACTAAAAACATTATATACAGTGCATGTAAATGGGCTGCAGAGGCTAAAATCCCTCCCTCCCCGGTCAAATGTCAGTAAAAAAAACATAAGATATTCACTTTAATTTGATATAAAGCAGATTCGAAGTTCTGGAAACTAAATTTAAAGACATTTCTGCAAATTGATACATTTTTAAATCTGTTATTTTCTCTGCAGACATTTGCTGTGTGCCACTCTGTCCTTTTTATGTTCACGAGGCAACAGAATCAATCAGCTGACTGTATATAATGTAGGTCAGTGTGTGTGTGTGTGTGTGTGTGTGTGTGTGTGTGTGTGTGTGTGTGTGTGTGTGTGTGTGTGTGTGTGTGTGTGTGTGTGAGAGCTGCTGCATTTATCAAAATATAATTATTATCTTTCTTATAATTTTCTCTTCTCACGTTATTATATATAGTAATATTCTCTGCACTACATAACATGTATTTCAGCTGGAGAGAAAAATCTATATTTATTTGTATTTTCACCAAAAAAAAGTAAATAAATATCTAATCCAAATTGTGTAAAACATTAAAACCATGAAATGTTTCACAACAAAATGTCTCTATGTCTCAAATATGGTGATTTTCTCAATGTATTTTATATTAAAGTGAATATTTTTGACTCTATAATGACAAAACAACACATTTGAGACACTGGGATGCACGTTTTCAACATATTTTCTGACAAATCTTTTAGTCAAACCCCCACATTTAGAGACAAATCTGCAAATGAAAGCTTGATAAAAAGCAAACAGCTTCATGAGACATTTCCGACAGCAACGTTCACACCGGACAGAAACCTAATGCTACGTTCACACCGGAGAGCAACCTAATGCTGCGTTCACACCGGACAGAAACCTAATGCTGCGTTCACACCGGACAGAAACCTAATGCTGCGTTCACACCGGACAGAAACCTAATGCTGCGTTCACACCGGACAGAAACCTAATGCTGCGTTCACACCGGAGAGCAACCTGATGCTGCGTTCACACCGGACAGAAACCTAATGCTGCGTTCACACCGGACAGAAACCTAATGCTGCGTTCACACCGGAGAGCAACCTAATGCTGCGTTCACACCGGACAGAAACCTAATGCTGCGTTCACACCGGACAGAAACCTAATGCTGCGTTCACACCGGACAGAAACCTAATGCTGCGTTCACACCGGACAGAAACCTAATGCTGCGTTCACACCGGAGAGCAACCTAATGCTGCGTTCACACCGGAGAGCAACCTAATGCTGCGTTCACACCGGAGAGCAACCTAATGCTGCGTTCACACCGGAGAGCAACCTAATGCTGCGTTCACACCGGACAGAAACCTAATGCTGCGTTCACACCGGACAGAAACCTAATGCTGCGTTCACACCGGACAGCAACCTAATGCTGCGTTCACACCGGACAGAAACCTAATGCTGCGTTCACACCGGACAGAAACCTAATGCTGCGTTCACACCGGACAGCAACCTAATGCTGCGTTCACACCGGACAGAAACCTAATGCTGCGTTCACACCGGACAGAAACCTAATGCTGCGTTCACACCGGACAGAAACCTAATGCTGCGTTCACACCGGACAGAAACCTAATGCTGCGTTCACACCGGAGAGAAACCTAATGCTGCGTTCACACCGGACAGAAACCTAAACCTAAATCTGTATTTCTGAGCATTTAACCAAAAACTACTTCTATTCTCATGTTGAAAAAAATACAAATATTCTCTGCACTACCAAAGATATAGTTCGACTGGACGGAAAATGACATTTTTATTTGTATTTCTGTATAACGGTCTAAAAAACATCAAATTCAGCTTTTAAACACAAATCCTAAATGTGTAATATGTCCCTAATGTCTCTAATGTCTCTAATGTCTCTAATGTCTCAAACGTGGATATTTGTCCTACTTTTATCACATTAAAGTGAATATTTGGGGTTTTCACAAAACAAGACCTTTGAGACACTGGGAAGACGTTTCCCCCCCATTAACACAGGAAACGTCTTCCTGCACCCCCACACCCTCCAGTCCTGCAGGATTATTACAGACTATATATTTCCAGAGCTTTTCATTCCCCCCCCCCCCCCCCCCCCCCCCCACCATCTAAACCCTGCAAAGCTCTGAGCTTTCATCAGACTTGATTCCAGGACGGATGAATTGGTTTTCCAACCCGAACTAATCCTTAAAATCAGAAGCTGCAGACTGAGATCTACTTCCTGTTTACACTTCACACACATTTGGACTTTATTTTCCACTTCTCAATATGTTGGGTTGATTCTTGACGTTGGGGCTTTATTGTGGACACCCCAACTTAATTCAAGACCTTCTGACTTCTCAACGTTTCTGGTTTGTTCTTCGACATTTCGGCCTCACTCTCGTCTTTTGACCGCGACTTGATTTATGTATTTATGTAAACAAGGACCGTGAATACAAATACATTGATCTCAGAAAAGAGAAGAGATGATTTACGCCAGATTTGAGCTAATAGCTCACACCCACAGCGGCCTTTAATATCCCAATTCCCTGCTGAGTGTTTGCACCCAAACACACCTTCAAATGAACCTGATAATAGACCCTCCTCTCAGGGGGGAGGGGGGGGGTCTGATAATAACCTGTTTGCCTCCCCTTCCTCCCCCACCTGCCTTAATGTGTCCTCACACAGGGACCAGGGGGGTCTTTGCTGTGGTTTCAGGAGCGTCTCACCATCTTTTTAACATTACGACTTTATTCTCTGTATTTTAAATTCTCTACATTTGGACGTTGTCACATTTCCACTTTGACATGTTTGCTTCTTTCTCTACATTTGGACTTGAAATGTGAGCTTTATTTTGCCCAATGTTTCCTCTTCTCATTAATATCCCTGCGGATATGCACACCCAGATATACCTTATAATAAACCTTATAATAAACCTTATAATAACCTAATAATAGACCCTCCTCTCCGGTGGATGTCTGATAATAACCTGTGTTTGCCTCCCCTTCCTCCCCCATCTACCTGCCTCTATGTGCACTAATGTGTCTCCACAGGGACCCAGCAGGTGGTCTCTGTTCAGGTCTCAGCCTCCTCTGTCTCACCTTCAAGCCTGCAGAGTTTATTTTTGGACATTTTGACTTTATTTTGGACATTTTGACTCTCTCTCACCTTCCATCCCGCGGAGCTGTTCGTGTCTCCTTTGTCCTTGAAGTACGGCACGGACCTCACCATCCAGTCGTAGATCTGGGCCAAAGTGAGCCTGTTCTCCGGGGAGCTCTCTATGGCCTGAGAGATCAGATCCGCGTAGGAGAAGTTCCCCCAGGCGTTCCTGCGGGAAGAAGCCTTCCTCAGGGCGGCTGTAGGGGGCGTTAAAGCCGGGGAAAGAGACCCGTCATCAGCGGGCAGATTCACCTCCACAGGCCGGGACACGGAGCTCAAAACCCGGCGGGGCTTCACCACAACAGCAGACCCCCCATCATCTTCATCCTCATCATCCTCATCACCCTCTTCCTCCGGGATGACATCACTAATGCCCGGTTTGTCTCCGGACTCTGGACGGGGCTGCGGCCAGGTGCACGAGCGCGGCCGCTTTTGGGGCTCGAAATCCGGATCGATTTCCACGATCAGGGGGGGGTCGGGGCTCCGAGCCTCGGACATGATATCAGCTGTGTGTGTGTGTGTGTGTGTGTGTGTGTGTGTGTGTGTGTCGACACAAAGGGTTAAAATCACTTCATCAATGTGTGTTTGCAGCTTTATTTACTGTGCACGCTGCAGACAGACCAGCACATGTGTGTGTGTGTGTGTGTGTGTGTGTGTGTGTGTGTGTGTGTGTGTCTCTATCCGCACACACAGCACACACTCCGGCCAGCATGCATTGCAATTCCGCAGAAACGGTGCGTTAAAGGGTCCTCGGAGGAATCCAGTGCGCGCTCCCGCACAGCGTCCTGCAGCGCGCTCCCGTGCATGGCAGAGAAACACGGGGTATACAAAAGGGAAGATGCAGCTAAAGCTATAGCTAAAACCCCCCCAAAAAGATCCTCATCCTGCAGATAAAGCCCCCCAAACATCACCACTCAGCTGCCATCTTGACCGTTTCCTCTCCAGCCTTCACACTTCATTCAGTCTGCTGCTGCACAGGGAAAACCTCACAAAGCTGCACGCCCCCCCCCCCCCTCGTGCACAGAGTTAAAGAGACAGTGTGGAGGATCTGCAGGACTCTGACATCACTGTGTAGATTTTACATTTCACTAAAATACTCATTAAACTGAAGTTATCTGCTGTTATTAGACTAAAAACGTGCAATATGCAACATTTCTGCATCAAAATGCGTCAAAACAACTTATAATGTTGTGTTATTTGTTCTCTCTTTGAGCATGCACAGTCCACAACCATATGTTTTCCCTTTCTATATGTTCAATTTAAATAAAATGCATTTTTTGCAGATGGTTTAATCAAACTCTCCTTATGAACTAAAGGTGCAATATGCAAAATGTCTGCATCAAAATGCAAATAAATGTTTCCTTATCCCATTAGTGGAAGGTGTTTTACACAGATCACACATTTACACATCGATTATCAACCCGTTCCTAAATACGATATTAAGACAAATTGACCTCCATCAATCAATCAATCAATCAATGTTTATTTATATAGCCCAATATCACAAATGTTACATTTGTCTCAATGGACTTCACAGTTTGTACAGAATATCAGTATGACAATACGACACCCTCTCTCCACCAGTCTTCAGAGCAAGAACAATTGAATTAGACTTCTTCACACGACCTGAGGACACGCAGACTGATTTCATGATCAACACTTTCTCCAACATAACAATATTCTTCTCTGTAAAGGAATTACATTGCAGCTTAATGCAATAACACCTGCACCCCACCATCGTCGCTTGGTCAGACAAAAACATTCTAACATGTGGTGTAATCTTTTCATTTGTGTTTGACCTGTAAGACTTTGCCCTTTCTCAAACTGTCCCTCTTCTGTTTCTTAATCTAAGCAATCAAGTGCTTTTTGACAGTGTAAATATAATCTAACGGCACCTTTTTCTAATGTAATATTACTTACTAACATTAGTAATCTGATTAGATGTCATCTGTTACTACCCATACCCTAAACCCACTCACCTGAGAAGTTATTGTACGACAGTTTCCTGCAGGTGAGGAATAATAATGCTGCTGCAAAAATAAAAATCACAACCAAAACACACTCTGAGGTATTCACTTATCATAATAAAATCTCATTAAAACATGTATTTTTCATCACTTTCTTTCTCCCACAGCTGGTTTCAAAGCACATTTCTCCCAGTTCTTTCCCAGTTGAAGGCAGTTCTCAAACATTTAACAGCTCAAAGACACAATTTTAGGATTTTATCCCTGCACAAAATGTAATGAAATATCACCATCAGACCTCTACAGCCAGACTGGTCTTCATACTCTTCAGTTCTCCCACAATACACCTCTCCTTCCTCCACTGGCTTTAAGACACTGGTACTGGTCTACCTAAAGGGATCTGGTCCTTCCTACATCCAAAACTTGGTCAAACCATCACTCCAGCAACAAGAGGAACCAGTACCCCCCAACAAAGACACACCTGTTTGCCATAAAGTCAAATCATCATATAATCATTTAAAACAGGGGTGTTCAAACTCATTTTGAATCGGCCCTCAGCAAATTCAAAAAGTATAATGTAATACGGCCCACAAATGAAACTGGTGCTTGTCTAATACTGTACTTCTTAACTATATATGTGAACATATATAACACAGTAGTATTCATGAGTTAATAAGACCACTTTTCAAATACATTCAGTCCATTAAAGTTGCAAACATGTTCTAACAAATCTTAGTTGATAAGAAAAAAGCCCAATAACTTATTCACAAAACAACCTTGAAACAGACCCTTCATATTTCCTCTTATTATGATCAATGTGAAGCTTCTGTTTTAAACAATGAGCTGCTGACAGAATAAAGTCAACCCTCTGGAGAGCTGGGAGCTGTTTGTTTCTTAAAGGGGACCTATCATGCAAAATGCACTTGTGTACGTCTTTTCTACATGAATATGTGTCTCCGGTGTTCCAGGGAACTCACCAAGTGTCAGAAAACACAACCCTCTCTATTTTCCTCCATACCCAAATCTCTAAAAAAGGGGCTGCAACGGATCTGATAAAAACTGATCCAGATTTGAACACTGTCCTGACGTCAGGACGGTGGCGCTACGGCTATTGGGCCAACTCTCCACCAATCAGGAGGAGACAGCCACGGCCATTGCCGTTTGAAAGCGCTGGAGACGCTGTAGTACATATTGAGCAAAATGAGGCATGGCTAAAATGCATGATCTGTTTGGTATTTTGAAAAAAAAAAAGTATAAATATGCCTTATATAGGTATGGTCCTACACTATATTATTCAAATATAGCATGATAGGTCCACTTTAAAGTATCAAGAATCATTTACCTCCTTCTGATCAACTTTTCCAACTTATAACTTCACTTATGAGGCGATACACCTCACCTCTAGTGAGCGGCCCAGACCTTCGTATATCTTTCTGTCTGTGGCCCTCGGTGAAAAAAGTTTGGACACCCCTGATTTAAAACATATAGTATTATTACTTTACATTACTTTACATTACATTGCATTTAGCTGAGGCTTTTATCCAAAGCGACTTACAATAAGTGCATTCGACCAAGAAGATACAAACTTGAAGAAAACAGAATGATATAAGTACATCAGGTTTCATAGAGCCGAAACATTTCAAGTGCTACTCAACTGGCTTTAGATAAGCCAGTGCTTTGTTAGTATATAAGTGCTTTGTTAGTGATTCTATCGCTCGAAGTGGAGTCTAAAGAGATGAGTCTTCAGTCTGCTCCGGAAGATGTGTGAGCTTTCTGCTGTCCTGATGTCAATGCTCTGATTGCCTTTTAATAATAATAATAATAATAATAGATTACATTTGTAAAGCGCCTTTCAAGGAACCCAAGGCCACTTTACATGCTGAACAAACAAACAAACAAACAAGAGGGGCAAATAATGAAGTACAAATGAAATAAATAGCTTTGTTAAATTGTATTGTTAGTCTTGTGTGTGTTTAACAGAGACATACGTTTATGATTTACACATCAGGAGGTAAAGGAAGTGTGAAAGGTGGATTTACAGATGGTTAGGGACTGGGGGGTTGAATGGTTTGATGATGGGATGGAGGAGCAGCTGGTTCCTCTCATGAATACACAGAGAGACTGAAAGCCTCTCTTGTGTCCTTGGGCAAGACACTTCACCTGAATTTGCTCCTGTGGGTATTGTCCACAGTACATGACCGTTACATGTATGTATGTGTAATGTGTATCTGTAAAGCGCTTTGGGTCATGGAAAAAGCGCTATAATAAATATAAGGAATTATTATTATTATTATTATTAAAGCAGAACTTCTCTCTCCTCTGAGGATGAAGCTGCTCTGTTCCTGCACTTCAGATCCATCTCACTTTATACTGACTTTCTTTATTACTTTATTAAATATAACAAAAGATAAACTTAGTCCATGAATCAATTATCAGTTTCTCTGAAGGGTTTCCTCCGTAGTTCCCTCTGATATCAGGACAGAAGAGAGTCTACATATATTCAGACGCAAACTGAAGACCACCCTGTTTATCTTATATCTTGGCCAATAATCCCCCAACAAACCTAAGCATCAGAGCTTATTATGGTCTGGGTTGTTTGTAGTAAACATGTCAGCACTGTTGTTGTTGTCCTTAGTTTGACACGTTATGGTTTATTGCACTTATTAGACGTCGCTTTGGTTCAAATCGTCAGCTAAATGTAATCACCGTCCGTCCGTCTGCATAAATAACACTTCTCACTTTCACACTGAGTCTCTTTCCTGTAAGGCAGGTATCTAAATAAAAGGCTTAGGGTTAGGGTTGTTATTGTTTCACTTAAAAAGACAGATAACTGGAAGTCAAATACAAACCTCCTGACATCTGATAAATAAAAAATACTGATAAATGTTTGTTTTGTTCAGTAAAATGATCCCCATGCAGTTCAATCAGTTCAATCATGAGAAATAGAAACACACATCTCTCAAGTCTCTGAATGAATCTGCTGCCACTGTTTTAAAATCTCAAACCACTCGTTGAGATGCATCGTATGTCCATGAGAGGAGATTCAAGTGTCCTTCAAATCCTCATAAAATCTTCCGTACAGAAGTATAAAAGTCAATAAAGTTGGACCGCTTCATGAAGTCTGTTTTACAAAGTGCTTTTCAAAATGAAAGTCTTGAATAAATACTGTGTGTGCGGCGTTAGCAGCAAGTTGCAGGAGGAGTGACTGGTCAAGAGTTTTTATGGATCGTTGTGCAGCATGGTCCCTTTGTTTTTCTGTTTTGTTTTGAAGCGTTACACCTTGGGTTTGGCGCTCCGGTCTCCCTGGATCCAGTATTCCTCCGTCTGCATCTCCGTCAGTCTGGAGACCGTCCTCTGGAAGGCGAACATCTCCTCGGAGCCGCTGAAGATCGACAGACTGCTGGCTTCATCCTGCAGACACACAGAGGAATACAGAGTTTCTGCACCATTCAACCATTCAATGAGGATTTCAAGGCTTTTCAATGCTTTTCAAGGATTTTCAAGACTTTTCAAGGATTTCAAGGCTTTTCAAGGCTTTTCAAGGCTTTTCTTGTCATGTGTGCAGAGCTACAGTGGAGATATGACAATGAAAATCTGAGGTCACAGGTCCTCCAGCAGAGCAACACAATACAACAGATACAATAGTGCAGAATAGTCTATAGACAAGTAATTGGAATATTGATATACATGAGTTACAAACAGATGGATGTTCTTTCAAAAGTTCAGGCGTTTTCAAATTAGTTTAAAATGAGTTTTTATGCCTATTGTTTGCCGTTTATCTTCCCTAACATGTCTTTTTTTAAGGGTCATTAAAGTGGACCTATCATGCTATATTGGAAACATATATTGTAGTGCCATACCTTTATAAAACATGTCTGTGAAGTTTCTTTTTCTAAATCCCAAACAGATCCCCCGTAGCCATGCCTCATACTGCTCAAACCCCTCTTTTGCAGCCCTGTTAGAGAAACGCGGATTTTGGGTCCTTAGCTTGAAAAAAAAAAGAAATAAGAGGAGGCGGAGCTAATGCCTGATCAGAATTCTCCCGGAGAAAAAGTTACATTCTGCTGTGATAAAACCCCATCCTGTTCTAAACCACATCAAGGATTATTTCTGAAACAGTATGGAGCTCAAATGCTTTTTCTCTTGCGGGTTTATCACAAGGTGAGTTCTTTTTTTATTTCCTGCTTTTTAAACACATGTGCTCTCCAGTACAGGTTAGCTCTGAGTGTTAGCGACATGCTAATGTAAACAAAGACGAGATTACGTCCAAAACACGTCAGCCATTGTTTCTGATAGCAACTTTCTGTGGGTCCGCCGCCGATTTGACGTCATATCGGATGGAATCTGTATCCGCTCGTTGTTCACCCGTTTTTAAAAGATGTGGGTACGGAGGAAAAGAGAGAGGGTTTTATTTTCTGACGCTGCGTGAGTTCCCCGACACACCGGGGACACACATTTATGTATAAAAGACATCACAAAGTGCATTTTGCATGATAGGTCCCCTTTAAGGTCATGGCATGCTACTATTTACATGCTGCCCCCCCCCCCAGGGTATTGTTACTCATATCACTTTAATTATAATCTTGTCATTTATTACTCTATTTTTGTCTAATCCCTCAATCCCTCAAACCCGCACGCACGCACGCACGCACGCACGCACGTGCCTTTAAAATCCACATCCAGGAGTTTATTTCACTGACCGTGTCTGTTTGTGTCGGCAGATTTCTCTTAAATTCGCCAACAGTTAGCATTACATAACGGCTCATTTGCATATTTAAACATTATGTCCTGACTTTGAGCATCGATGTGAGGGTGTCATATTATCTAGAAATGTTAGTTATCATTGTAGCAGGTATTTATATAGTGTTGTTCTGGGGTACACTTCAAGATTTAGACCAATCAAAACAAAAATCTTAGTTTTTTTGTCACAAATGGGTAAATAAAAACTAGAATAAAATAAAAAGTACTTCATTTGTTGAGAAGGTTATTATGTTAATGACTTCAGGTTCGGGTTAAGATGTTGAAAGACAACAATGAATGATAACATTAAATAATATTAATAATGGAACAAATGACCAGAAGCTCCGTTAACTAGCAGCCAGTTAAAGGGTTTCAAGTCTCTCTCACCATGAGCTCAGCAGCTACAGTGCAGATGTGTCAATGACAAACTGAAGTCCTCCTCCAACAGAGCATGAATATATATAGGACATAGAACTAATAAAACAGATAAAACAGTGCAAGAGAATGTTCTGAGAACATCAGGAGGATACGTCCCCTCCTGACCCAGAAAGAGACGCAACTTCTGGTCCAGGCTCTCGTCATCTCACGCCTAGACTACTGCAACTCCCTCCTGGCTGGTCTACCTGCATGTGCCATCTGTCCTCTGCAGCTCATCCAGAATGCAGCGGCTCGTCTGGTCTTCAACCTTCCTAAATGTTCCCACACCACGCCGCTCCTCCGCTCCCTGCACTGGCTTCCAGTAACTGCTAGAATCCACTTCAAGACACTGGTGCTAGCGTACCATGCTGTGAATGGATCTGGCCCTTCCTACATCCAGGACATGGTTAAAGTGTACACCCCAGCACGTGCACTCCGCTCTGCATCAGCCAAACGGCTCGCTGCACCCGCACTGCGAGGGGGACCCAAGTTCCCATCAGCAAAAACACGTTGGTATATGATATATATCCAAAACCTTTTCCCTCTGTCTCTAACCTCTCGAGGTTTTATTAGAGGGAAACAGGTTTGCAGAGTGGCTTAGGCCGGCCGGGGAGTGTTATGATTCGTAGACACAGCGTACCTCTCACCAATTTCCAACTAAGGCTCCAGTGGGGACCTTGTTCCCTGCGTGTGCCTCTCCACCTGTGTTTCTTATTCTCTTACTTGCTACCCTTTTCCCTCTCCTATCCTAAGGGAGTGCTTGTTCTTCCTTCAGTCTGTCTGTGTACTCTCATGTTCCGATTAACCCAGACAAATGTTCTTGTTTTGTGTCTATATCGACGCCGGGATCCGGAGTCGAGGCTGATCCTCTTGCTGTGGTCCTGTGCCCTGGATCCTCTATCCTGAGTTCTGGATTAAGTTCTGGACTTCGAGTCGTGGCTGGGCCTGTCTCTGCGGTCCTGCCTGGCTCTCGTCATGCTGCTTCCCTGATGGCTCCAACAGGATTGTTGTTGACATCCTCGTGGATTCATCTTCTTATTATAGACACATGCATTTCCAAACATTTGGTCTACCTACGCTGTAAAATGTATTATCTCTTTGATTTACACACGGCATCTATTGCACGTCTGTCCGTCCTGGGAGAGGGATCCCTCCTCTGTTGCTCTCCCTGAGGTTTCTCCCATGTTCCCCTTTAAACTGTGGGTTTTTCTCCGGAAGTTTTTCCTTGTACGATGTGAGGGTCTAAGGACAGAGGGGGTCGTTTTCTCATACTGATATTCTGCACAAACTGTGCTGTTGCATTTGCTGTAAAGTGTCTTTACTGTAGGGTATTTTTATTAATTGTACAGCACTTTGGCTCGACCACAAATCGTTTATAAATGTGCTATATAAATAAAACTTGATTTGATTTGATATAGAGAAATAATTAGCTAAATGCAAACAGATGAATGTTTATGGATGTTCTGTTCAGTGTAAATATAAAAAGTGTCACCCTCTGGAGCCCCAGGTCGTCCATCAGGATGTTGCTCTCGTCGTGTCCGTGTTCTCCGTCGAGAACAAACAGTTCCTCCAGAGGATGATCCGCCAGAATCACAACCCTCACCTGGAGAGACAGGTAGAGGGTAGATATAAAACTACAGGAACACACACAGCTGGAGGTCAGGGGGTCGTACAGAGGTGTGTGTGTGTGTGTGTGTGTGTGTGTGTGTGTGTGTGTGTGTGTGTGTGTGTGTGTGTGTGTGTGTGTGTGTGTGTGTGTGTGTGTGTGTGTGTGTGTGTGTGTGTGTGTGTGTGTGTGTGTGTGTGTGTGTGTGTGTGTGTGTGTCACCTTGTGGTCGTACAGAGCGTCCACCAGAGTGATGAGTCTTCGGGCCTGGGCCTTCTTGTTGAGCGTCAGCAGGGGAATGTTTCTGATGAAGAGAGTGTCGAACAGACGAGAGACCTCCAGGTAGTCACTGGCTCCCAGAGGCTACACACACACACACACACACACACACACACACAAATCAACATGTGTGTGTTATTGTCCTTTAACACAGATTTGTTGGTGCTAAGCCTCAAAAACTATTTTTTACTGCAGCCAAAAACCAGTTTGAGTTCAATGGTACTTAAAAGGTGTTGGATGGAGGAAGTGTCTCTACTGTGACATGTTTCCATGCTTTAAGGTCTAACTCGTCTAATTCAAAGGAAGTGTTTTGTCACATTATTTCATTGTGACATCCTAAAGGGTCTTACTCGGTCACACAGCTCCTCGAAGGTGCAGTCAGCGATGCTCCCACACGCTTTCTCCAGACGCACCTTCCTGTTGTTCACGTTCATCATCCTGGGGCGCGTTACTGCAGAGAAACATTATATCATTACACTTTCTTTTAATTACGTTTATTTTAATATTTGTATTATATTTATTTAATTTTATATTTTTATTGCACATTCTTGCTTTAATTTCTTATGTTTATAAAAATGTATTTGATATTTTTATATTAAAGGGGACCTATCATGCAAAAGTCACTTTCTGATGTCTTTTCTACATCACTATGTGTCCCCGGTGTGTCGGGGAACTCGCGCAGCGTCAGAGAAGCCTGTGACCTAAGATTTTCAACGACATAATTACTCTGTAGCTATGTTAGTTTGACAATAAAGAACCTTGAACAACCGAGCTGATCCAGATTTGCGTCCGATATGACGTAATATCTGAAATGTGGACCCACGGCCCTATCAGAAACGTTGCTATCAGAAACAATGCCCGACTGTTTTGGACGTAATATGGTCGGTGTTTACATTAGCATCGCTAACACTCAGAGCTAACCTGTACTGGAGAGCATGTGTGTGAAGAAGCAGGAAATAAAAAGGAACTCACCTTGTGGTATAACCGGCAAGAGAGAAAGCCTTTGAGCTCCATACTGTTTCAGAAACAATCCTTGATAATCCATGATATGGCGTTTCATCACGGCAGCATTTAGTTTAGACAGTAGCTGCCGGGTCCCGCATGAGCTCAGACCCCCCCCCCTTAAAGCTTTATACCCCAAATCAGCACTTTAGAAACAGGAAGTGAAATAGAGGGATATGAGGCATGGCTAGAATGGGTGATCTGTTTGGTATTTGGAGCAAAACACTTCATAGACATGTTTTTTATATATTTATATATATCTGAGAGCTTTGCTATTGCCTGAACATAGCATGATAGGTGACCTTTAAATCAGAATATAAAGATATATAAGATATAAGTCACTCACTGTCGTTCTGTTTGAAAGCCAGCTCATCAAACTTCTTGTCTAAAGTCGCCTGGACGTCCGGCTCACTGGAGCTGAAACATCAAAAACATGCAAACAGAACTTCAAAATAAAACGTACGATGACTGGTTGGTTTTATTTTGAAGGGCTCTTACAGGAAGTAGAGTTTTCCAGCAGACGGTCGGTTCCTCCGGCGATAATCTATCCCCGAATCCAGGCGGAGAGTTTGGCAATACCTCTGCAGGAGAGAGAGGAAATATTCATATTTAAACGTGAGAATAGAAGTAGGTTTTGGTTAAACGCTCAGAACAGATTTAAGTTGCTAAATGTTTTGGTTTTGTCTAAAAATATGTCAGAAAATATTGAAAACGTGCATCCCAGTGCCTCAAAAGTCTTGTTTTGTCCGTATAGACTCAAACATATTCACTTTAATCTGATATGAACAGAAACAAATCACCATATTTGAGACATACGAGACATATTACACATTTAGGATTGGCGTTTAAAAGCTGAATTTGATATTTCTTAGACCGTTGTTGGCAAAAATACAAATTAAAATGGGATTTTCTTTCCTCCCGAACTATATCTTTGGTATTTAAATGTGAGAATAGAAGTTGTTGGTTAAATGCTCTGAAAACACAGATTTAAGTTGCTTTCGGAAACTTCTCATGAAGCTGCTTTTTATCATGCATTCAAAGTCAAAGTCAGCTTTATTGTCAAGAATTCTACATGTTGTACATCCAGAAATCTCGAAATATCGTTTCCCGCAGTCCTACAGTGTGACATATATACATCAAACAAAAAACAAAAAGGGCCTAGATAAACGGGATATACAGTTTAAAATGTTAATAATATAATTTAAGTGTTCAGACTTGAATCACTTGCTGATTTGTCTCTAAATGTTTTGGTTTTGTCCTAAAAAAATATTAAAACGTGCATCCCAGTGCCTCAAAGGTCTTGTTTGTCCGTATAGACTCAAACATATTCTCGTAGTCTGTAAAGAGCTTTGAGGGGTCGACGAGACCTGATGAAGAGATTTATAAGTACAGAACATTTAAAGGTCCCATGTCCCCCGTCCCCTTGTGTTCTGAAGCTTCTGCATGTGAACGGTCTGCAGAGTCACTAACCCTCAGAGTACACCCTGTAAAATGGTAAATGGTAAATGGACTGTACTTATATAGCGCTTTATCCAGTCTTTAAGACCCCTCAAAGCGCTTTACATACTACATGTCGTTCACCTATTCACACCCATTCATACAGAGCAGTGTACCTAACTCTAGGACCTAACATTCACACACATTCTCACACCGTTGGCCATCGGGAGCAACTCAGGGTTAAGTATCTTGCCCAAGGATACATCAACATGTTGACTGCATGGGCTGGGATCGAACCCACAACCTTCTGGTTGAAAGACGACCGCACTCCCTCGCAGCCACAGTCACCCTGTAGGGAGTAAAACTCTAACACAGAGAAGACCTGTCTATGCTGCCCCAGAACGCCTCGTTGGACATTTCTCTTTTTCCATTGTTTACTTCCTGGGTACAGTGACGTATTTGGGTACAGTGACGTATTTGGGTATAGTGCCGTTACGTAACGTCCGCGGAGCCGTTACGTTTGGATCAATCCGCGGACTTCCTCACACACACACACTCTCAGCGGGACGTTGCGAGGAGCGGGACACTGTGAGCTGGCTCACTGGTGTGGGGTCGGCGAGACAGCGAGACACCGTGGAACTCAGCCTGGGCGTACACACACACTCCCAGCCAGGCTGCGGGTGTGTGTGTGTTTGGAACATTGAACAATATAAATGTATTCTAGTAGACCTCAACAATGGAATTATGATCAGTAGAAATGGCCATGACATGGGCCCTTTAACATTTACTTACCTGCAGCACGGCTATAAACGGCACGAAGTTGACCCTCTGCAGCCCGTTCTTATACAAGTCTGAGGAGAAAGAGTTAAAGAATCATCATTATATCATCCATCAATCTGATGAGAGTCTTAGTGTTTGCTAAGAATGCACTGAAAATAATGTGAAGAAATACTTGATTTTTCATATTTCTGTAGTCATCCTTCAGTCTTTAGAAAGACACTTAGTCGATGTTAGATACCGAATAGTTTGCAGCTTTATTTAAAACTCATCATTTGAATTATAAATCCACTTTTATTTATGTTTAAAAGGTGGTATTTGTGTATGTGTCTGTGAGTGTGTGTATGTGTCTGTGAGTGTGTGTGTGTGTGTGTGTGTCACCTTGTGGTCGGACAGAGCGTCCACCAGCATGATGAACCTGTGTCTGTATGAGTGTCTGTCAGTGTGTGTGTGTGCGTGCGTGTGTGTGTGTGTGTGTGTGTGTATGAGTGTCTGTCAGTGTGTGTGTGCGTGCGTGCATGTATGTATGTATGTATGTATGTGTGTGTGCGTGCGTGCGTGCGTGCGTGCGTGCATGTGTGTGCGCGCGTGTGTGTGTGTGTGCGTGTGTGTGTGTGTGTGTGTGTGTGTGTGTGTATGTGTGTGTGTGTGTGTGTGTCTGCATCAGTTATCTCTGAGGGTCAAAGTGAAGCCGTTTCTGGACGTGTTTCAGGTGGAAAGATACAAAATAAAGGTTGTTGTTATTTGTTGTTATTTACCTTGAGGCGGACGGTTGGAGGTGGCCACAACAACGACTCCTTTCAGGAACAGATTCTCAAAGAGCTGCTTCAGGATCATGGCGTCTGCGATATCTGTCACCTGAAACCATACATTCATTTAGGGTGAATTGTTAACAGTAGATCAAAGTATACAAACACAAACAACAACAATCAGAGAGACGGTCAGACCCCTTTGAAACCAGAAGGAGAAATACAGAAATATCCAAAACAAATTAATATCAAATCACCAAAATCACACTTTTTATCGCCTTTAAAACTGAAATTATCCTCAGGTTTCCTGCTGTCTGACGGTCCTTGAAGGCATCATGTGTGAGGCTTCAGTCAGGAAAGAAAAACCAAATCTAAACTTAAAAAAAGATAATTCAGCAACTCATTTAAATCTAATCTATTTAAATGTCTCCAAACAATAAAGAGGAACCAGATCGTGTGAAAACATTCAAGTTTCATTGTTTTAAAAACTGAGAGTAGGGGGAGATATGTCTTTATTTCTGATGAACATCTTTTAAATAGAGATGATTGCACATCGAGGACCGAGCATCGAGCGTCGAGGAGGCTCTCTGGAGGAGCTATGGGTCCTCCACGGCTCCTTCGTGGATGCATTTCCGGCAACAGTGATGTTTCAAAGAGTCGAGACGCACGGCCGGACTGATCTCAGCCAATCACAGCTCTGCATGCATCCACTGGATATTATTTTATTAACTGCTTTCATCAGACGCGATGTTTACAGTGAGAACAGCTGTGAGGTCCGTGCAGAAAGCAGAGCAGTGTGTATAATATATATCATATCACTCAGTATAACAGGCCTACTCTCTTTATTTGCTTTAGTTTAGTAGATATCTACAAACAAAGTCGATATTTTTCTAAAACCATTTAGTGCTTCACAAAATAAAATACTCAACGGCTGTAGCCTGATTATATGCTTTAGGAGCTGTAGGTGGTGTGTGGTGCAGTGTGTAGGTGTGTGTGTGGTGTAGGTGTGTGTGTGTGGTGTAGGTGTGTGTGGTACAGTGTGTAGGTGTGTGTGTGGTGTAGGTGTGTGTGTGTGGTGTAGGTGTGTGTGGTACAGTGTGTAGGTGTGTGTGGTACAGTGTGTGCGTAGATGCAGCGGACAGACAGGTCTCAGTTGGTTTGGTGTCCTCTGCTTACTTGTAATACTTGTAAATAAAACGTTTGGCCCGTCATTTATTTTCCTCATTGTAGCGACCAGAGAGGGGAGAGGGGGGGGGGGGGATATATCCAGTCTCTGATAGTGTTACGTTATTATGAGAGTGCTCTGTTTGATTCTGAAATTGTATATATTTATATAAATATATGTGTGTGTGTATGTGTATGTGTATGTGTATGTGTATGTGTGTGTGTGTGTGTGTGTGTGTGTGTGTGTGTGTGTGTGTGTGTGTGTGTGTGTGTCCGCATCTGTAGCCTGTTATTGTCTCATTATACCGCACCGTGAATGAATGAAAGTAAATATATAAGTGGTCATGAACACATCTGTCCATCAGGCTGCTGTGCCTCCTGTCATCATTAATGGACGTCTCTTTAAAATGACCGCTCAGAGGAGAGGAGTTCTCATTTCTCTAACCGCCTGCTGCTTCCCCTCCTCTCTCCTCGGTTCCCCTCCTCTCTCCTCGGTTCCCCTCCTCTCTCCTCGGTTCCCCTCCTCTCTCCTCGGTTCCCCTCCTCGAGTCCTCTCTCCTCGGTTCCCCTCCTCGAGTCCTCTCTCCTCGGTTCCCCTCCTCTCTCCTCGAGTCCTCCGCTCGCATCTCCTGTGGGCGGGACTAAGTCTCGAGGATAGGAGACGAGGATAGGAGTCGAGGATAGGAGTCGAGGATAGGAGTCGAGGAGGGGAATCTCAGAAACGAGACACGGCCAATGAGTCTGATCCGTGGTTTGTGTAAATATAAAGCACCTGAAACTCGTCGAAGCAGAGCAGCGCCGCCTCTTCGCTGATCTCCTCGGCAATCGGAGAGATCGGGTCGTAGGATTTGGACATTTTCCCGGCTTTCCTCTTCGGCATGCTCTGCTTCAGACGGTGGATCCCTGCAGACGGAAACATTACAAAAAGAAGATTAATCCTGGATCTGTAGGATAAGTGTAAGGGTGAATTAATACTTATGAAATGTCTGAAACTGGTACAAAAAATGCCCACTTTTAATATTTGTTTAATAGAAATGATTAAATGTTTTCTTTACTATCACTAATTAATCCCTCACAATGTGGAGAAACAATTATATATGTTTTTGCACGTGTAGTTAATCTGCCCTATCCCACTGGGCCTCGCATTACACATTACCAAAGCCAAAGTCAACTTTATTGTCAATCTCAAAATATGTTTGTACACACAGAGAGATCGATGTTTCCCCAAAGTCCCGAGGTCTAAAATCACACATTCAAATACAAGAACACTCAATAATAATTACAAAAAAAACACAAAATAACCGTTTACTTCAAGTAAGCAGGATATATATAAAAAAAGATGGTGTACATAGTGCAAATTATCCACCTTTAACTTATTTAAAGGGGACCTATCATGCAAAATTCACTTTTTGATGTCTTCTCTACATCACTACGTGTCCGTACCCAAATCTCTAAAAACGGGGAACAACGGAGCTGATCCAGATTTGCGTCCGATATGACGTAATATCTGAAATGTGGACCCACGGCCCTATCAGAGACGTTGCTATCAGAAACAATGCCCGACTGTTTTGGACGTAATATGGTCGGTGTTTACATTAGCATCGCTAACACTCAGAGCTAACCTGTACTGGAGAGCATGTGTGTGAAGAAGCAGGAAATAAAAAGGAACTCACCTTGTGGTATAACCGGCAAGAGAGAAAGCCTTTGAGCTCCATACTGTTTCAGAGAGAATCCTTGATAATCCATGATATGGCGTTTCATCACGGCAGCATTTAGTTTAGACAGTAGCTGCCGGGTCCCGCATGAGCTCAGACCCCTCCTATTTATTTTGTAAAGCTTTATACCCCAAATCAGCACTTTAGAAACAGGAAGTGAAATAGAGGGATATGAGGCATGGCTAGAATGGGTGCTCTGTTTGGTATTTGGAGCAAAACACTTCATAGACATGTTTTTTATATATTTGTATATATCTGAGACCTATGCTGTTGCCTAAATAAAGCATGATAGGTGACCTTTAATGCTGACTTCTCTCAGAGCTTTAAACACCAACTTTAAGGATTCTCCCCCTCCGTATTAAAATGAAAGAGAACTCACTTTTATGAACGTCCAACATGAAGCCGTGGAAGTGAACCCGCTTCTTCTTCTCCGTCTCGACGTGAGAATAAAACATGTCCATCACCATCGTCTTCCCCGTGCCTCAAACATCAGAACACAGGCAGGTTAAGATGAGATCATTAGCACATCAATTACATGTATAAGTCTCTCTCATCTCTCTTACCCACGTCACCGTAGATGTAGTAACCGTTAGGAGGTTCAGGCTTCGTGAATAACTGAAAGATAAAAATCACAAAGGGTCAGTTTTTAATAAATGATAACAGCAGAATGGAGCTAAATACTTTATTATGTTCAATTAATAAAATGTATAACTTAAACAGGAAAGCATAGATAACAAATGAAGTGAGTCAGGTAAAGATTTAAGTCCTTTTTTGGTTATTTAAATTATTTATTCTCAGGCTTCAATTCTACTAGAACTGTGTAAAAGACACACACATTTTTTTTTAATAATAAAAAGAATATGTGTGTGTACTCGCATCATTCAAACAAGACGCGCTGGCTACAACTACAACACAATGAACGGCAAAACTATGGCGCGCTTACACTGTAGGTGCGCCGCGTTTGGGGGTGCGGGTGCTAGTGGAGCCTCGCAGATGGGGGTGCTGCAGCCCCCTCAGCACCCCCCCCTTCCCGCGTACATGCTACAACTACATCAAAATGAACATATTTGACCGTGATTTAATTGTAATACACGTTTCAAAATGATGCTGAAGTAACAACATACTGATACCGGTTAGTAAAAACCATGAATTAATGCTTTGTCAAGTCTGCAGACAGACGGCAGGCGAAGAACCTTTTAAAATGCGTGTTTTCTAAATGGAGTTCGGATCGATCAGGCTAAGCTAACCTGTAGCTGCTCCGTCCACACTCAGCGTCATACAGACATAAATAAAGCAGCGACTGTATTTGCCATGACACAGACAGTCTGTGGTTTGTACTTGTTTAACTTTTGTCTAGTTTCTGATTGGTCAGCAGGCGGTGCTTTCACTGAGTTGATCTCTTAGCCTGCAACCTAACCTGCTCCGGAGCAGGCTAGCCGCTCAGCATCAGTTACCATGGAGATCTAGCCCGCTAAAAAGAGAACCAGCGTCGTGGGACCGGAAAGCCAGAGTTTACCCTGAAGTCAGCTCGCTAAGAGAACATCCGGCTTCGTGGTACAGGCCTCAGGAGAAGAAGGATGTGTGTTGCTGTTGTTTACCCTGGAGAAGAGGGATGTGTGTGTGTTGTTGTTTACCGTGGAGAAGAAGGATGTGTGTGTGTTGCTGTTGTTTACCCTGGAGAAGAGGGATGTGTGTGTGTTGTTGTTTACCCTGGAGAAGAGAGATGTGTGTGTGTTGCTGTTGTTTACCCTGGAGAAGAGGGATGTGTGTGTGTTGTTGTTTACCCTGGAGAAGAGGGATGTGTGTGTGTTGTTGTTTACCCTGGAGAAGAGGGATGTGTGTGTGTTGTTGTTTACCCTGGAGAAGAGGGATGTGTGTGTGTTGTTGTTTACCCTGGAGAAGAAGGATGTGTGTGTGTTGCTGTTGTTTAACCTGGAGAAGAGGGATGTGTGTGTGTTGTTGTTTACCGTGGAGAAGAAGGATGTGTGTGTGTTGCTGTTGTTTAACCTGGAGAAGAGGGATGTGTGTGTGTTGTTGTTTACCCTGGAGAAGAGAGATGTGTGTGTGTTGCTGTTGTTTACCCTGGAGAAGAGGGATGTGTGTGTGTTGTTGTTTACCCTGGAGAAGAGGGATGTGTGTGTGTTGTTGTTTACCCTGGAGAAGAGGGATGTGTGTGTGTTGTTGTTTACCCTGGAGAAGAGGGATGTGTGTGTGTTGCTGTTGTTTAACCTGGAGAAGAGGGATGTGTGTGTGTTGCTGTTGTTTACCCTGGAGCGGAAGGATGTGTGTGTGTTGCTGTTGTTTACCCTGGAGAAGAGGGATGTGTGTGTGTTGCAGTTGTTTACCCTGGAGCGGAAGGATGTGTGTGTGTTGCTGTTGTTTACCCTGGAGCGGAAGGATGTGTGTGTGTTGCTGTTGTTTACCCTGGAGAAGAGGGATGTGTGTGTGTTGCTGTTGTTTACCCTGGAGAAGAGGGATGTGTGTGTGTTGCTGTTGTTTACCCTGGAGCAGAGGGATGTGTGTGTGTTGCTGTTGTTTACCCTGGAGCAGAGGGATGTGTGTGTGTTGCTGTTGTTTACCCTGGAGCAGAGGGATGTGTGTGTGTTGCTGTTGTTTACCCTGGAGCAGAGGGATGTGTGTGTGTTGCTGTTGTTTACCCTGGAGAAGAGGGATGTGTGTGTGTTGCTGTATCCTCTGAGTGTTTGGTGCAGCTGATCCAGGGTCAGCATCACAGCTCTCTGGTGCTCGTCCTCCTTCAGGGCTCCCTCTCTGATAATGGAGGTGTAGTGGTCCAGGGGCCCACTGTAGAGATCCTGAGGGCCCCGAGGCCTCTCATCCAACACCTGCTGCTGCTGCTGAGCCTCCACTGAGTAACCTGGGGTCAGAAGAAGAAGAAGAAGAAGAAGAAGACATACTTTAATAATCCCTCACAAGGAAATGTCTTTCTCCACTCTGTTGTGTTTACACATGTTGGGAAAATACTGAGTGTACTCTTCCAGTATGAGAGTAACGTGATAACAAAGGTATCCCAACTGTAGCTGTGAACATGACAGGATGTCTGATTACCTAGAAGAGCATCAGGACTGTTTGAGGCATATAATAGCTATGTGATTAACATGATGATTCAGCCTCTATGGAGATAGACACATGACAAGCATGATCAGAATTTTGAGAAAAAGTCCGAATTTTGAGATTTTGAGAAAAAGTCAGATTTTTGAGAAAAAGTCAGATTTTTGAGAAAAAGTCAGATTTTTGAGAAAAATACAGATTTTTGAGAAAAATACAGATTTTTGAGAAAAATACAGATTTTTGAGAAAAATACAGATTTTTGAGATTTTTTGAAAAAGACAGAATTTTGAGAGTTTGAGAAAAAGTCAGACATTTTTAGATTTTCAGAAAAAAGCCAACATTTTGTGAAAAAGTCAGAATTTTGCGAAAAAGTCAGAATTTTGAGAGGATCATACTGTAAATACATGGATCCTGAGATTGAAGCTCAAGCCGGTGACCAGTGATTATTAACATTTTCAAGGTTAGGTGCCTTGCTCAAGGGCACCTCGGCACGGCAGTGGCCCAGGAGGTGAACTGCCACCTCTCCGGCTACCAGCTCACTCACTATTTTGTTTTGGTCCGATCGGGACGTCGTTAACCGGCGACCCTTTGGTTCCAAGACCAAGTCCCTACAGACTGAGCCACTGACACATTAGAGGTGGTGGCAAAGTCCATAGAGGGTCGGCTTGGCAACTGGAAGGTCACCGGTTCAAGTCCCGGATAGACAGAGTGCTACCGAGGTGTCCCTAAGCAAGGCACCGTTCCCTACAGATTTTGAGAAAAAATCTGAAAACTGTCTCCCCCCTCACGGCCCTGTCTCCCCCCCTGGCCCTGTCTCCCCCCTCACGGCTAAATAAAATAAATAAAATAATAATTCTAAAAGTCTATAAATAGAAAACACAAATAATAACAGAAATAAAATAAAAATAAAAATACATTAATACAAAAACACAAATAATAATAATTAAAAAAAAATCTGTAAATAAATAAAAACCAATAATCAAAGCAAATGAACCCAAAAAAGGCATAAATTGTAATAAATGAATAAAAAACGTAATAAATAAATAAATACAAATATTATTTAAATGTCATTAATGTGTCATCCAAAGGTACACCAGGTGTACTCTTATGCCTCCCTGGGTGCACCCCCTGCTGTGAACCCAAAGGTTAGGAAATGTCACATTTATCTGTAATGTTGTATATTATACAGTCTATGAATATTGTTCAGTTCACTTTGAGTTAGGAAACCACATTACACAAGGTGTGTTATAACTGGATCGAGGTGCAGTTTTCAGTGTAAATGAGCTTTAAACCGGGTGTTTCCTCCCCTCTCGAGCCTCACCTCTCCCGCTGAGCCCCGGCAGACACGCTAAGATCCTCCGGGAGGAAAACCGAGCAGCGAAAAGACATTTAAATCCCAAAAGAGCTGAGGGTGACATCCTCATTCTGCCGCACACCGACATGTTGGATTCATGACGTCACCGAAACTTTATTAGCAACGAACAAAACAAACAGGGGAGAGTGACGCATGAGTGACGCGGCCGACCGGAATGGGGCGGGGCTTCGGAACAGAAACAGGGTTGAGAGCAAAAACATGAAATACAATAATGAATGAATAAATAACACAATAAATAATAATTTAGAAAAATCTATAAATAATTACATACATATAAAACATAAATAATAATGCAAATAATAATAAAGAAATAATAATTATTCCGTATTTTTTGTATTTAATTTTCACACACATGCACGCACGCACACACACACACACACACACACACACACACACACACACACACACACACACACACACACACTCACACAGACATTCACACACACACACACACACACACACACACACACACACACACATACATGCGCACACACAAACACACACACACACGCACACACACATGCACAGACACTCACACACGCACTCACACACATGCACACACAAACTCACACACACACCCGCACTCACACAAACACACACACACACACACAGACACACACACACACACACACACACACAGACACACACACAAACACACACACACACACACATGCACAGACACACACACACACACACACACACACACACAAACATGGCTGACAGTCAGAAGGGGGGCTTACAGGCTTGTTGCCATGACAACAGAGGAGCTCTTCTCCCTCGCGCTGCGACTCTCTCTAATGCTCACACACACACACACACACACACACACACACACACACACACACACACACGTTCATATTGACAGTGTGTGTCCTGCTGCATGTTACTGTCTGTGAACACGTTGAGATATCTCCTTCAAAATAAGAGACAATTTTCCAGTAAATCTTTATTTTTAAATGTATAGGTACAATAGCGACACTTCTTAGATATATACAATACATTTTGTAGTATTCAAGAAGCATTTTGCATGTATTACAGATACTTTTTTCTGGTATATATACCAGGTAGCCTATTAAAAATACATTTAGCAGGTATTAAAATAAAACTGTTCAGATATAAAAAAATACATTTTTAGGTAACATTTTTAGGCATAAAAGAGACCGTTTTTGAGGTATAAATAAAGACATTTTTAGGCATAAAAGAGACAGTTTTTTTAGGTATCAAAGGGACATTAAACAAAAGCATCTCACAGCTACATTTTCTGGTATTTAAAATATGGCATCCTGTATTAAAAATCCACTCGTCCTGCATGAGAGATGTGTTTCTCCTTCTCCTCCTCTCCTGGTTTTTACAGATTAGGGTGGAAGCTGTCATCGTAATGGTAATTCATAGCTGGGTCTCCATGGTGAAGCCCCCCCCCCCCCCCCCCCCCCTCTCCTCTCCCTGCTGAATGCATTAGTCTAATGAGAATCTGCAGCCGGAGAGCAGCGGAGGATGGCTGTCTGCAGGAAAGCAGCTCTGTAGTTTCTGTTTCATCCACACAAAAGGGCTCGGCTCTTTGCTTTCACTACAGCAGACAGCAGGTACAACAAAGAAAGAGAAATAACCCTCCTTCTCTTCATCATCCTCCTCTTCTTCATCCTCTTCTTCCTCCTCATGGCTGCCTTTGTGTTGTGATGCTGCTCTGCTAAATGCTGCATTGCTCCTCTCTGTACATGATGCTGTGTTCTCTACAGGAGGAGAGGGCATTGTTCTGCAGCCTCTGTCCTCTCTGTACATGATGCTAATGCATGCTCTGTGAGGACTGTTATTGCTTAGCATTTATGTAGCTTAGTTCCCTTTATACATGATGCTAATGCATGGTGTGTTATAGAGGAGCATCAGAGGCATTGTGTTTGAGTATTCCTGTCTGTAAATGAAGCTAATGCATGATGTGTAATACATACAGAGGAGTAGCATCAGTGGTTCTGCAGATTTTCTGTCTGTAAATGAAGCTAATGCATGCTCTGTTTTATACAGAGAGGAGGAGCATCAGTGTGCATTATTGTTTAGCATGTATGTAGCTTATCCCTTTATACATGATGCTAATGCATGCTGTGTTAGAGGAGGGGGATCACTGTAGCATTTCTCCAGCTCTGTGTCCTCTACAAATGAAGCTAATGCATGATGTGTGTTATGGAGGAGCATCAGTGGTCCTTCAGTATTCCTGTCTGTAAATGAAGCTAATTGCTGCTGTGTAACATATAGAGGAGGGGCATCAGGGTGCATTATTGTTTAGCATGTATGTAGCTCAGTTCCCTATATGTGTGAAGCTAATGCATGCTATGATGAAGCTAATAGCTGTGTGATATTATATCACGGAGTAGCATGATGTTTTCTGCAGCTCGGCTCTCTTTGTCTCCAGATGAGTGTTCCTGCAGCAGCGGCTCAGAACTCAGACGACAGAGAGATGCAATCGGCTGCAGTGTCTCCCTCCTTCCTCCCCAGCCAGGGGGGCAAGATCCCGGGCAGAAAGAGAGGCCGACCCCCCCTCCGGAACAACGCCAAGATGGACTTCACAACAAGCCGCTACCCCGAGTCGCTGCCTCCACTCAAAGTGCCCAAAAAGAGGGGCAGAAAACCGGGATTCAAGGTGGGAATACGCGAGGGGGAAGAGAGAGAGTGAGTGTGTGTGTGTGTGTGTGTGTGTGTGTGTGTTGCAGTGTGTTTAAAAATGCATGTGTTGTACATAGGATCATGCCCTGCACATGTTGTGTTGTCCCAGTGTCAGAGAGATTGGGGATCCAAAGGGATTTAATAATGTAAATATATAGTCTGTTTTTGTACATAAAATGCATGCTTCATTCTGTAGAAGGCTGTTAAAATGATATTATCTTAATACAGGATAATAGTGGCTACAGAAAGTCCACTGATATTACCAAAACATCTGTAGAAAATGTGAAAATAAACACCAAAACCAGAAACATGTGATAAATGTTGACATTAGTCGCTGCCTCCACTGGTGCCCAAAAAGAGGGGGAGACAACCGGAATACATGAGGGGGAAGTGTGTGCGTGTGTGTGTTTAATAATGCATGTGTACATAGCATCATGCACTGCACATGTTGTGTCAGAGAGGGGTCACATCTGCAGGCTTTGTTCAGATTTTAGGGGATTTTTTTAAAGCCCAAAAGGGATTTAATAATGTAAATATAGTCTGTTTTTGTACATAAAATGCATGTTAACTTCTACAGGGTAAGTGGCTAAAGAAGGCCACTTATATTACCAAGAAATCTGTAGAAAATGTGAAGAAAAAACCCCAAACAGTTCAGATCAATAACATGTGATAAAGCCAGGTTTAAATAGTTGACATATGAGTCTAAATGTTTCTACAGGGGGAGATCTCTTTGTAGAACTCCAGAAATCAGAAAATACTGTCATAAAAGGTCATTGCCTGCATGTTTTAATGATAAAGTGTGTATAAATGTATAAATGGAGGCGTAAAAAAAGCTTCAGAATATGAATGATAAAGTGTGTGTAAATGGAGGCGTGTGTAAATGAAAGGGTTACAAACAGATTCAATTCAAAGGTGTTACCATCAGATGCTCAGCAGCTGCAGCGTGTAAATGGCAATGAAATCCTTCTGACCTGAGCTCCTCCCACAATGCAACATATAGAATAAAATACAAAATAAAAATTGTCAGTAGAATATGGGATATGTACGGAGCCCTGGAGGGTTCATAGAGAGACAAATTAATGAAACGAGGCCACGTTTTATTAATTTGTGCGCACGATATACTTCCTTATGGTTAGACACATCGAACTGCCCGATTATTACGCCATATTATTAGTTTTATGAAGAAGATGTCCGGTCGCCAGGGCGTGTGTGTGTATGTTTGTGTGTGTGTATGTGTGTGTATGTTTGTGTGTATGTATGTATATGTATGTATGTGTGTGTATGTTTGTGTGTGTGTATGTTTGTGTGTGTGTGTGTGTGTATGTATGTTTGTGTGTATGTATGTGTGTGTATGTTTGTGTATATGTGTGTGTATATTTGTGTGTGTGTATGTTTGTGTGTATATGTTTGTGTGTGTGTTGTCGGACACACATACACAACACACATCATGTAGCATTTCACGTTTCCATAGCATCAACAGCGTAAACTCGCCTTCAAAATAAAAGCATCCAAGTAAAACAGGAAGTTAACCTAAATTACATTTAAGACATGTACAACTGCAATGAAAGTAACAAAAACAATGTCATATCCTTTTCAGTTTCACAGAACACAAATTGGGTTATTTACACATCATGCGCCCTGGTGACCGGACATCTCCTTCATCAAACGAGTAATAATCGTGTGTGTGTGTGTGTGTGTGTGTGTGTGTGTGTGTGTGTGTGTGTGTGTGTGTGTGTGTGTGTGGTGTGTGTGTGTGTGTGTGTGTGTGTGTGTGTGTGTGTGTGTGTGTGTGTGTGTGTGTGTGTGTGTGTGTGTGTGTGTGTGTGTGTGTGTGTGTGTGTGTGTGTGTGTGTGTGTGTGTGTGTGTGTGTCTGGCTAAAACGTAGCAGCCTCGATCTCAAACAGAGTGAAGGCGCTGCGTAAAAGACACAGCTCTCTGTGCGCAGATAGCAGATACTGTGAGAGTCACGGACATGAAGTCATAGATCAAGGCAGACTGGTTTACTCTCCTGTTTTGCGAATCCGGTGCTTAAACAAATAGCTCTACACCCCTGGACGAAATGTCCCTAAAATGAAGTCGAGTTTGAAATATATCTTAAATAATGTATGCACTGTCATTTCCCCACATAAACATAACAGTCTGCAATGAAACGGTTGTCTCCTGTGCGCTCCTCTTCCTACTTGGCGCACCGGTAACTTTCTCGTGCAAACGAATAAAATTAATAAAACATGGCCTCGTTTTATTTATTTGTCTCTCTATGAACCCTCCAGGGCTCCGTAGATATGTACAAGAACAGAATATGAAATTAAATAATGTAAATGAAGACGATACGTTTGTGGATTTATCAATAATATGTCTGAAATACCATAACAACAATGCGTACCCTTCTCTCCTGCAGCTGAAACCCCGGATGGTGATGACCCCGCTGGCCATCTCCCCCCCCAGCAGCACCCCCGAGCCCGACATGAGCTCCATCCCCCAGGACGCTGCCACCGTGCCGCACTCTGCCACCCCCCAGGTGCTCACAGGTAACAGGAACTCACCAGATACACCTTTAATGCTGATCAGCAGTACCCTGTACCCAAATGTATGTTTTTAAAATCAGAATCAGGTTTATCACCAGGTGGGTTGACACGTACGAGGAATTTGACTTGATGTTGTGGTGCATACATACAATTTAAAACACAGATAAAGAACTATTTGAAGAAAATAACATTAAAAAACTATAGTAAAAGGAGTCCTATACTTCTTGTGGTGTTCCCGTTGACTCCTGGAACATAGTGACATCACTATAGATCACTCCTGCTTCATTAAAAACTGTTCAGGTTGAAATAAATACATGTTTAGGTTTTAGGTCTGCAGAGGCTAAAATCCCTGTGTTCCCTCCAAAGGGACTTTCTCTCTCCCCCTCCCCCCCCCCCCCCCGCCTGCCTGAAACACCTCCATTGTTAACTCCCGGAACATAGTGACATCACTATGTAACACTTGCGTTCCTATTGGCTAGCGCTCCAACAAATTGTCCGTGATAGGCTAAGAGGCGGGACATCTCTTAGAGGTTGACCAATCACAGCTAAGTTTTGATTTCACCCTGCTAGCACAACAGATATAGTGTACACTGATATTCAAAGGATCCATAGGCTGTAAGTCTTAGGCTCCTGCACCAAGGCTACATACAATATAGTTGACATAAAAATAAAAAGTGCATCAAATATTGCAATAAAATTGTGCAAAAGCGTCCGCAGCAGTACATTGCTTAACATCACACACTTAACATTGACAAGTACCTCATACATCCAACTGTTCCCATTAAGATCATTAAAGTAGTTCTCGGGTTCGACTCCAACCTGCGGACCCTAGCTGCATGTCTTTCTATCTCTTAAAAATATAATCCAGTATCTCTTCCCCTGTGTTTCCCTGCTCCAGTCTGCATCTACATCAACAAGCAGGCCAACACGGGTCCTAACTTGGACCGGAAGAAGATCCTCCAGCTGCCGGACCACTTCGGGCCGGACCGACCCTCCGTGGTGCTCCAGCAGGCCGTGCAGGGCTGCATCGACAGCGCCTTCCTGCAGAAAACCGTCTTCACGCTGCTCACCCAGGGCTACGGGGGAGAAAAGATATCAGGTGTTGTACAAAGACCTCCCTCAGGTACAGTGTTTACCACTGTACCGGAAAAGACACTCCTAGAGAATGAGGAGTTTGAGATATATAGTAAAAACTGACACCATGGATTTTTTTTGAAATTATGTAAAAAGTCAACATTCACAAAAATAATACGGTTCTGAGAAAAAGTCAAAATTCTGAGAAAAAAAAGTCGTACTTTCTTTTAGAAAAAAGTTAACATTCTGAGAAAAATATATAATTCTCACAAAGTTTGAAGGAGATTGTCCACTTAGACTCAAGGATAAACTGAGATTTGAGTGGTCATTTTGATTCCATTTCCTCCCTCAAATCTTTACATCAGGACGAACCGATAGGATTTCTGTAGTGAAATATCTTTGTGACTTCCCACTCTTGTAATATCCCAAAAATCCTTAAATTATTGGCACAAATGTCCACTTGGACTCGTCGGTGAACTTATGATTCAAGATTCAAAGGTCTTAATGTCATCTGCACGTAAGCTACAGTGTTCTTCTGACCTGAGCTCCTTCAACGATGCAACATGTATAATAAAATACAAATGCAAAATAGTGCCAGAAGTCTATATACATGTAAATAGAATATGATATGTACAAGAACAGAATGTAAAATTAAATATTGTACAGCAAGATTAAATTAAATACGGTTTATTAAGGTGATAACTATTTAGATAAATAAGTACATTGAAAGAAGACAAACAGATGAATGTTTATCGAGGCACTTAACAGAGCTTATGCAAATTCAAGATGTGTTTACCGACTGTGTCAATTAGTTTTCATTTTTCATAATAAGCGTATTCATTCTTGTGTTATGGCCCAAAACGATTGTAGGGTTTTGTGAGGTCACACTGACCTCTGAGCATAACAATATATCAGTTCAGCCTCAGGTCCAAGCTGACCTTCTGGCCAAATTTGAAGAAATTCCTGAGATATCACCGGCACCATGATTGGGATATCTTTAACCTTTGACCTCCAAATTATAACCAGTTCATCCTTAAGTCCAAGTCATTGGTGGTGCCCAATTATAAGAGATTCCGTCGAGGCGTTTCGGTCCTATTGGGTTTACGAGAATTGGACATACGGACAATCGGAGAACATAAAAATGCACCAGTGTCTTTATTTGGTTTTGTCATGTTGTTGTTGTTGTTGTGTAGTATTAATGGACTAGGCAACAACTAATGATAATTGTTAAAATATTTTGTTGTTGTTGTTGTTGTTGTTATGCTATTGTACCTTCAGGGTTACAGACTACACCTCCAACTTCCTACAATCGCTTTTTGAGGGGTTTTCATTATCCAAAAAAAAGCATTGATGAAAAATTAACAAGCGACACATTTTCAAACCTGCAAATATCGTTATGAAATCTTTTGGCCACATTTATCCTATTTGGAAACCCTGATATCGAGACAGCCCTAATTGTAAACAAGCATTAGTAGAAGTTTAATTTGTGTGTTTAAAGCTGATGTTGTTTACAGTGTTTGTTTGTTTGTTTGTTTACAGCCACGTTTGACGGGAAGCAGCACCTGCTCAGCCTCCCGGTGGTGAACAGCATCGACTACGTGCTGCGCTTCCTGAAGAAGCTCTGCCGCTCTCTGCACTGCGAAAACCTGTTCAGCGATCAGCCAATCAGCACGGGCGCCTACGCCTCCGACGGTACAGAGGATTCTGAAATTAAGAGAAACGTCAACTTTATGAGGAAAATGTTCAGAAGTTAGGAAAAATGTCAACATTCGGAAAAAGTACCAATAAAATTAAATAAAAATCTTGAGATAAAGTAAGAATTCTGAGAAAATATATAGTTCTGACAAAGTTTTCAAATTCTAATTAAAAAAAAAACAGGATTCTGGAAACAAATCATAATTCTGAGAAAGATCCTTTCTTCAAAACCGATTCTTTGGATGGAAATGATTTCTAATGGTCTTTAATGGTTTAGTCTTAAAAAAACTCCCATCCCCAATCTTTGTTTTTGAGGGAGTTCTGGCTAGGAGGAACTTCAATTAAGAAAAAATGTCTTAATAATAATAATAATAATAATACATGATACTTCTATAGCGCTTTTCTAGACACTCAAAGACGCCTGGGGGGGGGGGGGGGGGGGGGGGGGACAGTGGTTGAATGCAGTGTTGAACAGGTGGGTTTTGAGTGATGTTTTGAATGCGGTGAGGGAGGAAGGGTCTCTGATGGATTGGGGTAGTGAGTTCCAGAGGGTGGGTGCAGCAACGGAGAAGGCTCTGCTGCCCCAGGACTTGAGGTTGGTCCGGGTGGGGGGGGGGGGCAGGAGGTTGGCAGCAGCAGAGCGGAGGGAGCGAGTGGGAGTGTGTCTGTGGAGGAGGTCAGTCAGGTGGGGGGGGGCTTTGTACATCATCAGGAGGATTTTGTACTGGATTCTCTGGGGGGTGGGGAGCCAGTGGAGCTTGATGAGGACGGGGGTGATGTGGTCACGGATTCGGGTGGGGTGAGTAGACGGGCGGCGGAGTTCTGGATGTATTGAAGTTTGTTGAGGATTTTTGCAGGTGAACCATAGAGGAGGCTGTAGTCCAGACGGGAGGTGATGAAGGCGTGGATGAGGGTTTCTGCAGCAGTGGGGGAGAGGGGTGGACGTAGACGGGCGATGTTTTTGAGGTGGAAGAAGGCTGTCTCTGTGATCTGTTTGATGTATCGGTTGAAGGAGAGGGTTTGGTCAAATATGATGCCTAGGTTCCGGATGTGAGGGGAGGTTCGGACTGGGAAGCCGTCTATGTTGAGGGTGAAGTTATGGAAAGATGTGGTGATAAAAGGTTCAGCAGCAAAGAGTTCTGGGTAGAACCTCAGCCCTTTAGCAAGATCCCTTACTATAAGCTTTTATAACGGACATGTTCTTTGATCTAACTTTCTGATCTCGTCTCTACTGTAGCTGAAACGGCCGATGATTACCATTTAGACAGTCTGAGGGTAAAAGGTACATTTCGGAAAGAAAGTCAGAACAAGAGTCCTCTCCTGCTGATGTTCAGGTGTATATCAGTATGTAGTGTCTCTACTTTAAAGAGTCCTCTCCTGCTGATGTTCAGGTGTATATCAGTATGTAGTGTCTCTACTTTAAAGAGTCCTCTCCTGCTGATGTTCAGGTGTATATCAGTATGTAGTGTCTCTACTTTAAAGAGTCCTCTCCTGCTGATGTTCAGGTGTATATCAGTATGTAGTGTCTCTACTTTAAAGAGTCCTCTCCTGCTGATGTTCAGGTGTATATCAGTATGTAGTGTCTCTACTTTAAAGAGTCCTCTCCTGCTGATGTTCAGGTGTATATCAGTATGTAGTGTCTCTACTTTAAAGAGTCCTCTCCTGCTGATGTTCAGGTGTATATCAGTATGTAGTGTCTCTACTTTAAAGAGTCCTCTCCTGCTGATGTTCAGGTGTATATCAGTATGTAGTGTCTCTACTTTAAAGAGTCCTCTCCTGCTGATGTTCAGGTGTATATCAGTATGTAGTGTCTCTACTTTAAAGAGTCCTCTCCTGCTGATGTTCAGGTGTATATCAGTATGTAGTGTCTCTACTTTAAAGAGTCCTCTCCTGCTGAAGTTCAGGTATATCAGTATGTAGTGTCTCTACTTTAAAGAGTCCTCTCCTGCTGATGTTCAGGTGTATATCAGTATGTAGTGTCTCTACTTTAAAGAGTCCTCTCCTGCTGATGTTCAGGTGTATATCAGTATGTAGTGTCTCTACTTTAAAGAGTCCTCTCCTGCTGATGTTCAGGTATATATCAGTACGTAGTGTCTCTACTTTAAAGAGTCCTCTCCTGCTGAAGTTCAGGTGTATCAGTATCTTGTATTACGAACATATAATGGCCATATCCTCTGATCTCGTCTCCAGCTGAAACGGCCGATGATTACCATCTAGATCAGTCCGATGGTAAACGGTACTCCATGGATCTCGGAGATTTCGGCTCCATCAGCTCTTCGTATTCTCCAAAGTCTTCGTACGGGTTTCGATCGTCGCAGCAGTTCTCCGGCGGCTCGATGAGCGTCTGCCGGCCAGCGTCCAGCAGCCCGAACTCTTTCATAGAGAGCAACCGCACAGGTGAGAGGAGAAACACGAAGTAAAGATTACTACCAGTTACTAGAGATGGCAAAAGTACACACATCCTTTACTCAAGAAGAAGTACAGATACTCGTGTTTAAACATACTCTTCCAATATGAGAGTACACATGATAACAAAGGTATCCCAACTGTAGCTGTGAACATGACAGGATGTCTGATTACCTAGAAGAGCATCAGGACTGTTTGAGGCATATGATAGCTATGTGATTAACATGATGATTCAGCCTCTATGGAGATAGACATATGACAAGCATGATCATTTCTGACGTGGAGCTAATCTGAAGTAAACATTGAATACTGCTTTCTATTCCTCCATCTTGTGACTGTGTAACTCCCTCTCTTGGATATCAGCATGTGAAGGACACTGTTCAGGAACTAGTTGATGCTCTGTATGTGATGACTACTTCCATTCTGGAGAGGATCACAGATACATGGATCCTGATGAGCTCAAGCCGGAGACCAGGGAGAGTGTTCTAACGGTTCCTCTGATGGTAAAGCTTTGTGTTTACAGGAGGTTATAATGCATCTTCAGAACCACAGGAGTCCAAAGCCCCGCAGAATAAAGACCCCTCCTCCTGGTCTGTGGACGATGTGGTCTGGTTCATCAGAGACGCAGACCCTCAGGCCCTCGGACCGCACGCTGACGTCTTCAGGAAACACGTAAGGGGATTGTTTATTGTTTTCCATACAACTTTCACTACAGATTGAATGAATATCCAGTGGAAACCACGTCGGAGAATCCATTAAAGGTCTCCTATCGTGCTAAATGCACTTTCTGATGTCTTCTCTACGTCACCATGTGTCCCCGGTGTGTCAGGAGACTCACTAAGTGATGTCTTTTCTACGTCACCATGTGTCCCCGGTGTGTCCCCGGTGTGTCAGGAAATAAACCCCTCTCTCTTTTCCTCCATACCCTCATCTCTAAAAACGGGGGAACAACGGAGCTGATTCAGATTTGCTGCGTCATGACGACGTTACTAAAATGTGGGCGGGCTTTACAGCCACGGGCCAATCAGAAACGTTGCTGTCAGAAACAATGAGACGTGTTCTGGAAGTGATATGGTCTGTGTTCAATGTTAGCTTTCCAAAAACACTTGTGATGTTTGGAAATGAAGTGGTGCGTCTTTATTAGGCAAATATGCATTTTCTCATAGACTTCCATCAAATCTGAGGTCATCAATCAAGAGAGAAGTAGGGCCAGTTTCTCAAAGACTTCTATACAACATGTGGTAATACATTGGCAAAGATGCATTAAAGTAAAGTCCCTATCAAAGCACATCGTGCTTCAATCTCTGTGAAATGCTTTATATGAATCAACAGTGATCCTTGTTCAATGAAATGCTCCTTATAGCCTACTGTAGTATCATTTCTCGCTACTGCAATAACATTTTACATTATCAAAGAGAAATGTATTTGCAATATCAGTCAGGACATTTAATTGCAATTGCAAACATTTTCAGGGAGATTATTGGATATGACACATCTTGTCTGCTCACCTATTTCCTGTTGATCTAACTTCTTGTCCTTCGTCTTCCTCTTCCTCCTCTTCCTCCAGGAGATCGATGGAAACGCCTTGTTGCTCCTGAAGAGCGATATGATCATGAAGTATCTGGGTCTGAAGCTCGGCCCGGCGCTGAAGCTCTGTTTCCACATCGACAAACTAAAGAACAACAAGTTCTGAAAACACACTTATCCTCGTCTGTAAATCCACATCTGAGAGGAGAAGAGGATCAACGCAGAGTTGTACATTTCACTTTAGGACAGATTTTTGAATTAAAAAAAACATCAGATGGTGGAAAAATAAATCCTGCACACGTTAATGTAATCAGTCAGGCTGGCGTCACACTGTCCCCACATCGACACCAGATGGACACGCATATGGAATTGTGAATTTCGCACGAAGATGGCCCCGAACTTGGTCAACAGCCGAAGCAAGCACGATGCCTACAGAAGGCCGGACCACACACTCCGTCATGTTGTTTCCATAGCAACTACAACTTCCTGTCAACAGCGTAAACTCGCCTTCAAAGTAAAAGCATCTAAATAAAACTGGAAGTCAACCTAAATTACATTTAAGACATATTTACAACTGCAACGAAAATTAACAAAAACAACGTAATATCCTTTTCAGTTTCACAGAACACAAATTGTACTATAATACGATGGCTACACGACGGCATCGCGAGGGCTTCACGTAGTCGTGTTGCCTTCCTAAGACAATCGGGCAGCTTCTTGTTTCCTTCGTATTGTCTTCGTGAGGCGAAAAATGCCCGATGGCCCCGATGATCACACGAAGTAAAGACACGATTTGACAAGATGCCCTCACGAGTGCCTTACGAAGGGCACACGAATTCAACACGGAAATGAACCTTCAAAAGGTCCTTCGGCAATTTTTTTTCATGCCAAAGATTTTGCCACCGCTCACGAAGTTGCTGCCGGAGCCTGAGAAACTCCTCCGGCGGTCATACGACGGCTTAAGATGCCCTCACGAACGGCCCGATGTTACGATCAGAGCCGAATTTGAACATTTCCTTTATCGTGTGTCCATCTGGTGTACATTTCGGGACAGTGTGACGCGGGCTTTAAAGAAGGCACATGCAGATTCATTATAAATATATATATATATTCATCATCTGACCGATAACAGTGAACACTTTTCACAACTCATTACTGAGAAACCGTGCATTTAGAAAATCATTTTGACGCTATTTTTTGACATTATTGTCCAACAAAGAGGGTAAAGTTTGATTTGATTTGTCATTATTTTGTATTATAATTTATTTAAAAATCACTCTAGCCAAAAGACAGTAGCTCTCTTATTAGTATATATATTTAAAAAATGAGAGCACATAGAAATATTTATGTTTTAATCAGCCGATTATTTCCATTGGTTGTTTATGTAAACTTATTTTGTATTATTTTCCATCAGTGTCAAAACACCGTTAATATTACACTGAGAATCTGCCGTGTAAATGGGTATAATATAATATATTCATAATAATATATAGTATTGCTTTTGTACGCCACTTTAGGTGTACAGTATGCATCCTTTTTTAATTAATTAACTTTGTAATTGAATGCTGCTGTAAAGATGTCACATGTGAGCCTAGTGAGAACGAGCTGAGGGCTTTTATTTAGAAAATCACTACGAATATTAGGCTGGGTTGCACCGACAAGGATTCATTTCAAAAACACTTAAAGGTCTCCTATCATCCTCCTCTTCATCAATATATTATAGGTCTCAGATATATCCAGAGCCTGTCTCTGATTGGCTGAAACACCAAACAGATCATTGCAGCATTACCCATAATCCCCTCTGTTTCAGCCCTGTTTCCAAAGTGCTGATTCTCTGTCTGTTACTTTAGATGAAAATAAGGAGCCCCTCCCCACGCCCCTCTGAGAGACATTTGGTTACAAAGAACTCAATGGTGCTCTAGGAGGAGATGCAGGTGATAAGGGGGGGGGGTTACCTTGGTTGCTGATTGGCTAATGGTTACACAAGACAAAACATCGTTATGACATCAAGTGGCCAAAATCTGATCAGCTCATTTTCAGACAGGTTTTTATAGAAATGGATCAAAAAGAGAGAGAATCTTTGTTCCTGAAACTTTCAGAGTCTCTTTCCACAGAGGGGACACATGTTGATGAAGAAGAGACATGAAGAAGAGGGGACACATGTTGATGAAGAAGAGACATGAAGAAGAGGGGACACATGTTGATGTAGAAGAGACATGAAGAAGAGGGGACACATGTTGATGTAGAAGAGACATGAAGAAGAGGGGACACATGTTGATGAAGAAGAGACATGAAGAAGAGGGGACACATGTTGATGTAGAAGAGACATGAAGAAGAGGGGACACATGTTGATGTAGAAGAGACATGAAGAAGAGGGGACACATGTTGATGTAGAAGAGACATGAAGAAGAGGGGACACATGTTGATGTAGAAGAGACATGAAGAAGAGGGGACACATGTTGATGTAGAAGAGACATGAAGAAGAGGGGACACATGTTGATGTAGAAGAGACATGAAGAAGAGGGGACACATGTTGATGTAGAAGAGACATGAAGAAGAGGGGACACATGTTGATGTAGAAGAGACATGAAGAAGAGGGGACACATGTTGATGTAGAAGAGACATGAAGAAGAGGGGACACATGTTGATGTAGAAAAGACATGAAGAAGAGGGGACACATGTTGATGAAGAAGAGACATGAAGAAGAGGGGACACATGTTGATGAAGAAGAGACATGAAGAAGAGGGGACACATGTTGATGAAGAAGAGACATGAAGAAGAGGGGACACATGTTGATGTAGAAGAGACATGAAGAAGAGGGGACACATGTTGATGTAGAAGAGACATGAAGAAGAGGGGACACATGTTGATGTAGAAGAGATATGAAGAAGAGGATTTTAAATAATAGGTGACCTTTAAATAAACTACAAATCAGGTGTTTTTAAATGTCAATTATTAATCTGGATTTATTGTTATTCTGTCCCAATAAGGTTATTTTTTACTTTAATTAATTTTGTGGCTGCCCCAAAACTTAAAAAATAAGAATGTAATTTAATTACATTCTTATTTTTAAATCTGGATTTGCTGAAATTCAGCCGTAGTGTTGCTGAAGTCTAAACATATGAAATGCTTCCCGGTTGGTGCAGCCGAGCCTTAAGGGTGTTAGAGTCTGCTGGTGCTAAACTTACCTTTCATGTATTTAATGTTTGCTTTGTGTCTGTGTCTGTAAAGGAACCCATGTGTATATCGTACTGTATGTGAACATTAAATTAAGAAATCAAGTCATCGCAGAGGGTTTTTATAGTGTCACTTTTCTTTGGAGGTTTCTGAATGTTCTCACAGACTTCTCTACAATCTGAGGTCATACAGAGAGAGAGAGAAGCAGGAACATCTCGCCCCCTGCTGGATATTAGAGAGAATGCAGCTTTTGAAGGTATTGCAGCATCACAATGAATCAAGTGAATCATTGTGATTAAATAATTTAATTGATTTAGAGCTGTAGTTTTGCTCTTCATTTTCACGTAGTTTTGATTTTTTTAAGTATGTTTTTTAATCAAAACTACAATTTGAAATCTCATTATTTTCGTATATTTATATACTTATTTAATTTAATAAATATTTTCTTAACTGTAACTTCTATTTTTTTATTCTTTTTGGAGGTCATGGGAAAAAATGCCAATAAATTCTGTTTCTCAAGAAAAGTAAAATATTTCCCTCTGAGACGTAGAGTAGAATAAAGGTGCATACAATGGAAATACTCAAGCACAAGTACTTTTGTAGACAACTTAAGTTTATTTAGTGTTTTCTTTTTATTCAAAACTATAATATCCCTAAGGTAAAATTGTACTTTTTGTGTCCAGCCTTGCATTTTTCTTTAAAAATCACACCTTTCAATGACAACACACAGGGCCGTCCCTGGCCAACATGAGGCCCCACGCAAAGTTATATGATTTGGGGGGGGGGGGGGTGCTAGTGGAGCCAGCAGCGAAACCGTGCCGCGCCACAAAATGTTGCGCCGCATAAGCGCGCCGCATTTTCGGCTCAGTTGAGGCCCCCTCTGCAAGGTGAGGCCCCCTCTGCAAGGTGAGGCCCCACACAGTCTGCATGATCAGCCTGTAGGGAGGGACGGCCCTGACAACACATCACCTAATATCATTCCTGATTGTTTAATCACTCCGTCAGGGTGTTATAAATCCCAAACCTTGTCCTCCCTGATGATGACATGAGGGGTCTGGCTCGAGCAAGTTCACTTATTTTTTTATTAGAATTGTTTGGGTGGGGGTCTTATTTTCAGCTTTGATGCTGCTGCTTCTTTTTAGCCATTATTTATTTTAACGTTTGCTTCCCTTTTCTTTAAATAGTCTTTTATTGTGCCTTTTATCTGCACTGTCCCTTTGCTGTGTGGGATTTCTGAATCTGATCTAGTATATCTTCTTTAATGAACAAAAAGTCATTAAAATAAATGCAATGTTTATCTATGTTACAGTGGAGAAGTAACATACAATGGGAATACTCAAGTAGGAGTAAATCTACTTTCCACCACTGGGGCTTTTTTTGTCCAGCCTTGCATGTTTTTTTTTTTAATTCTTCTTTAAAAATCACACCTTTAAATGACAACACATCACCTAATATAATTCCTAATTGTTTAATAGCTCCATCAGGGTGTTATAAATCCAAAATGTTGTCCTCCCTGATGATGTAATGAGCTCCAGAAGCAGAAAGTTGCACACGGCTCCTGCAGACGCATCAGACTGGCGCGTGGGATCGGTCCCTGCTGCGCCGCATCTGGAACAATAACGTCGGGAAAGATCCACACACTTCATTAGCAGACTGTGTTTTTTATAAGCAGCAGTGTTGAGAATAAGATAATCCCCTTTTGGGCTCACGTCTCCATCGGAAGGGGCTTTTTTTCGGTTTTTCTGGAGCACACGTTCATCCATTGAGAATCACCAAACGGGCAGAAATCAGGTGAGAAGATCCGCCTGCAGAGAGGCCGACATGTCGTGTTTTCACATTATACAAGCAGCCGGTGTTCATGTGTCGCCTTACATATCGGGGTTTCTCGCGTTTGCATGAATGCCATCGAGCTGTGCATCCTTTAAGAGGAAACACAGGCGCTTTTGAGCAGATGTCATGCACATTTGCGCATTTTAATTGGCGTTTTTTTTTTTTTTTTTTTACAACGTGTTTCTGAAGCAGCACCGAGGGAGCTGTCCTGGTTTTTTTATATATATATATATATATATATACATAAATAGATCTGCTCGGTTATGAAATGTTGTTTTTCTGGTATCGATGCGCAGAGGAAGATGTCATAAGGATGGAGATCATCTGAAAAAAACGCGCTCACTGCGTCGTTTCCATCGGAATGCAGCAGCATGGCAGCTTAGCTTTAATAGCATTAACTCGGATGTCATTGCTCAAAGCTGGAATAAAGCAGCATCTGTTGGCCATTATTAAAAACCTGTGGCCTGTTTGCATCGCGAGGTGTTTATCTGGGGGGGACGGGGGGGGGGGGGGGGACGCCGCAGTTACACGATGGCCACACGGTTTGTCAGTGCAAAGAAACACAATCCTGCAAAAAAAGGTCTCAAGGTCATTCACTGCAGCCTCTTCTGCACATTAAACACATCATTAATACAGCTCGTGCTGCTCAGGGGGGGGGGGGGGGGGGGGGTGGTTCTGACACGCATTACACGCAGGACTTGTCAAATAAGCCGGTGCTTTACCCTGTGTGGTATGAAGGATGTGAGCAGATAATATACAGCTTCGTATACCAGTTAACAAATAATAATTCTACTCTGATTTGAATTGTTTGGGTAGGATTTTGTATTTATGTGGTTGAGTAACCAAATAAACCAACGTTTAGAGTGCTGTGATTTCTTTTTTCTTTTTTTTTGGGGAGGGGGCTTGTCAATATACGTCTTGTGTTGGAAAAATCTCCCAAAAATGTACAATATTCCCCATTGAGAGTAGGGTGAGGGACACATTACACGCAGAATATGCCAAATAAGTCGGTGCTTTACCCTAAGGATGTGAGCAGATCATATATAGCTTCGTATACCAGTTCGAAAATATACATATTCAACTATTGTTTGATTTTTTTGGGTTTGATTTTGTTTGTTTTTCTGTAGTTTAATAATATGTGAGTGCTGGGCTTCTCAATATACGTCTTGTGTTGGAAAAATCTCCCAAAAAATGTACAATATTCCCCTTTGAGAGTAGAGCAAAGAGTCACATCACACGCAGTGTTTTGCGTTGATTTGAACGCACATTGTTCGTGTTGTTGTGGAGGCCTGATGTGATGCTGCTGCAGATCCAGATGTTTCTCCAGAGCAGCATCACACCTGTTCTCATGTGCAGAAAACAGCTCTTTTTGTCATACGCATGTGTGCAGGATTGACGCATTTCTCGGCCATTTGATGTCATCTGCCACATCATGGGTGAATAATTAATAATGTGGCTGCTGCTGGTGCCGAGGAGACTCATAATGCAGAACAGTGTGCGGTTACCCAACACTGGATTAAACACGCTATTAAATACACATTATGTATTATATTCAACTCACCGTATCACAAGATAGATTCCCCATTTATACAGATTGTCAGGGCTGTTTGAGGGAATACATCGAGAGAGAAGGACATTTCCTCCTAGACTTCTATACAATCTGAGGTAATGCAGAGAGAGAGAAGTAACCCAACACTGGATTGAACATGTTATTAAATACAGCACATTGAATATCATATCATATATAACCTCCTCCACTATATCCATCATTTTTGCAGATTTAAGGCACACTGTCTTTAGGGTTTTTAGTTTACTTTCAGCACAGTATACAGGTTGTTGTATTATGTATTTGCACTTCCAGTTAGAGAGTATCTGCCATTACTTTGCATAGCATTGTCAGCTTTATCAACCTTTACCAAATCAACAGTTATTAAGCTTTTGAATCAAAGTCAGTCAACTTTAATGTCAATTGTTCTGTGTGTTTGTACATCGAAATACAACTATCCCAAATACAATAATACAAATATACAAATATGTATAAATATGCTATTGGTTTTATGTCCTATATATATTCATGTTGCATTGTTGGAGGAGCCTGGCACTTCAGTTTTTCATTGCCATTTCTACACTACGCCTTGAACCTGAATTTGAATCTTAAGTTATGACAGTTGTCCAGGTGAGAAACTATTAAGATTACAAATATGAGATTTCTTTCTCAGGGTATATGCAGGAACCCTGAAGTCAAATGTAATTCCTTTTAAGACCTTTTTTAAGACCGTTTCCATACATTTTAAGACCTCATCGCCACTTTGAGTTTTAACCGGTTACCTTGGCGACACACTTTACCTCACATTGACTATATACAGTATTGATTGTCCTTCCTCCTTATCTTCCAACCATTTGGACGCAGACTTGCATTTCCCCATAACGATGTTGTTTAACAACCGGCGTAAACGGACCTTCGCGCGCTATCAAGCAGTGAGCGTGCGATGTCCTGTTCAGATGACGTCAAATCCAACGGGATGCCATAAATAAACTACACAGAATCACACTACACACCTACGCAATGATTACATTCAGGCAGACTGTAGAATACAACCTCTTTGGACAATTGATATACTTATTGAACATTTCGCTACATTTATTTATCAACTTTTAAAGCTCCCATGTCATGCTTTTCTGGTTATGACCCGTCCCCTTGTGTTCTGTAGCTTCTGCATGTAAACGGTCTGCAGAGTCACAAACCCTCAAAGTACACCCTGTAGCGAGTAAAACTCTTAACACAGAAAGACCTGTCTATGCTGCCCCAGAACGCCTCGTTGGACATTTCTCTTTCTCCATTGTTTGCTTCCTGGGTTCAGTGACGTGTGAACACCCAGATCAACAACAAATGACCGGATTGGCCCAAATGGACCAATCCTTGGAGCACCTCACACACCAGGGTCCCTTGGCTAACTAACAGGGAGTCCCATTGACTTGCATAGAGCTCCCTGGTTGGTAATAGACGAGTTGGGATGGTGGAGAAATGTTCTCCGCAGACCCATTCTCACAGCGTTAGAAACCTCTAACTCAATATCAAGCCACACTTATTGTGTTTACTTCGGCTGTGAGTGTTTGTGTGTGCTCAGGATGAGTTTCGCTTGTTCTCGCTGTATCGCCGACCCGGAAACCTGTCCGCTCCTCGCAGCAGCAACGAACCTCGCAACGTCCCGACCAATCAGAGCACAGTGGGCTCACAGGGAGGGGGGGGGCAGGAGCTCCAACAAGCCGTGTAGGACAGAGAGTGAATACACATACTATACAGAGATGCTGTTTGAGAAACCAATGAGAGTTTGGAAAATGACATGGGACCTTTAATACTTACTTACCCACGGACACCCTGTTTATCCAAAAAATGCATTTTAGAGAATCTAGGGCAATGTTTTGAAGAACTGCTGCCCAGTCTGCTTGAAAAAACACATCAACAATGTTTTTATAATGACTCACTGCCTCATTGAGCTTTTTGTGTTTCATTCAACGGCCAAGACTTCTTTCTGCTGCTCTGATACCAATGGAGAGCTCGTTCCACCATTTTGGAGACAGAATAGCAAACAGGCTGTTAGGGAATAATTTGCTTAGGTATTCAACCCTTGACACAGTTCATCGTTTTCTCTCTGTTACTGTCTCCTTTCTCATGGCATAGGTCTACGGCCTGGGGTATTGCTGCTATCTCTCTTAAGGGGGAGCAGCTTGGGCGCATTGTTGTTGCCAGTCTATGACAGAGCACAAGCCGCCATGAGGTAGTTTACTGTTCAGGGACGTAGGTTCCCTGGCGCACATTCTTTCCTATGGACGAGAGCTCTAGTTAGATTCAGGGTCCATATTGCTTTAGTCTCGCTGATGAAGAATGTTGATTATTACACTCTGAACTAGTTAAAACCTCGAGCTGCAGAAAGAGTTCTTCAGAATTGTTTTGGCAACCGCCGTGTCAGCTCATAACACACCACCTGTCTTGTCAATTCTCCGGCCGAAGCTCCAAATAAACCGCCAGTGTTTGCCCTCAAAGCTCCAGCTCTCCTCGTGAGTCCTGTTTCTAATTGCTTCAGAGGTTTCCCCCACACAGGCTATACTTAACGTGATTTCTCACCTGCAGGCAAACTCTTTTCTCCCGTTTATAATAGTTTCTCTAATGATGGGACAGTGGGTTGTATAATTCAGGGTATTTCTCTCGACCTGGATATCTCCTCATCCATGAAATCACCTCTTTCCACTCCAACAAGAGACATAAAGGAGCTGCAGGAACAACGTTTTTTAGGGTCTGCGAGGCTGGATAGTGGAGTTTCGCCTTTACGTGAAGCAGCCTGACATGTCGCAGCATTTTAAATTGTACTGCATCCATTAAATTCATTTCTACAAGCCTATATTCACCTTATGTAGCCCCGCCCCTTCTCTCAATAGATTTGACTGGAGATCATTTACTGTCTCTGTTGTTGGAAACTCACCTAAAATGTTTTATGGTTTTATTTGAACAATGTGGTCACATGACTCCTTCTGATGTTACTGCAGATCTGCTGTAAGCTAGCTAGCTAACGTAGCTAACCTCGTCATTTCAGATATCCTGACAAACACTAACAGTTAAAGGTGGGGTAGGTAATTTTGGAGAAACCGGCTCGAGATCGCTAGAATTTGAAAATACACAGCCGGAAAAAATCTGCCACTTCCTTACAGAGCCCCTCCTCCAACACACACGAACGCACACATGACCAATGAGGGCACGAGATAAGTTTGTGCACAGATGGAAGGCTGACAGGCAGGTAGGCCATCCAGTTACTTTAGCCGGGCCGGCTCAGATGATTGGTCGTGCTTTTTACAGTACTACAGCTTCCACAGATGATATTTATTTATGGATTTTTTGTCAAAGCACTTCAGATATTCATTGCTATCTGGATGTTAAGAGCATTCCATGGAATATAACAACAAGTGTATCTCGAGCCGGTTTCTCAAACTTACCTACCCCACCTTTAAGAGACAAACTACTTTTAGTGTCCCCTGGTCTCCCAGCTGTGTGCGTCACTCTTTAGTGTCCCCTGGTCTCCCAGCTGTGTGCGTCACTCTTTAGTGTCTCCTGGTCTCCCAGCTGTGTGCGTCACTCTTTAGTGTCCCCTGGTCTCCAGCTGTGTGCGTCACTCTTTAGTGTCCCCTGTTCTCCCAGCTGTGTGCGTCACTCTTTAGTGTCCCCTGGTGTCCCAGCTGTGTGCGTCACTCTTTAGTGTCCCCTGGTCTCCCAGCTGTGTGCGTCACTCTTTAGTGTCCCCTGGTCTCCAGCTGTGTGCATCACTCTTTAGTGTCCCCTGGTCTCCCAGCTGTGTGCGTCACTCTTTAGTGTCCCCTGGTCTCCCAGCTGTGTGCGTCACTCTTTAGTGTCCCCTGGTCTCCCAGCTGTGTGCGTCACTCTTTAGTGTCCCCTGGTCTCCCAGCTGTGTGCGTCACTCTTTAGTGTCCCCTGGTCTCCCAGCTGTGTGCGTCACTCTTTAGTGTCCCCTGCTCTCCGTTGTGTTTTGAACTTCTTCAGCGTTTGGTTTCTGCAGCTTTTAGTAAACGCTGCGCATGTCTCCTCAAGTTGCTGAATGTTCTCTAAACGCTGCATGTGTTGTCAAGTTGCTGAAGACGTTTCTTCATGTGGAACATTTGGGTTCTTATATCTGCATCCTTTCTGAAGCTGCAGCGTTTCTCCTGATGGAAGATATTTGAGTACACTTACGGCCCGTCCACACAGCGGCTTTGGAAAAAGCTTGCCGGCGGGCGTGTCTGAAGCTCGACCAACAACCAATCACATGAATCTCCCGCCCCTGAGACACAAGCAGCGGTTTGATTGGCTAGAGCTTGTACTGGCATATGATTTGATTGGCTGACGCTTCCACCGAAAGCTTCAGAAGCTTCAAAAGTTGAACATTGCTCAACTTTTGCAGCCTGAAACACCAGGAAAGCTCCGCTCTGCTTCCCACAATGCAGTTCGGCGAAAAATGACGTCACCCCATTCAAAGTGAAAGGGCAGAAGCGTTGGAAGAAGCTTCCAACGCTTCTGTGTGGACGGGCCGTTAGTCTGTAGGGAGTATAATACGTTTCTGGTATAAACACAAATAATATATGAATACATTTTCCTCCAATGATTTGATTTGTCTTGTAAAGGCCTTGTGTTGGAATCATTGTGATAGTGATATTAGTTGGAAGTGAATCTACAAGGCGTTTTAAGTGGAAGAGAGACAACATTTCAACATATATGGTATGTATGTTTGTGCAGAGCCTGGTATGTTTACCTGTCTGCCAACAAACACAACATACAAAGGTTTGTTGTGTTTGTTTGCAGTAACCTGATCTGAGCGATCGATGAACTGATCTGTCACAGGTTCCGGGTCGGAGACAGAAATAGAACCAGAGCAGCGGGAAATATTCACTGCTGACTTACACGACTCCAAAAGAAACCCTCATGTTTACTCTGTGCTCATGTTTGAAGTCAAAATAGCTGTTTATAGGAGCCCTAATTTGCTTGTTGTGGTGTTCCCTCTCCTGTAGTGTGTTCTATAGGTTTTAGTGCATGTAAATGGTCTGCAGAGGCTAAAATCCCTGTGTTCCCTTGAGGGAAACAGTTTCAATATGTTCTGGATTTGTAGACACTAAACCAGTAAATAGAAAAATAATCTGTAATGAAAATGATATTCAGTTGCAGACCTGATACAGGTATGTTCATGAAGTGTTGCATACCTACTGTGTGGATAATATGTTAAATACACCTGCAAAGATTTATCTATAGTAGTCAACTAATAAATCCCCCAATATCTTGATAACCAATTTATCTGTTTGAGGGCTTTTTTAAGAGCTCCTAAAATGGGAATACGTTCTCGTTTCTCTCCTCCTCTATGACAGGAAACTGAATATCTTTCAGTTGTGGAAACATCAGACATTTGAAGAAACATTGATCTATGTTTTTGGACCTTTTCTGATCAATGAATCTAGAAAAATACAGATATTATATAATGAAAACAATCTTTAGTTGCAGCGCTAATGTTTAAAATCTCCATTCAAAGACAAACTCATCTATAAATCTGCAGAAAACCTCTGAACCTCTTTGCAGGCGGCTGTTTTGCTGCAGATGTTCACCCGGTCATGGCTCAGGCTTTAAAGGTCACCTATTATGCAAAATCCACTTCTTCATGTCTCTTCTACATCAACATGTGTCCCCTCTTCTTCATGTCTCTTCTTCATCAACATGTGTCCCCTCTTCTTCATGTCTCTTCTACATCAACATGTGTCCCCTCTTCTTCATGTCTCTTCTACATCAACATGTGTCCCCTCTTCTTCATGTCTCTTCTACATCAACATGTGTCCCCTCTTCTTCATGTCTCTTCTACATCAACATGTGTCCCCTCTTCTTCATGTCTCTTCTTCATCAACATGTGTCCCCTCTTCTTCATGTCTCTTCTACATCAACATGTGTCCCCTCTTCTTCATGTCTCTTATACATCAACATGTGTCCCCTCTTCTTCATGTCTCTTCTACATCAACATGTGTCCCCTCTTCTTCATGTCTCTTCTTCATCAACATGTGTCCCCTCTTCTTCATGTCTCTTATACATCAACATGTGTCCCCTCTTCTTCATGTCTCTTATACATCAACATGTGTCCCCTCTTCTTCATGTCTCTTCTTCATCAACATGTGTCCCCTCTGTGGAAAGAGACTCAGATAGTTTCAGGAACAAAGATTCTCTCTCTTTTTGATCCATTTTTATAAAAACCTGTCTGAAAATGAGCTGATCAGATTTTGGCCACTTTATGTCATAACGATGTTTTGTCTTGTGTAACCATTAGCCAATCAGCAACCAAGGTAACCCCCCCCCCCCCTTATCACCTGAATCTCCTCCTAGAGCACCATTGAGTTCTTTTTAACCAAATGTCTCTCAGAGGGGCGTGGGGAGGGGCTCCTTATTTTCATCTAAAGTAACAGACAGAGAATCAGCACTTTGGAAACAGGGCTGAAACAGAGGGGATTATGGGTATTGCTGCAATGATCTGTTTGGTGTTTCAGCCAATCAGAGACAGGCTCTGGATATATCTGAGACCTGTGATATATTGATGAAGAAGAGGATGATAGGGGACCTTTAATGAACGCATTGCTCTGGTGTGGTTGCAGGATCATGGGGAAGCAGAACAGCAAGCTGACTCCGGAGGTGATGGAGGACCTGGTGAAGAACACAGAGTTCAACGAGCACGAGCTGAAGCAGTGGTACAAAGGCTTCCTGAAGGACTGTCCCACCGGCCGGCTGAACCTCGACGAGTTCCAGCAGCTCTACGTCAAGGTGGGTCACCCATTAGTCTATTTATATATCCAGTCATTGATTCAGTTAGTCAGTGAATCATCCACTCAGTCATGTATTCATCCATCGATCCATCCATCTAGTCAAAGGCTTTCCTGAGAGACTGCCCCAACAACAGGCACACTTTGACTGGAACCAGTTGTTCTACGTCAAGATTCAAGGCTTTTATTGTCATTCGTACATAGCTACAGTGTAGTTATGACAATGAAAATCTTATGTCACAGGCTCCAACAACAGTGCAACACAATACAACAGATGGATCATTTATCCATTCATTCATTTTTCCATTCAGTCATTCATACAAAGATTCCTGAAGGACTGAACCACCATCAGGTTGAACCTTGACTAGTTCCAGCAGATCTACGTCAAGGTGGGTCATCCATTCATATGTTTATTAAACCACCCATCCACCCATCCACCCATCCATCCATCCATCCATCCATCCACCCATCCATCCATCCAACCATCCATCCATCCACCCAAAGGCTTCTTGAGAAACTGCCCCAACAACAGGCAAAATGTGACTAGTTCCAGTTGTTCTACGTCAAGGTGGGTCACCTGTCCATTTATCCTTCCATCTATCCATTAAACAATTCAGTCCCATCTATCCATCCATCCATATATCCATCCATTCATAAAGTATTCCTGAAGGACAGCAGGCAGAACTTTGACGAGTTCCAGTAATCTGGTTGAGAAATGTAAAACATGTCCCTCCTACCTTTGCAGTTCTTCCCGTACGGCGACGCCTCAAAGTTCGCCCAGCACGCCTTCAGGACCTTCGATAAGAACGGAGACGGGACCATCGACTTCAGAGAGTTCATCTGCGCTCTGTCCATCACGTCCCGCGGCAGCTTCGAGCAGAAACTCAACTGGGCCTTCAACATGTACGACCTGGACGGAGACGGCAAGATCACCCGGGTGGAGATGCTGGAGATCATCGAGGTGAGGGGGGGGGGTAAACTTATCAGGGGACCAATAACAGAACCCTGCACACCTGCTTTGAATGGAGACACAGATCCGTTACCGTAGAATACAACCTCTACGAAAAAGCCTTTAAATATAGAAACTGAAGTTATGCCGCAGTGTTTTCTGTCTTCGTTGACTTGAAAAGTGACCGCTCAATCTTTATTCTAAGTGCCCTTATAAAGGCATGAACTTAAAGCCTGTTCTGCATACTACATACTATATAAAGTGGGTATATTTAGGAGTGTGTGCTCAATCCTGCAGGTACATTTCCTACCTATAAACCCAACCAGATGAAGTGCTACTGCATGAGCTAGTTTAAACAGAGCAGAATATAATACTCAGCAGGGTCAGTCAAAGAGCGGTTTCCTTCAAAGGTCCAGAATGCATCATCAGTAGGGATAACTCATCAGTTATGTTTGGTATTCAGAGTGAAATATCTAAATTCTCCCCCATGCTGGATGACATAACCCTCCTTTCCGTGTGTTAATGTCTCCAACAGGCAATCTACAAGATGGTGGGCACGGTGATCATGATGAAGATGAACGAGGACGGCTTGACACCGCAGCAGAGGGTGGACAAGATCTTCGGGAAGATGGATAAAAACAACGACGACCAGATCTCGTTGGACGAGTTCAAGGAGGCGGCGAAGAGCGACCCGTCCATCGTTCTGCTGCTGCAGTGTGACATGCAGAAGTGAGACCTCCATCTTCACTCTTTCACACTCTTCTCCTTCCCCTCCCTCTGTAAACACACTCTCTGGACTGCAGCACATGTTTTAATGTCTTTAGGTTCTCTGCCATCCCCACAGGAAAACACAAACAAAACAATGCTTGGACTACTTTTCAATGGACTCGCTTCTTGTGGTTGTATGCATGAGAATGTCAAAGCTGAATCATTTTGAATATAGCTATAAAGATATCATACGTTTATATCTCCCAACCCGTGATTTGTGCACAGTAAAAAACCCTTAAACATGTAGCTTGTAAACGAGTGGAGCACTGCGTGATGTTCCTGCAGTGTTTAGGAAAACCCCCAGTGTTCACCGCTGCTGCCGCTGTACGCTTTACATTATACTAACTAAACAATAACTCCTATGATAATTGTAACTGTCTCTCCTTTCCAGACGTGGAGAACAGAGAGGCTGTTTTCACACGGTGGAACCAGGAAGAGTCGGTTCTTTGCATGCATATAATATGTGTCAGAAAAATATGAATCTCTTACCTTTTGCATCTTTAGGTGGTTATAAAAGAGAAACCCTTTGGATTCATTTAGTATTGTTGCATGGGATGTACAGTATGTGACCATCACAGCGTTTGTTCACCTCCAGTAACGTGGGAGCATGCTTTCTCCATCCGGAAACACCTGTACGCGTTCAGTTTACGGAAGGATTGCAGATGTGGGTTAAGAGTTTCACATTAAAACACACACACAGAGGGATTACTGAGCGGGGTCTCCCGGGCACAGAAAGCAGGGGCAACTCTCGAATATGACCTCAAACAGACGTAAAGCGACGACAAAGAGAAACAAAACGACGACAGTGAGACACAATGATTGCAAAGATACAACAAATGACGACAAAGAGACACTGCTACGACAACGAGATGCAACATGACCAGACAGAAATCGACTACATAGAAACACAACATGACGAAAAAGGGACAAAAAACGACCACAAAGAGACAGAAACAGAAACAATTGACTGCTTATAGATGCGAAGTGACTACAAAAAGAGACACAAATCAACTAAAAAGAGACGTACAATTATTGCAACGATACAACGAATGACAACAAAAGGACAAAGCTACTACAAACAGATGCAAAATGACCAGAAAAGCGACAGGAATCAACTAGAAAGCGACACAAACGACTACAAAGAGACGTAAAGTGACTACAAAGAGACGTAAAACAACTACAGTAAAACCAAAATGACTTGAAAAAGACACTAAATGATTGCAAAGATACAATGAATGACTACAAAAAGACAAAGCTACTAAAAGAGATACACAAAATGACTTCAAAGAGAGACCCACTGACTACAAAGAGAGAGAAAATGATTGCAAAGACATGTAAAACGACTACAGTGACTACAAAGAGACTTAAAGTGACTACAAAGAGACTTAAAGTGACTACAAAGAGACTTAAAGTGACTACAAATGGACTTAAAATGACTACAAAGAGACTTAAAGTGACTACAAAGAGACTTAAAGTGACTACAAAGAGACTTAAAGTGACTACAAAGAGACTTAAAGTGACTACAAATGGACTTAAAGTGACTACAAAGAGACTTAAAGTGACTACAAAGAGACTTAAAGTGACTACAAAGAGACTTAAAGTGACTAAAAAGAGACTTAAAGTGACTACATATGGACTTAAAGTGACTACAAAGAGACTTAAAGTGACTACAAAGAGACTTAAAGTGACTACAAAGAGACTTAAAGTGACTACAAATGGACTTAAAGTGACTACAAATGGACTTAAAGTGACTACAAATGGACTTAAAGTGACTACAAAGAGACTTAAAGTGACTACAAAGAGACTTAAAGTGACTACAAAGAAACTTAAAGTGACTAAAAAGAGACTTAAAGTGACTACATATGGACTTAAAGTGACTACAAAGAGACTTAAAGTGACTACAAAGAGACTTAAAGTGACTACAAAGAGACTTAAAGTGACTACAAATGGACTTAAAGTGACTACAAATGGACTTAAAAGTGACTACAAAGAGACTTAAAGTGACTACAAAGAGACTTAAAGTGACTACAAATGGACTTAAAGTGACTACAAAGAGACTTAAAGTGACTACAAATGGACTTAAAGTGACTATGAATAGACTAAACGTGACTACATAGAGACACACAATGACTACAAAGAGACTTAAAGTGACTACAAAGAGACGTAAAACAACTACAGTAAAACCAAAATGACTTGAAAAAGACACTAAATGATTGCAAAGATACAATGAATGACTACAAATAGACAAAGCTAATAAAAGAGATACACAAAATGACTTCAAAGAGATACACAAAATGACTTCAAAGAGAGACCCACTGACTACAAAGAGAGACCCACAGACTACAAAGAGAGAGAAAATGATTGCAAATATATGAAAAATGACTACAGAGACTACAAATGGACTTAAAGTGACTACAAATGGACTTAAAGAGACTACAAATGGACTTAAAGTGACTACAAATGGACTTAAAGTGACTACAAAGAGACTTAAAGTGACTACAAAGAGACTTAAAGTGACTACAAAGAGACTTAAAGAGACTACAAAGAGACTTAAAGTGACTACAAATGGACTTAAAGTGACTACAAATGGACTTAAAGTGACTACAAAGAGGTGCAAAGACAAACAACACACAACACGTCTGTGCCCAGGAGCCCATCGTCTCATATTCCATCCTTGTAAATGTCATATTTTTTTAAGCTTCAGTGACTTATGTTAGCAGAAATATATATATTTATGGAGCAGTTTTTCCTTTATGATCATTTCCTCGTACTGCTGCCGCTGAATCAAGAGATGCTCAAATGCAGAACTCGTGCATTATGAAATCATTCCTAAAATTGGCTTCTTGTTTTTTCCCAGGCTGCTTGTTTGATTTAGACGTCAGTAAAGTTAACTCAGTACATATCAACATGTTTACAGAAAGAAAAGAAAAACCCTTTTTTGCTGGGAGCTCGACTCCACTTCCAATGCAGCAAAAAGAAATAAAAGACGGAGGAAAAAGACCTCCTATATGTTTACTGGACACACTGCATTCCTGAAAACTGTTTTGTAAAAAAGGAGAAACTTTTTATTGAAAAGTCTTCTAATCTATTCTGTTTGCAACAATCATTCAAGACGCAGGACCCTCGAGAGAGGAGACGACGAAGCTCTTGAAAGAGGCGGAGGTTTAATTCAGAAATACTCTTTCAAAAGTTCTTTGCTTCCCCATATTCAGTCTTTTTCTGCAGGCGTGGACCGAGAGTCTGCCTGCGGAGGATTTTCACCGTCCCTCGATATATATATTTGTATTATTTAAGACATTTCAGTCCGGTCACTGTGTCCGATTCTTTGTCTCGTAAATGTTTATATCAAATATGGAAAAATCATAATACAAGTGACTGTATTCTTTTATACATGTGGCATGTGTTGCACCTGAAATGTATTCTGTAGTGATTAAAATGAATAAACCATCACCAGGCTTTTTCAAAAGACTCGGCGTCAGGTGTGATTAATGGGAGATGAAATGTGTGGATGAATGTGTGGGAAAAGAAGAGTTTTTAGATCATCTGAATTTATTTGAACACTGGTTTTGATTCTTCACATGGAGTTTACAGCAGGAGGAGTGTTTTAAACAAGGGGGAAAACATGGAAAGTTCACATTTAGAGATCATTTATCAACTGTAAAGTGGTTTTCTCTGTAGAAATGTAATTAAATGCCATTTCCAGCCTCTTAAATATGTGGATGTGGTGCTTTTACACCACATTAAAGTACATTTATTTGGGATTTAGACAGAACGAGACTTGTAACATTAAAACAGGAAATATCACAGTATAATATTATGAGTTTAAATGACTCGTGAACAATTGTTTAAAAGCTTTTAAAAACATTTCTTATGATCTTTTTAAACAATTAACAAACTGTTGGTACCTTAAACACACTACCCTTTAATACTGAATATTAGCAAATGCATTCTGTATGAAACTGAACATGTAATACTGCTATTTACTCAACTAGGCCTACGAGGGAACAGTTGACTTAAACCCCTTTAGGACTAGCTAATTTCAGAATGTGTGATGAGTTGAATGTCTTTATTTTTTAAAAGGTTCCCAAATCAAAATGTATATTGGATTGATTAGACTTCACAGGACTCTCACTGTGTTGGTCGCTGAGCTGGAAGCTAGCAGCTAACAGCTTAACATTAAAACACCAAACATGTCTAACAGCTAACGGTGGTAATAGCTAGGGGGCTGACAGCTAACACTGCTAGCAGCGAACTAACGGGGCTAACAGCTAACGGGCTAACAGCTAATGGTGCTGACAGCTAACAGTGCTAGCCGCTAACGGTGCTAGCAGCTAACGGGCTAACAGCTAATGGTGCTGACAGCTAACAGTGCTAGCCGCTAACGGTGCAAGCAGTTAATGTTGCTAGCAGCTAACGGTGTTAGCAGCTAAGGGTGCTAACGGGCCTTACAGTGAGTGGTAACAGCTAAGGGTGGTAGCAGCTAACGGTTCTAACAGCTTATGGTGCGTATAACTCAGGGTTGCCAACTTTGGGTACCTGGCTGGAGTGAGATTTTGATATCATGGGTTTAATTATATATATGCGCACTAAATGACTGCTATCGTGTCAGTAGCGGGACCTTAGCATATATATAGGATATATATACAATATATACAAATACACAATATTGGACACATACTATAAAGGGCACAAAGTTTCATTCACTAATGAAAGTCAAACAGTTTGTTTCCACTGTTTTATTGTGTGCCTGGCGCGATAAGCAATTAATTGACTTATCGTACGATAAATAAAAATGAACTCGATAAATTGCCATTTACATGAGGATGTGACTAGCAGTTTGAAAGGATGTACTTTAATTATTATTATATATTATCATTATGTCAGTGGTCTAAAATGGTCATACAACGGTGCCGACAATATTATCGTTTATCGCAATAATTTCCGGGAAAATGTATCCAACAAAATTAATTATCGTGAGAGGCCTATACATGAAACACACACACAAACAAATCTACAGACTTACTCCAAACTGCCAAATATATTAATTAACACACTCACTCTCATATACTCTTTGACTCTATTGTGGCCTAGTAGAACAATAAGCAGCAGACTTTTACTTTTTGATCATTTCTACTGGATCTTAGATCTGCGCATGCGCAATGCGGGTCGGGGATTGACCAACCGGCTCCCACTGCTCTGCTGTCTGTTAACGTTGTTAAGAGTGGTGGGGGCGGGGAGGGAGCGGATCGACAGCTTGAGCAGCTGTCAACTCAACATTGTAAATAACCAACCAAAAACGATCGCCTCATCTTGTTTTTGGCGTGAGAATAGTTTGGGCAGCGTGAGAGCGTGAGATTGAGAGTGAAAGCGTGTGTCACAAGCCAGATGCGTGAGAGTTGGCAACCCTGGTATAACTTCTAACATGTAATTGATGCTATAACTCAGTTTTTATGTCAATGCTGAAATAAATATTGCAATTATATTTTTATATTTAGGCACAATGCACAAGGATCATTACGGTGTATGTGCCAGTGTAAGCTAATCGGCTCATTTTCAATGGTTATAAATGAACATTAAACAACAAATAAATCACAAAATGTCCCCTTAATATTCATAATACCTAGTGCGACCATAACATGGGAGAACATCTGTTTCCCTTTTAGAAAAGTAATTGAAAATTGGTTTAGTTGTAGGCCTACAGGAATGTAATTTATTTGCAGACGGTGTCAATGAGATAAATAAAATCCTCCTCGCTTCCTCTTGTAACTATGAATAAGTTATTGAGATGCACAACATGTTGATAACAGATGATACATATAAAGAATAATGGTGTGGCTAAAGGCAGCTACACATTAACACAACAATAAGAGTTAACATACCTGCGAGTCCTGAAACATTAAACCGTCATTAGGTTTTCAAACACATCCATAAATGAATCCCAGCAAACAAACATGAGAATACTGAATAATAACACTGACATATCCATCGAGGTTCGTAACAAGGTCTCTCTTTATTATTTTTAAACGTCCTCTTCTTCCTCCTGAGCCTCGCTGCAGATTCTCTCTGGATCCTGCAGCTTGTGGATCTTTATCAGTCTGGATTTTGGAAGATTGCTGAAAGACACAAAACACAGGTGACATAAAAACAAAGTGAAAATATGTCAAAGAATCAAGCTGACGCACGGGGTCCCTGCCCCCTCAAGAGGCATGAGAAAAGCTCCTTTTAGGCATTTCAAGGTGCCTTTTCACTTCTTTATTATATTATTGTGCGACAAGCAACACAGATGTGTAACAGCATTCTGCAGAAGGGTGAAACATGTAAGTATAAAAACTACATCATAAGCACTTTCATGCTAACCTGGAAAACACAGAATTAAATTCAGGTGTTTCAAGGATTTCCAACACATGTAAAAAACCATCTAATTAAACAATAAAATGTAAATATTGTTTAAATGTGTATTTAATGATGCAATACAATCTATTGTAAAGTAGTAATACAATATATATATATATATAATTTAAATAACAATTAATAAATAATGTAGTGTTTATAATGATAGAAAGATACTTTGACAATTAAGAAATTATAGAATCAAAACATTTACATTTTTATAATTTCATAGAAAAATGCACAATTATCACAAATAAAAAATGTATTAAAATGACTTTTAAATTGTAATGCTGAATTCATATAAATTATATTTAATATTAATTTAAAATAATGATCCATTCCTAATATGTATTACTATATGCAATAATTGAATATTTATTATATAGTTAAAAACTAAAACCTATATAATTGTTTTGATGGCAGTACAGGAAACTAAGTTGTACAATTAAAACTGTAAATATAATAGAAAGGTCAGTGTGTGAAGAGGAGCGCCACCTGGTGGTGAGAGGAGTGACGAAGATGAACTGACGAAGGGTCTGTCGCTCAGAAAGCTCCAGCAGGAGATCCAGAGAGATCCGCCGGTTGTGCATATCCTGCAAAAATAAAGAAAATTCATCAAAGATAGTACAAATGAAACTTATTTAGTTCTGCCTTCAATACAAATAAGAATAATCAAAGGAAGTGAAACGCACATGCCCCTTTCACACCAACGCGGTTCCAGGGCCGGTTCGGAGCTAGAGCCTGATAAGCACCGGTTTTTCCTGTTCACACCGCAGCGGAGCCGGCTCTTTCCCCCGAAAACCTGTTCTTACCAAGCTCGAATTGTCCGTCTCGAACAGGGGTGTCAAACTCAAGGCCCGGGGGCCAAATCCGGCCCGCGACTTCATTTTATGTGGCCCCACAAGAGCTTGCAAAGAATATAATATGTTTATTATACGGTTACATGCTACTTTACAGAAGCACGTTGCCCATAAACGACATGTCCCACAATGCATCTCAAATTTGACTTTTTCTCAGAATTTGACTTTTTTTGTCCAAATATGCCTTTTTTCTTAGAATTAGCCTTTTTCTCATAAATAGATTTTTTTTTCAAAATGTCACAATCAATGTTTTTCCAGAATGTGGCTTTTCTTTTAAAATCATATTGTGACATTTCTTACTGAAGAGACTTGCAATTATTTGCTCTAGACTTCTGCTTTCAGACGTAGTTAATTATGAAGTTATATTAATTAATTATATAGTCTTAAAGTTACAACCGGCCCTTTGAGTGCAACCATAATGCTGATGTGGCCCGTGATGAAATTGAGTTTGACACCCCTGGTCTAGAAGCAAGAACCGCATTCCACATACGTCACGCTTACGTCGGAGGCGGGGGCGGGATCACCCTCCTGAACAACAACAACAAGCAGCCCACGTTTTGTCCAGTTTGTACACAGCGATGGAAAACCCCAAACTTAAACCGTGGACCAGATTTGCAACAAACTGAAAAAAGTTAAGAAGGATTATCGGGACCAAAAGCGAGACCTCGGACGGAGTGGCAGCGGTCGTCCGAAAACAAGTCCACATGACGACTTGCTAGACTCTGTCAAAGAACATTTGAAAGTCGCTTGTGACGAATGGAAAGTTTGTGGTGAAGTCGTCCTATTATTCCCATTTGGTTTCGACAAAGCAAAACGAGCAGCACATCAATACAATCGGCCATTGTTGTTGTTGTTGCTGTGAGGGGTTTCCGCGCGGTTTGGCTTTATGAAGCAGGCACGCAACCGGTTACGTCATGACGCAAACGATGACGCAGCACCACTCGGGCTCTGGGCGGTGTGAACTAAACGGGGCTGAAAATAAAAACCGCGTTGGTGTGAAAGGGGCAACAGTCATATCAGTCTGTTTACGCAAAATAAGCCTCACCTAGGTTCGTCATTATTTTGATGATTTACAAAATGATTCTTATTTGTATTTTTGATGTAGAGAGAAGTTTACAATCGCTAGATGCTTTAATTGTATTATTTATTAGTTTATGTATTTATTGAGCTGTACTTAAATCAGGTTTTAAAATTGTTTGACTGATAGAGATCATGCAATGTTATTATTTGTCTATTGATTGTTATGAACCTGCCTGAGGACCACAGATGGAAATGAGCTATTAGCTATAATCTGGCATATTGCATCTCTTCTCTTTGCTGAGATTAATGTTTTTGTATGCATGGTCCTTCTATAAATAAATACAAATACAACTTTTTTTATTCATTCATTCATTTATTATCATGGCATTTTTTAAATTTGGGAACATAATGGAACATTTGTGATTAAATCAAAATACCTTTTTTTCCCTTTTGTTTTTGACATGAATACTTTCACAAAGAAAACCTTTAATTTGAAATAAATTACACATTTCTAATTTTTTCTGGAACAAAGTCATTTTTTTCTGCGTCGTAAACAAATGCATCTTCCAGTCGCATTGTGCTGAACTGATTCATAAAGATCATAAAACATCAACACAGAGTCCAAGAACGGCACATTTAAATACTCAACCAGATTCACTCCTTCCTACCTTTCACAAAAAAAGCCCGAAATAAATAAGAAAATCACAGGTGTGTATTTTGGATACAGTTTGAGATAATGTATCTGCATGAGGTGTGTGTGTGTGTGTGTGTATGTGTGAGAGAGGTGTGTGAGTGAGTGGTGTGTGTGTATGTGTGAGTATATAGGTGTGTGTGTGCGTGTGCGTGTGTGTGAGAGAGGTGAGTGAGTGGTGTGTGTGTGTGTGTGAGAGAGGTGAGTGAATGGTGTGTGTGTGTGTGAGAGAGAGGTGAGTGAATGGTGTGTGTGTGTGTGTGTGTGTGTGTGTGTGTGTGAGAGAGAGAGGTGAGTGAATGGTGTGTGTGTGTGTGTGTGTGTGTGTGTGTGTGTGTGTGTGTGTGTGTGTGTGTGTGTGATAACGTGAGTAAGTGTGTGTGTGTGAGAGTGTGTGTGTGTGTGTGTGAGTGTGTGTGTGTGTGAGTGAGTGAGTGAGTAAGTATGTGTGTGTGTGTACCATGTAGACGTCGAACTCGTCGAGGCACCTGAATGGAGACTCTGTGATCTCCCACAGAGAGAGCATGAAGCAGACGGTGGAGAACGAGCGCTCGCCTCCACTCAGAGAGCGCATGTCACTCACCACCCCCTCATCCTCCCTGCCCGGGGGCATCACCTGCACAGGTGAGACAACACAGGTGAGACAACTACAGGTGAGACAACTACAAGTGAGACAACTACAGGTGAGACAACTACAGGTGAGACAACTACAGGTGAGACAACTACAGGTGAGACAACACAGGTGAGACAACTACAGGTGAGACAACTACAAGTGAGACAACTACAGGTGAGACAACTACAGGTGAGACAACACAGGTGAGACAACACAGGAGAGACAACACGGGTGTGTAACTACAGGTGAGACAACACAGGTGAGACAACACAGGAGAGAAAACACGGGTGAGACAACTACAGGTGAGACAACACAGGTGAGACAACACAGGAGAGAAAACACGGGTGAGACAACTACAGGTGAGACAACACAGGTGAGACAACACAGGAGAGAAAACACAGGTGAGACAACTACAGGTGAGACAACACAGGTGAGACAACACAGGAGAGAAAACACGGGTGTGTAACTACAGGTGAGACAACACAGGTGAGACAACTACAGGTGAGACAAAACAAGTGAGACAACACAGGTGAGACAACTACAGGTGAGACAAAACAAGTGAGACAACACAGGGGAGAAAACTACAGATGAGACAACTACAGGTCAGAAAACACAGGTGAGAAAACACGGGTGAGAAAACACGGGTGAGAAAACACGGGTGTGTAACTACAGGTGAGAAAACACAGGTGTTTACCTACAGGTGATACAACACAGGTGTTTAACTGCAGGTGAGAAAACACAGTTGAGAAAACACGGGTGTGTAACTACAGGTGAGAAAAAGTAAAGTAAAAAGTATAGGTACGGAGATGGAGAGCGTCTCGTTGTTGTGGTCGAAGATCATGGAGCCGCAGCAGTTCATCTTTATCATGAAGTTATTAAAATATAATTTACACCTGAACGATAGAGACCTGAAGGAAGAACAAAGAACACTTACTGATGTTGAATATGAAGAAGAAACATATTTCTGTGAAGTTTATTCTGATATTTGATCTGCTAGTTTAAGGGTCCTTAAAAAGTCAAGTTTTAAACATTCTCAATGAAAATGAAAAAGAAAAAAAAGTAAACTAATAAAATCAAAATTCTGAGAGATTCTGAGAAAAAAGTAAATATTTTGAGAAAAGTCAAAATTCCGAAAATAATAAAATTCTAAGAAAACAATAAATTTTAAGAAAAAAGTCAAAATTCTAAGAAAAAAGTAAATATTCTGTATTTATAGTATCTGTGCACAGGGTATAATAGTATTAATGTTAAATATGTGTACCTCCTCAGGACCTTGTATCTGCTCTGTCTGTCCGATATGATGTGTTGAAGGCGGTCGATGAATCTCCGCAGGTCTCTCACCTGTTTGCTCTTCTGTCTGAACAGAGAAAGCGCGTCAGCGTACTCCCTGAGGAAGAGGAAACATATTTATCTGATCAATAATATATATTACTAATTAATAAATATAATAATAATATATAATATTCCTGATTTAAGTTCTCATGGTGTAAAACAAGGCCACAACATGATTTAGGGAGGGATTCAGGGAACACTAGCATTCTCTTAGTTTAAGCCGGAAAGCACGTTTTGAGCTGATATGTTACCTTACGTGTGTTTGCAACAGATAACAAAAAGGTGCAATATCTCTTTATTCTGTGTTGACTAATAGTGAAATAATTCCTCACCACCAAAAAAATTAAACTCTGAAAAAAAGTAAAAATTCTGAAAAAAAGTAAAAATTCTGAGAAAAAGTAAAAATTCTGAGAAAAAGTAAAAATTCTAAGAAAAATAATAAAATCTGAAAAAAAGTAAAAATTCTGAGAAAAAGTAAAAATTCTAAGAAAAATAATAAAATCTGAAAAAAAGTCAACACTTTATAAAAACCAAACAGTCTGAGAAATATAACAATTCGGAAAAGAAAAAAGTCAAAATTGTGAGAAAAAAAAGTCAATTCTAAGGAAAATATTCAATTCTCCAAAAATGTCAAAATTCAGAGAAAATGTCAAAATTCGAAGACATTTTTTAAACTCAAAATCAAACAAAAAGGTGCATCTTTATTTTGTGTTGACTCAGTGAAGTTTTCCTCACCTCACCACCTGCTGCTGCTCTCCGTGAATGCTCTCGTAAACTTTGATCTTCCTCTGCATTCGAGTTATTTCGGTGTCCAAACTCGTCGAGCTGGCGGACACGACCTGTCGCTGAGGACTGATCTCTGACGCTTTACTCACACACTCCTGCAGGGGGGAGAATTCAAAACACATGTAAGATATCAGCAAGTCCACTGGTCTGAAAGAAGACCGGCTAAATCGCTCATTACAAATCATTTAGTCTTTGCAGTGTCTCGCCTTCGCCTGCTGCATTCAAAGTGTATTCAAAGCTGTTGTTACCTGCAACGCTTCCTCTGCCTGAGCGAGGTCACTCTTCATCTGTCGGATAGCTTCTACATGACTCTTCAGTTCCTTCTCTAAAACCTGGAGGCTTTGTTCATGTTTGCTGCACTCAGCCTCCAGCTTCAACTGCTCCTCCTGAGGACAACAACAACATAAATCACATCCTCCAGATACAGGTGTTTTCCAAACCATTCAGTCTTTAAACGAGCCACTAAATATAAAACCTGAACATCAGCAGGAGAGGACTCTTTAAAGTAGAGACACTACATACTGATATACACCTGAACATCAGCAGGAGAGGACTCTTTAAAGTAGAGACACTACATACTGATATACACCTGAACATCAGCAGGAGAGGACTCTTTAAAGTAGAGACACTACATACTGATATACACCTGAACATCAGCAGGAGAGGACTCTTTAAAGTAGAGACACTACATACTGATATACACCTGAACATCAGCAGGAGAGGACTCTTTAAAGTAGAGACACTACATACTGATATACACCTGAACATCAGCAGGAGAGGACTCTTTAAAGTAGAGACACTACATACTGATATACACCTGAACATCAGCAGGAGAGGACTCTTTAAAGTAGAGACACTACATACTGATATACACCTGAACATCAGCAGGAGAGGACTCTTTAAAGTAGAGACACTACATACTGATATATACCTGAACATCAGCAGGAGAGGACTCTTTAAAGTAGAGACACTACATACTGATATACACCTGAACATCAGCAGGAGAGGACTCTTTTAAAGTAGAGACACTACATACTGATATACACCTGAACATCAGCAGGAGAGGACTCTTTAAAGTAGAGACACTACATACTGATATACACCTGAACATCAGCAGGAGAGGACTCTTTAAAGTAGAGACACTACATACTGATATACACCTGAACATCAGCAGGAGAGGACTCTTTAAAGTAGAGACACTACATACTGATATACACCTGAACATCAGCAAAAGAGGACTCTTTAAAGTAGAGACACTACATACTGATATACACCTGAACATCAGCAGGAGAGGACTCTTTAAAGTAGAGACACTACATACTGATATACACCTGAACATCAGCAGGAGAGGACTCTTTAAAGTAGAGACACTACATACTGATATACACCTGAACATCAGCAGGAGAGGACTCTTTAAAGTAGAGACACTACATACTGATATACACCTGAACATCAGCAGGAGAGGACTCTTTAAAGTAGAGACACTATATACTGATATACACCTGAACATCATTAGGAGAGGACTCTTTAAAGTAGAGACACTACATACTGATATACACCTGAACATCAGCAGGAGAGGACTCTTTAAAGTAGAGACACTACATACTGATATACAGCTACATTATTTTCTCTCTGTGCTTCACCTTCATCGTCTCGACTTCCTCACAGAGTCGATCGATTCTCTCTCTGACCGACGAGTCTCTCGATTCCTTGTTTTCTACGTTTTCTCCATGTTTTTCCAGCTCTTCTTTCTCCTCGATCATCGCCTGCCGCTCGGCCTCCATCTTCTGCCGACTCTCCTCAGCAACCTCCTCCTGCAGAATCACACACTCACATCCTTTAGATACAGGTGTGTGTTTAAACAGTCTTCAGACCTTGCTTGTTGGGAGCGCGACAGCTTGGTTCCTTGTTTTGCATTTAATATTTGAAGCATCAGTTTATGTGAGAAATAGTTTGTTTGAAAACGTTTATTTATTTTTTACACCGCCTTTTTTTTTGGAATAAACAAGAATATTTTACTTTTCAATCGTATCGGGACATTCTGTTATTTTCTCTCTCAGCAACAAGCGTCTACTCATCGGGTCAGCCCACGAGGGAATCGCAGGCACATGAATAAAACAGAGGGATATGGTGATCACTACAAAGTAAATCACCAAAGAGCAGATGTCCTCGATGTGCTCCTCCCCCGCCGCCTCCAGCTCTGATATCGATGCTTTCACCTGATTCACAGAAGCCTGCAATACAGATCAAAATGAACTCAAATTATTTCCACATTTAGACACACTACAGGTGAATAGGTCAACACAGTTAGTAAGAATATTTTTGTATTTTCAATTTTTATTTATGTTATTTATTTATTTTACTAATATATTTGTTGAGAATATTTATTTATTTACGTGGTGTACTAAATAATGTCTATTTATTTTATTTTGTATCACCATGAAACCTCCCCACTTAATAACTTGTATTAACACCATTATTTTAAAGTGTTCTGACATGTTTAAATGTTCTGATAGTGGTTCTGGTACCAGGTTCCTCTTCAGGTTCAGGACGGTTCTGTTCAGTCCGTTCTCCATCTTCTGGATGTCGGCGCTGACGCAGCAGACCTGCAGCTGCAAGTGGCTCAGCTGGGCCTGGAGGTTCTCCAGGTCACAGTCCAGAACACTGACCCAGGGACACAACAGATCAATAATAAAATATACGTTTACCACATTTAAAGGGGACCTATCATGCAAAATGCACTTGTGTACGTCTTTTATACATGAATATGTGTCCCCGGTGTTCCAGGGAACTCACCAAGTGTCAGAAAACACAACCCTCTCTATTTTCCTCCATACCCAAATCTCTAAAAAAGGGGCTGCAACGGATCTGATAAAAACTGATCCAGATTTGAACACTGTCCTGACGTCAGGACGGTGGCGCTACGGCTATTGGGCCAACTCCACTAATCAGGAGGAGACAGCCACGGCCATTGCCGTTCGAAAGCGCTGGAGACGCTGTAGTACATATGCCAGGCCTGTAGGTGGTGCTGTTCTCACTGAATCTGCCCTTGCTAAAACAGAGCTAGAAATTGTCAAATTGAGCAAAATGAGGCATGGCTAAAATGCATGATCTGTTTGGTATTTTGAAAAGAAAAAAGTATAAATATGCCTTATATAGGTATGGTCCTACACTATGTTATTCAAATATAGCATGATAGGTCCACTTTAAGAAAACTAAAGTCACATTAAACACTATTCATTTCCCACTGTGGGACTAATAAAGGAAATCTGAAAGGTCATTCAAATTAACATTTTAATTATCCAGAATTATGTACATTGTTCATATTGTTCATATTGGTTTATACTATTTTTCATTTTCATTTTAATTTTAATTGTTAACTATTTTCCACTTTTATTTATTTCTATTTTAATGTTGAGCACACTGATCCATCCTGTAACAACAATGATTTCCCAATTGGGGATTAATAAAGTCTGTCTCTCTATCCATCAAGGGGGACATATTTGACATCAGCATAAAGCTACTGTATAAAAAGTAGAAGTACTCAGATCTTGTACTTGAGTAAAAGTAGAAGTACTCAGATCTTGTACTTGAGTAAAAGTAGAAGTACTCAGATCTTGTGCTTGAGTAAAAGTAGAAGTACTCAGATCTTGTGCTTGAGTAAAAGTAGAAGTACTCGGATCTTGTGCTTGAGTAAAAGTAGAAGTACTCAGGTCTTGTACTTGAGTAAAAGTAGAAGTACTCAGATATTGTACTTGAGTAAAAGTAGAAGTACTCAGATCTTGTGCTTGAGTAAAAGTAGAAGTACTCAGATCTTGTACTTGAGTAAAAGTAGAAGTACTCAGGTCTTGTACTTGAGTAAAAGTAGTAGTACCAGAGTGTAGGAATACTCTGTTTCAGTAAAAGTCCTGCATTCAAAATGTTCCTCAAGTGAAAGTAGAAAAGTATTATCATCAAAATATAGTGAAAGTAGCGACAGTAAAAGTAGTCATTGTGCAGATTGGTCCATTTCAGAATAATATATATGATATGTTTTATAATGATTGATCATGAAAGTGTTCTCAAAGCTGGTAAAGGTGCAGCTAGTTTGAATGACTTTGTATACTGCAGGGTAGCTTGTGAATTTACTCCAGGTGGAACTAAAGTCTGATTGAACACTTGATTAACACGTCTCTTGATATTAAAGATATGTAAGAACCTGATCTCTGTCTCCAGATCTCCTCCCAGGTATTTGGCCCTGTTGCAGTCGGAGGTGTAGTATCTGTTAGGAAACACCTGATCTCCCTCGGCAGTAAACGCCTCTCGGCAGTTCTTCGGAGGACGACTCTGCTGCATTACCTGCCGAGCCACCTCTTTCTCCTGACAACACACAAACAACACACAAGTCAACAACAACAACAACACTCCTGAGGCCTGTACTATGAAGCCGGATTTTCGCTTAGCGAGCTAACTTCAGGGTAAACTCTGGGTTTCCGGTCCTACGACGCTGGTTCTCTTTTTAGCGGGCTAGCTTTAAACTCCGCACACGGAGCTCTGATTGGTCAGCAGGCGGTGCTTTCACTGAGTTGATCTCTTATCCTGGAACCTAACCTGCTCCGGACCAGGCTAGCCGCTCAGAATAAGTTATCTAGCCCGCTAAGAAGTGAACCAGCGTCGTAGGACCGGAAATCCAGGAAGTTAGCTCGCTAAGCGAAAATCCTGCTTCGTAGTACAGGCCCCTGGTCCGGAGCAAGTTAGGTTGCAGGCTAAGAGATCAACTCAGTGAAAGCACTGCCTGCTGACCAATCAGAGCTCCGTGTGCGGAGTTTAAAGCTATCAAGTCATATTACAGAATAGAGGAAATACAGAAAAACTGCCGTTGCAGGAAAGACGGCCGGCAAAAATCAACTGACTGTGAACGTGAACATTAATAGAATATCCCCTCCCATCTTCAGAGCAATCTGACTATTATAATATTAGTGTTAAGAAAGCTTACTTAAATATCTGCCACGACATAAGTAACCGGATCAGAGTAACATTAAGTACAGTCCACTGTGAGTGCAGACGTCGATGTGTCCCATTATCATTCATATCATATCACATCATAATGTATCATATATCTCCTTATCTGAGTCAGCTGAGCCGTATCTGGCCGTGCAACACTCACAGTGTCACATACTGTATGCAGAAGTATTATTTTAAGCAACACATTAAGTTGACGAAACACTCGAGTCAAATGTAATTAAAGTCAGATCGTGTCTTAGATGGGGCAGTGATTTCATAAACCTGTTAATGTACGCATTCAAACACTTTTTCTGTTACCAGCTGTATTCACCTTGCAGGTGCAGCTATGTGGCTTTGATCCTGGATAAAGTGTTTAAGTCATGGATGTTTAAAGTTTAACTTCTTCATATTTGACTAATATTAAAGTTCACTTTTCATTCAGGAAGTATGACGCTGCTCTGTCAGTACGCTTCTCCATGTTTGTGATTGGTCAAATGTTGCTAGCCCCGCCCCTTTCATGTGAACGCGCACTCAGCCGGACAGAGAAACCCTGGCTTGAGTTACCGAGTTGATTACCAGCGTCGTAGGACCGCTTAGCGAGAGCGCGTTTGTTTTGGGTTAGGTAAGAAAACTCAAACATATCCAGGGTCTGTTGAACCGGCTTCGTAGCCTCTGCAGGACTCAGCAGCAACAGGCATCAACTGATCTATTAGACACGTTGCTTTGGTCGGGACCCCTTGAGAACCAGATGGTGCATCTCAAGGGGTTTATCCTAATAAATACATTTATATATAAGCATTAATTGATCATTTCATTAAAAAAAACTGAATAAAAAAACTCACAAGATAAAACCTAAATATTTGAAAAATAAAAAATAAATAAATATATGACTACTGTATGATTACAAATAAATATAGATTACAAATATGAAAAACAAATCTAAATGCATATAAACTAAAGAAATGTCAAACTAAATATATTTATATATAAAAAAAACGACATGCATGAAAATAAAATAAAAATTTAAAAATATTATATGAAAAAATAAATATATAAAACCAAAACAAAACGTATATGAAAATGAACTATATGAAAATGAAACTTCTCTATACAATTTAGAATAAAAAAAACAATCTAATGCTTTCATAACTCAACTCAAAAGTGAATTGTAGAGTAAAAAATAATAATATAAAAACTATTAATAATGCAAAGGTGTTTGTGACCTTGATGATGAGGATGGACTCGACGCCTCTCATGTCGATCAGACAGTTGAAGACGACCGGACTCGTGACGGTGATGACGTCGAGCAGCGAGGGAAAGTCTGTATGAAGAGCCTTCCTGCAAACACCACAGAAGAAGAGCTAAAGGACTCCTACTCACTATATGTGATTTTATTGCACACATATAAAAGCAATAAACGGGCTAGGACCCAAATATATCAAGGACCTCCTTCAGCGGTAGGAACCCAGCAGAGCCCTCAGGTCTTCAGGCCGGCTCACTGTTCCCTTTGTGAGATCAAAGCGTGGGAAAGCAGTCTTCTGCATCTATGCTCCCAATGCATGGAACAAACTCCCAGAACATCTGAGAATGGCTACAATCATTTAAATCAGGTCTAAAAACATTTCTTTTTAACATGGCTTTTAAAATTTAAATTTTCTAATTTTCTAACTGTTAAACATGGTTTTCTTTCTTTTAATTATGTTGTGTGTTTTTGTATTTCTTCTCACTAACCATCGTAAAAGTGTATTGTGGTTTATCTGTTTGATCCTGTAAAGCACTTTGAATTGCATCACTGTATGAATTGTGCTATACAAATAAATTGCCTTGCCTTGCCTTACTGTCATTAGGCATATATTATAGGTCTCAGATATATCAAAATATATAAAAAGCATGTCTATGAAGTGTTTTGCTCAAAACACCAAACAGATGATTCTCGCCTCATCCCCCTCTCTTCCAGCCAGGCACATGCACACATAGACATCAAAGTGGGCTTGAGCCCCTGCCCTTTTTCTTCCTCCAGAGAAGTGCCCAGGCAGAAGAGACATGCCACCAGGCCCGGTTCTACGGGGGTGCATAGGCATTGCAACGGCAGTTTTTCTGTATTTCCTCTATCCTGTAATATGACTTGATCGCTTTAAACTCCGCACACGGAGCTCTGATTGGTCAGCAGGCGGTGCTTTCACTGAGTTGATCTCTTAGCCTGCAACCTAACCTCCTCCCGAGGAGGTTAGCCGCTCAGCATAAGTTACCATGGAGATCTAGCCCGCTAAAAAGAGAACCAGCGTCGTAGGACCGGAAAGCCAGAGTTTTCCCTGAAGTTAGCCGGCTAAGAGAAAATCCGGCTTCGTAGTACAGGCCTCTGGATGTGTTTAGCTTGTTCTAGCTGTATCGGCAAGCCTGTCTGCTCCTGCAGCAGTGTGTGTGTCTGTGTGTGTGCGAGCAGCAACGAGCCTGTCAGCTTCTCGACCAATCAGAGCACACTGGGCTCACAGGGAGGGGGGGCAGGAGCTCGAACAAGCCGTTTAGGACAGAGAGTGAATACACATACTATACAGAGATGCTTTTTATAAAACAATATTTAAAAAAAAAAAGGTTTTATTATTTGCACTGTCCAACTCTGGTCACAGTTTCTGATCCACTAACAAGTCCTTAAACTCTGCAGAGCCCATACCGTGTTCCTGTTAGTGTTCACTTCTTGTCTGTCTTCTTCTGTTCATTTATCTGACGTCCAGCGCTCCGTCTTTTACCCTCTTTTACTTTCTCTTTCTTGATCCTCCTTAGCAACGGAATTGACCAATCAGAATCGAGTATTCAACTAATCCTTGTAATACAATTTGTTGGTAGCCTTAAGGGCCTACACAGTTGCTGCAGTAAACTACATGTTAGCATTTAAAATACCTAGCCATTATTTTGTGGTTATTTTGGTGAAAGTAACTCAAAAGTAATATAAAAGTAGTGTAACTCATTACATTTCAGAGACAGTCATATTCTAATGTAACTTATTACTGTCTTTTTTAAGTAATAAGTATTATGTAATGTATTACATTTTGGAAGTAACTTGCCCAACACTGCCGGGGACACACGTTGATGTAGAAAATACATCACAAAGTGACATTTGCATGATAGGAGACATTTAAACGCAGTAGTACGTTAATTATTTTATAGTTTAAGTTCAAACTTCAACAATCTCTGATAATAAATTAAAGGTTTACCCTCGCTCTTTCTACAGTTTGCAATCAAACCATTCAATTATAGCCATTTTGATTAAATGTTTATGAATAATTGGTCATAGTACATCAACAAGCCGTTTCCTGCTCTCTCTCTCTCTCTGTACAAAGTGGGGGATTAGATAATGTAATCTTTAATTTGGACAGAGTTCGACATCTTCATTCACACCGGGGACACATATTTATGTATAAAAGACATAAAAAAGTGCATTTTGCATGATAGAGGGGTGCAGTGATGACGTATTTTTGTAGTTCGACCCTGAAGTAAGCTGCTGGCTCCCTCGACTAAATGGGATTTCTCCAGAGGATTTTGGAATATTGTAAAAAATAAGGTCTGTGGAAAACGAACCTGTTTGATAAATGCACGTTTTGTTCAGCCGGATCATCTCCACATGTCTACCCTACTTTTATAATGATCTAATCATAAATCTAATCTCCAGAAGCAAAATGCTAACGTGATGCTATAAAGGAACTACAGTCGAGTACAGCAGCACGACTTCAACGTCACGCCAACTTCAGATCCATATTCAAACATACAGATTCTAAATGGAACGAGTTGAAGCGTTTGTTTGAACAGTTAGCAGGAGGCAGGTACTTGCTTTCAAGCAGAACAGGGCAAACTATCTTAGAGCAGTGTTTACGTGTTCGGCGTAATGACGTACAACGTCCTCCACGACTTCTGCAGTCCTATTCAGCCACTTGGTAACAACCATCGTTTTTCAGACACGTCAACTCTTCAGAAATCACCAGTGGGGTCACTGCTGATGGATTTAATGTCGTAGAACAAAACGTGATTTGCTGATGACACGACCGTCATCGGCCAGATCACAGACGATGACGAGACGGCGTACAGAGAGGAGGTCGAAAACCTGACATCTTGGTGCCAGGATAACAACCTCCATCTCAACATCAGCAAAACAAAGGAGCTGATTGTGGATTACAGGAAGCAGCAGGGAGAGGGACACGCCCCCATCGCCATCAATGGGACTACGGTGGAGAGAGTCAAAAGCTTCAGGTTCCTTGGGGTCCACATCACTGAGGACCTGACATGGTCTCTTCACACCACCACCATCACCAAGAAAGCTCGACAGCGGCTCTTCTTCCTCCGCAGGCTGAGGAGGTTCAAAATGGATTCCAGGATACTCTGCAACTTCTACAGGTCTAACTTCTATTCCACTTTATTTTAGAACTATTTTTCTTTTTGTATTACTTTTACTATCTGTATTATTATGTTGCATTGTTGGAGAAGCCTGTGACATAAGATTTTCAATGACATAATTACTCTGTAGCTATGTTAGTTTGACAATAAAGAACCTTGAACCTTGATCCGTCTCTTCAATGTGTCTCAACCACAGACCTTATTTCAGCTATCTTCCTAAATCCTATGGAGAGATCCCATTGGCTCTGAGACGAGGGAACAGGAAGTGTGGAAATGCTGACTCACTTCCTGGTTTTAGGACTCGTCACTGCACCACTGTATAAAAAGGGACCTTTAAAATGTGTCAGTCAAATAAAACACTAATCTAAACATCCTGCAGCTTCGTACCTCCCGTGCAGGTTGTAGAGTTTCTCGGAGAACTGGCTGACGTTGATCTGCGGTCGGTTTCCTTTCGTATAATGCCGCCTCATGATCTCCTGCAGCAGCGCCTCGTCGCGGTGGTTATCGCAGCAGAACGCCTTCATGAAGCTGCGCAGACACGCCTCCACAGCTGCTGCCAGCAGGGGGTCCTTCAGGCTGATGAACGCCCCTGAAACACAAGGAAAACTTTGGTTGAACACATTATTACACCCCAAAAAGTTATTTAAAAACACATTATTATAAAAATTCAGGCTGATAAACGCCCATAAAACTTTATTTAAATACATTATTACACAGCAAAATCTTTATTTAAACACATTTTTATAACATGGAGCAGCAGGGGGTCCTTCAGCCTGATGCACGCTCAGAAACTTTAGTTAAAGTCATTATTACACCCCAAAAACACATTATTACAAAGCAAAAACTTGATTTAAACACATTATTATAACAATGCTGGGAGATAAACGCCCCTAAAACACCCAAAAACGTTAATTAAATACATAACACATGGAAAATGCTATTTGAATACATTTGTATAACGAGGTGCAGCAGGGGGTCCTTCAGACTGAAAAACACACAGCAGACACAATGTGCGCAATTTACCATGCAACATGTAATATAAATGCAATTATTCACTGCAAAACGTAAGGCAAGTTTATTGACACGGCACATTTCATCAAAAAAACTAAAACTTCCAATCTGTTATTTCCTGCAGGTGTGTGCAAGGTTAGCTGATAGACACTATGGACGCGCTCGTGAACTGTCAGCGGGGGGGTGGGGGGGGGGGGGGGGGGGGGGGGGGTGGGGTACACTGTGGACCTCTGTGTCGCCTGTCAGCGCAACTTACATGATGCCGTTTAGACAATATAATAATAAAGGGCGGTGCCGGCCGTCAGCGAACCGATCCGGCCTTTCTGCGCGACTGTCACTCAAATGCGGGACATAGTCTCAATTTGTGGGACGCGGGACAAATAATAAAAATGCTGTGTGTGCAGTCCCGCACAAAGCTGGACACCTGGTCACCCTACACACACACGGTGCTGCCCCTCACACACACACGCTTCAAATCAAGTTGCATAAATGCTTGAGCTACGTTTTTATTATAATTACTGTGAAATGTATTATGTTTTCGTCATTATTACAACAAATACACACTTGCAACTGATAACACTGGCAATGATTTTATATTTATTAGACTATTAAAAAAAAAGATCATGCTTCAAATAAGTGGGGGTACGGCGTACCCCCGCGTCCAACGCCCACTACACCACTGCTTACTTGCAATAAATAAGCACTAATTAGAGGGTTATTGAGGAAAAACTCTCAACTAATGGCTTATTACTTGTAGAATATGGTCATGTAGAATAAGGCATTAATAAGAGTTGTATAAAATAGTTATTCGAAAGCCAATCGAGTGCCACAGTGACACGTCCTAAAACCCGGAAGTAAGCTGCGCATGGGTTCCTTCGACAAAAACGCAATGCAACTTCTCCATAGGGTTTAGGAAAATAGCTGGAAGTAAGGTCTGTGGTTGAGACACATTGAAGAGACGGATCACGTTTTGTTCAGTCGGATAATCTCCACCCTACTTTTATACTTTTCTAATCATAAATCTAATCGATAGATTTATGATCGGAACCCATGCGCAGCTTACTTCCAGGTTTTAGGACGCGTTACTGTGGCACTCTATAGAAGAGGAATCGAGGAGTATAAAATACAAGAATGGAGTTGCACTGGCTTTTGAAGAAAGTTATTTTACCCAGGGGTCCGATGGGTTTTTTCTTGAAGCGTCCGGCAGCGTTCGCCTCATCAATGGAAATCATCAGGTCTGGAACTTGGTCTCCGAAACGCTTCAGTTTGTTGGACCGGCTGGCCAGAACCTGGTTCCTCCTCCTCACTTTGGACTCCAACAGAACCTGGATGTTCCTCTCCTCCAGTCTGACACAACCAACAGAACCAACAGAACCAACACAACAGATCAGGACATTAACATTCTGGAAAAAACGCAAATATTGTGTAAATTCTGGGGGGAAAAATCGAATATTCTGAAAAAAGTATCAATTGTTAAAAGTCAGAATTAAAAAGAAAGTCAAAATTCTGAAAAAAGTCAAAATTCTGAAAGAAAAGTCTAATATTGTGAAAAGAAAATCAATTGTGAAAAAAGTCAAATATTCTGTAAAAAGTCAGAATTAAAAAAGAAAGTAAAAGTTCTGAAAAAAAACCCTAATATTCTAAAAAAAGTCAAATATTCTGGAAGAGTCAAAGTCTGAAAAAAAGTCAAATATTTTGAAAAAAATTCTAATATTCTGAAAATTTTGCAAAAAAAGTCAAATATTCTGAAAATTTAGCAAAAAAAGTCAAATATTCTGAAAAAAGTCAAATATTCTGAACATTTTCCAATGCTCCTTAATTTGTAGTTTTAACTTGTCAAACATGTTGATAAAGTCTGTGAAAACATGCAGGATTTGGGCGTCTGCAGACCATTGACATGCACAGAAACATATAGAACACACTACAGGAAAAGATAAGACTGTATTTATCCCGAAGGAAAGAGTTGTGCCAGAGTTACAAAAATACAATGAACACAGCAGCATCATATTAAAACGGTACGCAGTAAAAAGAGCAATTAAATATCTACAGGAAACAGACGGTCACATTTAATGTAAAGTACTGTACAGTGACGAGCAGTGTTTAGTAGTGCAACAAAAAAACGTAATGGCAGATACGTAATTGCACATTATTAAGCAGAATGTATTGTCTGACCTGAGTTTGTCGCGCTCCTCTCTTCCTGTGAACAGCACCTGATGCTCGTTCTTTATTTCCTCGTTCAGCTGCGAATGCGTTTCCTCGAGTTCCTCCAGATGCTTCCTCAAACTCACGATCCTCTTCTGCTGCTTCGAATACTCCGTCTCTCCATCTTTACTCTCACTGAGACTCAAATAATAATACGTTTCATTTGAATAGCACACTTTAAAAACAACGTCATCTCAAGGTGCTTCACGATGCTATAAGTTATCTAAGGAGCATATTGAATAAAATATGGTAATATAAAAAAGGTTAAGAGCATAAAGGTTAGAATGAAAATAAAATAAATACAAGGAGGGAGAAGATTATTCAGCTAAAGGTGAACGTCTCTCCCGCTAAGCTAAAGGAGGCTAATGTTGGGCTATAAAGGAATTACAGCACGGTCACATGACTTCACGTCACCACCGCTAAGCTAAAGGAGGCTAATGTTGGGCTATAAAGGAATTACAGCACGGTCACATGACTTCACGTCACCACCGCTAAGCTAAAGGTGGCTAATGTTGGGCTATAAAGGAACTACAGCACGGTCACATGACTTCACCACCGCTAAGCTAAAGGTGGCTAATGTTGGGCTATAAAGGAACTACAGCACGGTCACATGACTTCACGTCACCACCGCTAAGCTAAAGGTGGCTAATGTTGGGCTATAAAGGAACTACAGCACGGTCACATGACTTCACATCACCACCGCTAAGCTAAAGGAGGCTAATGTTGGGCTATAAAGGAACTACAGCACGGTCACATGACTTCACGTCACCACCGCTAAGCTAAAGGAGGCTAATGTTGGGCTATAAAGGAACTACAGCACGGTCACATGACTTCACGTCACCACCGCTAAGCTAAAGGAGGCTAATGTTGGGCTATAAAGGAACTACAGCACGGTCACATGACTTCACGTCAACACCGCTAAGCTAAAGGTGGCTAATGTTGGGCTATAAAGGAACTACAGCACGGTCACATGACTTCACCACCGCTAAGCTAAAGGAGGCTAATGTTAGGCTATAAAGGAACTACAGCACGGTCACATGACTTCACGTCAACACCGCTAAGCTAAAGGTGGCTAATGTTGGGCTATAAAGGAACTACAGCACGGTCACATGACTTCACGTCACCACCGCTAAGCTAAAGGCGGCTAATGTTAGGCTATAAAGGAACTACAGCACGGTCACATGACTTCACGTCACCACCGCTAAGCTAAAGGTGGCTAATGTTGGGCTATAAAGGAACTACAGCACGGTCACATGACTTCACGTCACCACCGCTAAGCTAAAGGCGGCTAATGTTAGGCTATAAAGGAACTACAGCACGGTCACATGACTTCACGTCACCACCGCTAAGCTAAAGGTGGCTAATGTTGGGCTATAAAGGAACTACAGCACGGTCACATGACTTCACGTCACCACCGCTAAGCTAAAGGTGGCTAATGTTAGGCTATAAAGGAACTACAGCACGGTCACATGACTTCACGTCACCACGCTAAGCTAAAGGAGGCTAATGTTGGGCTATAAAGGAACTACAGCACGGTCACATGACTTCACGTCACCACCGCTAAGCTAAAGGTGGCTAATGTTGGGCTATAAAGGAACTACAGCACGGTCACATGACTTCACGTCACCACCGCTAAGCTAAAGGCGGCTAATGTTGGGATATTTCCTTACCTTGTTCTCGCCTTGTTTATTTTCTCCTGAAGATAGTTCTGCTCTCGCTCCGACTCTTTGAATTTGTTCAGAGCCCTAAAATAAACGATCTAAAAAGGAAAGTATTATGTAACGTTAACCAATATTAATGATGCTCACTTGATATATCATATAATCTTATTTCCTGATCAGTACCTCCTGTTCATTGTGCTCTTTGCCGACGACCTTCAGCTGCTCCTTTAACCTCAGATGACCTTCAGAAAGAGCTTCCTGTTCCTGCGTCACACTTTCAATTCTGCTTCTAACGCCCCGCAGCTTCTGCTCTGCTGCTGTGAGCTTAGTCTGTGAGAAAGATAGGAAAAAGAGACATGCATTAGTTAATAAAGAGGTCTATTTATCTTATATAACATGTCTTCTGTCAGACTAGTTGACAGAAAGACATCCAGGAGTTTATTTTACTGTCTTCTCCTATTAGCATTAGCATCACATAACGCCTCATTTGCATGTTTAATCATAAGATGTCAGAAAACTTGTAATATAAGAAATAATTGTGTTAATGTCAGTAATCAAGTGGGAAAGTTTCATGGTGATATTTGGTAGTTAAATATTTTACCCCATTCACCTGCACCTGTGTACAACTATATGAAGTTTACAATTAATATATTTGAAGGCAGTTTCTTTTACATGTTCAAACCATTTTTTATGACATAATTAAGACGAAATATTACCAGTTATTTTCTAAATTTTAAGTTTTTTTAAAGGGGACCTATCATGCAAAATGCACTTTTGTACGTCTTTTATACATGAATATGTGTCCCCGGTGTTCCAGGGAACTCACCAAGTGTCAGAAAACACAACCCTCTCTATTTTCCTCCATACCCAAATCTCTAAAAAAGGGGCTGCAACGGATCTGATAAAAACTGATCCAGATTTGAACACTGTCCTGACGTCAGGATGGTGGCGCTACGGCTATTGGGCCAACTCCACCAATCAGGAGGAGACAGCCACGGCCATTGCCGTTCGAAAGCACTGGAGACGCTGTAGTACATATGCCAGGCCTGTAGATGGTGCTGTTCTCACTGAATCTGCCCAGAGCTAGAAAAATTGTCAAATTGAGCGAAATGAGGCATGGCTAAAATGCATGATCTGTTTGGTATTTTGAAGGAAAAAAAAGTATAAATATGCCTTATATAGGTATGGTCCTACACTATATTATTCAAATATAGCATCATAGGTCCACTTTAAATGACTTTTTTCGTACAAAGATTATAGATCTTTTTCAAATTGAATCAACTCGTATTTTGTCTACATTTTACAACTTTCTCTAATTTCTTTAACCTCCAGAAGAGTTGTTTCTCCTCCTCTCAGCAGAAATCTCCAATAATTCATAAACTCTTCATCACTGAAAACATGCAGAAAATGACTTGTTGGCAGTATTTATGGAGCGATACAAAGACATATCTTGAATCCCCTCATGAACATTTGATAAAGCTTCAAGTTCAGTTTCTTTGACGGAAATCTATGCATTTATTTAACAACATATCACATTTTGTAGGGTTTTAATAAATATATAATCTGACCTGGCAGAGCTTGAGGTTCTCCTGATGTTTCTGATTACTCTCCTCTTTCTCCACGTCCTCCTTTAACCGCTGCACAAACTGCTCCTTATCTCGCACCTGACATGAGGAAACACCGTTAACCACGCTTCCTTTCCTCCTCGATGCACGATGTTTTGTTTCTGCAGCAGCTGCTTCCTCTCACCAGACTCCAGGCCATGTTCCTCTGGAGGCTCGGCAGCAGCTCCTTCATGTCGCTGAAGGAGTACAGCGCCTCGAAGCGCTCCTTCTTCTGCAGGAAGTCCAGCTTCAGGTCCTTCAGAGCCTGAACACAGCAGCACGTTACAGCTCAGCAGAAACAATATGCTGCACATGCTTCAGAGGTGGGAAGTAACCAAGTAGATTTACTGAGTACTTAAGTACAATTTTGAGGTACTTGTACTTTACTTGAGTATTTCCATTTAATGCTACCTTGTACTTCTACTCCGCTACATGTATTTAATACCTTTAGTTACTTTATAGATTTGGATTAATGATGTGAAATATAATCAAGTCTTAAATCACAAGATCTGAGTACTTCTACTTTTACTCAAGTACAGATCTGAATACTTCTACTTTTACTAAATCACAAGATCTGAGTACTTATACTTTTACTCAAGTGCAAGATCTGAGTACTTCTACTTTTACTAAATCACAAGATCCGAGTACTTCTACTTTTACTAAATCACAAGATCCGAGTACTTGTACTTTTACTAAATCACAAGATCTGAGTACTTCTACTTTTACTCAAGTACAAGATCTGAGTACTTCTACTTTTACTCAAGTACAAGATCTGAGTACTTCTACTTTTACTAAATCACAAGACCCGAGTACTTCTACTTTGACTAAAGTAAAAGACACGAGTACTTCTAATAAAAATAAATTGTAATTTTCTTCAGATTTTTCTCTAAAAAGTCTGTATTTCTCAAGTAAATGTCAAGGTATTTGAAAAAAAAAAAATATCGGAATAAATTCAAGATATCTTTCTAAACATAAAAATAAATGGACAGATCTTTTCAAGAATAAAAAGCGAGTTTCTTGATATTTTTTCAGAATCTTTTAAGTAAATATCGAAGTAAATCTTGACTTCATTCTCTAAACAAATTCTGACTTATTAGAAAAATATCTTGAATTTATTCAGATTTTTGCAGCATGGTTTAAATCTGTAATAAACATGAATTGTATGCTCACCTCCTCCTGTCTCTCCACCTGCTGTCTGGTGAGGGTTTTGGTTTGTTTGATGTGAACAAAATCCCTCTTCATCTGATACAGGAGCGTCGCCTTCATGAAGAACTGCACCAGGAAAAAGGTACTTAAACACGAGGGAATATTAAATATTGAATATTATATATTATATCAGCCTCTCAGAGAAACTGAGGATGAATCCATCCAGCCATCTTCTCCCGCTTCTCCGTGGTCGGGTCGTGGAGGTATCAGTTCCAGCAGAGAGCCCCAAACGTTCCTTTCCCCTCATCAACCAGCTCTGACTGGGGGGTCCCAAGGCGCTCCCAGGCCAGAGAAGAGATATAATCCCTCCACCTGGTCCTAGGTCTACCCCTCGGTCTCCTCCCAGCTGGACGTGCCTGGAACACCTTCCTAGGGAGGCGCCCAGGTGGCATCCTTACTAGGTGCCCGAACCACCTCAACTGGCTCCTTTCGACGGAGAAAACCCATCTCGGCCGCTTGTATCCGCGAGATGACGTTGAGATGCGCCGGTGAAGATGGCCGCATTGTCTTTGTGCTCCTCTCCAACTTTGCCCATTTTCGTATTTTGTACATATTTCTTTTACTTTTGCCGTTTTACTTTTAACATGGTTCGCAACATGCTAGCCGACCGCACCTACTCTGCCATACAATATAGCAGAGAGGAACTTTTCCAATTGCGAAACTTCGTGGACAATATTAACCCTCCGACAGACAATGGAGATTCACCATGGCTACCTGTTGCTGTTCTACCTGAGAGACGCAAGAAGAAGACAAAGCGAGGATGCCGGGCCGGGTTGCTGGTCAGACTGAGAAAACGTGAGAATCGGCCCCCTCTTCCGAGTATTCTTCTGGCTAATGTTCAATCCATTGAAAATAAGCTAGATGAACTCAGAAGCCGGATTGCTTTTCAACGGGACATTAAGAACTGTAACGTGTTAATTCTCACTGAGACTTGGCTCAACCCCGCTATCCCGGACTCCGCTATTGTCCCTGACGGATTCTCTATTTTTCGTCAGGACCGGACTGCAAACTCGGGGAAAAGTAAGGGATGCGGTGTGTGTGTAATGACTAACAACAACTGGTGCTCAGATGTGAAGATTATTTCATCGGACTGTTCCGCACAGCTAGAGCACCTCATGATCTCATGTCGGGCCTTCCATCTGCCGAGGGAATTCACATCTGTTGTGATAACAGCAGTGTATATCCCGCCGCAGCCACTCGCCGACAACAACACGGCACTCGATCAGCTGTTTGGGTTTATTGATAAAACCGAGACTTCACGGCCAGATGCGGCGTTCGTTGTGGCCGGAGATTTCAACACCGCCAACATGAAGAAGGTTTTGCCAAAATATTACCAACACATCAACTTCCCGACGCGCGGGGGAAACATACTGGACCATGTTTATTCCCCTTTCCGGAATGGATATAAGGCTCTCCCTCGCCCTCCCTTCGGCAAATCAGACCATATCTCACTACTGTTGTTGCCTGCTTACAAGCAGAAACTTAAAAGGGACAGACCGATAACAAGGACAGTACAACGATGGAGCGAGGAGTCAGATTCAGCACTGCAGGATTGCTTTGCATCCACGGATTGGAGTGTGTTTGAGCACAACAACATCAACACACACACGGACACTGTCATCTGCTACATTGGGAAATGCATCGATGACGTGGTACCGAAGGTTTCTGTACGGACATTCCCAAATCAAAAGCCCTGGGTAAACGGTGAGGTGCGCGGCAAACTGAAAGCGCGCACTCTCGCGCACACAGCGGGAGATTTGGAGGAGTACAGGAAGTCTAGGTATGATCTCCGGAGAGCAATAAAAAATGCAAAGAGACAGTACAAAGAGAAGGTGGAATCTGACTTCAAAGGCTGTAACACTAGGAATATGTGGGCGGGACTAAGGACAATGACTGACTACAAAGGAGCAGCGGGGGGTGCTGCGGGAGTGTCTGCGTGCGCATCTCTCCCAGATGAGCTAAACAGTTTTTTTGCACGCTTTGAGAGCAGCCAGGCTGTGGAGGTACAGAGGGACCAGGAGCTACACTGCCCTTTTGTTTTAAATAGGGCAGATGTGTGTAAATCCTTTAAAAGGGTTAACCCACACAAGGCTCCTGGACCTGATGGCATCCCTGGCCGTGTTCTCAGGGTGTGTGCAGTTCAGCTGGCAGAGGTGTTCACAGACATCTTCAACAGGTCCCTGCTGCAGTCTGTAGTCCCCACATGTCTTAAACACTCCACCATCATTCCTGTCCCCAAAAAGACAATCATCACCTGCCCCAACGACTACCGCCCAGTAGCACTCACCTCCACCATAATGAAGTGCTTTGAGCGGTTAGTCAAATTATTCATCACCTCCTCCCTCCCTGAATCTCTGGACCCCCTGCAGTTTGCCTACAGAGCAAACAGGTCCACAGACGACGCCATAGCCCTCACCCTCCACACTGCCCTCTCACACCTGGACCCGAAGAACAGGAACACATATGTGAGAATGCTGTTCATTGACTACAGTTCAGCATTCAACACCATTGTGCCCTCCAAGCTGGCCATCAAGCTCAGAGACCTCGGGCTCAACAGCGCCCTCTGCGACTGGATCCTGAACTTCCTGACGGGCAGACCCCAGGCAGTGCGGGTGGGAAACATCACATCCTCCACCCTGATTCTAAACACCGGTGCCCCTCAAGGCTGCGTGCTCAGCCCTCTCCTCTACTCCCTGTTCACCCACGACTGCGTGGCCACACACAGCTCCAACACCATCGTGAAGTTTGCTGATGACACGACCGTCATCGGCCAGATCACAGACGATGACGAGACGGCATACAGAGAGGAGGTCGAAAACCTGACATCTTGGTGCCAGGAGAACAACCTCCATCTCAACATCAGCAAAACAAAGGAGCTGATTGTGGATTACAGGAAGCAGCAGGGAGAGGGACACGCCCCCATCGCCATCAATGGGACTACGGTGGAGAGAGTCAAAAGCTTCAGGTTCCTTGGGGTCCACATCACTGAGGACCTGACATGGTCTCTTCACACCACCACCATCACCAAGAAAGCTCGACAGCGGCTCTTCTTCCTCCGCAGGCTGAGGAGGTTCAAAATGGATTCCAGGATACTCTGCAACTTCTACAGGTGCACGATAGAGAGTATCCTGACTGGCAGCATGACGGCCTGGTACGGCAGCTGCACCGACCTCGATCGTAAGGCTTTACAGAGGGTGGTGAAAACTGCACAGCACATCACCAGGACGGAGCTGCCATCCATGGAGGACCTTTACTCCCAGCGGCTCAGGAAGAAATCACTACGGATTATCAAAGACCCCCATCACCCCAGCCACAAACTGTTCTTTCTGTTGCCGTCTGGCAGACGTTACCGCAGCATCCGGGCAAGGACAAGAAGATTCGGAGACAGTTTCTTCCCGCGGGCAGTGAGACTGTTAAACAATTGAACTGTTGAAACAACATCAAACATTCAACTGCTACTCAGTAGTATGTATCTAATACCTAATATATATATATCATTCCAATAACTTGTATATAGACTCATACTGCACTATTCCACATCATAACTTTATTTCATTTTTATAACTATTATTATTTTTGTATTGCTCTTGCTCTTATTGTTATTATGTTATGTTATTATGTTGCATTGTTGGAGAAGCCTGTGACATAAGATTTTCAACTGCATAATTACTCTGTAGCTATGTCAGATTGACAATAAAGAACCTTGAACCTTGATCTCGTTCTTTCGGTCATGACCCATCCTCATGACGAGGTGAGGGTAGGAACGGAAATGGCCCGGTCGACAGAGAGCTTCTGGCTCAGCTCTCTTTTCCTCACACGGTGCGGTAAAGCGACTGCAGTACCGCTCCCGCTGCTCCGATTCTCCGGCCCATCTCACGCTCCATTGCTCCCCCACTCGAGAACAAGACCCTGAGATACTTGAACTCCTTCACTTGGGGTAAGGCCTCATTCCCTACTTGGAGTGGACAGTCCATCGGTTTCCTGCTGAGAACCATGGCCTCAGATTTGGAGGTGCTGATCCTCATCCCAGCCGCTTCACACTCGTTGTGAACCGATCCAGTGAGAGCTGAAGGTCACAGACCGATGAAGCCATTAGAACCACATCATCTGCAAAAAGCAGTGGTGCTGTCCTTAGTCCACCGAACTGCAGACCCCCTCCCCCACGACTACGCCTCGAAATCCTACCCATGTATATTACAAACAGGATTGGTGACAAAGCGCAGCCCTGGCGGAGGCCAACCCTCACCGGAAATGGGTCCGACTTACTGCAGAGGACCCGGACACAGCTTTCGCTTTGGGAGTACAGAGATTGGATGGCCCTGAGTAGAGACCCCCCTCACCCCATGCTCCTGCAGCACCTCCCACAGTAACTCCCTGGGAACCCGGTCATACGCCTTCTCCAAGTCTACAAAACACATGTAGACCAGATCAGAGTACTCCCAGGCCCCCTCCAGGATCCTTGCGAGAGTAAAAAGCTGATCCGTCGTTCCACGACCAGGACAGAATCCGCATTGTTCCTCAATCTGAGGTTCTGACCCTCCTTTCCAGTACCTTAGAGTAAAGGATGAATAATGCACCTGGTATTTGTCTGATTCACTCTTTGAATGCAGGAACTGTTTACTCATCTCCTGGTTCAGGATGGACACGGGGTTATCCAGCTTTAAACATAAAAAAAAAACATATTGTTTATTGCAGTAAATACATTTAAAAAAGGCCTGAAAATAACATTAACGCATGCACTCAAGGATAAACATCTGCAGAATAAAAGAGGAGGACTTTCTTTGATATTTTGGGTCAGCGGTCAAAATAAAAGTGGTAACATTAATAAAAAACATGCACTGAAAAAGGAAGAATCCCCGACACACCAAGCTGACACCAAAGAACACGTCCCGACGGAACACGACTGTTGTGTCGCTTCACGTCTCCTGCATCTTGGCCAGGGGCGCCGTAAGGGGGTGAAAAGTTAGGACGATTCTAAGGGCCCGTGACTGACAGGGGCCCAAACCATTTTAGAACATTAAGAAAAAAATGTTTAAGTAACCAATGTGATTATCTTTTCAAGGGGCCCAAAATCCCTGGCGGCGCCCCTGGTCTTGGCCAACAGTCGCACTGGAACACACCGCAAAGACTTCAGCCGACGGCCAAGTAGCACGTACGAACTGCGCATGCGTGAGTGGCAATAACTCTCCTTACCAGCAGGCGGCGGTAGTGTGTATTTGTTATTCAAAAGAGGCAACAACCGGAAGACAGACTGCGTGATAACCGAGAGAAGAAGAACAGACTGCGTGATATAAACAAACAACAAATAGCGTGCGTTCCATGTTCACTCTACAACGAGAAGCTCACGGGGCTTTCCCCAACCTGTGTCGAGAGCTGGAGTTAAATGAAATCTCACATTTGCCTTCTTAATAGTTTGTTTGGGTCCCTCACTTCCGTTTCGCTTCTCATGCACTGATTCGCTAAGCTGAACAGCCAATCAGAGTGATTTCTTTAGCCGACAGCCTACCGATTCAACACGTTGAATCGGGAGCGGAAGGTGTCGGCACGACCGAAAAGACACGACAGGGCGGGACACACCAATCTGAGTAGGGCGACAGGACGCTCATCGACATCTATCGACATCTATCGACGCTGAAAATCGGCTTGGTGTGTAAGGAGCTGAAGGAAAAATAAATGAAGGATATAAAAAAAGTGAAATATGTAAATTTATAATGAAAACGGAGTTAGTACCTGGATGTTAAAGTGGTCCAGAATGGAGGTCAGCTCCTCCTTCTTGTTCGAGATAAGCTGTCCTGAAATTATAATTAAAGAATTATTTAATTAATGAGGATTAAACCTTACATTAAATATTATTATTAAAAACTGAAATATTAATTCAATGAATCCAGTAAAAGAAAATATAATTTGAACATTTAATTAAAATGTTTTTTCTTAATACTTCTTTTCATATAACTTTGATTTCATAAAATCTACTTTATTTCACATTTTGTTTTTATCGTAATGCAGAACGATTTAAATGTAATGAGTTGTAGTTGAGAAGATTATTAAAAACCTAAAGCGTTTTTTGGACTTATATTCAGAAAAACATGATTACGTTTTTACTTTACGGCACGGGTTTTATTTAAATTTTAGAAACACTAAAACGCCAGGACACATTTCTAGTCTTTTTTTATAAATGACAAAACAAGAGCAGTATCTATTCAAGTGATTTTATGTCTATTTATAATCATTTGATGTCCCTTTGAAGTCATTAAGTGTCTTTTTAAGTATTTTATAGTCACTTAAAGGTCCTTTTGTGTCATTTGCTGGTCATTTTGCATCTTTTTAAGTCATATGTCTACTTAGTCATTGTGTGTCTTTCTAGTCAATATGTGTCTTTGAGTCATTTTGTTTCTCTTTGTAGTTATTTAATACCTCTTTGTAGTCATTTTGTATCTTTTAACTCATTTAATGTCTATTTAAAGTAATCTTGTGTCTCTTTAGTACACAGTATGCCAGTAATCACCCGTTTTGCTCTTCAGCTTGCAGGTCCGGCTGCCATCGCTGAAGATGCGTCTCTCGATGGAGATGCTGTCTCCGTAGACGTCTCTTTTAAAAGCGTCCAGTCCTCTGTTTCTTAGCGTCACGGTGATTTCTGCAGAACTACAGAAAACAAAATATATACATCTTTCCAATTTCCACCAACATAATAAAGCAAGGCTTCTCAAACTCGGACCGAACTGCAAATCAATCCGGACCGAACCCTGTGTCCCATTATAAACAATACAAATTATACAAAATAAAAACTTTCTGATTCCGATGTAAATTAATGTATATTTTCTTGTGTCTGACGCGTTGTGAGAATGAACGTGCATATACATTTACTTGTGTGCGCGAGCGTGACACGCATTGCAGACCGCAAGTTAACCCGCAAGTTTACCTTGACTTTCTAATGCTTCCAATGCCTTTTTTGCCGAGGTTCAAGGCATTGACTACAGACAAACAGTGCCATTTCTCCCACTAGTTCAAGCCACTGTGTGTATACGCCGTTTGCCGACAGGCAAGTGCTCGGACCAGAAGGGGGCCCCCAAAGGCAAGGCAAGGCAAGTTTATTTATATAGCACATTTCAACACAAGGCAATTCAAAGTGCTTTACAAAAATGAAAGACATTAATAGCATACAAGAAACATATTATGAAATGATATTAAAAAGGCTTTTGATACTGTGAACCATACTATACTGCTACACAAATTAGAACATTATGGCATAAGGGGTCAAGCCAAAGAATGGGTTAAGAGTTATCTGATAAATAGGCTACAATATGTGGATATAGACGAGGCAAAATCAAACAATCTTCCTATAACATGTGGAGTCCCTCAAGGATCAATGTTAGGTCCAAAACTGTTCCTGATTTATATTAATGACATAATAAACACCTCCGACATGTTAAAATTCATTTTGTTTGCCGATGATACCACCATTCTCTGCTCCCATCATAATCTTGGTGATCTTGTTACAATTGTTAATGCAGAATTAGAAATACTATGCAACTGGTTTGCAGTTAATAAATTATCCCTTAATGTGGCCAAAACAAATGACATGTTATTCAATACAAAGTTAGAGTAGAAATGACTGTATTATACGGATTTGCAATGCTGAGATAGAGAAAATTGGTGCATGTAAATGTTTAGGACTCATTGTTGATGAAAAACTCAACTGGAAGCACCATATAAATTATGTACAAACTAAACTGTCAAAAACAATAGGTATTTTGTATCGTACTAAGAACATTCGAGGAAAAAATACTCAGAACTCTTTATAACAGTCTATTTCTCCCTTACCTTTATTACTGCTCCGAAATATGGGGAAACACGTACTCAACAAATCTACAAAAAATAATAACATCTCAAAAAAAAGTATTACGAATAGTCTGTGGTGTTGGTAAATATGAACACACAACTCCCATATTTAAAAAACTCAATCTATTCAAATGTGTTGATATAGTTAAGCTTAAAACAGTACTGATTATGCACAACATTTTCCATAACAAAATGCCTACTAACATTCAAAAGCAGTTCCAAACCACAGTCAGGAATCCTAACTGGTTGTGTAGCAAGCCCTGTAGAACAACCATCAAATCACACAGCTGATCCATAATCGGAGTTAGAACGTGGAATGGACTTCACCCAGACCTTTCAAGTATTACTAGTCATCAACAATTCAAAACTAAAGTAAAAACAATTCTATTTGCAGATTACTCCAGCTAACAAATATTGGATATTCCCAGTATTATTTATATATGCATTTACTTTTTTTCTTGCCCTAACTTTTATTTTATTTATTTATTTTTCTCCAGTTTTCTTTATTTCTTTGTACTCCTTAATTTCTATACGTTTTTGACTAAATAAATGCCATTGTTATATTGATGCTAATGATGATGCATGGGAGGGCTACTCCCTATAAGCTATGCTTCAGCCCTCCCGCTTCTACTAATTTTGTTCATTTGTGTGTATGAATTATACGTTTTTGTTTTTGTATGATTTTAGTAGAATAAATAAAAAATATCTAAAACACTAATTTAAAAGTAATGATACATGAATCACAGTTACAGTGCAGTGTGAGATACACACATCTGAACGAACCCCCCTTTGGAAAATTATAATCTGACCCCATTTAGTTTTCGCCAAAACTATTCCTCTTTTTTATTTTTAAATGCACATAGTTAAGTTTACCTTGTCTTTCTAGGACTTTTTTGGTATCCTCCGTGAACCAGGGTCTTGAAACCAAAACTAATTCCTGTACCCCATGGTACCTTTTTAGTTTGCGCCAAAACTATTCCTCTTTTCTTTAAATGCACATTAGTTAAGTTTAAGTTGTCTTTTCTAGGACTTTTTTGGTGTCCTCGCGAACCAGGGTCTTGAAACCAAAACGGCAAACGTAGGGGACTTTAACCCCAATAATGACTTTAACTACCTTTGGGGGGACTCAACACAAGGCAATTCAAAGTGCTTTACAAAAATTAAAAACATTAAGAAAATGGCATTAAAAAGCAAAGATCATAAAAGTTACAGTGCAGTTTAAGATATGAATATATCAATTAAAAGCAGCAGCAAAAAGAAAAGTCTTCAGCCTGGATTTAAAAGTAGTCAGAGTTGCAGCGGACCTGCAGGTTTCTGGGAGTTTGTTCCAGATATTTGGAGCATAATAACTAAAAGCTGCTTCTCCATGTTTAGTTCTGACTCTGGGGACAGAAAGCAGACCAGTCCCTGAAGACCTGAGAGTTATGGATGGTTCATAATTTAGCAGTAGGTCAGACATGTGTTTTGGGCCTAAACCATTCAAAGCTTTATAAACCAGCAGCAATATTTTGAAATCAATTCTTTGACACACAGGAAGCCAGTGTAAAGACTTCAGAACAGGAGTGATGTGAGTTCTTGCGTACCATGCTGTGAATGGATCTGGCCCTTCCTACATCCAGGACATGGTTAAACCATACACCCCAGCACGTGCACTCCGATCTGCATCGGCCAAACGGCTCGCTGCACCCGCACTGCGAGGGGGACCCAAGTTCCCATCAGCAGAAACACGTGGGTTTGCTATCCTGGCTCTAAAATGGTGGAATGAGCTCCCCATTGACATCAGGACAGCAGAAAGCTTACACATCTTCCGGAGCAGACTGAAAACTCATCTCTTTCGACTCCACTTCGAGCGATAGAATCACTATCAAAGCACTTATATACTAATAAAGGACTGGCTTATCTAAAGCTAGTTGAGTAGCACTTGAAATGTTTTGGCTCTATGAAACCTGATGTACTTATATGATTCTGTTTTCTTCAAGTTTGTATCTTGTTGGTCGAATGCACTTATTGTAAGTCGCTTTGGATAAAAGCCTCAGCTAAATGTAATGTAATGAAATGTGATCCACTTTCTTAGTGTTAGTGAGGACTCGAGCAGCAGCGTTCTGAATTAGCTGCAGCTTTCTAATAGATTTTTTAGTGAGGCCTGTAAAGACACCATTGCAGTAGTCCAGTCTACTGAAGATAAAAGCATGGACAAGTTGTTCCAAATCCTGCTGTGACATTAGTCTTTTAACCCTAGATATGTTCTTTAGGTGATAGTAGGCTGATTTAGTAACTGTTTTAATGTGACTGTTGAAACTCAGGTCAGAGTCCATGACTACACCTAGAGTTCTGGCTTTATCTGTTGTTTTGAACATTGCAGACTGAAGCTCAGCGCTAACTTTTATACGTTCTGCCTTGGCTCCAAAAACCATTACCTCAGTTTTATCTTTGTTTAATTGGAGAAAGTTCTGACACATCCAGTCATTGATTTGTTCAATGCACTTACTCAGTGTTTGAATTGGAGCATAATCTCCTGGTGAAATTGTTACGTACATTTGTGTGTCATCCGCATAGCTATGGTAACTTATTTTGTTGTTTTTCATTATCTGAGCCAGTGGTAGCATGTAGATGTTAAAGAGAAGAGGCCCCAAGATGGAGCCTTGAGGTACCCCACATGTCATATTTGTCAACTCAGATGTGTATTTACCTATAGAAACAAAGTTTTTTCTGTCCTTTAAGTAGGACTCAAACCAATTTAGAACTGTTGCCGAAAGTCCCACCCAGTTTTCCAGTCGGTCTAGTAATATGTTGTGGTCAACAGTGTCAAACGCAGCACTGAGATCTAATAATACTAACACTGAAGTTCTGCCACTGTCTGTGTTTAAGTGGATGTCATTGAAGACCTTTACAAGAGCAGTCTCAGTGCCGTGGTTTGGATGAAAGCCTGACTGGAACACATCGAAACAGTTATTTAAATGCAAGAAATTACTCAACTGTTGAAAGACAACTTTTTCAATGATTTTACCTAGAAATGGCAGGTTTGATATGGGCCTGTAATTGTTCATTACTGAACCATCTAGATTATTCTTTTTTAAGAGCGGTTTAATGACTGCAGTTTTCAGAGCCTGTGGAAAAACACCTGAGTGAAGAGATGTGTTTACTATATGAAGTAGATCTGAGGCCATGCAAGGAAAAACATCTTTGAAAAATCCTGTTGGAATAATATCAAGGCAGCAGGAGGAGGATTTCAGAAGTTGAATAATGTCCTCTAGGTTTTTATCATTAATCTGATGGAATTGTGTCATGGTGTTTGAATTGATATTAGGTGGACACAGGGACAACACATTTGCTGTACCTGATGCAGAGGCACTGACTGCTTGTCAGATTTTCTGAATGTTGTCAGTGAAGAAGGCAAAATCATTGCACGCCCTGGTGGATAGAAATTCAGAGGCTACTGACACTGGGGGGTTAGTTAGTCTGTCGACGGTAGCAAACAAGGCACGTGCGTTGTTTTTGTTTTTGGCAATGATATCAGAGAAGAAAGACTGTCGTGCGTTTTTCAATTCCAAATTATAAAGGCCAAGTCTCTCTTTATAGATTTTAAAAAACCTGAAGATTTGTTTTTCGCCACCTACGTTCAGCTTTTCGACACTCTCTTTTTTCTGTTCTCACGGTCATGGCCTTTCTACATGGAGATATTTTCTTGCTAATCACTTCCTTTACCTTAGTTGGAGCAATGGCATCTATAATCTTTTTAATTGTTGAATTAAAATGATCTACTAGCTCATTTACTGAGATGTTAGCAGGGGCAAGTGTGGAAGAAATATTCTGAGTAAACATTTCCCTAGTATTTTCAGTTAAATATCGCTTTGTGGTTACCTCTTTCTGAACATTTGTGTGAACAGAAATAGAGCTCTCAAAGGAATGATCAGAGAGCGCAACATCAGTCACCTCAACCTTAGAGATATTCAGACCCTTTGAGATCATTAAGTCCAGAGTGTGCCCCTTATTGTGCGTGGGCTCCGTCACATGCTGAGTCAGTCCATAGTTATCAAGAACACAAAACAGTTCTTTAGCCCCTCTGTCCTGGGGGTTGTCAACATGGATGTTAAAATCACCAACAATGACTAGACGGTCAAAGTCAATACACACTATAGACAGCAGTTCAGTAAAGTCATCAAAAAAGCTTGCACAGTATTTGGGTGGTCTATAGATATTTAGGAACAGAGCTCGAGAGGAGCATTTCAGCTGAAGGGCCACATATTCAAAAGAAGCAAAGTCCCCATAAGATGTCTTCCTGAATTGAAGGGAATCATTAAACAAAATAGCAACTCCACCCCCTTTCTTATGCATTCTTTCCTGACTCATAAAACTAAAGTTGGGAGGGGTTGATTCGATAAGAACAGCTGCACTGTTATTTTGTTCAATCCAAGTTTCCGTTAAAAACATAAAATCCAGATTGTGCTCAGCGATAAAATCATTGATTAAAAACGTTTTTCCTGCCAAAGACCTGACATTTAATAAAGCTAGTTTAAGTTTGTTAAATACACTATCAGTCAGATTTTTTGTGACAAGCTGTGGCTGACATGGAATCACTGCTGAATTTGATAACCTCACACAAACGTTTGAGCGCTTCCTGTTTCTAAGCTGATTCACCAATCTTAATCTATTACCTATCAACACAGATATCAGCAAAGCTACTGGCAGGCAGGGCCCCGGCATGTGCTGGAAAGAGTTGAGAGTGCCATACGCCCTTGAGCCTGGACCCAGCACATATCAGTAAGAGATTGCTGCGTTTTGTACACACATTCTTATCAGGCTTCGGTGACCGCAGATGGTGTCTTGAAGGGGGGGGAGGTGGTTGACATAGGCACGGTGATGAAGACGGGGGAGATGGTGCGCGTCTCTTAAGTATAATAAAATAAACTTATAGTATAATAAACTTCTGCTTGTCTTATATATTGTCTCCCGTGACCCGTTCCAAGTTAAAATGATATAATAACTACGCTCTAGTTTTTCTTATCGGAACAAGGCTTCATGATATCCTCCACAACAGCTATATAAACACTACAAAACTGATTTTGACAATTCTTGCCAAGTCTGAAGGTCTCTAAAAGAAAAAGTGTATAATTGGGTGTTCGGGTCTGGGGAGACCCAGCAGCATGTTTTGGGTGACTCGGGGTCAAATTTGGCCCAATCAAGATTCATCTTTGACTTTAGACACCCCCCCCTCATACACTGTAACAATACTTTTTCACAACATGCACCTGGTCTCCCCTCCCTCTGCCCCCCTCCCCCCACGGGAACTCGACCTTTCTCAAAGAATATGTACACTAACACTTGAACCTGAACACACACATGCACGTGTGGTAAACTACATTTAAGAGAATTACCTTATTTTCTCTGTTAATTGCAGACTTCTTTTTCATAAACCAACCACTCAAACTTCACAATAGCCAAGATTTTCCTCATAAATTTGAGTTTGTATCTTGTAAACATACCCCTTAAATTACAGAGATGATGCACGTTGTTTTTTGGAAATGTGTGAGTGGTTTTACGTCAATTTAAACAACTACATTTAAGAGAATAACCTTATTTTTCTGTTAATTTGTGACTTCTTTTCATCAATTCCCTTCGTATAGTTCTCTGTATGTGGCCCTCGGTGAAAAGAGTTTGGACACCTCTGCCTGTAATAAAGGATCTAAAAAGGTATAATATTGTGTCTTTACGTCTCGCCGGTCTTCACAAAGTCCTTCACAGACGTCCCTCTGTTCGTGTCCGTTGCTTTTCCTCCGAGACCGACGATCAGAGCCGTCAGAATCGCACTCTTCCCACCTGAGGAGTACAATTAAAACCAAGGTGTTAAATAAATCACTGCATGGAGAGCGAACCACAGCTAAATCAATATATATCAAAACACCCCCCATTTTCTGTTTCCTGTGTTTTGTATTTTTCAGCTTTTTGTGGGAAAAACTTTTTCAGTTTCTGCATGATTAAAAATTGTAATTAAATATTTTCAAATTAAACTAGATAAGCCAAAAACGGCGGTATTTATAATCCCGGTTCTTACTGCCATTGATTAATTACTTTATGAAGAATCATCTGGAAATATTTAACGTATCTTTTTAAAGAAAAACACAAATTATTTTAATTGGATTCAAACTAAAGGAATTAAGTTTAAATAGATAATTCTTAGACGGTTAATTGATTAAAACCTTCTTTTTTTTTAAACCCTATACACATTTATTTCTAATTATAATTTTTTTTTAATTACATGTTTTACATATGAAAATAACAATTATTCAGGTTTTAGTGGAATTTCTTTTTCCGTTTCTGCATAATTAAAAACTTAAATTAAATACTTTAAATTAATCTACACAAGCCAAAGACAGCGTGATATAAAACGGTATTTATAGGTTCTCACTGCCGTTGTTTCCCACGATGAAGTTGACGTTGGGTCCGAACTGGAAGGGTCCGAGCAGACGGTGACACATGAAGTTCTTCAGAGCGATGCTCTCGATCAGACCAATGTCCCCCTGATAACACACAGGGAATACACAAACAAATACTGCAAGAATAAATACATAAATACATAAATACACGAATGAATACAAAAAACTCATCAATTCATATAAAGGTAAAGATGTGAACATATTATTAATAAATTATTTAATAAAAGATAAAAAATATGTAGCGGTGAAAATATTCTGAATTATGCAACAGAAATAAAGATGGATCTCTCCACAGCAGCACATGGATCAGCTCCTGGTATGAACATACATGAAACCCTGAGGATGGGAACATAAATCCCACGACCTCTCGTTGATGCCTTTAATAAATCAGAAGTGTCACCGTGTTGCTGGAGTCTCTCTCGTCAGAAACCCTCCGTCTCTTCCCCCCCGACACCATCACTCCTCCTCTGCTCTTACTCATCCTGAACCTGCACACAGAACATCATGTCAGATACCCAGGTCTTGTACTTGAGTAAAAGTAGAAGTACTCAGATCTTGTACTTGAGTAAAAGTAGAAGTACTCAGATCTTGTTCTTGAGTAAAAGTAGAAGTACTCAGATTTTGTACTTGAGTAAAAGTAGAAGTACTCAGATGTACTTGAGTAAAAGTAGAAGTACTCAGATCTTGTACTTGAGTAAAAGTAGAAGTACCAGAGTGTAGGAATACTCTGTTACAGTAAAAGTCCTGCATTCAAAATGTTCCTCAAGTAAAAGTAGAAAAGTATTATCATCAAAATATAGTGAAAGTAGCGACAGTAAAAGTAGTCATTGTGCAGATTGGTCCATTTCAGAATAATATATATGATATGTTTTATAATGATTGATCATGAAAGTGTTCTCAAAGCTGGTAAAGGTGCAGCTAGTTTGAATGACTTTGTATACTGCAGGGTAGCTTGTGGATTTACTCCAGGTGGAACTAAAGTCTGATTTAACACTTGGTTATATTTCACAACATTCATCCACACTCGAGCAGCAGGTGCATTAAAACCCCACTTCCGGTGCACTTTGGATTCACACACAACAAACAAAGAAACAAACAAAGAAACAAACAAATAAAGTAAACTTTAGAAGAGTTTACCGTGCTGTTGAAGTCCAGGCTGCAGAAATATCTCGTGTTCACAGTCAGAGATATTTTTATTCACTTCCTGTCTCTGAGCTGTTTCTTCACTTCAGATACGGAACCGGAGCTGCGCGCTGATTGGCTGAAACACCTGCTGTGCGTCGGTCATCAAAACAGACACGTTTTATTTTGAAATGTACATTAAAATGTCACGATTCAGACTTTAAACAGTGCAGGAGTTGTACTTTAACACATTTACACATATAAAAACAATCTGTTTGATATGTTGCATGCATTTTTAAAGACTTTATTTATAAAAACCTAACGTTTTATTTTGAAATGTATGTAAAACATTTTGGACATTTAATGAATAAAATATACATTTTTATTTAGTTTTTTAATTAAAATATCGAATTAAATCTTGCAGTTGTTGCAAAAATAACCCATATAACACATTTAAACACATAAAAACAATATGTTTGATATGTTGCATGCATTTTTAAAGACCTTCTTAAAGAAAAGCTCACGTTTTATGTTGAAATTTAAATAAAAAGGTCGCAATATTGACTTTTAATCGTGCTGAATATAAAGTATAGGACATGCAAATACATGTAGAGTATAATACACAGCCTGTTTGAGATGCTGCATTTTCGAGACTTTATTAATAAAACCTTACGATTTATTTTGAAATTGTAATGAAAAGGTCACAATTAGTACTTTTAACCGTGCAACATGTGGAGTGTAATCCATATAAACACGTGTAAAGTGTTCAAAACAGTCTGATTAATATATTTGATGCATGTTTTTGATATTTTATTAATAATAAATCGAATTTTTATTTAGTTTTCTTAATAAAAGATTGTCAAAATATCGAATTAAACCGTGCAGTTGTTGCAGAATAACCCCACATAAACACAGTGAAAGTATATTTAAAAAAAAAAGACATTTTCCAGATCTTTCAGTAAAAACAACACGTGTTATTTTTCAAATTTGGATAAAACCTTATAAACCCACCGGAAGCCCCGCCCCTCTCTTTACGGTTGTTTATGGTGATGATGATGACGACGAACTGCGAGCAACAAACACGGTGAGGAACTCTGATTAAACCCTTCATTAAAACGCGCTGATCAAGTTAGTTTAGGAGAGTTTAATGCATCAGGTGGAGGTGTTTAAAGGCTCATGATGATATATTCTGTTTCTGATGACGAGACACGGGAGAGGGATTTAAAGACACGTGCTGTCTGATTCTGGGTGATTTTAGGGGGAATCTGGTGCTGATTTTCATGGTTAAGGCGAGACACTACAGGTGAATAGGGTCATTTTTTTAACTTAAAGATATCAGCTAGAAATTGTTCCAGTTAATTACTTACATTAAGGCAATTGTTTTTTGTATTACAAGTTTTCTGAAATATCATGTTTAAATATGCAAATGAGCCATAATCTCATTAAATATGCGCATATTTTAACACATTTCAGGAACACAAATCTGAACATTGGATAAAGCCAGGTTCAAAATTCGTGTTTCATTTTGTAGTCATATTAGAATCTAAAGTTTTTACAGAAGGGATTTTGGATATCTCTTTTTATCACTCCATACATCAGAAAATACTGTCAACAGCCGTAAAATATCAATTGTTGTGATGTTTTTAGATATAACATGTTATATAATTCAGGCTATGAATGATATATGAACAAACCCTTCTGTAAAAACCTTCAGAATATTGATAGGAATATAACTGGAAGGTGTGGTGTATGTAAGTGCTACTGAAGTGGACATTTCTCACTCAGAATAGGAGAACAAACTCATTTTGAGAAAACGACCTTTAAAACGCATTTGAAACGACTGAACAGCAACACACGAACCTGCAGCAAGAGCCAGATTAAAACAGCAGATACAAAATAAGAAATGTAATAAAAGACAAAGTAATCAAGACTGAAATGTATATCAAAAAATAAATAACATATTTTAAAATAGCTATAATGATATCCTGAAGCAGTGTTTTTAGAGTAGGGGCAGAAAAACAGAAATGAATATATTGGGAAACATAAAAGACATTTGATAGAAAGTAATCTAGCTAGATAATTGTTTGTATTTTAATTAATTAATTAGTTATGACAATTAATCCTTTAATTAATACTTAAAGTCTTAAAGAGTAAAAACCGGCTAAAATCTCACAATTTATAAAGAAAAACACATTATTTTTAGATTGTAAGTGTAAAATAAAACCAGGTGAGTAATTGATATACAAATCATAATTACTGGGGGGATCTATTTCTTTAATTCACAGTAAATTTGATTAAAATACCTGACATTTTCATGTCTTTAATTGTAAATACTGTAATTCCTACAACTCTATAATTATGATAGTGTGAGGTAAATGTAACTGCATGCTCAGATTCTTCACGTTTTTTCAACAATTTGTCCATTAAATAAATTTAAATGCCTGCATGTTCACTGGATGGACACTAGATGGCACCCAATGCCAGTTTTAGAGAATCTCATGATACACAGACTTTGGTTTGGTTTTAAAATAGCCTTTGAAAAGAAAACTGACTGCAATCACAACTGAAAGACATTCAATGAGAGACTTGTGATAACTTATTGCCTAATTGTGTCGAGCACAACACATTTTAGGATTTAATTCCTACCCTAGGTGTTATATCAGGGTTTTGTCTGCACCGGGTAACAGTAAAATGTTAAAGTGATGCCAGAAAACCATATTTCTGTTCGTCAAAAACTGTATAATTACTCCAGAAATAGCTTTGTTTTTACGGAGCTCCGACGTCACGTTGTTGTTTACGTCCACGGCGCCGTCTTGTATACGGGCGTCTTGTTCTTGATATATCTTCAGAGGTGGGAAGTAGTGGAGTACAAATACTTTGTTACTGTACTTAAAGCTCCCATGTCATGCTTTTCCGGTTATTACCCGTCCCCTTGTGTGTTATGAAGGTTTTTATGCATGTAAACGGTGTGCAGAGTCAAAACCCTCAAAGTACACCCTGTAGCGAGTAAAACTCTAACACAGAAAATACCTCCCCAAAACGCCTCGTTGGAGATACGTCACTGCCCATTTGAGTCTTCCATTTAGTTCCGGGTACCGCCTGATGTCATGCGGTACCCGGAACGAAATGGACCAATCCCGAAGAGCTATGGCCACACCAGCAGCGGCGTGTTCCTCCTCCAGAGGTTCGAAGAACCGGCATTTCACAGACGAAAGCTTCCAAAACATTGCCCAGTTTGAGGCCGGATATGCACAGCTTGTTTGGACCGTTTGGAGCAGGGGAAGATCTGGGTATACAACCTGTAAGTTTGCATTGTTATTTGTGTATTTATCAAACAAGACTGTTTAAATGTGTAAACTGTGTTGGACTGCTAAGCCATTGACACAGTGCTAACTGTGCTAACTAAGTTGCTAGAGTTTCCATATATCAACTCTAATATCAGCAGATGGCCTTGCATACATGTATCTCATAGCAGGAGAATGTCTGCATTCACACACAAAATACCTATTGACAGTATACTCCGGGTGATTTGCCGGTCAGTCGCGAAACTTAATTACATTATAGCTGGCGTAGCGATCTAACACACGGAGCTAGAGCTAGTTTTGGTCGGAAAAACATTTTTGTGATGCTACGTTGCTAGCGTTTAAATATATCAACTACAATGTCAGCAGATGGCCTTACATGTTTGTCATGGCAGGAGAATGTCTGCAGTCACACACACGGAATACTCATACAGTATACTGTACTGTGATTTACCGTACATTGTGACCGTACATATACTGCATGTAGCTAACGAGGCTAGCTGTATGCTAGCGCAAAACAATGTATTCATGCAAGTTACATTGTATGGTAGCAGAATACCCGTATACGATTGCAATTATAAACACGTTATTGCTAGCCTAATATGAACCACTAGCTTTTGTTCATAGTAGTTTTATTACACTGCATTATAGTTGCCTTTCCTCCAAGCTAACGTTCATATCGTGTTAGCTACCAAGGTAAACAAAGCTAGCTTAGCATATTAGCAGGCAAGCTGTTCATTACACAACTATTACTAACGAATCTAAAACAACTAAGTTTCTCTAATATTTTGTGATTTGCATTTGATTTCGTCCAGCCAGATCCTGGCGGACAATCCATGACGGGGAAGGGACTTCGACTACTACTGAGGCCTCGTGCTAAAAGGCACCGCACCGACTGTGCGCAGGCAAGATGCGAGGAGGAGGAATGGATGATATACCGTGTGTATATATGTATATTTATGTTCATTTTGTACATTTCTAAAAATAAAGTTTAATGGAAATACTTAGTAGGCCTATCCTTTCTTCCCTGAATTCATATATAGCAAACCATGATTTGATTTCTCATCAAACAGTAGTAGTTTATAACGGGTAAAAATAACTTACTCTTTGTTATGAGAGTAGCTCGTAGGCCACAACGGAAAGACAAGGAGACATACACGAGTTTACAAAACCACGGCACATTTATTGTGGTAAATGCAGAGAGAGGTGGTTGAGAGGATCGCAGAGTTAGTCTTCCTGCAGCCGCTTTGGAGAGAGACTGTGTCCGGAGGTGTCCGTGATCGTGCTGATTAGCCTCTTCAGCTCCACCCCATCGTAAGACAAAGGCCCTGGGGCCGTCACACTCTTCTATAACAACAGTTAAAAATATATATGTATATAAAATATACCGCTGTACCGACGCCATGATAAGACTGATGTTACGCTGAGAGCAGCCGGGAAAAGCACTGACATGGGCGCAGCCTCTCTGGTGGTTGACTAATCAGAACGAGTGGCCGAGCTGACCAATCGGAGCACACTAGGCTCACAGGGAGGGGGGGCAAGAGCTCCAACGAGTCGTTTAGTGGAGAAAGTGAATACTGCTGAATACACATGCTTGACAGAGATGCTGTATGCGAAACCAATGTGAGTTTGGAAAATTGCACAGTATAAATCTATTTTAGTATACCTCAACAATGTAATTATGATCAGTGGAAATGGCCATGACATGGGCCCTTTAAGTACATGTCTCTGGTATCAGTACTTTACTCCACTACTTATTTTCCTGACCACTTTTTATTTTGACTTCTTACATTTTGAACACAAATACCTGTACTTTCTACTTCTTACATTTTGAACACAAATACCTGTACTTTCTACTTCTTACATGTTGAACACAAATACCTGTACTTTCTACTTCTTACATGTTGAACACAAATACCTGTACTTTCTTCTACTTACATTTTGAACACAAATACCTGTACTTTCTACTTCTTACATGTTGAACACAAATACCTGAACTTTCTACTTCTTACATGTTGAACACAAATACCTGTACTTTCTACTTCTTACATGTTGAACACAAATACCTGAACTTTCTACTTCTACTTCTTACATGTTGAACACAAATACCTGTACTTTCTACTTCTTACATGTTGAACACAAATACCTGTACTTTCTACTTCTTACATGTTGAACACAAATACCTGTACTTTCTACTTCTTACATGTTGAACACAAATACCTGTACTTTCTACTAGGGATGCTCCGATCGCCAATTTTGGGGCCGATCGCCGGAATCAGTATCGGCCGATACCGATCGCCGATCCGATCGAGTGGGCGGGGCCTAAATGGAAGATTTAAACATCACTTTAAATCTTCCATTTAAAGTGATGTTTAAAACTCAGTTAATGGGGCTCATTCACTGGAGCTTCCACAAACAACAATCAACTTAATTATTACATTCAAATGATGTACATTATTCAAGTTTACATTCACTTTGGATAATAACACGGGAGAAATGAGCGGAAGCGCTCTCTTTTCCTCTCTCCCTCTCTCTCTCCCCCTCTCCCTCTCCTGACAGCCTGTCAGTATCTCATGCAGCTCACTGATCCAGTAATGAGTGACCCGACAGTGAAGAATACATATATTTTAGGGCTGTCAGTCGATTAAAACATTTAATCGCGATTAATCGCAAATTAATCGCACATTTTTTATCTGTTCTAAATGTACCTTAGAGGGATATTTTTCAAGTTTTGCGTGCGTGCGTGCGTACGTACGTACTGTGTTGGAGCTATGTGCAGCTCAAGGCATATATGCTCGAACGGGAGCTGCCTGGACGCTGCAATCATGTTGCGCGCACTGAGTGTGCTGACTTTTCGTACAATGTCCCACTGTCTGGCTACCTGCATAAAGTCAAGTGCTCGGCGCAGTTGTCTGCGAAATGTCGCTCCTCTGTTTTCATTGAAACAGCTCCTTATATCCGTTAGCGTAGCTAGCTAGCACCAGATGTTAACAACAACAACAACACGTAAAGTGTGCCTCGCTCGCCCCACACATACACACACCCTCCCGGTCCTCCCGATGGCCAGTCCGGGCCTGCCGGGGAGCGTGGAAGTGTGGTCTGCCACAAGCGGGCGGCAGGAGCGGGGCTGTCAGCATCAGCTTGTAGATGGTATTTTAAACTCGATGCGCTCTGAAACTACGGGGCGGCCGAGGACAAAAAATACACATGCGTTAATCGCGTTAAAATAATTAGTGGCGTTCATTTTTTTTTGCGTTAACTTGACAGCCCGAATATATTTATAACTAGTTTAGCTTGTTCCAGAGGTAGATAAAATAGCTAAGTGTGTTAGGTCTAACTCTTGTGTGTTTCGCTCCGCTCACCGGTCCATCACAGCGGGTGGAGCTGCAGGATTTCTGCTTCACACACACGTTGCATACCGCTATTTTACTGTCATTTTCGGACACCTTAAAATACTGCCAGACTCGTGAAGCCATTTTGGCGAGCTTGTTTCGCCGCGCACAGAGAAAAGTGTCATGTATTTTACGTCATGCGATCGGCTCTCGCGATCGGCATTTTTAGAGAGCACCGATCGATCGGCAGAGAGTGAGTATTGGCCGATATCGATCGGTGGCCGATCGATCGGAGCATCCCTAGCTCAAACCAGTGATGGAAGGAAACTAAGAACTTTTACTCAAGTACTGAACAAAGTACTTGTCGTGGCTTCCTTCTTTGCTTTAAGCCACTTAGACGCCTTTTACAGACATTTCTAACGCCTTTCCTTCCATGAGATATTTTTTACTCACGGTTTGATGACTTACTTGGCCTCCGGCGGTGTGTTAATATTGTGTTTTGCATTTACTCAAAATAAAATGTCAAACTTTTCACACATTCAACAAAGAAAACAGGCCTTTACAATAGTCGAAACAAATCAAACAAGAGGCAAAACTCAAATAAAATAATAAACGACTTGGGAGCTCTTTCTTTCTTTCTGACAGGTTGCCCATTTCTGTCCCTTTGGATTCTGGGAATTGTAGTCCTTTTATACTGTGTTGACTACAGACGTCACGATTAGGTTTTATAAAAACAAAATACTGGCTCTAACAGTACTGTTTTGAAATATTTGGACTTAAGTATTTCCATTTAAAGCTACTTCTACTCCACTACACTGAACTGTATTTATTTTTAACTAATACTTTTATTCTTTTACTTAAGTAACATTTAGAAAGCAGGACTTTTTAGAGTATTTTAAGATCATAGTATTTGTACTTTTACTTAAGTAAATTATCTGTGTGCTGCTTTCAAAACTGGCTAAAACTGTTCGTAAGAGATTTGCCGCCTTAAAATGAAAACAGGTGACATGTTTCTTCCAGTTATCCTTTTTTTATTAATATTATCAAACATGTAGAGGCCATATTGACATTGACATTCAAGCTTATTAGGCAACCAGTTGGTAAATGTGCTAAAATTGGAAAGTTTAAGTGCTTTCTGCTAATAGTTAAAAACCCATTTTCTTTCTGTTTTGCAGGTGTGTTTGAGCTCATCATGTGCTCAAATCCTGGCCTCCCAATGGCAGGAACAGAAGTGCATGTAGTCATCAAGAGGGTTAACCTAAAGCACAGGTGTGGTATTGTAGAGTTATGGGTCAACATGGACGATGAGAGGAAGCATATCTATGAGCAGATGAGGGAGGAAATCCAGAATCCTGACAGGAAGTTTGCTGGATCAGAAGGAAAACACGGGGATCTTTGTCTGGTTTGCATCGATGGCGCCTGGCACAGAGCTCGGATCGTTTCCATTCAAAGTGACACTTGCAATGTTTTTGTAATCGATCAGGGACTGCCACATATCACCACAAGCAAAGCGTTAGCATGGGGACATAAGGACAGTTTCCTCCTTCCTCCTGAAACTGAATCATGTATTCTCGCTAATGTCCTCTTCCTCGATAACAGCTTGCCAGAAAGAGCCACAAAGTTTGTGATGTCTCTGCGTGGTAAGAAGTTTAGAGGCCTGGTTCAAGCTGTGCTGAAGCCGAACAGAACCCTTCTACTCGACATACCCATGGTTTCCAAGCCGATGTGTATGTTTGGAGTTGCGAAGAAGATGGTGGTAGACGAGTTTAAGTGCCTCGTACAGAAATGTCTTGAAGTGGACCGCGTAACGCAAGAACGCAATCTGAATGTTGGGAGCAAACTTGAGAAGATCGACCAATACTTCTACCCAGATCTGTTAATGAATGCTTTTGAACATGTTATTGTGACAGAGGTAACTAACCCACGCAACATATTTTGCCAACTTCACATTTTCTCCAAGGCGGTGAAGACAATATCAGAGCAGATGCAGCAGCATTATGAAAAGCACTCAGATTCAGGAGAGACTTCGCATTTGAACTGCGGGGATCCATGCGCTGCAAAAGGGATGGATGGAAAATGGCATCGCTCGTTACTGAAGCAAACCTTAAGCAATGATGATGCTGTAGAAGTCTTCCATGTGGATGAAGGAAAAGTTGAATCGGTCCCCGTTGGAGACATTAGACCTCTGCACGGAGAACTTCTGAGGATGCCTGTTGTCACGTATCATTGTTCTCTTGAAGGTGTAACGGATGACGGAGCAGAAACGACCGGTTACTTGAAGTCCTTGCTTCTTAACAAAACTCAGGTGGCAAAGTTTAACCGCCACAATAAACCTCAAGATGTCTATCACATCACTGTCTATGCAAATTGTGGTACATGCATCAACAATAGTTTCATACAGAAGATGGGACATTTTGCATCCTCTGATGTTGTCAACACTGAACAAGATTTAAATGTGCAGAACACAGTGAATGTTGATGTTGATGTTTTACTGGAGGAAACTTTGCCAAACACAAAGAACCAGTCAGTCAATGGATTGACCGATGGACCATCAACTGGCAGCAAAAACAGGGAACAACATCCACCAAATCAAATACAGATCAATGGGAATCTTCCAACTGAGGTGCAAAACACTCCCCATGATGATGTGTTTGCTGTAGGAAGAAGCGTCAACGTTATGGTATCTTGCTTCGAAAGTCTACAGAAGTTCTGGTGTCAAACAACGGAAGATGGTGACTCTTTAGGACGCTTGATGAATGACCTGCAAAACCACTACGCATCCGCCCACCCTCAGCCCCTCGTCGAGTCAATCTGTGTGGCCCGAAGTCCAGACAACGGCATGTGGTACAGAGCAAAGATCATGGTGAGTCAACACTCCCCCGTTGTAGATGTGAGATTCATAGACTTTGGTCAAACGAGAATGGTTCCTCTGCGGGATATACGCCCCATCGATCCGGCTTTCTTACAGCTGAATGCAAAGGCTTTTCAGTGCTGCTTATACCAGCCTCCAGACAAGAAATCCACAAATCCCACTTGGACTGACAGAGAATTTGTGAAGGTTGCAGAATCATGTGCTTCGTCAGGCATTGGTTTGACTTGCACGGTAAAAGCTGCGACTTGTGATGAGGAAGGTCTCCTGCTAAATATGCTAGATATTGAAACACCATCTGACGGTACATGCAGGCGTCCGACTAAAGAATACGCACAGAATGAAGCTCACAAAATGCAAAAACCTCCACCGGTTCAATCAGATTCATACAATTACTCCACACACAACATTCAGGTGAATGGAAAAGAGAAAGTGTGGATAATGTCTTCAGACAACGTCAATCTCTTTTACTGCCAACTGAACAGGAACTATCATCTCTTTGACAAAGTGATGAAAAATGTCAAACAACTACTCGGCAATCAACAGGGCAAGGATCGTCCACTTGGACTTAATAGCATTTGCTTTGCCAAGTACACTGATAAGCAATGGTACAGAGGAGAAGTGGTAGAACTGTCTCCAAAACTTAAAGTACACTTTGTGGATTATGGTGAAACCCTGGTCGTGAATGAATGGGATATTTGCCCCTGTCCCACTGGAGAAAGTATTGTCAGAGCTCTCCCTGTTCAGGCTGTTCCACTGGGACTGTTTAATGTCCCTGCAGAAGTGCCACAGGAAGTCAACCAGTGGTTTGCAGATCATGCCGTTGGCCAAAGTCTGACCATTTCTGTGGTAGCTAAAGGGGAAAAGGGGAAGCTAATTGTTGAACTGTTCGATGGATCTCTGAGTGTAAATGCAATAGTCAGAGAGAAGATTTCAAAGATGAAACCGGGGATGACAGCTCTTGTTCAGAAGACTGATCAGCAGCTTTTAAATACCATAAAACGTGCCAATAGCAACGAAACCTGTGCGAGAGATGAGCTGAGTTCACAACCAGTTACTAAAGTCTCTTTGCCAGAGATTGAACATGAACAGACTTTAGATGAAGGAAGAAAACCAACTTCGGAAATATGCAGCAATGATTCAGAAGTGACACAACTTTCCCTTCTTTCTTGCCCCCGTGTGAATATCAGCATGTACACATGGCCAAACATTTCAGAAAGCAAGACAGTGGAGGTATATGCATCCTGCATTGATGGACCACATTTCTTCTGGTGTGAGTACGCAGATGAAGAGGAGCAGAAAAAAGTGACAAGTCTTGCTCAGGAAGCAGGACTGGCTCAGCAGGATATGACATTTCCTGAGACTCTCGGTCCTGGTTGTCCATGTCTTGCTCTGTTTTCAAGTGACGAACAGTGGTATCGAGCTCAAGTTCTTCGCAGAGTTGAAGATACATTTGACGTTTTGTTTATCGACTATGGAAATGAGACTGACGTTGACATCAAGAACGTGAGATCAGTGCCTCAGAGTCTGATGGAGATAGATCCTCAGGCCTTTCTGTGCTCTCTGGATGGATTTGATAAGTCCAAAGGCTCCTGGGATGACCAAGTTCATGATGTCTTCTACAACCTTCTGGTTGATAAACTAATCAGGGTGAAAGTGTTAAATATAGAAGAGAATTCAGACAGTGTGTTCCCTCAATATGCGGTGGCAATTGAGTGTGAAAATGTGGTTATGAATACCGTGATGCAGAAATACTGGAAACCGCTTCCCACAGAACATGCCAAACCTGAAATTGATCAAACCGAGACTTCCCTCCAAGACATTCAGACGAAGTCCAACAGAGACATTCAGACGAAGTCCAACAAAGACAATCAGACGGAGTCAAACCAAGACATTCAGACGGAGGACATTCAGACGGAGTCCAACAAAGACATTCAGACGAAGTCCAACAAAGACAATCAGACGGAGTCCAACAGAGACATTCAGACAGAAGACATTCAGACTGATTCCAACAAAGACAATCAGATGCAGTCCAACAAAGACATTCAGACAGAGTCCAGCAAAGACATTCAGACAGAGTCCAGCAAAGACATTCAGACAGAGTCCAGCAAAGACATTCAGACTGAGTCCAGCAAAGACATTCAGACTGATTCCAACAAAGACATTCAGACGGAGTCCAGCAAAGACATTCAGACAGATTCCAGCATCACACATCTTAATGTTTCAACAGGAAATGTGAATGCTGGTATGTTCAAGGAGCCAAGCATCTCCAAAAACAAACAGGAGGAGGTATATGCATCCTGCATTGTTGGACCACATTACTTCTGGTGTGAGTACGCAGATGAAGAGGAGCAGAAAAAAGTGACAAGTCTTGCTCAGGAAGCAGGACTGGCTCAGCAGGATATGACATTTCCTGAGACTCTCGGTCCTGGTAGTCCATGTCTTGCTCTGTTTTCAAGTGACGAACAGTGGTATCGAGCTCAAGTTCTTCGCAGAGTTGAAGATACATTTGACGTTTTGTTTATCGACTATGGAAATGAGACTGACGTTGACATCAAGAACGTGAGATCAGTGCCTCAGAGTCTGATGGAGATAGATCCTCAGGCCTTTCTGTGCTCTCTGGATGGATTTGATAAGTCCAAAGGCTCCTGGGATGACCAAGTTCATGATGTCTTCTACAACCTTCTGGTTGATAAACTAATCAGGGTGAAAGTGTTAAATATAGAAGAGCATTCAGACAGTGTGTTCCCTCAATATGCGGTGGCAATTGAGTGTGAAAATGTGGTTATGAATACCGTGATGCAGAAATACTGGAAACCGCTTCCCACAGAACATGCCAAACCTGAAATTGATCAAACCGAGACTTCCCTCCAAGACATTCAGACGAAGTCCAACAGAGACATTCAGACGAAGTCCAACAGAGACAATCAGACGAAGTCCAACAGAGACATTCAGACAGAGTCCAACAGAGACAATCAGATGCAGTCCAACAAAGACATTCAGATGGAGTCCAACAAAGACATTCAGATGGAGGACATTCAGACGGAGTCCAACAGAGACAATCAGATGCAGTCCAACAAAGACATTCAGATGGAGTCCAACAAAGACAATCAGACAGAGGACATTCAGACGGAGTCCAACAAAGACAATCAGATGCAGTCCAACCAAGACAATCAGATGGAGTCCAACAAAGACAATCAGATGGAGTCCAACAAGGACATTCAGATGGAGTCCAACAGAGACAATCAGATGCAGTCCAACAAAGACATTCAGACGGAGTCCAACAGAGACAATCAGATGCAGTCCAACAAAGACATTCAGATGGAGTCCAACAAAGACAATCAGACGGAGTCAAACCAAGACAATCAGATGGAGTCCAACAAGGACATTCAGACGGAGTCCAACAATCAGACGGAGTCCAACAGAGACATTCAGACGGAGTCCAACAAAGACATTCAGACAGAGTCCAACAAAGACAATCAGACGGAGGACAATCAGACGGAGGACATTCAGACTGATTCCAACAAAGACAATCAGACGGAGTCCAACAGAGACATTCACACGGAGTCCAACAAAGACAATCAGACTGATTCCAACAAGGACATTCAGACGGAGTCCAACAGAGACAATCAGACAGAGTCCAACAGAGACATTCAGACGGAGTCCAACAGAGACATTCACACGGAGTCCAACAAAGACAATCAGACAGAAGACATTCAGACGGAGTCCAACAGAGACAATCAGACGGAGTCCAACAAGGACATTCAGACGGAGTCCAACAGAGACAATCAGACTGAGTCCAACAAAGACATTCAGACGGAGTCCAACAAAGACATTCAGACGGAGTCCAACAAAGACATTCAGACTGATTCCAACAAAGACAATCAAACGGAGTCCAACATCACACATCTTAATGTTTCAACAGGAAATGTGAATGCTGGTATGTTCAAGGAGCCAAGCATCTCCAAAAACAAACAGGAGGAGGTATATGCATCCTGCATTGTTGGACCACATTACTTCTGGTGTGAGTACGCCGATGAAGAGGAGCAGAAAAAAGTGACAAGTCTTGCTCAGGAAGCAGGACTGGCTCAGCAGGATATGACATTTCCTGAGACTCTCGGTCCTGGTAGTCCATGTCTTGCTCTGTTTTCAAGTGACGAACAGTGGTATCGAGCTCAAGTTCTTCGCAGAGTTGAAGATAAATTTGACGTTTTGTTTATCGACTATGGAAACGAGACTGACGTTGACATCAAGAACGTGAGATCAGTGCCTCAGAGTCTGATGGAGATAGATCCTCAGGCCTTTCTGTGCTCTCTGGATGGATTTGATAAGTGCAAAGGCTCCTGGGATGACCAAGTTCATGATGTCTTCTACAACCTTCTGGTCGATAAACGACTCAAAGTGACAGTCCTGAACATGGACTCCCATCCAGATATCGCAGTTCCTCTGTATGCAGTGGAGGTGGAGTGTGAGGGAGCGGTTGTAAATACAATGATGGAGAAATACTGGAAAGGATTGGACACAGGCGACGCTTCTGGAATGTGTTTGGAAGCAGGTTAGTAGACTATACTTTAACCTAAGGGCGCTTTGACAAGCTGTAGTCCAATTGGCAAGTCTGCTTGGAGAGAATTGTATATATTTCGTTTTCTTATTAATATTGTTCAGTTTCATAGTGTTAAATAATGCAGAAGTGTACGACAGTGCAGGTCTGGAAAATTACTTGCAGAAGTCTTTGATATTGGTCAGAAATGTGGTGGATAAACATGGTTTTGGTGATAAGCAGTAATCCTGATTTGGTTTTCCCAGCATACACATTTGGAACGTTTTCAGAACCAACACTTCCAGATAAGGCTCTGGTTTTTAACCAATTTGTTGACCACTATTCCGCCGAAAACATACACATTACGGGTTTGGTTGGAATTTTTTTTTTATTTGCACCCGAGTTCAATTCAAATAAACCGAATGTTGGCTTGTGAATGCGCCCTCAGAAAAGTCTTGTTGCGGATTTGTTTTTAATGATTGTTCTTTCATTAGAAGTTGGCCATGATGAAGCGCGATGAAGAATTTAAAGTCATCGAAAGAATGGTAAGTCTGATTTTTCAAGCATTTCTTTATATAATACATGTGCATTATTAAAAAAGACTTACTTTTAATATAAAATGTAATATGTGAACTAATTTTTCTTTTTTGCAGCTCTGGACCCACGAAAGCCAGACGTGAATGAGCTGTCTCACCCCTTGTTGACAAATACGTTTTTAAGCAGAAAAATGTAAAAAGATTTAAATAAATAAAGGAAATTAAGCTTGTCATTTGGTTCTGTGTCAATATATATATATTAGGGCTGTCAAGTTAACGCGTTAATAACGCGTTAACGCAAAAAAAAATGAACGCCACTAATTATTTTAACGCGATTAACGCATGTGTATTTTTTGTGAAAAGGAAAAACCTCCAGCCCCTATGGGCCCATGTGCCCGGGGCCGGGGGACCGGGAAACATAAGCACATTACGTCCGGGGAGGGGGTCAGATGCCCACTGACCCACAGCCCCCCTCTCCCTCCTCACCAGTCCTGCGTTGCCCCAGCAAGCACAGACGATGAAAAGGAGCCAGACATGTCCAAGAGATAAAACTTAATGAAGGGACCTGGTGTTGACCAAGATGCCGCCGTGCATATGTCCTCCACACTTACGCCATTAAATAAGGCTGTTGATACAGCCATGGCTCGTGTAGAGTGTGCACGGACTCCCGTGGGGAAGGCTCTCCCCGCCTGTCTGTAGGCATGTGAAATGCATTCACAAAGCCAGCCTGCCAGGCGTTTCTTGGACAGAGCTTTTCCAGTTACCCCACCGCCGAAACACACAAACAGCTGTTCTGTGTGTCTAAGGGCAGCCGTGCGCTCGACATAACATGCTAGCGCACGCACCGGGCAGAGGAGGTGCAATTTAGCCTCCCTCGCCCCACTATGGGGGGGAGATTAAAAACCCCCGTTACTGAATGCGCCCTCGACCTGAATGCACTCCTTACGCTCTTGGGCACAGAGAAGGGGTTCGGTCTGAGTGTCGCACCGCTTTGGTCACCCCGGATGTTTAAACAACTCGGGTGCACTGATAAAGCGGTTAACTCAGACACACTTTTGGCTGACGTTAAGGCAAGTAGCAATGCTGTCTTCCATGACAGTGCTTTCAGGGAAGAGAGCTCCAGAGGCTCAAATGGTCCTGTGACCAGAGCCTGGAGCACCAGCGGCAGGTCCCACTGTGGGGCGGAGGCGTGCACCACCGGGCGCAGCCTGCTGACCCCTCGCAAAAACCGCGACATCAGCGGCTGGGCAAAAACTGACCTGTCGCCAAATCCCTCATGGCAGGACGAGATGGCTGCTGCATACACCTTCACTGTGGAATGAGCAAGCCCTCTGTCCACCAACAACTGTAAGTATGTTAAAATAGATCCCAATTTACAAGATAGGGGCTTTATTCTCTGCTCCTCACAACATCGCCGGAATCCCAGCCACTTTGGCCTGTAACAGGCTGTGGTGGATCCCGCTCTAGCTGCCTGGATAGACTGAATCACCCCATTAGACAATCCCTCCCGCCTCAGCCTGTCCCTCTCAGGAGCCACGCCTGGAGGGGGTGGCCCAGCGTGGGTAACGCCCCGATTGCACCTGCCTCCTGGGAGATTACCCCCCCAAACTTGGGGAAGCGCCCAGGGCTGGCCCACTTTCACCTGTGTCCTCTCCGAGTACCACGGCCCCCCTGCGCGATCCGGTGCTACTAGGATGATTGACAGACGCTCCCGCCTCACTCTCCCCAGGAGACGGAGGATGAGACGTAACGGTGGAAAGGCATAAAGCAGCTTCTTTGGCCATGGCTCATGTGCAAACGCGTCCACCCCCAAAGGAGGGTCGTCGCTCAGAGCCATGGAGAACCACAGTGCGCAGTGGGTGTTGCGCCGGCTGGCGAACAGATCCACCTCTGCTGTCCCGAACCGGGCCCAGATCCGCTTCACCACCTCTGGGTGAAGCGTCCACTCGTCTGGCAGGGGACCGCCCCTCGACATGAGGTCGGCCCCCCCTGTTCTCCAGACCCAAAATGTGGAGGGCTCTCAGAGATAACATTACCTCTGCAGCCCATAACCACAATTTCTCCGCTATGGTCAACAGAGCGGCGGACTCCGCCCTGTCTGTTGATATATGCCACTGTGGTGCTGTTGTCGCTCCTGATCATTACATGTTTTCCCTGTGCCGCATCTCTGTTAGAGACCAGCACCCTCCTACAGCTTTCCCTAGGCAAGTTCCTCCCCATCCCGTTCCGGATGCATCCGTGAACACTGAGATGTGGGAGATCACCCGTCCCAGCGGGGACCCCCACCAGCCGCCGTTTGTGTCTCTTGAGATCTAAACACAGGCTGGAGACCCACCTCTGCAGGCGGCGCATATGCAGTAACCTGTTAGAAATTAAAATCAATGTTGATGTGGCGTATTTGAATGAAATACACTGTATTTAATTTAAATCTGTTTTATTCTGAAAACCGAAGATTCACAAGTGACTTCCGGTTTTCCGCTGGTGAATTTCGTCATTTCCGGTTAGCATTAGCATGTGGCGAAATGCTACGTTTTCAAACCGTGAATTGAAGGTGAAATAACGTGATGTTGTACACTAAACACCCTGGGTTTAACACTCATTTATTGACGCAGGAATGAGGTTTATTAGGGAATGTTTAGATGACCACAGACATCTGAGTGATGTAATTCAGCAGCAGAAACCGACAGGATTTGCATTGGACACGCCCCCGTCGACACCGGCCAATAGGAGAAGACTACAGTTGATACCCGGGAGACACAAGAAGGATCTCTCTCTCTCCTTGCCCCCAGCTGACCCAGCGCGGACGGGACCAAACAGCTGGCAGGGGGGAACCACCAACGTGCGCATTTCATTTGTATACCACCGCATCTTTTGTGTAATTAAATGCTGTTAACTTTTATAAGCTTGCCTTGACTCTTTTCAGTCTCTCCTGCTCTCGGGGTTCAAGAACCACTAACAAACGCCAGCGGGACCACAACGTGAGCCGCTGCCATGAGACCCATAGCTGTATGTAAGTTTAAACCGTCTGGTCAACACTTCTTGTAATGTAAATTCGCTTGATGAAGACCTTCCCCTTCCCTCCTTCTGTAGTGTATAAAGTATTTGTATTTTCTTTGAATGTGGTCAGATCTTGTACTAACTTCTTGGTGCAAGACTCTGTCCTTTCAGCTGAAATAGATTAACTCTGTTAAATGCTTTTGGACTTTTATTGACTTATTAAATAACACAACTTTGCTTTAAACTTCTATTATTTGTTAATTTCTTGCCAAGCAGGTTGTTTCTGTTTTTAAAGTGGAATTTCCTCCACAATGTGGTTTAACTGGATGGCGTTTTATCACAACCGAATTTAACTTTATCTCCTCTTCTTTTTTTTCAAGCTAAGGACCCAAAATCCTTGTTTCTCTAACAGCTGCAAAAGAGGGGTTTGAGCAGTATGAGGCATGGCTACAACGAGGATCTGTTTGGGATTTTAAGCAAAAAACTTCACAGACATGTTTTTTATAGGTATGGCCCTACAATATATGTTTCAAATATAGCATGATAGGTCCACTTTAAATAAAATACAATAATAAATAGAATAAGAATACACTTCTATAATACAACATATAAGGAAAGAAACTAACATTATTGTTCTTTCAAAAGTTCACTGTACAGTTTTAAACAGTTCTGCCTTTTTTTAATCAATAAGTTTACAATGCATTCAATGTAAAAAATATACTTTTTAAAGTATTGATATTTTAACACTTAGTTTGGTTTTTCACAATATATTCTTGCATTTCAGTCAAAGAAGGAAGCAGATGTTTAAATGGCAATAAAACGTGCAATTGTTAGTGATCATGGTTCATCTTTGAAATAATATATTTGTTGTTAATATTTTAACAATTTGGAGAAATAATGATGTTTGGATGCAGATTAAAAAAAATAAGTATTTAGGTATTTCACTTTTTTTTTTAAAGTCAGACCTACATTTTTCTTTTTCCCTTTTGGTCACATCCCCAAAAAAGAGAACTAAAGGGAAAACAAATTACAGACAGAAATTTAACTCTGACCTTTTTCGCAAAATTCAGAAGTACAAATTAAATCAGAATGTCTTTTCTGGAGAATTTTATTTTTATTTTTCTCTCAGAATTTCTTTTTTTGGGAAAAAGGTCAGAACTCACTCTTTTTTTACTTTTGGATCACATCGCAAAAAAGTGACCAAAGGTTTAAGAAAATGCAATTCTGATTTTTGTCTCAGCATTCTGACTTTAAAGGTGGGGTATGTAATTCACTTCAGAAACACTTGTTATATTCCATGGAATGCTCTTAACATCCCGATAGCAATGAATACATGAAATGCTTTGACAATAAATATATACAAATATCTCATCTGTGGAAGCCGTGGCGCTGTAAAAAGCACGACCAATCATCTGAGCCGGCCCGGCTAAAATAACTGGATGGCCTACCTGCCTGTCAGCCTTCCATCTGTGCACAAACTTATCTCGTGCCCTCATTGGTCATGTGCGCGTCCGTGTGTGTTGGAGGAGGGGCTCTGTGAGGAAGTCTGAAGGAAGGGGCCGATTGTTTCGGCTGTGTATTTTCAAATTCTAGCGCACTAGAGCTGCTTTCTACATTCTTACCTACCCTACCTTTAACTCTTAAAATAAAAAATAGAGATAAAGATACTTTTCCACTTATTTTTTATTGTTATTTGAGAGAAAACTCAGAAGTATTTGTTTTACTTTTGGTCACATGGTCACATCCCATAAACATGTTCTCATATGGCCCGCATCCTGTTCAGCATAATGCAGTTTTCTCAGTGTGTCATGTGTTCATATATATTTGTTCTTATTAGCAAATGTATTGAACATGTTGGAAACAAAACAAACAATAATAATAACAAAGAGAAGCAAAATAAAAACAAAAAAACAGTTCAAGGTATAAAGATTCAAGATTCAAGGCTTTTATCGTCATTTGTACATAGCTGCAGTGTAGATAAATCAATGAGTAAAATACAATAAAATTGAATATAGTAAATACATTTGACCCCTTACCCATCACAGCCCCCCTGCTTCCACTTTATTATTTGCCCCTTTGTTTGTTCCCCATGTAAAGCGGCCTTGGGTCCCTTGAAAGGCGCTATACAAATTGAATCTATTATTATTATTATTATTATTATTACTACATGCACCTGTGTTCACGCCCAGCAGGTGGCAGCACTGAGCCTTAGCATCTCGGGTTTAGCAACACTAGCAGCAGGCACCATGTTTGTTTGTCTCTGTTTCCAGGTAACCACTCAGCGGTGAGATGACGGAGCTCCACCAGGCTGCAGCTGCAGGAGATCTGCTCCAAGTCCAGGAGATTCTGAGGCTCAAAGGATGTGATCCGAACCAGAAGGACGAGGAGTGGAGCTGCAAAACCCCCCTGCACTGGGCAGCTGCTGGAGGTACACACACCTGATAATACACCTGATATACACCTGATACACCTGTATTCATTAAGTATAGAGGTGGAAGAAGTACTCAGATATTTTACTTGAATTAAAAGTACCAATACTAAATTGTAGAAATACTTTGTTACAAGTCCTGCATCCATATACTGTTTGTAAGTAAAATTACACGCATATTGACAGTTAGATAAGGCCTATAGTAAAAGTAATCGTTATATATACGTACCTTTTCAGTTTTAATATGTAACGTTGTGTATATATTTTTGTCTTTGAGTATATAACCCTATAAAAAGAGGGTCGACTTTAACGATATATTTTCCCCCGTGTTTTCCTGGGTCAGCTTCAGAGATGGGACGTAGTGGAGTACAAATACTTTGTTACTGTACTTAAGTACATGTTTCTGGTATCAGTACTTTACTCCACTACTTATTTTTCTGACCACTTTTTACTTTGACTTCTTACATTTTGAACACAAATACGTGTACTTTCTACTTCTTACATTTTGAACACAAATACCTGTACTTTCTACTTCTTACATGTTGAACACAAATACCTGTACTTTCTACTTCTTACATGTTGAACCCAAATACCTGTACTTTCTACTCTTACATGTTGAACACAAATACCTGTACTTTCTACTTCTTACATGTTGAACACAAATACCTGTACTTTCTACTTCTTACATGTTGAACCCAAATACCTGTACTTTCTACTTCTTACATTTTGAACCCAAATACCTGTACTTTCTACTTCTACATGTTGAACACAAATACCTGTACTTTCTACTTCTCACATGTTGAACCCAATACCTGTACTTTCTACTTCTTACATGTTGAACCCAAATACCTGTACTTTCTACTTCTTACATTTGAACCCAAATACCTGTACTTTCTACTTCTTACATGTTGAACACAAATACCTGTACTTTCTACTTCTTACATTTTGAACCCAAATACCTGTACTTTCTACTTCTTACATGTTGAACACAAATACCTGTACTTTCTACTTCTTACATGTTGAACACAAATACCTGTACTTTCTACTTCTTACATGTTGAACACAAATACCTGTACTTTCTACTTCTTACATGTTGAACACAAATACCTGTACTTTCTACTTCTTACATGTTGAACCCAAATACCTGTACTTTCTACTTCTTACATTTTGAACACAAATACCTGTACTTTCTACTTCTTACATGTTGAACACAAATACCTGTACTTTCTACTTCTTACATGTTGAACACAGGTTTGTTACTTTAGTTTTCATCAGCATTTAAACTAAACTTTTATCCACAGAAAACATCCAATAATTTAGATGAAGGACCAATGGGACAATACATAAGAAGTAGTGAAAAATAAGTGAAAGTATAAAAGTAGGGGCCACAGTGAGATCTGACCATTTATTCTTATTTATAACATGGAGGCGTGTGGCGCAGTGGGCTAGTGCGTTGGTGTTCGGATCAGGGGGTCACAGGTTCAAACCCCACTGCAGTCAGCATGTGGTTGTGTCCCTGAGACACTTCACCCCAAATTGCTCCTGTGGGGATTGTCCACAGTATTGAGTATGTAAGTCGCTTTGGATAAAAGCGTCTAACAAGTAACATGTGATGTAATTCTGAGAAAATGAAAAAAATCTTTTTTTAAATCATATTTTTTACTTAAATCCCAGAACTCATAAAAAGTATCTCTCTCGTTCAGATCTCAAAGAAATGTTCTTGTGGCCCTAATCTTCTTCCGTAAAAAGTACTCATTCTGCAGATGAATAATTAGTGCATTCATTTACTGTTATTACCTTTTCACTGATAATAGGAATTAAGATATGTGATTAATGAGTCACATGGGTTTAAACTGAACCTTTGTCTACAAAAACATCAAAAAACTTAGATGTAGTCATAGCTTTTGGCTAAAAATAAATTACTTTTGAACTTATTTTTATTTTTGTTTACATTTCTTTTACCTGGTATTTTCTTTTTACCTCAATTAACTTTTCAGGTTAGAAAAATATTGAAAATCATCATCAGAGTTCATAACACACAGGAATATTTATCGTAACTGTAGATCACAAACTGTCTGTCAACAATGCCGTTGTGTCACTTTGCTTGTTATTGTGTTGTTTGTTTATTGTCTGGAAAAAGCTCAATAAAGTCTAAGTTATTCGATTGTTCCTAACTGTAATGGAGGTTTTTAAGTGTGAGATCTCACTGTGGCCCCTCCCCTCAGGTCACGTGGAGGTTGTGAGGCTCCTGATTGGTCACGGGGCGTGTCCCTCTCTGATGACAGAGCACGGATGGACGGCCGCCCACAGCGCCGCGGAGGCCGGACGCCTCCCTGTCCTGAAGCTGCTGCAGAGCCTGAACGCACCGCTGGACCTGGAGGACTTATGCGGAGAGACGCCTGAACGCATCGCGCAGATCTACGGACACCACGACTGTGTCAGATTCCTCAAGAAGTAAATTAAGAGGCGGATAAAGTGGATTTTAGGATTTAGTGTCTCTACTGGGACATGTGTCCATGCTTTAATGCAGTTCAAAATTCTAAGAAAAAAGTCAAAATTCGGAAAAAAAAGTCAAAATTCTGAGAAAAAGGTTTTAATTCTTAAAAAGTTCAGCATTCTGAGAAAAAAGTCAAGTTTCAGAAAAAGTCAAAATTCAGGAAAAAAATGAAGTTCCGAAGAAAAATTCTGAGAAATAATCAAACTTCTGAGAAGAAATTTTACTTTCAGAAAAAATGCAACTTTCAAAGTTCAGACAAAAATAAAATAATGAAAAAAAAGTCAAAATTCTGAAAAAAAATGTAACTGAGAAAAAAGTTCAAATTCTTAGAGCCTGAACCTGGACCTGGAGGATTTCTGGAGCCTGGACCTGGACCTGGAGGATTATCTGGAGCCTGGACCTGGAGGATTTCTGGAGCCTGAACGCATCGCCCAGATATAGGCTACGGACACCACGACTGCGTCAGATCCCTCAAGAAGTAAATTAAGAGGCTAAATGTGGATTTTAGGATTTAAAAAGAAGTCAAAATAATGAGAAAAAATTATTCTGAAAAACAAGTTTCAATTCTGGAAATAATTTAACTCTTAAAAAGTCAACATTCTGAGAAAAAAGTGAAGACTCAGAAAAAAAAGAAATACAATAAAAAAATCTCTCTTGTTCAGATCTCGAATAAAATGTTTGGCGCTAAATCTTCTTCGTAAAAAAGTGGAGAAAAACTCAGAATTCTGGGTGAAGTTTAAATAAAGTGGCTATATATGGTTGGTGGTCGCTTTGGTTGATTTGAGGTGAAACACTGCAGGTAAACACTTGATTTTCTATATTCTATTAGATTAGATTTTGGGTTATTTAGGCTCCATAAAATGTCTATTATCAGACTAGTGTAAAGAAAACATCTTAATTCAAATTCAGGCGTTTATTTGACTAACTCTGTCTGTAGATTTCTCCTAAATTCAGCATCAGTTAGCATCACAAAACGCCTCATTTGCACATTTAAACATGACCGGTCAGAAAACTTGTAACATAAAAAAGAATTGTGTTAATGTCAGTAATGAAGGGTGGAAGTGTCACGCTGATATCTGTTAGTTAAATATTTTTACCCTATAGGTAAATATCCCTGTTTGTGTTGCAGAGCAGAGGTTGAGGCTCAGAAAGGAATCTCATTGGACGACACTAACGAGGGGCGGAGCAAACAGGAGAACAAGGAGAAGAGGTGCAAGAAACTGGCGTAGGCTCTTTATGAAAGTCATTATATTCCTCCCGGTAATCATCAAAATATGCTTAAAAAGTCACTGAAACAAACAGGAATCCCTTTACCGTACACAGTGTTAAGAAACAAACATTTGTATTGCTTCACCGATAGAACATTTAAGTTTGAATGAATAGTTTTTGGGTGAAAATCTATTTATTTAGCGCTTTCTTGAACTCAAGAACATCTCAGTCGACTTCCTCTCATATGATTCAAATCACAGATATACAGAAGTGAGTTTCTACACAAAGTAATCCTGCAACAGCTCCGTATTAAATCATGTATGTATCTTGGAAATAAGTCGTTCAACTGTGAAAAAAGCATGAAAAATGACAAGTAAAGACAATCTGAGGAAACCAAAACCCCAAAAGACAGAGACAAATCATTAATATAACAAATAATAATACATACAAAGCTAATAAGGTAATTATACATTACGAGGTTATAGGTTATAATCCTAGAAAGATGTAATAAACAGTGTTTACCAAACAATATGTCGCAATAAAAGGACGTTTTAAATCAAAATCAATCAGTACAAGCTGGAGATATTTCCTGTAAAAAAACTAATCAGGTAAACAAGCATTGCACAGTGTTCATATATCAGGGAATACATCAAAGTAATAACTATAAAAATGTACGAACTTGAAGCCTATTCAGATATATTGTTTGTAAAATGTGTGTTTTGATGTGAGACATATTTAGGATCATTTTCACTTCTTCCAAGTGCTTTCTAACTTTGTGGTGCTGTTGGAGGTCGGGGCTGAAGCCTGGAGAGACGGAGGATGTGAGAGATTAAAATAAATAATGTATAATCGTTGTGGTTTTGCATTAATAATCCAGTTTGTAGTACACTTACATTTGTCTTCAGACGTTTCCCAAGTGCTTCTCGGGTCTGTGGAAATGAGATTAAAACTGTTATGCTACAATATCCTGTTTGTGGTTTTATATATTTTATTACACATTTAACTTGTTAGGAGAAAGTAAATCACCTACTGACTAGTGTGTTGTGATTTGGATGCATTATGGGTTATTTTAAAAGTAACATCTTACCGATTTGTCCATCACGCATGTTGTTAACAGAATGAACAAACCCTGCAAAATAAAAAAAGGAAAAGTTACTGAGCAGGAAATCAAACACAAATGGGGCGAAGCCTGCGAGCTAGTTTAGGCAGTCAACTCGAGCACCAATGATACATTAACACGTGCAGCGTCTCTCTTACAACCAACCAAACACAATCTCCTTAACTTGCTGCTCTATTTAAAGGTGGGGTAGGTAAGTTTGAGAAACCGGCTCGAGATACACTTGTTGTTATATTCCATGGAATGCTCTTAACATCCCGATAGCAATGAATATCTGAAGTGCTTTGACAATAAATCCATAAATAAATATCATCTGTGGAAGCTGTAGTACTGTAAAAAGCACGACCAATCATCTGAGCCGGCCCGGCTAAAATAACTGGATGGCCTACCTGCCTGTCAGCCTTCCATCTGTGCACAAACTTATCTCGTGCCCTCATTGGTCATGTGCGCGTTCGTGTGTGTTGGAGGAGGGGCTCTGTGAGGAAGTGGGAGATTTTCTCCGGTTGTGTATTTTCAAATTCTAGCGATCTCGAGCCGGTTTCTCAAACTTACCTACCCTACCTTTAAGCTGCCAGATCTGCCTGCATCTGCCTCGCTAATACTGCGGCTCTGTCACATTGCTGATGCGTTCACGTGCTGCTTGCCTGCCCCACCACCACCCCAGCTTCCACCTGTAGGCTCGGGGGATAGTTACAGTATCTAATCATCACTCAATGTTCTATGTAAATCTGTGGAGTGATGAGGCCCGAGCATAGACGCCAAACTCAACTATATGCTGCTCTAATAAACATATTAAGAACACGTGAGTTGTCTGACTGAAATATAATACTAACATGTTACTGCCATATAACAGGTAACACAGAGCAGGGCTGTTCACATGTTTAACCAATGCAACACAAAACTGTAGACGTAAAGGTGTAAGTACACAGGTAGGTAGGTAGGTAGTTAGTTAGTTAGACAATCATTAGGAAAGTTAGTCTGTTATTTAGCTAGTAAGTTTTACAAAGTTTTTTTAGACACGGTCAAAAAACTCTTGCTCTCCCAGTCACAATCAATGCACCTGTGCGATCACATATATATGTTGTTGCCCCATTACGCCATCTAGTGTTCAAAATAACAAAAATATATCAACCATTCTAATGAGCGCAACAGTTAGTTAAGAAAATAAGTAAGTTAGTTCATTATTATGTTAGTTTGTTTGTTTGGTAAGAAAGGTAGTTCATTATTATGTTAGTTAGTTAGTTTGTTTGGTTGGTAAGAAAATAAGTTAGCTAGTTAGTTAAGTAAGGAAATCCGAATAAGGTATTAATTTAGTTTGTTAGTGGGTTAGTTAGTTAGTTTGTGACTTAGTTTAGTAAAACAATCAAGATAATTAGTTTGTTTGTGAGATAGTTAGTTTGTTTGTTAGTTAGTTAGTTTGTGAGTTAGTTAGTTTGTGAGTTAGTTAGTTTGTGAGATAGTTAGTTTGTTTGTTAGTTAGTTAGTTTGTGAGTTAGTTAGTTTGTGAGTTAGTTAGTTTGTGAGATAGTTAGTTTGTTTGTTAGTTAGTTAGTTTGTGAGTTAGTTAGTTTGTTTGTTAGTTAGTTAGTTTGTGAGTTAGTTAGTTTGTGAGATAGTTAGTTTGTTTGTTAGTTAGTTAGTTTGTGAGTTAGTTAGTTTGTGAGATAGTTAGTTTGTTTGTTAGTTAGTTAGTTTGTGAGTTAGTTAGTTTGTGAGTTAGTTTAGTAAAAAAGTTAGTGAGTTATTTAGCTAGTTAGTTTGTGACTTAGTTAGTTAATAGTTATTTAATAAAATAAGTAAATTAATAAGGTATTCATTTAGTTAGTTAGTTAGTTTGTGAGTTAGTTCAGAAATAAGTTAGTTTGTTATTGTGTTTGTTAATTTGTTTGTTTAGTAAGAAAATAAGATAGCTAGTTAGTTAAGTAAGGAAATCCGTTAGTTAGTTAGTTTGTGACTTAGTTAGTTGCTAGTTATTTAATAAAATAAGTAAATTAATAAGGTAATCATTTAGTTTTTAGTTAGTTAGTTAGTTAGTTAGTGAGTTAGTTAGTCAATCATTATACTAGTTAGTGTGTGACATACAAGAAAACAAATTAAACACTAAACAGTAGAATTAATACTTTCTACTCTAATAATATCCGGTTATGTGTAATAACCAGCGGTACCTGTTGAGCAGCGTTATTTAGCTAGTTAGTTAGTTATTAGTTATATAAGAAAATAAGTACGTTAAGGTATTTATTACGTTAGTTAGTTAGCTAGTTAGTTAATTAGTTGGGTAGTCAGTTAGATCGTTCTTTAGTTATTAAATAGAAAGTTAGAAAATAAGTGAGTTAGTTAGTTTAGTAAGAAAATAAGTGAGTTAGTTTTTCAGTTAGTTATTTAAGAAAATAATTAGGATTGTTAGTTAGTTATTTAGCCAATTAGTTAGTGAGTTAGTTAGTTATGAGTTATTTAATATAATAAGTAAGTTAATCAGGTATTCATTAAGTTAGTTAGTTAAGAAAATAAGTAAGTTAGTTATTTATTATGATAGTTAGTTAACTAGCGGTACCTGGAAGGCGTTGAGCAGCGTGAACAGGTAGTTCACTGTTATAGCAATGGGTCCAGACGTGAGATCCATCAACATCACAGCGAACCCAAACACCCAGGTGATCCCGAAGATGGGCGTCAGCAGAATCACCGACCGCATCACTGTGACGGCCGCCTTCTTCTCGCTATCATTGGTCCGCTCGGCGTTCTTTGGGTGATCGAGCAGCTTCATGATCACCACCATCATGGAGAGAACGTTCACGAACACGATAATTCCCACGGGGATAACGAAGGTGTGGATGGAGCCCTTCATGAGTCCCTCGTACAACAACCAGCAACTTTCTTTGGAGAAATACTCGCCTTCAATGCCTCCGTCATACACCAGGAACGTGATGACGACGATCAGCAGCGGGCAGACGTACCCGAGGAACATGGAGAGCCTCAGGTAGGTGCTCTTGCTCACGTTGTGGAACAGAAAGACGGCCTGGTGAAGCAACATGCCGCTCAAACACAGCATCCAGAAGAACATGGACAGGAAGCAGAAGTGTTTCAGCACCACGAAGATACGGCACCACAATTCGGAGACACTTTCGGGGTCCATGGACGCCAAAAAGCAGCTGTCTGCCACCAGGAGGCACAGCGAGATGTTGATGTGAGCCATGTGGCGGAGGTACAACGTGTTTGTTTTCACCACGGAGCTCCAAACCAATACCTCGATGATGAGACAGATTACGAGCGAAACTACGGACACAGAGAGACCAACTTGGGTGACTTGTTGGAGTCCGGCGATCTTCAGAGGATACCTTTGCATCAGGATGGCGAAGGAGGACAGATGTTTGCAGGTACAGAGTCCTTCATCTGACGCTCCGCTCCACTTACAACCGTCTTCAGACCAATCGTGGGTGAAATTATCCCACGCGACACACTTCATGAGAACGTGGGGAGGCCGCTTTTTCAACAACGGGAAGCGAATCTCCACCTCCACGGACGAGGTCTTCTTCTCCATCGTCGTTGACACGACGATGCTGTTCGATTCCAGCGTTTTGTCTTTCTGCGGTAAATACTTCTCCAGCTCTTTGAAGCCGGCCGTTTTCACATTTCCCGGGTCAGAGCTTTTGAGGATTACGGACACGTTGAACACCTTGTGGTAACATTTGGTGTTTTGCTTCGTGCAGTTGGTCGCCATCACCTCGATGTTTTTCTTCTTCTTCAATTGGGTCACGTTTGTGGCGACGATCAGCTTCTCCACGGAGCTCAGGTATCTCTCCGCCAGAGAAATGTTCTCTTGGCCAGACGTCTTCGTCCACGAGACTTTGAGAGATTCCTCCAGAAGATTACTGGAGGAATCAAAGAAGTCCTGCAAAAGAAAAATAATTATTGAGTTATACATTGTACTTATTAAGATTTGTATTAAGAAATAAAATATTGCAATAAAATGACTAAATAGAAATAAAGGTGCTAATAGGAAAAACAGATTAACAGAATAAAATACAGATTGTGAGATTAAGCACTCAACAGTAGAAGGAATACTTTTTACTGTAATTATATTCAGTTTTTTGGGATAACCAGCGGTACCTGGAAGGCGTTGAGCAGCGAGTTAGTTATTAGTTATTTAAGAAAACAAGTAAGTTAATCAGGTATTCAATAAGTTAGTTATTTAAAGGGGACCTATCATGCAAAATGCACTTGTGTACGTCTTTTATACATGAATATGTGTCCCCGGTGTTCCAGGGAACTCACCAAGTGTCAGAAAACACAACCCTCTCTATTTTCCTCCATACCCAAATCTCTAAAAAAGGGGCTGCAACGGATCTGATAAAAACTGATCCAGATTTGAACACTGTCCTGACGTCAGGACGGTGGCGCTACGGCTATTGGGCCAACTCCACCAATCAGGAGGAGACAGCCACGGCATTGCCGTTCGAAAGCGCTGGAGACGCTGTAGTACATATGCCAGGCCAGTAGGTGGTGCTGTTCTCACTGAATCTGCCCTTGCAAAAACAGAGTTAGAAATTGTCACATTGAGCAAAATGAGGCATGGCTAAAATGCATGATCTGTTTGGTATTTTGAAAAAAAAAAAGTATAAATATGCCTTATATAGGTATGGTCCTACACTATATTATTCAAATATAGCATGATAGGTCCACTTTAAGAAAATAAGTTAGTTAATCAGGTATTCAATAAGTTAGTTATTTAGAAAATAAGTAAGTTAATCAGGTATTTATTAAATTAGTTATTAATTATTTATTATATCATGATAGTAATTTAATGTCATGATTATTCACCAACATTAACTTATTGTAAGTGTTTTTTATCCTGATCTGTGACAAAATCCTTAAAAGATGTAATATACAGTATGTCTCAAACCATATGTAATAATAATATGTAGTTTGAATTGATTTAATCTCAGGGTTAAGAGGTTCTAAGCTAGGGATGCAGATGATTTATTAAAACACATATCGACGGTCTAATAAAACCAATTAGTATGCTAGTGAATCAATCTATCAGCACGAGGGAAGTTCCATCATCCTGGAAGGTGGCCAAGGTGACACCGATCTTTAAATCTGGGGATAAGGCAATAATGTCCAACTACAGACCAATCAGCATCCTCCCCTGTGTCTCTAAGATAGCTGAGAAAGATAGAGAGAGAGACAGCTAGCTGTGTCTTTGTGGAAAAGGTTCAATGTATGTTGGACACGAGCCCATATGTAGGTGCTGTCTTCCTTGAGCTCAGGAAGGCTTTTGACACTGTTGACCACCAAGTGCTCCTTACAAAGCTGACGTATTTCAATTTTTCGGCAGATTCAATACAGTGGGTTGAGTCTTACTTATCAAACAGAAAACAGTGTGTTTTGGTCAACGGTACCAAATCCCCCTACCTTGTGAACCCTGTTGGGGTTCCACAAGGTTCCATTCTTGGACCATTACTGTTTTCTCTGTACATTAATGACTTGCCTAATGTATGTCCTGAGTTGAATGTGCAAATGTATGTCGATGATGCGGTCATCTTTGTACACGGGAAAAACACTGAAACGATCACATCCTGTCTCTCTAATGCTTTGGACAAGGTTCAACACTGGCTGAACAACATTTGCTTACAGTTAAATGCAAAAAAGAACAGTATACATGATGTTCAGTAAACGACCAGTCAAAATCGAAGGATCCAATGAGTTTTTAAACGGAGCAGAATTAGAACTAGTCCCCCACTTCAAGTATCTTGGAGTCATACTGGACTCGAACTTGACATTTAAGAAACATATTAAGAAAGTATCCAATACCGTTAAATTCAACTTGCAACATTTTAAACAAATTAGACCTTTCTTAATCAATGCTGCAAAGTCATACCTCCACTGTATGATTCTATCCCACATTGAATACTGTTTTACAAACTGATCGTTTGCTTGTGCCACAAACCTGAAACCCATAGAACAGCTGTACAAGAGAGCTATCAAGGTGTTTGACAGAAAGCCACATTCATACTACCACTGTACCATCCTTGAGAAACACAATTTCTTGAGTTTTGATAATTTTAAGTCTTTTAAAAGTATGTGTTTTTTTTATAAATGTTTACATGGACTGCCCCCCCCCCCCCCCCCCCCCTCCCTTAGGGAAATTCATCCACAGAAAACACAGTGGACGCTGCACTAGGTCAGAAACCAGAGGAGACTGTGAAGTCCACCGCAGACGGACCACTTTTGGACAAAATGTCCTCTCCATTAACCTGTTAAGCCCTGAGCCTGTTTTTCAGGTTTCAGGCTTGAAAATGACATGCCCAGAACAAATGACTATATCTTCACTTCTAAAAGGTGTAAATTAATAATCTTTTTTCTCAAAGCAATGATACACCTGTGAGTTGGATGTAGAAGTGTCAGAATCAATATAGATGTTTTTATTTTAAAGTAAATTCAGATTGAACATAGAAAAAAAATGTAAATTATAGTGTCCGTCCAAAAAAAAAACATGACTTATAGTGAAAACCACCCTTGAATGATGGGATAGTAGACTAAAAGCTTTAGGAATCCAAACTAAAACATATAATAAGTACCGTGTATCAAGATTGATGCAAACCAAGTGAAATTTGACCTTTTTAGAGAGGTTTAGAAAAAACAAAACCCACCTCTGGGGTCATTTGGGTATATTTGCCATATCTCTGGAACCTGTTGAGGTCTCCATATTAAGTTGAATAATTAAACGAAAGTTAATATAATCAAATATAATCAAATATAATCAAATAATAATCAAATATAATCAAATATATTCTTGTATAACCCACAATGAAAATGCATTTTATTTCATGTTGTTCTATAATCACAGTATTTACAAACACAAGGGGTTTGGTAAATTGAGTTTAAGGCCTATTATAGTTTATCACTACGGGGTGTTACTGTTCACTCACAGCAAGCTGTGCACAGGAGACCCCTGACTCAATGGAAAAGTACTGAAGCCCCAAAATGGGTTTAGGCCATACCATAGGAGAATATGTCTGGACATGTCCAGTCCTGCACACCAGAGGCCATGACCTTTCCCCACATATATGGGTATGAAGGAGTGTCTTTGGTTTTCTGTCCCTGTGTGGAGCATAAAAGCACTGGTTGAGAGGGAGAAAGCTCCAGAGCGGGGTTTGGAATGTATTGTTGAATGAAAGTTTTAATGTGTTTTTTATCACCGACCATTTATGAGGATATTCCTCTAAATTCTGTCGGAAGAATTTAAAAGGTACAATTTAACACAACTGAAGTGGGCCAGTTGAAGTTAGAATTGAAATGTCACAACTGAAGTGGGCCAGTTGAGGTTAGAATTGAAATGTCACAACTGAAGTGGGCCAGTTGAGGTTAGAATTTAAATGTCACAACTGAAGTGGGCCAGTTGAAGTTCGAATTTGAATGTCACAACTGAAGTGGGCCAGTTGAAGTTAGAATTTGAATGTCACAACTGAAGTGGGCCAGTTGAAGTTAGAATTTAAATGTCACAACTGAGGTGGGCCAGTTGAAGTTAGAATGTAATGTCATAACTGAAGTGGGCCAGTTGAAGTTATAATGTAATGTCACAACTGAAGTGGGCCAGTTGAAGTTAGAATGTAATGTCATAACTGAAGTGGGCCAGTTGAAGTTAGAATGTAATGTCACAACTGAGGTGGGCCAGTTGAAGTTAGAATGTAATGTCATAACTGAAGTGGGCCAGTTGAAGTTAGAATGTAATGTCACAACTGAAGTGGGCCAGTTGAAGTTAGAATTTGAATGTCACAACTGAAGTAGGCCAGTTGAGGTTAGAATTTAAATGTCACAACTGAGGTGGGCCAGTTGAAGTTAGAATGTTATGTCACAACTGAAGTGGGCCAGTTGAAGTTAGAATTTAATGTAAGAAATGTAAAACTGTGAATTGAGATTTTATATTAGAAAAGGACCACAGCATGATGTATTTGTATGATTGTCACATTATAACGAGAGAAGGTAAAAACCCTGTAAAAGTGTGGACCATTTTCTTCAAATAAACTCATCACACCTTTTTGGATTGGGATAACTTAAAAGAAATCTGCGCTCTCCTCTCCTGCTTAAAGGTAAGATTGCACAACTGCCACACTCACACTTAGGCAGGGCCACACCCCATTACTGATACCAGAATCCTTCGGGATCGCTTATACGGATTTAGTGTGTCGTCTGAATTGAAACAGCAGTTAATTGAACCTGGTTCTTCAGGAGTTAGTAGAGGTGAGACCTTGCTGATCCAGGTGGATCCGAGCCTGGCAGTAAACTTACATAGACTCAATAGCTTCTGTTAGGTCAATTAGCAGGTCTGAGTAATTGCCGGAATAAATTAACAGGCCTCCCGACTCCAACAAACCCATTGATCGATTTTGGTGATTGACACCTCTTTTGAACCGTTAGAGCCAATAGAATCGAGGGGGAGTTCCTAAATCCATCTAAACTTTACCATTGAGGACTGAGAGTGATGCGCACGCAGTTTGCCCAAACCGAAAGCTATGTTACACTCTATAGAAAACTACGTTTATTGCCATAAATATGATGATGGATTAACCTATGGATTAAACTTCAGCAGCGTTTTTCTCGTTTTAATGCCATTGAACACAACTTTTGATCAGAACAACAGCTAAGGTAAGACGTTTTTAGCCGTTTTTGCTCCGTAAAGCACATTTCTTTGTTGTTGTTTCTTGTCGTTTGTCCGCGAGTTCTGATCACTCAGTAATGATACTTATATGTCTGGAATCTGTGGAATCTCAGCTTGCTAATCGATATCTTTTTTGTGCAGATCCGATAAGTAATAAGGGTATTTTACCTTGAGTACTGTGCTAAGTCAGGGTTGCCAACTCTCACGCATCTGGCGTGTGACACACGCTTTCACTCTCAATCTCACGCTTTCACGCTGCCCAAACTATTCTCACGCCAAAAACAAGAATACGAAGACTAGAAACGGTTTTGAAAACTTTTGTCACGTAGTGATCGTCTTCTCAATAGAACATCTTTGATAATGTCTTCTGGCCAATCAGAATCACGATAACGGCGTGGTGTTGTTGCAGGAAGTCCCGACGGAGAATACTTTTGTGGTAGTACATCTCTATACATCGATACAACATTACGTGTTGATAGAAATCAACACGTAATGAAATAAGACCCCACGGTTTGATGATTGATAGGTGTGTGGGCTGTCTTTCATTTTGACACACAGAACAATGGGGGCTATCCACCCATATCCACAATGTAAAGTAATTCACACAGCCTCTTCCCTCTTCTCTCTGTGAGGAGCAGCACTGCTGCAGCAGGTTCAGCTTTCAGAACAAAGTAACAAAAAACTAATATGGCATTCATTTTTTTAAATGTGTAGTAATAGATTTATTTATTTTTCTTCTCAAGAGAGTACCAGAATGTTTATTTTATGTTAGGATTTTAAAAAATCTCCTGGGGGAGAATCCCCCCAGACCCCCCTGCAGGGGTTGGGTTTTCAGCATGTCAACTCTTTCACCTGTTGCAGGATTGGCTCCAGGTCGCCCTTTTTATTTACTACAAGACAAATGTGCCTTTTTATTTCATACAGTTCAATTTGGATTGAGACAGGGAAATAATCTAAACCTCACGCGTGGCGTTTCACTGTCGGGGGGAGCGTGTATGTAATTACATTGCAAATACTGATTTAAGCCCCACCACTGTATGGGTTAGCCCTACCATAGATTACCCAACAAAAATACTCTGGAGCGCATGCGCAGATCTAAGATCCAGTAGAAATGATAAAAAAGTAAAAGTCTGCTGCTTATTGTTCTACTAGGCCAACATAGAGTCAAAGAGTACAGTATATGAGAGTGAGAGTGTGTTAATTAATATATTTGGCAGTTTGGAGTAAGTCTGTAGATTTGTTTGTGTGTGTGTGTGTTTCATGTATAGGCCTCTCACGATAATTAATTTTGTTGGATACATTTTCCCGGAAATTATTGCGATAAACGATAATATTGTCGGCACCGTTGTATGACCATTTTAGACCACTGACATAATGATAATATATAATAATAATTCAAGTACATCCTTTCAAACTGCTAGTCACATCCTCATGTAAATGGAAATTTATCGAGGTCAGAAAAGTTATCGAGTTCATTTTTATTTATCGTACGATAAGTCAATTAATTGCTTATCGCGACAGGCACACAATACAACAGTGGAAACAAACATGTTTGACTTTCATTAGTGAATGAAACTGTGTGCCCTTTATAGTCTGTGTCCATTATTGTGTATTTGTATATATTGTATATATATCCTATATATATGCTAAGGTCCCGCTGCTGACACGATAGCAGTCATGTCGTGCGCATATGTGTAATTAAACCGAATTAAACCCATGATATCACAATCTCACTCCAGCCAGGTACCCAAAGTTGGCAACCCTGGCTAAGTGCGTTAGCATTTTTCCGCTCAGGGCTAATTCAGAGCCTTTGTTATTACCCTTTTGTTTTCGTTTAGCTAAAAACGATTAATATTGTCTGATAGCTGAGCTTCTTCCTGTTAAGTGGGTATGACAAATTCATAGTTTATTAAATATTAAGAAGCCCTCAGACGCTGTTTCTTGCAAGATGTTGCGTTTTGCCCCCGCCCGCGGGGCCGTGGGGTTTAACTGATTAAAGGCAGCTCATTCTGGAACAGCCTCCCAACTGAGATACGGGATTGTCCCACTCTCAATAGTTTTAAAGGTCAACTCAGAGAATGGTTGAGAAACAAACAGATGTGCAATCACCGCTAAATGCACTTTAACACAGGGGTATCTCCTCTTGCACTTTATATGTGGTAGCTGCTATAGTGTACTGCCATGTGGTAAATACTTATGTGTGCTGCTCTTGCTCTTTCTGCATATCATGTATTTATTTTTGCTATGGTTATAAATGTCATGTTCTAATATGTTGTATGTGACGGGTCTACGGATGGAAATTAGCTCAAAGCTAAAATCCGGCATATTTACACTTGAAGCATTCTTTGTCTAAAGTGTTCATCAAAGTGCATTGTCCCTGTTCAAATAAACCATTAAATGAAATGAAATGAAACCATCAATTAGTACAAGCTGGAGATGTTTCCTGTTTTAGAAAAGCAAGTTTAATGCGCAGGTACAACATGTCTATACTAAAACCTTCCGCTTCATGATAACGTAAAGATAGCAGTGTTGGAAGAAGTACTCAGATCCTTTACTTAATAAATAAAGAGGGAGCCCATTATTCGGTTGTATCTGAACTACGTTGGCTGCCACGTGTCTCACCGAGTCTCGTTGTATGTCCCTGGACGAGCCCTGAGCTCTTCTTCAGCTTTTTAAATATCCCTAAAGTCCTCCAAAATAAAATGGGCTTTTATCACCAGGAAACATCAGAGGAGACTCAGTGGACAATTTTACACGACAGCTAAAGACACATCTTTTTAGATTAGCTTGTTATTAGCCTTTAGTCTTTATTATGTACCTACTTTTATATTGTTTTATTTTCTATAGGTCTTAAAGGGTTTTATTTAACAGTTGAAGTAGCAACATTTCCTTTTACGTTGGTCTTTTAATATTTGAATCGTTTAACCGTATTGTTTTTATTACTATCTTTTAATTTGTATTTTTGTTGTACCTATATGTTATTTATAGGGTTTCATATTGTTGCATCGATTCATTTAGTCTTGTGTCGAGAGGAACCATTATTTATTTTGTTGCTGAAAAGGTCTGAACATGTGATCTGAGTGGAGTTTCTGGTTGTTACGTGCTGTATGAAAAGTGCTATATAAATAAAGCTTTATTATTAATGTCAACATACTCTAAGTAAAAGTACAGAAGTATTATCGGCAAAATCCCTTTAAAGTATCTAAAAGAAAAGTAGGGGAGAGGTGGGACGACAGTAACGTGGGACATGTTCCCATGCTTTAATGTTCAGAAAGGTCTTGATTAAGAAACGAAAATATTCTGCGTTGCTTACGTTGGCCGTGGTGTCGTTGTTGATGCTGTTGATTTTGTTGCTCAGACTTAAGAGGACCTGGACCGAAGCGTTGAGGTTGGCGTACGAGTTTATTTTCTGCGAGTTGTTCGTGACCTGATCGAGCTGAGAAAAGACGTCGGCTGCGTTTTCATCCAGAGAGCCGAGCCCGATGTCCGAGTTCTGAAACAAAAGAAATGTAAAGGTCACCTGTTATGCAAAATCCACTTCTTCATGTCTCTTCTTCATCAACATGTGTCCCCTCTTCTTCATGTCTCTTCTACATCAACATGTGTCCCCTCTTCTTCATGTCTCTTCTTCATCAACATGTGTCCCCTCTTCTTCATGTCTCTTCTACATCAACATGTGTCCCCTCTTCTTCATGTCTCTTCTACATCAACATGTGTCCCCTCTTCTTCATGTCTCTTCTACATCAACATGTGTCCCCTCTTCTTCATGTCTCTTCTACATCAACATGTGTCCCCTCTTCTTCATGTCTCTTCTACATCAACATGTGTCCCCTCTTCTTCATGTCTCTTCTACATCAACATGTGTCCCCTCTTCTTCATGTCTCTCTACATCAACATGTGTCCCCTCTTCTTCATGTCTCTTCTTCATCAACATGTGTCCCCTCTTCTTTATGTCTCTTCTACATCAACATGTGTCCCCTCTTCTTCATGTCTCTTCTTCATCAACATGTGTCCCCTCTTCTTCATGTCTCTTCTACATCAACATGTGTCCCCTCTTCTTCATGTCTCTTCTACATCAACATGTGTCCCCTCTGTGGAAAGAGACTCTGAAAGTTTCAGGAGAAAAGATTCTCTCTCTTTTTGATCCATTTCTATAAAAACCTGTCTGAAAATGAGCTGATCAGATTTTGGCCACTTTATGATGTCATAACGATGTTTTGTCTTGAGTAACCATTAGCCAATCACCAACCAAGGTAACCCCCCCCCCCCCCCCCCCCCCCCCCCTTATCACCTGAATCTCCTCCTAGAGCACCATTGAGTTCTTTTTAACCAAATCTCTCTCAGAGGGGCGTGGGGAGGGGCTCCTTATTTTCATCTAAAGTAACAGACAGAGAATCAGCACTTTGGAAACAGGGCTGAAACAGAGGGGATTATGGGTAATGCTGCAATGATCTGTTTGGTGTTTCAGCCAATCAGAGACAGGCTCTGGATATATCTGAGACATATAATATATTGATGAAGAAGAGTATGATAGGGGACCTTTAATCAACATTGTTGTTGAGCACTCCCACAACCTGTAATATCAAAGACTCACTTCTGCATTCTTCAGCACATCATTCAGGTCCCGATTCACACAAGCTGAAACTTCAGGTTCCCAAGTGGGCGGATCCCTGAAACAATCAATCAATTAAAGAGTATATCAGTATGCAGTGTCTCTACTTTAAAGAGTCCTCTCCTGCTGATGTTCAGGTGTATATCAGTATGTAGTGTCTCTACTTTAAAGAGTCCTCTCCTGCTGATGTTCAGGTGTATATCAGTATGTAGTGTCTCTACTTTAAAGAGTCCTCTCCTGCTGATGTTCAGGTGTATATCAGTATGTAGTGTCTCTACTTTAAAGAGTCCTCTCCTGCTGATGTTCAGGTGTATATCAGTATGTAGTGTCTCTACTTTAAAGAGTCCTCTCCTGCTGATGTTCAGGTGTATATCAGTATGTAGTGTCTCTACTTTAAAGAGTCCTCTCCTGCTGATGTTCAGGTGTATATCAGTATGTAGTGTCTCTACTTTAAAGAGTCCTCTCCTGCTGATGTTCAGGTGTATATCAGTATGTAGTGTCTCTACTTTAAAGAGTCCTCTCCTGCTGATGTTCAGGTGTATATCAGTATGTAGTGTCTCTACTTTAAAGAGTCCTCTCCTGCTGATGTTCAGGTGTATATCAGTATGTAGTGTCTCTACTTTAAAGAGTCCTATCCTGCTGATGTTCAGGTGTATATCAGTATGTAGTGTCTCTACTTTAAAGAGTCCTCTCCTGCTGATGTTCAGGTGTATATCAGTATGTAGTGTCTCTACTTTAAAGAGTCCTCTCCTGCTGATGTTCAGGTGTATATCAGTATGTAGTGTCTCTACTTTAAAGAGTCCTCTCCTGCTGATGTTCAGGTGTATATCAGTATGTAGTGTCTCTACTTTAAAGAGTCCCTCTCCTGCTGATGTTCAGGTGTATATCAGTATGTAGTGTCTCTATTTTAAAGAGTCCTCTCCTGCTGATGTTCAGGTGTATATCAGTATGTAGTGTCTCTACTTTAAAGAGTCCTCTCCTGCTGATGTTCAGGTGTATATCAGTATGTAGTGTCTCTACTTTAAAGAGTCCTCTCCTGCTGATGTTCAGGTGTATATCAGTATGTAGTGTCTCTACTTTAAAGAGTCCTCTCCTGCTGATGTTCAGGTGTATATCAGTATGTAGTGTCTCTACTTTAAAGAGTCCTCTCCTGCTGATGTTCAGGTGTATATCAGTATGTAGTGTCTCTACTTTAAAGAGTCCTCTCCTGCTGATGTTCAGGTGTATATCAGTATGTACTTCTCTACTTTAAAGAGTCCTCTCTGTCTATCAGTACCCGTCTGTGCATTTCTTCGTTCTGTGTCCAGTCGCTCCTTTGCATTTTAATCTGCCGGTGAATCCAGCCTTGGTGTCGCCCCAATCTCCTTCAGCCGGACAGAACTTATCACCTTCTGTTTAAATAAGAACATTTAATAATCTTTAAATAGACATAATTACTCTAAATATAACTTATTCATACATTTAATAACATGTATTGCAGTGTACTGCCACAACCTTCTGAAATGTACCAACAAAATATGAATTCTTTATAACGAATCAATACATTTAAAATATTTCACCAACACCTCGTGAAATCTACTTAACACAATTATTCAATATCTAAAATAATTTAGATCAAATTTGAAGTAGTAGACATTGCACTGATTAACAATGTATTTATTGACTATTTATAGCATCTGTATTCATCTATATATGATTTCTGTATGCACCTTATATTTGTTCTGTAAATTAATTGAAAACGAATGCGCTTTATTACTATTTGCCCTTTCTGGTTGGATGCAAACTGCATTTCGTTGAACTTGAATCTAAATAAAAAAACTTGTAGTATTTTTACATTTCAGAATAACTACTTGAACCCAAATAAAGACCTGAGTAGTAGAACCTCAAAATGACTGTTGTGTCTCGTCAGATTTGTTAGTTCTTTGATCCTTGTTTATTTATATTAGTATTATCTCTTGGTAAAGTTAATATTGTCAAGTCTGCTAACCCTTTTGTTGTCTGTCATTTCCTGTGTTACTTTGGTAATCTCCTCTCTCATCTGAGGTAGTTCCACTCCTACCCATGTGTGTTGTTCACTGACCTGATTACCCGCCCTTATTGTTTGCACCTGTAGAGCCCCTTGTGTGTGTATTTCATCTGTGTTTTCTCTGTGCCAAGTGCCAGATTGTTTCGAGCCTTAGGGTGCGTTTCACTTCGGTTAAATGGATTCCTTGCGTCCCTCACTTGCGTCGTTTCCTTGCGACTAGTCCCTCTCACCAGGGAAGCATGGAGAGACGCAAGGAAACCACGAGAAGCAGGGAAATGAGTTTTTAGAGCAATGGGACGTCGTTTCCTCCGGAGCGTCACGTGAAGCGACGTCCGTTTGTGATGACGCCGCACAGCTGATCGTCTGACAGCAGCCAGATCAGTGCACTGCATCGTCCAATCAGTGAGCGATACACAGTAAGGGGGCGGGGCGAGTGTATGAGGATTTCACCGGAGGATGGTCTGGTAGTTCCTCGATTATCGCTCCTCCGTTATCGCTCCTCGATCCTCGGTCTTCCGGCACAAATAAGGCCACTGGGACGCTACTCAAGATGGCGCAGACAAATCAACTTCCGGTGATACAGAGACCGAGAAGCGAGGAAATGAAAAATAAGAGAAGTGAAATGCACCCTTAGAGTCGAGCCTTATGTTATTTGTGAATTGTCAGCCAGTTGATATCTCTGCTAGAGTAAGTTTAAGTTAGTATTTAGTAAGTCCATGTTTACTATGAGTGTTTGTATTGCCTTGCAAATCACCTAAAGTCAATTCCTTTTTTGAACCGTCCTTTTGTCTGGAGTCGTGCATTTGGGTCTTATCATTTCATTGTGTGCCTCAGTCGTAACAATGACCATATGTTAAACCTACTGTATATGATGTTGATATCCACAGTCGCTGGTCTAGTGTCATTGCAGCGGTTCGCAAACGTGCACGTGACATTAGGAACCCCTGATTCTTTACAGGTGACGATCGCTTCGGCTGTAAACGTTTTCTTAGTTTCTTCAGAAGGAACCGCTGAAATCACAGGAAGTCAGTTTCAACAAGAATCCATGGAAATTAATGGGAAAAAAAGCACTTAATTTTGAGGATTTTTGCTCTGTTTTTAAAATGTTTTGCATTTTCATGTTTTACTTTTCATGATATTCCGAAATTTGGAAATTACATTTACAGAGGATTCTACATGTCAATTTTTCTATTTTAAAGATCTGATACATTTTTCTGAAATTATGATTTATTTTTCAGAATCTTTGACTTTTTGTCAGATTTTCTTTCTTTTTTGTCAGTTTGCATTTGTTGTCCAAATTTGTTTTTTCTTTTTCACGATATTCCAAATTTGGGAAATTACATTTTACAGAAGAAGATTCCAAATGTAAATATTCTTTTTAAATGTCTGATCCTAAATTGTTTATTTTTTCAGAATTTTGAGATTAAAGTAAGAATTTTGACTTTTTTATTTCAGAATTTTAAATGTTTGTCTTAATTTGTACTTAATATAATGATCAGTACGTTATATCAGGATGAGTTTTGAGGGCACTTTGAGGTCCCCACAATCATCTTTGCAATGTTTTTATTTTATTCTTTGCAATATCCACATTTACATCCTTTTCAATATTTAGAGAATCTTCCCCAAAATCTGCACTTCCATTGAAACGAATGGGAAAAAATGCTAACTATTTTTTTCCCTCAAAGCTTTTTGGCATATTTTACAATTTATTTTAGATTAAAATGTCTATTCTTTCCATGTTTTAATTTTCATAATATTTAACATTTTATACATGCTTTTTTATAACCGACCAAGAGTAAGAATTTAGATTTTTCTTTTGTCAAGATTTTGTTTTTTTTGTCAGAATTTAGATTTTTTTGTCAGAATTTAGATTTTGTTTTGGTTGAATTTTGACTATCTTTTCGATATTTGGATATGTTTTGCACTTCCATTGAAATGAATGGTAAGGAGATGATGGAGTTACCATTGAAGAGGTTTTCGTGGGCCCACGTCACCGTGTAGTTTTCCGTGTTTTTCTCGATCTCACATATCACTTTCACGCTCAGAACTTCCTCCGGCGAATCACATTTCGGGAACGCCGGCTCGGTGCTGATGAGGATGTCTGGCAGGAGGGCGAGGTCCATCAGAGCGCTGGCTTGGTGGGAAATGGTGAGGTCGTTCTTCTTCTGATGATAGGAACATGAATAGACGCCTACAAAATAAAAATAAATATATATCATTTTTATTTTTTTAAATAAGTGTTTTTAAATGCCATTTTATAATATGTTTCTTAATGCTCTTAATGTCTTTCATTTTTGTAAAGCGCTTTGAATTGAAACTTACAATATGTAAATAAAGTAAAAACGAACCTTCCCAGAGTTCAGAGATTTTGAGGAGTTTGAGTTTGGTTTCTTTCGGTTCAGAAGACACTTCGGCCTCGGTGCCGTTAAAAATCTCCGTCACCCTCCGGTCTCGGCTCAGCTGCCACACCGGTAGTGTGTCCAGGGGCTCCTGTAACTTACAGCTAAGAAGGGGCTTCGTGCAGAAACACACCGGGCTGGCAGGCATGGTTAACTTGATGACACCTGCAGAAAAACAATGATCACAAACTACTCAAACTGTTTTGGGAGATTTAAAAAGAAAATGTTTTGCATTTCTTGTTTTTATGATATTCCACATTTTTTCTCCAGCATTTATAGAAAAAATTAATCAATTTATTTTTCTGAAGATCTCAGCCTTTTTCCTTTTTTTCAGCCTTTTTTCCAAAAAAAGATTAAAAAAATTCTCTAAATCTGAAACGGTCCAAATTCAGACTTTTTTCTCAGTATTTTGAATTTTTTCGCAAAATTTAGATTTTATCTCAGAATTTCTACATTTTTAGAATCAGCAACATTTTGAACCTTTTCAGGATTTTGAGAATTCTGAAATGTTTTCCTGTCGATGCGTCAAGTCTTAAATAACTTTTAAAGGATGGGATTTTGAGGGATCTTTTTTCAAACAAACATTTTTGCAATCTTTAAATATTCTTTTTTTTATTTGTGCAATTTCCACATTTAAATAATTGAAATAATTCAGATTTTTTTTTATTGTGTGCATCTCGACTCAGACCTTTTTTTTTTTTAAATATTTCATAACTTCTCTAAATATTTGCATTTACATTTAGACTTTTTTGCAATATTTAAAAAAATGTTCCACTTACAGTCAAAGCTGTTTGCCCTATTTCACATTATTCAATATTCCGGCTTCAAAATGCTGAAAAACGACTGGCCTAATCTTCATGAAACTTGGTGGAAGTGTGACGCATTGGGGGAGGAATAAATCCTTACATTTTGGATCAGATGTGAGATTTCCCACTGGCTGAACAGGTACCTGAACTCTCCAGATCCAGAGATGCATTCACATTACTGGTCAGTTTATCTGATTTGTCGAGCAAGTCTTGTTGTCCGATTTTTTGAGCAACGGTCAACGCAAACTCAACGATGACGCTCCCAACCCTTCAGTGAAGAAAATGTAATATTTCAGTCTCATATTAAATACAAAAACAAACAAACACTATTTGATAATTTTCAGAATTCAGACATTTCTTCAGAATTTGACTTTGTCCCAAACAGTCCCCCAAGCTTGTAGCTTCTAAGGATTTTTAACATTTTTCAGAATTCTGACTTTTTTTTTACAGAATGTTTACTTTTTTCAGAAGTTCTGAAAAAAGTAAACATTCTGTAAAAAAAAGTCAGAATTCAGGCAAAAATCAAAATTCTGAAGAAAATCTGAGTTCTGAATCAGAACTCAGATTTTCTTCAGAATTTTGATTTTTGCCTGTAGATGTATCTGTGGGGGAAACTTCTGAAGCAATTGGAAACAGGACTCAGAGAGGCACGAGGAGAGCTGGAGCTTTGATGGCAAACACTGACGGTTTATTTGGAGTTAGGGCCGGAGAGTTGACAAGACAGGTGGTGTGTCACGAGTTGACACAGCGGTTGCCAAACCAATTCTGAAGAACTCTTTCTGTAGCTCGAGGTTTTAACTAGTTCAGAGTGTAATAATCAACATTCTTCATCAGCGAGACTAAAGCAATATGGACCCTGAATCTAACTAGAGCTCTCGTCCATAGGAAAGAATGTGCGCCAGGGAACCCTGAACAGTAAACTACCTCCTGGCGGCTTGTGCTCTGTCAGACTGGCAACAACAATGCGCCCAAGCTGCTCCTCCTTAAGAGAGATAGCAGCAGAACCCCAGGCCGTAGACCTATGCCGTGGGAAAAGAGACAGTAACTGTGTCGAAGGTTGAATACCTAAGCAAATGATTCCCTAACAGTATCAAGTCTTAAACACCTTTTTAAAGGATGGGATTTTGATGTTCAAACAAACATTTTTGCAATCTATAAAGTTAGTTTTTATTGTCATATTTAATACAAACAAACACTATTTGATTTAGTAAACAAAGCAGGCACCTGTATCTGGTGATGCTTAACGTGTCAAATCCCGGCAAAGTGCTGTACACCTTCTTCATCTGCAGGGCGAACAATCAATCACAAATCAATCACACATCAATAAACATTATTCCTCATGTACTTCATAATATTCTGCTTATATTGTGTTAACAGACAATTGGCCATTTAATAGTGTTTTTATTCAATCTGTATCTGTACATTTTGTACATCTGTATATTTTTCTTACTCTCTGGTTTATTTCAATTTCAATTTTGAGATGATTATATTTTAGAATTGTTTATTTCTACTCTTTTAATTGTTTATTATGAGCAATGCCTTGTTTTGTTTTATGCTGCTGCAACAAAAGAAAATCCCAAGCTCAATATCTATCCTCCATGTCCTCTTAGTGCGAAGAAAACATCCAGGAGTTTATTTTACTAACTTTGTCTGTTTGTGTCTGCAGATTTCTCCCATTAGCATTAGCATTACCATTAGCATTAGCATTACCATTAGCATTAGATAAAAGCCTTATTTGCATATTTAAACATGTCAGAAAACGTGTAATATTAAATAAATTGTTGGATTTCTTTCTTGTAAAATTGTGATTTTTTTTCCTGTAAATATGGAATTTCCGTCTTGTAAATTGGTGGATTTCTGTCTTGTAAATATGGAATTTCTGTCTTGTAAATATGGAATTTCTGTCTTGTAAATTGGTGGATTTCAGTCTTGTAAATTGGTGGATTTCAGTCTTGTAAATTGGTGGATTTCTGTCTTGTAAATATGGGATTTCTGTCTTGTAAATATGGAATTTCCGTCTTGTAAATTGGTGGATTTCTGTCTTGTAAATATGGAATTTCTGTCTTGTAAATATGGAATTTCTGTCTTGTAAATTGGTGGATTTCAGTCTTGTAAATTGGTGGATTTCTGTCTTGTAAATATGGGATTTCTGTCTTGTAAATATGGGATTTCTGTCTTGTAAATATGGGATTTCCGTCTTGTAAATTGGTGGATTTCTGTCTTGTAAATATGGGATTTCTGTCTTGTAAATATGGAATTTCCGTCTTGTAAATTGGTGGATTTCTGTCTTGTAAATTGGTGGATTTCTGTCTTGTAAATATGGAATTTCTGTCTTGTAAATATGGAATTTCTGTCTTGTAAATATGGAATTTCCGTCTTGTAAATTGGTGGATTTCTGTCTTGTAAATATGGAATTTCTGTCTTGTAAATTGGTGGATTTCAGTCTTGTAAATTGGTGGATTTCTGTCTTGTAAATATGGGATTTCTGTCTTGTAAATTGGTGGATTTCTGTTTTGTAAATATGGGATTTCTGTCTTGAGATTTTTTCTTCACAGTGATATTTGTTAGTTTAATATTAGTATTCCCCTGCAGTGTCTCTCCTCTTTTGTTTATTATGCCCAGTTTTACCTCAACAAACAAGTCTTCATGACACTCCTTATATTCCGCGCTGTCTTTTGGTTTCAGGCAGCCATGATAAGCTGTTCCTTCCAATCGAAGGAATCCATTGATCGCAACTGCAACGAAACAAAATGTTTTGGTAACACTTTATATCAAGGTACACATATTCACCATCGACTAGTTGTTAATTAACATGCATATTAGCAGTATATTGGCTCTTTATTAGTCATTATAAAACACTTATTAATGCCTTATTCTACATGACCAGATTCTACAATTAATAAGCCATTAGTTGAGAGTTTTTCCTCAATAACCCTCTAATTAGTGCTGATTTATTGCAAGTAAGGAAGTTGTTGAACATGAGTTTTGGTCTTAATATGCTCAATAAGGGCCTAATAAGAATAGTAACTCTCCCATAATAACACTTAACAAATATGATCTATTCTTATGTAACAAGACATGAAACTATAAGGGTTAATTGTGTCTAAATAACTCAAAATGTGATATTTCTAACTCAGAATATGTTCCCTATTTTAAAGTGAAGTCTTGTTCATAACCAATAAGCTATTAGTTTGACTCTAATACGCATTTTGTTATTTATCTTCTTTACTTGCTTGTAAAGCGCTGTATAAATAACATGTATTATTATTATTATTATGTTTATTAACAACTATCAGAGGTGGGAAGTAGTGGAGTACAAATACTTCGTTACTGTACTTAAGTACATGTTTCTGGTATCAGTACTTTACTCCACTACTTATTTTTCTGACCACTTTTTACTTTGACTTCTTACATGTTGAACACAAATACCTGTACTTTCTACTTCTTACATGTTGAACACAAATACCTGTACTTTCTACTTCTTACATTTTGAACACAAATACCTGTACTTTCTACTTCTTACATGTTGTACACAAATACCTGTACTTTCTACTTCTTACATGTTGTACACAAATACCTGTACTTTCTACTTCTCACATGTTGAACACAAATACCTGTACTTTCTACTTCTTACATGTTGAACACAAATACCTGTACTTTCTACTTCTTACATGTTGTACACAAATACCTGTACTTTCTACTTCTTACATGTTGAACACAAATACCTGTACTTTCTACTTCTCACATTTTGAACACAAATACCTGTACTTTCTACTTCTTACATGTTGAACACAAATACCTGTACTTTCTACTTCTTACATGTTGAACACAAATACCTGTACTTTCTACTTCTTACATGTTGAACACAAATACCTGTACTTTCTACTTCTTACATGTTGAACACAAATACCTGTACTTTCTACTTCTTACATGTTGAACACAAATACCTGTACTTTCTACTTCTTACATGTTGAACACAAATACCTGTACTTTCTACTTCTTACATGTTGAACACAAATACCTGTACTTTCTACTTCTTACATGTTGAACACAAATACCTGTACTTTCTACTTCTTACATGTTGAACACAAATACCTGTACTTTCTACTTCTTACATGTTGAACACAAATACCTGTACTTTCTACTTCTTACATGTTGAACACAAATACCTGTACTTTCTACTTCTTACATGTTGAACACAAATACCTGTACTTTCTACTTCTTACATGTTGAACACAAATACCTGTACTTTCTACTTCTTACATGTTGAACTCAAATACCTGTACTTTCTACTTCTTACATGTTGAACACAAATACCTGAACTTTCTACTTCTTACATGTTGAACACAAATACCTGTACTTTCTACTTCTTACATGTTGAACCCAAATACCTGTACTTTCTACTTCTTACATGTTGAACACAAATACCTGTACTTTCTACTTCTTACATGTTGAACACAAATACCTGTACTTTCTACTTCTTACATGTTGAACTCAAATACCTGTACTTTCTACTTCTTACATGTTGAACACAAATACCTGAACTTTCTACTTCTTACATGTTGAACTCAAATACCTGTACTTTCTACTTCTTACATGTTGAACACAAATACCTGTACTTTCTACTTCTTACATGTTGAACACAAATACCTGTACTTTCTACTTCTTACATGTTGAACTCAAATACCTGTACTTTCTACTTCTTACATGTTGAACACAAATACCTGAACTTTCTACTTCTTACATGTTGAACTCAAATACCTGTACTTTCTACTTCTTACATGTTGAACACAAATACCTGTACTTTCTACTTCTTACATGTTGAACTCAAATACCTGTACTTTCTACTTCTCACATGTTGAACACAAATACCTGTACTTTCTACTTCTTACATGTTGAACCCAAATACCTGTACTTTCTACTTCTTACATGTTGAACCCAAATACCTGTACTTTCTACTTCTCACATGTTGAACACAAATACCTGTACTTTCTACTTCTTACATGTTAAACACAAATACCTGTACTTTCTACTTCTCACATTTTCCAAACAGGCTGGTTCCTTTAGTTTGAATGTGTGTTTGGTGGCGTGATCATTATTATTTAGAGTCATTGCGTGCCTATTGATTTGAACACGATCCGTGTATCCATCATTTCCTGGTCTTCTCTAAAGAAGAGGGACCAATGAAAACGTTGTCATGTTGCCGTTGTTCAGCATGGAAACATTCATTAGCTAACAATGACATTATTGTTCTATTAATATAAAGGGAGGTCAGGTACTCTTTAAAACAGCTGCTAGTTATGGGTACTTTTTACTGAAGTACATTTCAAAGCCTCTTTACTTTGACTTGAGTAAAGAAGTTTAGTCAGTACTTCTACTTTCACCAGAGTATTTTTAAACACGAGTATCTGTACTTCTACTTGAGTAAAGGATGTGTGTACTTCTACTTGAGTAAAGGATGTGTGTACTTCTACTTGAGTAAAGGATGTGTGTACTTTTGCCATCTCTGGAGATATACAGAAATAAAAACACATGAATGCAAAAGAGCAACTCTACCTGCATCGTTATGAACACACATTCGGGTCTGATCTTTCGGGAAAGTGCACTTCTCCTGAAGATCGCAGTCCTTTTCGCTCCATCTGAAGTTAGGCGAGCAGTTGCACTCGCTGCTGCCTGCATCGCTCTGACACACTGAGAAATAACAGATCACCATTTTAATATCAGAGAAAATCAACGTTTTTTGTCTTGTACATTTGTGATTTTTCCTGGAATTTTAATATTGTAAATTTGATATTTTTTCTTGTAAATTTGATATTTTTTCTTGCACCTTCTGGATTTTTTTCGTATAATTTGGATTTCTTCTTGTCAATTTCTTTGTACATTTTGGGGATTTTTTTCTTGTACATTTTAATTGATTATTTGTGATTTTTTCTTGGAATTTTATTTTTGTAAATATGGGATTTCTTCTTTTTTTAATTGTACATTTGGGGAATTTTACTCTTGCAGATGTGAGAATTTTACTTGTATATCTTTGGATTTTTTCTTGTACATTTGAGATTTTTTTATTTTAAAGGTCCCCTATTATACTGTTTTTCATCAATATATCACAGGTCTCAGATATATCCAGAGCCTGTCTCTGATTGGCTGAAACACCAAACAGATCATTGCAGCATTACCCATAATCCCCTCTGTTTCAGCCCTGTTTCCAAAGTGCTGATTCTCTGTCTGTTACTTTAGATGAAAATAAGGAGCCCCTCCCCACACCCCTCTGAGAGAGATTCGGTTACAAAGAACTCAATGGTGCTCTAGGAGGAGATCCAGGTGATAAGGTGGGGGGGGGGGGGGGGAGCTGTGGGCTGTGCGTGGTGATGAAAAGCTGGTTCGAGGGGCCCCCAGTGAATGTTTGCCTAGGGCCCCCACCGACTCTAGGATCGCCACTGCTTACTGTATATGCATCTATAATTATAAAGTTGACTTGTATATTTGAAGGCAGTATATTGAAGCTCCATGGAGAGAAGTTCAGCACAGCACGTCCAAACAGTTACTTCCTGCAGGACTCCTGGAGAGGGATTTGAATACTTTGAATAACATTTAAATAAGGGGGATTCTGTTTCTAACAACGTAGCTTTCCACTTCAAAAATGTCATTAGGTAAAATGAATAATCTTTTGTTTATGTATGGTGTTTATGTTTTAACAACACACAGTTCTGGATGTTAGTGTGTGTTTATAATCTGACTTTACAGCGACGTATGGCTCATGCTAAACGAGCTGCGCAGAAAGGCAGTCAACAAAGACGTCATGACAGATGTCATAGAACCTTATTGGGGAGCAGAGCAGCTCTTATTATTATTATTATACAACCGTTGTGTTTGTATTTGATGTGTTTGGTTGACAGAGAAGCTTTGTGCTGCAGGTGGTGGAGGGTGTGTGGGAAGTTTCAGGATGAAGAGAGGACACATGTTGATGTAGAAGAGACATGAAGAAGAGAGGACACATGTTGATGTAGAAGAGACATGAAGAAGAGGGGACACATGTTGATGTAGAAGAGACATGAAGAAGAGAGGACACATGTTGATGTAGAAGAGACATGAAGAAGAGGGGACACATGTTGATGTAGAAGAGACATGAAGAAGAGGGGACACATGTTGATGTAGAAGAGACATGAAGAAGAGGGGACACATGTTGATGAAGAAGAGACATGAAGAAGAGGGGACACATGTTGATGTAGAAGAGACATGAAGAAGAGGGGACACATGTTGATGAAGAAGAGACATGAAGAAGAGGGGACACATGTTGATGTAGAAGAGACATGAAGAAGAGGGGACACATGCTGATGTAGAAGAGACATGAAGAAGAGGGGACACATGTTGATGAAGAAGAGACATGAAGAAGAGGGGACACATGTTGATGTAGAAGAGACATGAAGAAGAGGGGACACATGTTGATGTAGAAGAGACATGAAGAAGAGGGGACACATGTTGATGTAGAAGAGACATGAAGAAGAGGGGACACATGTTGATGTAGAAGAGACATGAAGAAGAGGGGACACATGTTGATGTAGAAGAGACATGAAGAAGAGGGGACACATGTTGATGTAGAAGAGACATGAAGAAGAGAGGACACATGTTGATGTAGAAGAGACATGAAGAAGAGGGGACACATGTTGATGTAGAAGAGACATGAAGAAGAGGGGACACATGTTGATGTAGAAGAGACATGAAGAAGAGGGGACACATGTTGATGTAGAAGAGACATGAAGAAGAGGGGACACATGTTGATGTAGAAGAGACATGAAGAAGAGGGGACACATGTTGATGAAGAAGAGACATGAAGACATGGATTTTGCATAATAGATATTCAATTCATACATGCGTGAGTTACTTTTCTCTCAACATGTAACTTTTGTGAATCATTACAGCTGTCCACTTTAAATACAGTATAAAGTATATGTACATATTGTTGTTATAAAAGCCTTAAAATAGTGTTTTCAAATAGCTGTCGTGACATTTATTTGATTTGTTTTGCTACGTATTCTTCTTTCTGTGTCTTTGAATGCACATGCACTAATCCCTCCTGAACCTACAGGTAATAAACCCCCTGTGATTCTGTGTATATATATATATATTAAATAAAGCAGTTTACCTGTGGTCATCATGAGGTTGTTCACCTGCAGGTTGGTCTCCTTCACAAACGTCTCCCCCAGTTTCCCGGTGATATTCGGGATCGCACTGTTCTCTATTGTCAGCCTCACATAATACATCTGTGTGGACGGGACTCAAATATGAAAAATGGAGAAAAGTAAGCATTACATAACGCCTCATTTGCATATTCAAACACCTGTCAGGAAACTTGTCATATAAAAAAACAAAGGTGTTAAAGTGAGTAGTAAAGTTATGAAGTTTCTTGTGTCGAATCATTGGAAAGAAATATAAGTACCTTGTCCAGACGCCTGTAAAACACATGAGAAAACGAGTCATTAGATTCAGGCTAATGGTGTGATTTTAATATAATAATAAGATATGAATGTGTGCTGTAATGATACCTGGCAGAGGGTTAGGCCCAGGATGTAGAGGAGAGTGAACGTCCACATCATGTTCCTGCAAACAACAACAACAACAACACACACATAGCAAGGAAACAATAAATATGTTTTATATGTTCCTATAAACTGTTTCATAAACACACTTTCTTTGCATTTCTACTTTGCAATAAATGACTCAATATGTTCACTTGGCTTTTAGATTGCATGTATGTTTACTCATTTATAACTTATGCATGCTTTTTCTCTATATTTGATAAGTTATCTTACTCTTTACAGGATTTAGCGGTGCTCGATTTAAAACATATCATATATATTATTGATTACTTTTACTGTCGCTACTTTCACTATATTTTGATGAGAATACTTTTCTACTTTTACTTGAGGAACATTTTGAATGCAGAACTTTTACTGTAACGGAGTATTCCTACACTCTGGTACTTCTACTTTTACTCAAGTACCAGATCTGAGTACTTCTACTTTTACTCAAGTACAAGATCTGAGGACTTCTACTTTTACTCAAGTACAAGACCCGAGTACTTCTACTTTTACTCAAGTACAAGATCTGAGTACTTCTACTTTTACTCAAGTACAAGACCTGAGTACTTCTACTTTTACTCAAGTACAAGACCCGAGTACTTCTACTTTTACTCAAGTACAAGACCCGAGTACTTCTACTTTTACTCAAGTACAAGACCCGAGTACTTCTACTTTTACTCAAGTACAAGACCCGAGTACTTCTACTTTTACTCAAGTACAAGACCTGAGTACTTCTACTTTTACTCAAGTACAAGACCTGAGTACTTCTACTTTTACTCAAGTACAAGATCTGAGTACTTCTACTTTTACTCAAGTACAAGACCTGAGTACTTCTACTTTTACTCAAGTACAAGATCTGAGTACTTCTACTTTTACTCAAGTACAAGATCTGAGTACTTCTACTGTTACTCAAATACAAGAACTGAGTACTTCTACTTTTACTCAAGCACAAGATCTGAGTACTTCTACTGTTACTCAAGTACAAGATCTGAGTACTTGAGTACTACGTTTTGAAAGGCGCCACTAAATAAAATGAATTATTATTATTAGCCTTTTTTTACCTGCCGTCACTTTTCCTGTAAGGACTAACAAAGGGAAGATTAAGCTGCAGACCTGACGGCGTGAGAACACTTCCAACTTCCAAAGGTTTTTTCTTTCTAGCTCAGAAAATACTACTTTATTTTACTTACTGATTGTCTTAGTATTAGTTTATGCCTTTAAATCTAGAGATTATCTAAAGTTTTTTACTTGTAAAATGATGGTATTTTTCTCCACGAATGTACCACTTTAATCAAGTACGTTTTCTCGGTAATAGGTGCCTTTAGATCTACTGAATTATCCACATTTAATTCTGAAACCTTTAATTACCTATTTTAATTATTTAAGATTTATTTTTTAAAAAAAATGTATCGACACTGGTATCTTTATTTTTTAAATCTAACCTACTACGGCCTTAAAACGTCCTAAAAAGTCATTTGTTCCACTAAAAGATGTACCACTTAATCTAGATTACCCTCTACAATTATTTAGGATTTATTCCTTTTTTTCCAAGTGTTTTAATCGGCATTGTATTCCTCTACACATGTATACATATATATTATTATACCATCAATTCAGAGTACTTTACCAACAAAGTCAGAAGCACAGTGAAACACTTTGAGTATATCTGCACTGTCTGTTGAGCTGCACCAGCTATGGCACAAGTTATATCAAATAAACAAGACATGTATATTGATATAATATAAATATATAAATAGAGATATTCCTACCTGCAGTCCTCGGTGTTTCAGGGAAGCATCGATGTGCCGCAGCGACTGAAACTAACAGGAAGTGGTTTTCCATCCTCAGTGCGTCTCAGTTGCCTGCAGGACATGCAAAGTGCGGACGTTATTTTGGAGCTAATTTGACTTCCAAACATCCACAACACCGTCTGCTGTGGAATAAAGGGAGGAGGGGGAGGGGGGAGGGGGGGGTCACGTGATGCAAAACATGCGTTAGGTGGTACTGCAATATAAGCAAAGTTCAACAGAACATTACATGAACAACACAAAAGTAAAAAAAAAGTGTTTTAATATTATTTAAAATATATATAATCATGACACAGAGGTAATTAGATCTTACAAATGTTGGAACAAATATAAAATACTAACTAAATAAAAATAATAGAACATTTAATAAAATAATAATAATTATAATAAATGTGTCGGTGAAGCTGCTTCTATATTTGCATGTGTTTTGGTTTTGTGTTTGTACATCTGCATTGTGTTCCTTGTAACGCACCTGTCGGACACCGCAGGTAATAATACTCCCTTACTGTCAGGGGCTCGGCTTGCGAACAGGCAAGGCAGGCAACTGCTTGGGGCCCCCGGACCAGAAGGGGGGCCCCCAAAGAAGGTAGATTAAGAAGGTCCACAGCAACGACAACATGAAACATCCTTTAATTTACTGCAACGACATGTCGGGAAACCCCCTCAAGACGGCCCCATGCGTAGCGCGCCGTAAAACGCTGCTTCTTATCTAATGCTGCGTTCACACCGGATGCGATGCGATGTTTGGGGGCGGCGCGATTACATGTAAAGTCAATGCAGAGACGCGGACAGACGCGAATTCGCTCCGACGGCGCGCATGAAGCGGTGGACGCAGCGCAAATCACGCGATTGAGGCGATTGAACGGTGCCGCGTTAAACGCGAGAGTTCAATTTTTTCAACTCGAGCGTCAAATTCACGTGGCGCGTTCTCGCGGAAGCCAATCAGCGGTGAGGATCTCAGCCTGCCGTCACTGACGTTCAACCACACAACATCAGCCGTTAGCTGTTAGCAGTTAGCACACAGAGCTCACAGCTCCTCATATCTGTTCAGAAACTGGACAAAAGTTAAACAAGTACAAACCACAGACTGTCTGTGTCATGGCGAATACAGTCGCTAGTTTATTTATGTCTGTAGGCCGTTGTTATGAGTGTGGAATGAGCATAGACAACGTTAGCTTAGCCTGGTCGATCCGATCTTCATTCAGAAAACAAGCATTTTAAAAGATGTTTTGCCTGCCGTCTTGTCTGCAGACTTGTCAAGCATTAATTCATGGTTTTTACTAACCGGTATCAGTATCTTGTTACTTCGGCATCATTTAGAAACGTGTATTACAATTTAATCACGGTAAAATGTGTTCATTTGTTGTAATTGTAGCTCCCGAGCCAGCGCGTCTTGTTTGAATGATGCGAGTAAACACAGCTGACAGCCGCGGTGAACCTCCAGCGTTTAGAGCGATGCGATAGGAGCGATTAGAGCGAAGCGAATAGTCGCATCGCGTCCGGTGTGAACGCAGCATTAAGTTTCGTTGCCTTGCCCCGCTCCAGGGGGGGGGGGGGGGGGGGGGGGGAGCTGTGGGCTGTGCATGGTGATGAAAAGCTGGTTCGAGGGGCCCCCAGTGAATGTTTGCCTAGGGCCCCCACCGACTCTAGGATCGCCACTGCTTACTGTATATGCATCTATAATTATAAAGTTGACTTGTATATTTGAAGGCAGTATATTGAAGCTCCATGGAGAGGAGTTCAGCACAGCACGTCCAAACAGTTACTTCCTGCAGGACTCCTGGAGAGGGATTTGAATACTTTGAATAACATTTAAATAAGGGGGATTCTGTTTCTAACAACGTAGCTTTCCACTTCAAAAATGTCATTAGGTAAAATGAATAATCTTTTGTTTATGTATGGTGTTTATGTTTTAACAACACACAGTTCTGGATGTTAGTGTGTGTTTATCTGACTTTACAGCGACGTATGTCTCATGCAAAACGAGCTGCGCAGAAAGGCAGTCAACAAAGACGTCATTACAGATGTCATAGAACCTTATTGGGGAGCAGAGCAGCTCTTATTATTATTATACAACCGTTGTGTTTGTATTTGATGTGTTTGGTTGACAGAGAAGCTTTGTGCTGCAGGTGGTGGAGGGTGTGTGGGAAGTTTCAGGATGAAGAGAGGAAGGAAAGAGGACCGTTTGGAGAGAGAGAGATTTCTGCTGAGAGGAGAGAAGTTACCGGAAAGTCTGAATTAACAAAGGGTTCCATGTTCAGTTTGGTAGAAGAAGAGAAGAAGAGCCACTGAATACTCAAGTACAAGACCTGAGTACTTCTACTTTTACACAAATACAAGATCTGAGTTCTTCTACTTTTACACAAATACAAGATCTGAGTACTTCTACTTTTACTCAAGTACAAGACCTGAGTACTTCTACTTTTACACAAATACAAGATCTGAGTACTTCTACTTTTACACAAATACAAGATCTGAGTACTTCTACTTTTACACAAATACAAGATCTGAGTTCTTCTACTTTTACTCAAGTACAAGACCTGAGTACTTCTACTTTTACACAAATACAAGATCTGAGTACTTCTACTTTTACTCAAATACAAGATCTGAGTACTTCTACTTTTACTCAAATACAATGCTGGCACGGAGAGAGTGCCCAGAGGAATGAGAGAGCCCCTCCCGAAACGCGATGGGCTGTCTCATAGCGGCTGCTCAGGTGCAGCTCGTGAGTCCTCAATCACCCCACAGCACTGGAACCTGCAAACAGAGAGAGAGAGAGAGACCACGGAACGCCTAGTGGTGTGTATATAAATGTTATGTTCATAAATGTTGTATGTGACGGGACTACGGATGGAAACTAGCTCAAAGCTCAAATCCGGCTCATTTACATTTAAAAGCATTAATTTGTTTAAAATGTTCATTAATGTGCACTGTCCCGGTTCAAATAAACGATTAAATGAAATGGAGGGGTCGTCACACAAGTAATACAAATAAAATAGTGAAATAGTGCAATAAGAGTCTATATACAAGTGATTGGAATATGATATATGTGGAGTCTATTTTTATATAACATTACAAGAGGGATTCTCATAGTTTGACATTTGCGCTTGGGGGGGTAAACCTTTTTTACTGACGTCAGTACACAGTCCCAACTATTACGTGGGGTGCTACGGATACAGTAGCAATAAAGCCAGCGCTCACCGCACTGAGTATGACTTTTCCACATACGAACACAACTCGTCCCCTCATGCACGCCTCATGTCCGCTCCTCACAGCAGCGAGCCCCGCAACGTCCCCCCAACACGGCCCCCAGACCCCACGCAGCATTCTCATCTGTTTGTCATTACTGGTGTCATTTCCTGGTTGCTAACAAACGCCATTGTAACACATAATCACTGATGTTCTGCTGTAACGGTGGTGGACTCATCAGAACAGAGTGGGCGAGCTGACCAATCAGAGCACAGTGGGCTCACAGGGAGGGGGGGGCAGGAGCTCCAACAAGGCGTGTAGGACAGAGAGTGAATACACATACTATACAGAGATGCTGTATGAGAAACTAATGTGAGTTTGGAACATTGAACAATGTAAATCTATTCTAGTAGACCTCAACAATGGAACTATGATCAGTAGAAATGGCCATGACATGGGACCTTTAAGGGGAACTTCATGCATCTTTTGAACTATAGCTCTCTTGATAGTAAAACCATTATTAGATAGATAGATAGATAGATAGATAGATCGTACTTTATTGATCCCAAATTGGGAAATTGTTTTTGTTACAGCAGCATAAAAGGCATTTTACAATAAAACAAAATATACAAGAATAGAAATAAAATAAAATAAAATATAAAATAAAATATAAAATATACATGTCAAAATACAAAATAGAAAATATACATACAGATATTATATATATATACAAATATATATATATTCAAATATATGGAATTATGGAGTATTAAATATGAAACAGATTATGTGTGAGTAAAATGTACAAGGTGGTTTTATTTCTAGAGAAACTATGGAGCAGAGAGTTCTCTTCCAGCCAGAGGTGATTTGTTGTACAGAGTTATTGCAGTGGGCAGGAATGTTTTCCAGTATCTGTCCTTGTGACAGGGGAGCTGCAGCAGTCTGTTGGAGAAGGAGCTCCGCTGACTGTCCAGCTGCAGGTGGAGAGGATGGGTGGGGTTATCCATGATGGACAACAGCCTGTTCAGTGTCCTCCTCTCCACCACAGCTTCAAAGGGTTCCAGCTTGATGCCGATGACTGACCCAGCTTTCCTGATCAGTTTATTGATCCTGCAGGTGTCACCGGCTCTGATGCTGCCCCCCCAGCAGACCGCAGCAAAGAAGAGTGCACTAGCCACAACAGACTGATAGAAGATCTCCAGCATCTTACTGCATACGTTGAAGGATCTCAGCTTCCTCAGAAAATAGAGTCGGCTCATCCCCTTCTTGTACACAGCGTCAGTGTTGATCCTCCAGTTCAGCCCATTGTCTAAGTGCACTCCCAGGTACTTGTAGACCTCCACAACTGCCACATCCTCTCCCAGAATGCACAGGGGCAGAGGAGGAGATGTCCTCTTCCTCCTGAAATCAATGACCATCTCTCTGGTCTTGGCCACATTCAAAAGCAGATGATTTCTTCCAGTCCACTCAACAAAATCACCCACCAGCGCTCTGTACTCCTCCTCCCGTCCATCCCTTATACACCCTACCACTGCAGAGTCATCCGAAAACTTCTGCAGGTGGCATGACTCTGAGTTGTATAGAAAGTCAGAGGTGTATAAGGTGAACAGGAAAGGAGACAGCACAGTCCCCTGTGGGGCTCCAATACTACCAACCACCACATCAGACAGCACACTGCCCAGCCGGACGTACTGTGGTCTGTCCGTGAGGTAGTTGGTAATCCAGGAGATGGTGGACGAGTTTACCCTCATAGCCTGCAGCTTGTCACTCAGTAGCCGAGGCTGGATCGTGTTGAATGCACTGGAGAAATCAAAAAAGGTGATTCTCACAGTGCAACCCGATCCATTCAGGTATGAGTGAGCACGCTGCAGCAGGTAAATAATGGCATCGTCCACCCCCAGGTGAGGCTGGTAGGCAAATTGCAGAGGGTCAAGGAATGATCTCACCTGCGGTCTGAGATGGGCCAAGACCAGTCTCTCAAGCACCTTCATCACATGAGATGTGAGTGCTACAGGGCGATAGTCATTGAGCCCAGAAGGAGTTGTCTTTTTAGGGACCGGAACATTGGGGGACACTGAGACCCTTAGACAGCGAAAACTTAAATTTGAAACCAATGCTACCGAGACCCCATCCATAGCAACTAACAAATCAGATTCACAAATCAGAGTCAAGAGAAGAATCGTTAAATTGCCCAGCCGAGATCACAACATGATGGACATCAAACTTTAAGGCTAGAAGACCCGAGGAAAAGGACCCCAGGGGTCCCTAGCACCCTAGGCACCACCTGCTTATCCCTAACAATACAGCCCCAGATTGCACAGTGACAGGAGGCCTTACAAGGCCTTACATCCCTTTCAGAAGAATTGACTGAGAACACAGGAATTGATGATCCCTTTTGCAGGATGCTAGAATCCCTGCTTGAAGAATTGAAGCATCTGGCCCTGTCCCTATTCACATCCCTACTATCTACCAGACTCATTGAAACAGCACTCACTAAACAAAACCTAGTGCAGCACCAACCCTTGCCTCAACAGGACACACACAACAGAGATGACGGAGGGAAAGGGGGATCGTCTGATTCCTCCCCTGGCTGTGAGCTTTCACTCATGGCGTTGACTGACGAATCAGAAAACATTGGACTATAACGGCATAAGGACTCACATAAAAAAGTGAACAACCCGATTGAAATTTAAACATTTAAATTGATATGCCTTACATTTATGCTGAGCTAATTGATTGAACTTTGTTTTTGGCTTTCATCTTACATTTGAACATTTTGTATTTTCAATTAAGTTTTATACTGAGTATAAACAGGAGGGTTATGTTGGGAAAACATACATTATTTAAGCCAAACAATGATATTGTTTGCTATCACACTGCTTCTACATTCTGCACTTGTTTTATTTGAATTTAAAACATTATTAAATACTGTTACTGTACCTATTGTTTTTCACCTGGAGGGGTACTTTTTTAAATTGTACATTGTGTAATTGATCCATCTAATATGTTATGCATGCCTCTTAATTAATACGTACAGATGGAGCATCTTATTTCAGACTCCAGCTTACTGCTTCCTGCCTACTACCTGCCAGTTACCTGCCTAAGACCTGCCAAAGACCAGTATCTGGGAATGTTAAGCCCTCCCACTATTTTCCAAGAGGGCGTTGCCAGATTTTCAATTTCAGGATTTAACCAGGAGATGGCGCTTCCTTCACAGAAACAGGAAGACAGCTTTTCATGGACTTTCAGTTTTGTTTAGAAGAGCATTTGAACACATCAATATTTTAGATCAAATAAAGTATATCTAATCTTGTAATTCAATAATATATAGTCTTTATATATTAAATAACTATGGCCAAACTAAGACTTAGTTTTTCACAAGAGAAAATGCAGATATTATATAAAAAACTGAAGTTAAAATCTTGTTTTTAATGCCTCAAGAGCAATAAAAACACTTGGTAAAAAAATCCTGAGTGAGGCTTTCATAAATTGCATTTAGCTGACGCTTTTATCCAAAGCGACTTACTATTTAATAAATGATAAATGTATTCAGTATGGAACTCCACATCTTATTTGTAATAAGACAAGGTAAGTACATCTGCTCGTTGCTACTGTCAAGCTAGCATGAATACCAACACACGGTACCCTCACTAACGGGTCCGTGTTGCAACACACACTATAACCAACGGTGAATTATGTCCCATAACGTGTCACCACACTATTACATTTTGTATAATGCTGCCGAACTTGCTGCTGCTAGCTACAGTACAGTAAAGGTTGATTAAACGGTTCGCTCACCACACAAGGTATCACATGACATGAAAGCAGGGCCGGCTCTAGACAATTTGATGCGCTAGGTGAGATTTTGGCTGGCGCCCCCCCTATAGAATATATAGACAATAAATGAAAAATCTCTACAGAAGACAAATACACTACAAAAACAGAAACTTATTGACATAGGTAATATACATCAAAAAGGCTTCAAATGTATTCAGTATTGTATAAACATGTTTGAATTGGGGGATGGGCGTCACATCCTCTAGGGCAGGGGTGTCAAACTCAAGGCCCGGGGGCCAAATCCGGCCCGTGACTTGAAGAGGTTGCAAAGAATATTATATGTTTATTATACGGTTACATGATGATTTACAGAAGCACGTTGCCCATAAACTACATGTCCCACAATGCATCTCAAATTAGACTTGTTTCTCAGAATTTTACTTTTTTCTCAGAATTTGACTTTTTTTCTTCTAAATATGCCTTTTTTCTTAGAATGTGCCCTTTTCTCAGAATTTGATCAGTGTTTCCCACATAATTTGATTCTATTTGTGGGGGCACCGCACCGCATGTCACTTCATTTTTTTTAAATGTCACTTCTTTTTTTGATTTTGACTTTTTTTCCAGAATTTGGCTTTTCTTTTTAAATCATATTGTGACATTCTCACTGAAAAGACTTGCAATTATTTGCCCCAGACTTCTGCTTTCAGACGTAGTTAATTATGAAGTTATTACCCTATTTGATAATAATCCAATGCAGAGGCAATAATGTAATATAATACATTATTATATATATATATTTATATATGTATTTTTATATAGTCTTAAAGTTACAACCAGCCCTTTGAGTGCAGCCATAATGCTGATGTGGCCCGCGATTAAATTGAGTTTGACACCCCTGCTCTAGGGGGACATTTTTTAACCTTTTAAAGTAAAATGCTTCAATCTGGTGCACTTTGAGCACACAATGACTAGAGACCTGATCTAGGGGGTACAACTCTAAAACACCCATATGAAAAAGATCGGTTTACATTTTAATAATCAAATAAGTATGTGAACATAACCAATAACCTACCATAGCCAATAACAAATAAATGTAACTTATTTTTCTTTTTTGTTCATTCATATCTTATTTTACCTCGTTATTTATTTATTCATGCTTATTTTTTAATCTCTCCAGTTTTAAACGATAGTTTTGGTTTACTGTCCTATAGTATACATTGGAATGATTTCAAACTTGTTTATCCCAATAATTATAAAGGAGTGCCTTGGAAATATGTGTTTACATAAATTGTGACCAAAACGTTTCAGACCCACTGAGATAACTTAGACTAAAGTGAACTATCTAAACACTCAGAGTCCTTTACCTCACTGAGCCTCTCAGTCTGTCAGGAGAGAGCTCTCTCCACCTTTGTTGTAGAAACATCTTCTTCGCACCAGGTGCTAATAACAACAGCGCCGGTACCTCGCTCCCACGCTCACTCGCACTTTGGCTGTGAGCTGCGGGCGACTGATAAGCCAACATCCCCCACTTTCATCACTTACAGCGCCCATCGTACAGGGCAAATGAAAAGTGTAACCGGGGTGAAAAGGGTGTTACATTTACTTAATTATGAATATTGTTACATCAAGGCCGAAAATTAGGATGAGCGCCAACGGTCAAAAATGTTTTCCCCCTCCCAGAGCTACCAGCGCAGCGCCCCCCAGATCTGGCGCTCTAGGCGAACATCTATAACGCCAATGCTAAGGACCGGCCCTGCATGAAAGGGAGCAAGGTCATTGGACAGACAAATTACAAATTAATTTAGGTTGCTTGGTTACTTTGAAGACTGCGTGAACCGGTCAATGCCATTGGGGCCCCAATAATAAATAGTAGTAAGTGCTAAAGATATAAGACAGATATCACTCTCTCATAATATAAGTTTCTCTTTGTCTGCAGGTGACCCCTGAGTGGAAAACTACTGAGGCACTTCAACCCCCCCCCCCCCCCCCCTCATTTCCTCTGCAGCTAATAGGGGAAGTACAGAGTTCCTCTTTCACAGAAGTCATATTTGCGAAAGTTGGTGTTTAAACTGTTCCGTAAAAGATAGATAGCGGAAATGCAGACAGACTCAGGACTGAAGAGGAAGCGATGAGCAGTGTTTCTGTGAGTAGACCTGAAGAGCGTCTGTGAGTGGACCTGAAGAGAGTCTGTGAGTAGACCTGAAGAGAGTCTGTGAGTAGACCTGAAGAGAGTCTGTGAGTAGACCTGAAGAGAGTCTGTGAGTGGACCTGAAGAGAGTCTGTGAGTGGACCTGAAGAGAGTCTGTGAGTGGACCTGAAGAGCGTCTGTGAGTGGACCTGAAGAGAGTCTGTGAGTGGACCTGAAGAGAGTCTGTGAGTGGACCTGAAGAGAGTCTGTGAGTAGACCTGAAGAGAGTCTGTGAGTGGACCTGAAGAGAGTCTGTGAGTGGACCTGAAGAGAGTCTGTGAGTGGACCTGAAGAGCGTCTGTGAGTGGACCTGAAGAGAGTCTGTGAGTGGACCTGAAGAGCGTTCAGCAGGTGAGAATCCTCCCACAGGAATCTGTTTCAGAGTCACTGTTTACCTGGACAGAGTCACTGTTTACCTGGACAGAGTCACTGTTTACCTGGACAGGACACATGTTTCTTGATGCTGATTCTAAACATCTGTCTGAAATATTGTGTAGGGTTTCTCTCTGAGTGAAAGCAGAATGGGTTTAGAAAGATCTCCATGTACTGTTGTCAGTGTTTCAGGTAGAATGAGTTGCAGTCTGATTGTTCTCTGAGTTCTCTTCATCAGAGAGAAATGCAGGGTGTGTCAGCAGTGGCGGCGCCAGAGATTTTCTCTAGGGGGTGCTGTGGGGTAGCTTGACGTTTCATAGAGGGTGCTCAAACATTAAAGGTCCCATGTCATGCTTTTCCGGTTATTACCCGTCCCCTTGTGTGTTATGAAGGTTTTTATGCATGTAAACGGTGTGCAGAGTCAAAACCCTCAAAGTACACCCTGTAGCGAGTAAAACTCTAACACAGAAAATACCTCCCCAAAACGCCTCGTTGGAGATACGTCACTGCCCATTTGATTCTTCCGGGTACCGCCTGATGTCATGCGGTACCCGGAACGAAATGGACCAATCCCGAAGAGCTATGGCCACACCAGCAGCGGCGTGTTCCTCCAGAGGTTCGAAGAACCGGCATTTCACAGACGAAAGCTTCCAAAACATTGCCCAGTTTGAGGCCGGATATGCACAGCTTGTTTGGACCGTTTGGAGCAGGGGAAGATCCGGGTACACAACCTGTAAGTTTGCATTGTTATTTGTGTATTTATCAAACAAGACTGTTTAAATGTGTAAACTGTGTTTGACTGCTAAGCCATTGACACAGTGCTAACTGTGCTAACTAAGTTGCTAGAGTTTCCATATATCAACTCTAATATCAGCAGATGGCCTTGCATACATGTATCTCATAGCAGGAGAATGTCTGCATTCACACACAAAATACCTATTGACAGTATACTCCGGGTGATTTGCCGTGCAGTCAGTCGCGAAACGTAATTACATTATAGCTGGCGTAGCGTGTATGCAACCGATCTAACACACGGAGCTAGAGCTAGGTTTGGTCGGAAAAACATTTTTGTGATGCTACGTTGCTAGCGTTTAAATATATCAACTACAATGTCAGCAGATGGCCTTACATGTTTGTCATGGCAGGAGAATGTCTGCAGTCACACACACGGAATACTCATACAGTATACTCCGGGTGATTTACCGTACATTGTGACAGTACATATACTGCATGTATAGCTAACGAGGCTAGCTGTATGCTAGCGCAAAACAATGTATTCATGCAAGTTACATTGTATGACCGAACGTAGCAGAATACCCGTATACGATTGCAATTATAAACACGTTATTGCTAGCCTAATATGAACCACTAGCTTTGTTCATAGTAGTTTTATTACACTGCATTATAGTTGCCTTTCCTCCAAGCTAACGTTCATATCGTGTTAGCTACCAAGGTAAACAAAGCTAGGTTAGCATATTAGCAGGCAAGCTGTTCATTACACTCCTACCACAACTACTACTAACGAATCTAAAACAACTAAGTTTCTCTAATATTTTGTGATTTGCATTTGATTTCGTCCAGCCAGATCCTGGCGGACAATCCATGACGGGGACGGGACTTCTACTACTACTGAGGCCTCGTGCTAAAAGGCACCGGCTGTGCGCAGGCAAGATGCGAGGAGGAATGGATGATATACCGTGTATATATGTATATTTATGTTCATTTTGTACATTTCTAAAAATAAAGTTTAATGGAAATACTTAGTAGGCCTATCCTTTCTTCCCTGAATTATTTGCTCCTATAACATATCATTCATATATAGCAAACCATGATTTGATTTCTCATCAAACAGTAGTAGTTTATTACAGGTAAAAATAACTTACTCTTTGTTATGACCGGCTCGTAGGCCACAACGGAAAGGCAAGGAGACATACACGAGTTTACAAAACCACGGCACATTTATTGTGGTAAATGCAGAGATAGGTGGTCGGGGAGAGAATCGCCGAGTTCGTCCTTCTGCAGCCGCTTTGGAGAGAGATTCCGGGCCGCTGGGATTAATAGCACCGGCTACGGAGGTGTCCGTGATCGCGCTGATTACCCTCTTCAGCTCCACCCCACCGTAAGCCCTGCAACACACCTGCACAAAGGCCCTGGGGCCGTCACACTCTTCTATAACAACAGTTGTAGGTTCAGTTCGGTTAGTTAGCGTATAAAATATCAGCTGTACCGACGCCATTATTACACTGATGTTCCCCGAAAAAAGCGGGCGGAGCCTCTCTGGTGGTTGACTAATCAGAACAGAGTGGCCGAGCTGACCAATCGGAGCACACTAGGCTCACAGGGAGGGGGGGGCAAGAGCTCCAACGAGTCGTTTAGTGGAGAGAGTGAATACTACTGAATACACATGCTTGACAGAGATGCTGTATGCGAAACCAATGTGAGTTTGGAAAATTGCACAGTATAAATCTATTTTAGTATACCTCAACAATGTAATTATGATCAGTGGAAATGGCCATGACATGGGCCCTTTAAGGGTTTCCCATTAATGCACTAGCGCTACAGTTGAATGTTCTACTGCAACATTCCCCACACGCACACACAGTGTACCCGCGACTGTTACAATGAAGGCTCGATAATCAGCTCACGGCATATAGGTGTAAGCAGGGGTAAAGTGCTATTTTTACAAGTGGGGATTGGACCTCACCTCCTATAGGAGGGTCCTCACCTCCTCTAGGGGGGTCCGGGGGCATGCTCCCCCGGGAAGATTTTTTTTTAAATATTGAAGTTAAAAGCATCAATCTGGTGCACTTTGAGAGTAAAACGAAGAGATCTATGGATACATCTCTCAACACCCATATGAAACAGAACTGTAAACAGATTTTCTATTTCTTTATAGATATTTTACAAATCACTCACCAAAACCGTTTGAGACCCACTGAGATAACTAGACTAAAGTTAACTATCTAAACAATGAGAGAGTCCTTTACTTCACCTGAGCTGAGGTTATCTGAGACTCTCAGTCTGACAGGAGAGAGTTCTCCCTCCACCTTGTTGTTGAAAAAGCTCCTTATATCCGTTAGCTTGGCTAGCTAGCACCAGATGCTAACCACAACGATCTCCGGTAGATACCCACCGGTGCGCGAGCTCTCTCTCTCGCTCGCGCACGCACACAAAATGGCTCGTGCCACACACACAGAGCAGAGCTTGAATGAAACACAGAGACCCAGAAGTAAGCTACTTGTACTCACGAGGCCTATTATGTGCAGAATCCCTCTCGCTTTCAGGTGGTTTTGATTGAGTGTCCACACATGGAAGTTTAAGGACTAAAAAACGAAAAAGTTATTGATCACCCCTCGATTATGTTCTCTTGTTAAGAAAGTGGGAGGCGTGTGGCGCAGTGGATATATGTCCTAAATAATGTGCTAAATATATACACTGCAAAAAACAAAAAAAAGGAGTAAAAGTAGCCCCCGACTTGTTTTATTTTTTTAAAGTAGCCCTCACCCTAAAAAAGGTTGGTGACCCCTGGCCTACACAGTTTTTATGCTATACCACATTGCCCTTCACTGGATGTATAATGAGCTGCACTAAACTACATTTTAGCATTTAAAATACCTAGCCATTCTTTTGCGGTTATTTTGGTGAAAGTAACTCAAAAGTAATATAAAAGTAGTGTAACTCATTACATTTCAGAGACAGTAATATTCTAATGTAACTTATTACTTAAAAGAGACAGTAATAAGTAATATATTGTAGTGCCGAGAGATGAGAGTCGGAGGCGGTGCATCGAAGGTGCAAAGTTTACTTTATTGAGCAGCAGAAAAGCACATGTTGCTGGCTTGAAGACCGGGAAGAGAAGGGAAGAAGAGAAAGGAGGGCACACAGTAGGTATACAGTAGGTACTGTTGATAAATCGTGATCTTCTCGCTCCCAGGAAAGAAACTTAAAATAATGAGACTAATGGAGTCTCTGAAAAGGTTCAAATGGGTACTTTAATTAAGTAACGTGGTTAAAGAACAAGCATAGGTAAGGAAGAGACAAAGCCGGTGATGTCTCCAGGGAGCTGCAGCGTAGGAAAAGAGGCCGGGCTGTACTTTTCGATTCGATTTATACTTTTCTTGTTCTCTCCCGCTGTGCAGATAGTGGGACCGCCCTTCTCATCTGCTGGTTCGACATCGCGAGAGAACAGATGATTTCGACATTCTGTATTCCCTGCCTACTTCCTTAAGCCTTTTCTCCTCCTTATCTCTGTCATGACTTTCTATTTAATACCTTATAAACAGCTGTAATAGTTAGTTTAGAAGTCCTAGAAACACCTCTACGGCACAGTTCTCATTTACGTCCGAAGCCGCCGTCGAGGCGAACCATGAGCCGTGGTTAGAGGAGAGGCCAGGCAGGGTCCGGGAGTGCGCCACCCACGGGCCGATGAAGGCGTGGGCGACGTCCGAAGCTGCTGCAGAGGCGAAGGAAGAGACCAGACAGGGTCCCGAAGCGCGCCACCCATGGGCCAATGAAAGCAAGGGCGACGTCCGAAACTGTCGAGGCGAGACGGGGTCCAGAAGTGCGCCACGCAGGCGCCGATGAAAATGTGGGCGACGTCCGAAACCGCAGTCGAGGTGGTGAAAAAGCGAGAGTGTCCACACGAGGTCGACCGGCTGGTCAAACCTCCTCTCAGGCACCGGAAAAAGCTCAAAAGGGTCGTCCTGTCCACGATCAAAAACAGGTGGGCGAAATTGTGAGAGGATCCACACAAGGTCAACCAGGCTTGGTCGAACCTCCTCTCCGGCACCACCAAAAAGAGTTAACAGTCAGATGTTAACATATGGAAGCAGTCAGCCGTTAGCTGCTAGCTGTTAGTTGTCAGTCGTCGTTAGCTGCTAGCCGCTAGCTGTCATCGTTAGCCGTTAGCTGTTAGTAGCTGCTAGCCATTAGCTGTCGTCGTTAGCTGCTAGCTGTTAGCCGTCTGTAGCTGCTAGCCGTTAGCTGTCGTGGTTAGCTGTTAGCTGTAAGCCGGTGTCGACGGCCGCTAGCTGTAAGCCGGTAGCCGTCAGTCGATGTCGTCGGCCCCGGAGCCTCTGCTAGGCGGCGTGCCTCTACCAGGGAAGGTGCCGCTGCGTGTAGTGGCCAGCACCTCAGGGGTAAATCGTTGGGCGGCCAGGAAGAACCGGTCAGCTTCTTCAGCAAAAGCGCGGGGCTCCACGCTAGCTGTGTTAGCGAGCGCAGCCTGGACATGCAGCCGCATGTCCTGGAGAAACAGCTCCATGAAAAAAAAATCAGGCTCTTCCGTACCTAGCAGGTCGTGTATTGTCTCCATGTAGTCGGAAGGCTTGCTGTCTTCCAGTGCCGAAACGATGTGGGAATGGCGAGCGACGTCCCCAGCCATTCTGCGGAGGGCGCATCGAGACTCAATCTGTGTGTACGTGGCAGCCACGGACGCCTCCAAAAATCTCCGGCAGTTTGCGAAAAACAGCGTTTCTAGCCATGTTCGGTCCTGTCTCGGAAACTTCTGCGAGACTTACGTCAGGGTCACCAGTGTAGTGCCGAGAGATGAGAGTCGGAGGCGGTGCATCGAAGGTGCAAAGTTTACTTCATTGAGCAGCAGAAAAGCACATGTTGCTGGCTTGAAGACCAGGAAGAGAAGGGAAGAAGAGAAATGAGGGCACACAGTAGGTACAGTCAACATATGTGTCCGTGCGGAAACAATACCCCCAACCCGTAGTTCCATGAGTGAATTATGTAACATGAGTAAATTAGTGATCACTACAATATACTGTATTACATTTAACTTGCCCAACACTGAACAGGACACATGTTTCTTGATGCTGACTCTAAACATCTGTCTGAAATATTGTGTAGGGTTTCTGTCTGAGTGAAAGCAGAATGAGTTTCGAAAGATCTCCATGTACTGTTGTCAGTGTTTCAGGTAGAATGAGTTGCACTCTGATTGTTATCTGAGTTCTCGTCATCATCACTTGCAGGGCAAGTCAGAACCCGCTCTAACAAGTCGTGACTGTTTTTCTGTCTAACTCTTAATACTCTGAATAAGGGAAGGAGTGTGAAGGGCCCGTCTTCCAACACTGACCTGGTTTCACTGAAGAGCCTTGAAAATGTCAAATCTTTTTTTTTAATTTTAGATTATACATCTGGGACTAGATCGCCCAAATTCGAAAAAATATATAACAGTACATGTTTTGATATATATGTTGGGCTATACAAAACATTTGCATGAAAAGTAAATGGGAGATTTCAAAAAAATAAAGAAATAAAAATATTCTTCCCATAGATTTGAACTGCATTGTAAGTTAGTTATGAGGGAACTTATTTTTCATATTTTCAATGATATATCAAAAACACATTTCTTATCAGTTCACAAAAGACCTAATTTTAATTAAAGTCCGTAACTGCTTTCATGTAATTAACGTACATATTTTAAGCCAAACAATTATATTTTTTCTAAACCTAACAAAGAAGTTTTGTTGAATGAGCGCAGTTCAGTTGTGTGGGATATCTTGTGGGGGGCTGGGCTGTAAATTACCTGTGGATGTACATTGAAGTTACTGTTTGTGTGTGCTGTGATACACTGTGACACACTAACACATATTTAGGGGTCAACACACTGAGTTTCTGTGTGGTTCTGGGGCAGTGGGGAACATTCTGGGCTGGTCCGGTCCTGTTGAGGCTCCAACAAGGTTCCTGAATATCTGAGAGGAGGAGCTACCTGTGATGTAAAGCTTGTGGTAATGAATGAGCATGTTGTTGTGTTTGTGTGAAGGTGGGGGCTCTGCTATGGATCAGTGTGAGGACAGAGAGGAGGAAGCCCCCCCCTCTAAAAGCTCTGGGGAACATGACAGCCAGACCAAAGCTCAGAGGTGAGATCTCCACCTGTCCATCACTCTTCTCCATGTCACAGCTCAATACATTTGATTTATATAGCACTCTTTAAAGAGAACGTCATCTCAAGGTGCTTCACAAAGCTATAAGGAGAAAATAATAAAATAAAAAGATATCTAAAGGAGCATATTGAATAAAATATGGTAATATAACAAATACAAATCAAAGGTTAAGAGCATAAAAGGTTAAACAAATTAAATAAATTAAATTAAAATAAAGGACAGTCAGTAAAATGCAGTGTGGAACAGGTGGTTCTTGAGGCATTTCCTAAAAACTGAGAGTGATGCCGAGGTCCGTATGTTCTCTGGAAGCTGATTCCACAGACGTGGACCCAGGGAGGAGAAAGTACGGTTTCCCATGCTGACCAGTTTTGTTCACGGAACAGCCAGGAGATTGGAGCTGTCTGACCTGAGTGTGCGTGAGGTATGGGAATGTTTTCTGGTTAGCATTTCCTGTAGGTAGGTGGGGCCAGTGTGGTTGATGGCGTTGAAGACCATTATGAGGACTTTGTAGTTGATCCGGTGTGTTACACGGAGCCAGTGGAGTGAGTGAAGGATGGGGGTGATGTGCTCTAATTTGCGTGTTTTTGTGAGTATCCGGGCGGCACAGTTTCGTACATTTTGTAGTCTCTGAGTGTTTTTTGCTGGAATGCCTGCAAGCAGATAATTGCAGTAGTCAATATGGGAGGTGATGAAGGCATGGAGCAGTTTTTCTCAACCTGATCTCACCAGAATACGTGACTCCACCACGACTCCTTAACACTGCATTGCGTGGTGGAGTCACGAACTTTGTTACATTTACGTGTCTGCACCACGCAAACAACGCCAATGTAAAGTGAATGAGGCTCCTTTGTCGTGGTGCACACACGCATTTCTACAACGTCCAGCAGTGAGCTTTTATTCTATAATACGTTTTTAAAATCTACTTTATAGCTTGTAGTAACTCACAGGAGGCTTCTTTTATTTTATTTGTATTCATAATCATTTTTATTTTTCGTCAGAATGTATTATGGTGCATTATTCACCAATGTTTGTTCTCAAAAAACAATGTATTGTAAGTAATACAACTGTGATTTTTATTAAATGAGTTAGTTTTTAAGGAAGGCCAGAGCTTCAGCTGTGTCAAAGAGATTGTTCCCTTTAGTTAACGTTATTTAAAAGATAATTATATTCCTATTTGATTAAGTACCCTTTATTGTATTACGGACCCAAAGAGCTGAGCGTCCATTCCCATTGGATAACAGAGCATTTTACACCGGAAGTAAGTATTCTCCTTACTGTCCATTGATTTTATTTACAGTGATATCTGCACTACTCATCAACTCAAAAACACCAGATTATCCTTGTTAATTACACAACATTGATTGGTTTAAATTGTGTACAATGCTTTTGTATTTTCCCCTTTCGATTCGGAGAAACAAATATGTTTTCGGAGTGTGTGGATGGTAGAAGACACTACACTACCCAGAATCCTCAGCTATTGTTCCGCTTTGCCTCAAGCTCTGTGATTGGTTGACCTCCAACTGCATTCCAATGAAAAAAACGTTTCGTCAAAGATCAAATCATACTTTATTCAGCAGTGCTTGCTTTACTCTTTGAAAGTCATCACATGAATGCATTGTAATGAATGGTTTGACTGCATTAAACATTACACATCTGTCGTAGTTCTTTATTTATCTACAGAGATCGGGCCTCAGAATGGACCGGAAACTATTCTTTTACCGTTCTATTTTAATTTCACAATAAAGTTAGTAGTAATAATTTGTTTTGATATTATTGTTTTTTATTAACTACTAGACCGCTGGGTCATGTTAAGACCATATTTTCTGTGTTGCTGTGGGTTTTTTACATCGCTTTTGTGTTACAAATATCAAAACAATAACAGAATATATCCGTCGTAAACTAAACCAGAAACAGCAGTATATTTTATTTTGTTAACACTGTAAACTTGACAGCTTTTTAACCCGCACCTCCTACTGGTTAAAGCACGTTATTACACGTTTAGAGTAATGCAATGCAGGTAGATTGGGTTGCTTTTTATTGACTGTTTTAAAATGCCTTTTTCTTAATGTCTTTCATTTTTGTAAAGCACTTTTGAATGTGTTATATTTGATGAAAACATTTCAATATTAAGAGTACATACTCTTAATATAGTGGGAAAGTGGAAGGTCAATGATATAAATAATATAGAATAGAAAATATCAAGAAGATACTGTAAGTGATCTCTACAATAAAACAGTTTAGTGCCTGATAGGAGGATGTGCAAAACAGACAAACTTATAAGGCTTTATTTAAACATTAAAGAATACTTTAGGTTAAGGTCGTCTTTTAAATAAGAAAAAAGCTTTGGGGGTATCTACAGATATTAAGCCTGACAAAGTACTTAACGTCTAATATATTGCATGGTTTGTTTTGGAACTTGACAATCAACTTTCCTTCAATGTTAACTATGTTGAAGCACTTATTTTAACTGATATTATACATATTAATTATACTCTTATAAGATGTATGTAGATAGTATAAGAAATGTGCAGAATATGTTTAATGGTGGAGGTACACAGATATCGATAGATGTCTTGTGATGCACTGTTGATGAACCTGTGACCCAAGTGTTTCATTCATTGCATAACTACACCGTAGTTGTGTATATGATATGTCAATAAACCTTAGAAAATCTTGAAATCTTGAAAGGGATGTGCAAAATAGCCATTATATACAGTTTTTAATGAACTATTAGTAGAGAATAACGAGTAATGAATATGCTTTAGGGATCTGCAGATACATATTTAGTCTTCTCAAGCACCCACTACCAAATATCTCGCCTGATTGTTGGCTGAATTCACTGAATTTTACTCCGGTGTAACTAAAGTCTGATTTAAGGGTTGTTTATATTTCACATCATTAATCCAAATCTGTAAAGTAACTAAAATAAATGTAGTGGAGTAAAAATACCAGGTTAACCTTAAAGAAAGCCCTCAGGATTATAAAAGACCCCCATCACCCCACAAACTGTTCTGTCTGCTGCCGTCTGGCAGGCGGTACCGCAGCATCCGGACTAAAACCACCAGACTCAGGGACAGTTTCATCCCACAGGCCATAAGACTATTAAACACCTGAACTTAGAAACAACATCCATAACATTCATCTGGCTGCTACTTAGAAATTATTTATCTAATATATCATATTCCAATCACTTGTATATAGACTCTTATTGCACTATTTCACTTTTTACTATTTTACTATTTTTCTTTTTGTATTTACTTGCACTATTTGTTCTGTGTAGCCTATCTGTTTTATTGTGTTGCACTGTTGGAGGAGCCTGTGACCTAAGGGGGGGTAGGACACGTTCTAAGCACATGGTGTAGTCCTATAGCTGAGGATTCTGGGTAGTGTAGTGCCTTCTGCCATCCACACACTACGAACAAATATTTGTTTCTCCGAATCGAAAGGGGAAAATACAAAAGCATTGTACACAATTTAAACCAATCAATGTTGTGTAATTAACAAGGATAATCTGGTGTTTTTGAGTTGATGAGTAGTGCAGATATCACTGTAAATAAAATCAATGGACAGTAAGGAGAATACTTACTTCCGGGTGTAAAATGCTCTGTTATCCAATGGGAATGGACGCTCAGCTCTTTGGGTCCGTAATACAATAAAGGGGACTTAATCAAATAGGAATATAATTATCTTTTAAATAACGTTAACTAAAGGGAACAATCTCTTTGACACAGCTGAAGCTCTGGCCTTCCTTAAAAACGAACTAATTTAATAAAAATCACAGTTGTATTACACACAATACATTGTTTTTTGAGAACAAACATTGGTAAATAATGAACCATAATACATTCTGACGAAAAATAAAAATGATTATGAATACAAATAAAATAAAAGAAGCCTCCTGTGAGTTACTACAAGCTATAAAGTAGATTTTAAAAACGTTTTATAGAATAAAAGCTCACTGCTGGACGTTGTAGAAATGCGTGTGTGCACCACGACAAAGGAGCCTCATTCACTTTACATTGGGGTTGTTTGCGTGGTGCAGACACGTAAATGTAGCAAAGTTCGTGACTCCACCACGCAATGCGGTGTTAAGGAGTCGTGGTGGACTCACGCATTCTGGTGAGACCAGGTTGGTTTTTCTGCATCCGGTTTGGTGAGGGAGTGTCGCATTTTGGAGATGTTCCTCAGGTGGTAGTATGAGGCTTGGCAGACCGTCTTTGGGTGCCTTTACACGGGAACGTTTGCGTTTACGCACGTATGTACAAATGTCGCAGTTTTTGCGTGGCTGTGTGTGTCTTTAGTTGAAAGCCCAGTGGCGATCTGCTCATCTCTCATTGAAATAATATGCTACAAAGGGGCGGACTGGCCATCTGTGTGTTGAACTTTCCTGTCGGCTCCCAGACCGTAGTCGAGGAGGGCAGAAGCAACGAGCTTCAGGTTCAATAACCCACTTTAGCTTAAATGACTGGAGAGAGGCGAGCTCTTCTTGAGAGGCCGTTGCATTTATTTAGCTGTTCTTCTGTTTCACAAAATACATCACAGACCTCTGTTTTTCTGCTGCCTCGTTTCACTTCCAGAAACATACTCACACGCACACGCCACACCCCTCTCTCTCTCTCTTAAAGGGACAGCGATCTCATCTCACTCTGCATGACCCTAATATCATAACATGTGTGTTCTGGAGAATCACAGAACGGACGATCGTCCTTATTATTATGCCGTTTAAACCAATTATTTAAATGTGTTTGTTAAATTCGGTATCATGTAAGTTGCGCTGACAGGTCCACACACTGCTTCCCCGCAGCGAGGCCCCCCCGCCCTCCTGTTGATAGATCACGAGCGTCAAGCTCCTCAACATCCTCAACACCCCCCCCCCCCCCCCGTTGATAATTCTCGATCGTTGGCACGCTGATAATTTTTTTTTTTTTTAATTGCACTTCATATCAAAAAGGTTGCCGACCCCTGGTCTATGGCAT